CATTAAAATTAGATGCAGACGTATTTCCTGCTCTCACGTTTGTCTCCGAATGAATTATGTCCATCTTGTCACCTCGGACATGTGAACACTATGCAATTGTATACCTTTAAGTGTCTCTCAGGTTTTGTATGAGAACAAGTACAACATATACCAAACGATTCCGTTATAGTTTACCTGTAAATTGGTACAAAACAATATTCATTTTTTGGCGCAAATGATATACATTTGAACCCTGTGGCGCAAATGAAATACTGCATTTTTCAAAAATTGGCGCAAATGCAATTGCAGTGGTATTTACAACACTGATCTATTGAAATACAAAAAATTAAAAACTGCATGCTCTTATTTTCACAAATTTACACCACTGTTAAAAATTTCATTTCTTATATCTTTCTGCACATATAACATGCATAAACAAACTTGGAAAGAAAAATAAATGTGTACTACTTTTTCCATTTCGAATTCAGTCAAATCTTTAAGAATCACGTTTCATATTTCTCTGAGTCTACACAATATAACTGCATTGACTTCTCTTAGAAATCAAGAATCATGAACAAATGAGTTGGATTTGACATTTTATAAAAATTAATATTATATCTGAAAAAAATACTTCTATCTTACTTCAACCAAGCCTTTGGAGTCTAGGCAGAAAATGTTTAACAAACGAATTAAAATTTACACAATTTTTACACCTATTAACACACCTAGCCCGCAGGGTCGTGTGAGGTTTCTTACATCGTGACGTCTGTAAACTTTTCATAATTTAATCTCCTGCGAAATCTTTCTTGCCAACTATAACCAAATTTAAAAGGAATCTTCATTTTTGAAAATACCATTTTTTAGTGTGGATTTGAATTTTGAAATGACCGCACGGGCAACAAATGATTCTGATTACCTAAAATTGCAAAGATCTTCTGGGGCATCTCTTGGCTTATTGATTTAAAATATTTTAGGAATGGTCCTTAGATAGTCAAATACCAATTTTGACTTTTTGTTGCCAATCTAAACAAATTGAAAATAGACACCACAATTGAACAAAGTTTAACACAAAACAATGAGAAATACACACACATAGCTTCTTTTCAGTAAACAGTCTCATACATTTGAACTGAATCTTGCACTGATGGTACTGGGATGATCCTATAGCATAAAGAATACTCGCGGCGTTTTTTCTTGCCAAACCGAATAAGAAATAGCCACCACATTGGAACATAATAAAACCATATATTTGAGACATGCATACATACAGCTTCTCAAAAACCATCCCACATATTAAAACCAAATCATACATCTAGGGTGTTCCTCTACTAATTTTGAGTTGTTGGTGCCTATCCGAAAAAAAAAAACCCAAAGATTTTCACTACTGGGGAACATAGTTTGAATAGAATCATATCGGAAATTTACACAAATAGCTTCTACTAAAAAACTTGAACATTATAACCAGATATTGAATGAACTGAATGGCAATATGCATAATGCTAATTTCGAGCTTTTACTACTAATCTGAAATCCAAGATGACCGTGCTGTCACCGTTGAACAAATACTAACATACAACAGAAAAAATCACAGAAAACATCTGGTGAGGGCACCACCATGCATAAACTTAATGGGGGAAAACACTGTCCAACATACTAACACTAAATAACTAATGACTTTCCACACTGGTCTGTGTCAATTGTTTCATTCAAATTCAAACTTTGCGTTTTAACATACATTTGAATCCTTTTCTCCAAGCATTTGAATCTCGATATACAATTAATCACGATCTGCCCTTATTTATTCATTTTACATGGCTGCAATTATTTACACCACCGCTCAGGAATTGGAAATACACCTATAATGACTAGCTCTATACTACTAGGTTACATTCTAGGTTTAAAGACAAAATGTTAGAATTTCCAACCATGTTTCATAAAAAAGAATGACTTGTATTGAAATTTTAGAAAAGTACAAATCACTAAAACTGGTGAAAAAAATCATTGAAAAAGACATCTACAAGGTGCTAAATGTTTTGTTCGACAATGTATTTGTTACTTTTGGTGGGCATTTGTTGAACAGTTAACTTTCCTTTTGGAACCTCCGCTCGGCGAAAATTTTTTGAGGTAAAATTATAGAAATATTCTTTATTAAGCTGAGGACAACCCATGCTTTGCAAATTTTAGGGGGGCGCACGCCCGCCACGCCTGAATCCGACCCTGCTAGTCGACTTGTTCTTTTATTCGTAGCATGCAGGCTTCATATATGAGCTTCTCAAGATAAATGAAAAGAAGATACCATTCTTCTTTAATTTCACATTCCAATATAGAGATGAACCAAAGTTTGCTGACTATGTTGATCCCATCTATCTCATTGAATTTCGAATAAAAAATTCCACAGACTCAGCTTTGCCCAGTCTGCTTATATCTTTACTTACACGAAACAATGCCGGAGAATCGGCTGAGAATTAAACATTACGGCAAGAGATATTTCCTATTTTTCTGTATGAATTCGAACTTTCCATTTCTATTCAGCAACATCTCAGCAACACTTGAATATGGGGTATATTCTGTTGGTAGGTTTAACATGCATGGTGCCATCATGGTTTGCTTAACTGTTGTGGATTATGGATATGGTCCATTTGTTTTAGTCACAATCCACCATTTGTTTGTCAATTATGACATCACCAAATGAGACTTGTCACCAGATTTTTCTTGTCATGAGCCACCAGTTGAGCAAAAACTTTATCTTTCCGAAGCACTTAACTCATCCTGGTTTTATGGTGATGGTCGTGCTGCTAGATCTGTATTTTGTCTATAAAATATGTCAAGATCTATATCGCCCGAGTCTTTGAATGGTATGAATAAATTTAACAACGACTATCACTGAAAGATCTACCATCAAAACTAGATTCCACAGATGACAAAAGCATTAAGATACGACAAAAGAAAGACACTAAAGATGTTCCTGACTTTGTAAAGCATGATCATGTAGCGGAGCTGCTCCAAATATCTGTATTCAGAAAAATATGGATTGTTTACAAAATATATGGGGGTCATATATGTCGTCCAAGTATCTGTATGTCAGTATTGATGGAATTATGAATTGTCTATGAAGACTTAGTGGTGTTTCTTTGAATTTTTATCAAATTATAGCTACCAATGTTAATTCATAAAAGTAGAGGAAACAAGAATTTGTCCATAGTACACGGATGCCCTACTCGCACTATCATTTTCTATGTTCAGTGGACCGTGAAATTGGGATCAAAACTCTAATTTGGCATTAAAATTAGAAAGATCATATCATACTATGTTTCAAGTTGATTGGACTTCAACTTCATCAAAAACTGCATTGACCAAAAACGTTAACCTGAAGCGGGACAGACGGACGAACGAACGGACGCACAGATCAGAAAACATAATGACCCTACTACTATCGTAGGTGGGGCATAAAAATCTGAAACAGAGTTAGTTTCAATACTTATCCTTAGAAAGTAAACTTTATCTCCAAAATGAACATAAATGAAATCTCAAAAACTTATGCCTTACATCATTTCTTTGCATGACCAATAAAGTCATTAAAAAAGAATGTCCCATAAAAGTGAAATAAATGAATGGACACTGAAATATGGGGTTAAAGACAAAGTGACAGCCACCTGCAAGATTATATTGAAATTAATATTTTGAAAATAGAAAACTATGATCCTGCAGTTGACTTACATTGCCCCATAAAATTCTACTGTGTAGACATTTATACCAAGAAAATTCCTTTTATATTGAATAAAATAAGAATTTTCCCAAGGGATCAAATTCACTGAGCTATTCCAATGCAACACATAATCTAATATCAATTATAGCAACAAGATAACGCGATATTGTCATAGCAAAGGTATAGATTGTTTAAACAAAAAGTATCTGCAATCAATCTTTGCTTATCATTTTCCTGCTTTTTCTGCCCAAAGACAAATCAGGCAAGATTAGGAACGGTGTCCTGCTCCATTGCTGAATATGGAAAGCCAACTGGGTCAAAATTCTTAATTCGTAAATTATCAATTTGTAACTTGTAACTGTTCTTAATTCGTAAATTGTCATTTTGTAACTTGTCATATATGCAGGGATTCGTTTTATATAGAGGTGACCTCGATTATACATGTATGTTTACTGTACTGGTCACCACACCTGGGAGGGGGTGTGTCACTTCCTTTATTAAGGTATATACAGATGTGTCGCTGGAATGGGTCCCTTTATCAACTTGACAAATATATGAATGTCACTTGGTCGGAAATTTTATACTTAATATATGACCAGGTCAAAAATTTCAGACTAAATACATGAAACACAAGACTGAGCCGTAAAATTCAGACTAATATTGTTCTGGGCCGGAAATTGTGGACTAAATATATGATGGGAGAAATGGGTTGACACCCATTATTCCTTAATATTATAATCTCAATGTTAAAATTTAATCTAATGATTTTTTAATACAAGAAGCAAATAGTTGAAAAATCTTTATTTATTTGGCTCTTGAGTAATGAAGATAAAAAAATTTTTATATAATGTTTGTACTTTGCAAAACAAATTGAATGAGCAAAGAAGTATTATTTTAAATGAGTCACTTAGTTAATGTATACTATATATTAAAACTGTATTGAATATGCAATATTTTGTTATATATATATAAAGTCTAAGGAATCTGACTAACCAGAAAACTTGATGAATACTGGATCATCGAGACATGACATATACTAGTAATATAATGGTGTGATGTCCTGGGTGTCCCCTCTATTTTGTCAATGGCCATGATCGTAAAACTTTGAAACTGTTTCTTTTTATTACACACCTATACCCACTTTTAACCAAAGTGACTTATTGGTAAATCTTGTCTTGCAGATCATTTTAGCTATTTAAAGTGAGGCAAACATATTACAAACGCAGCTGCAACTATTGCTCAAAGGTAATAGTACCATTGTTTCACTGTAGTGATAATTTTGGTTGGAAAGGACATATAAACCAGTAAGTCAGTATCAAGCAATATCTTTATTAACTTTGATTGGCTGTCTTTAATACAAACATATCATGATAAAATAATATATTAAGTACTTTGAAAAAACACTCAAATTTCTACACCTGCCTTTTAACAAAATTCTATGGCACATTATTGTAAAACTGTTTTAAAGGAAAAGAGTTCAAAAACAAAACCTAGTAATTTAATTCCTAGAGTAAAACTATATAACCACTAATAATAAAATAGAAGATATTATTTACATTAACATCTGCAGTGTACATTTCAGAGTATACATTCATATTCTCTTCCCGGTCATTTGCATAATTATCTCCCTTGTTCCCCAGGATTGCATGTTGTGATTGATTGTTGGTTGCTTTACGTCCAGTGGCAAATATTTCATGCATATTCAGGACGATAAGTTGTGTGTCAGACTCCTACTATAAACATTAAATATACACACTACACACAGATTCACTGGAAGTTTATAACCTGATGTCATGTAACAATCAACTTATGACAAAAAACCATTAATTAGTCACATTTTTACATAAATCATACAAGTTTTCTATGGCAACAGAAAATAGTAAGAACATTATTATTCCTTATTTTTGTAAAATCCTAACAGATATAGACAGTCTATTAAACAATCTATCTTGTTTGCTTTTCAAATATTGCTTTGCATAATCACATACTTAGAAATTAATAAATAATAATGAACAAAAATAACATATTAGCACATCATAATTGTCATCAATTACATGTAGCAAAACAATAGAGTAAAAAAATATAGTAATATAGATATAAAAAGTTAAGCATCTAGAAATGCATAGGTGAAAATTATATTTATATACATTGCATACGAATATAGCCAAGTGTTTTGTTCACTTTGTCACACCCTTAACAACAGTCAATGTAGGGGAAAAAATAATTATCATAATATAAAGTCAAGAACAACACCAATTACAATATCATAAATCATAACCGGTATAAAATATTGAAAGAACCTTTGGTGAGAACACTCAAATACCAAAAATAAATGTATGGAAAAACACCAAAACTTGTTTACAAGATAAAAGACAATACTTGCATTCTACCCTATTTTCTATTTTTAGCCTTGGCAGCCATGTTGGTTGACAGGCTGGATCACAGGACACATTTTAAAACTGTATACCCTGAGGATGAATGTGGTCAAGTTTGGTTTTATTTGGCCTGTTGTTTCAGTGTAGAAGAATTTTGTAAAAGTTAACAGATGACGCCAAAGATACCAAGTGATAGCGATAGTGAACACTGGCCTGTGGACCAATTGATCTAAAAATACAGGTGTTATTACAGCAAGAAAACATATCATTGAATATTTTTACAAATTACCCTTGGGAAGTAATGGTCCCTCAATTTAGATTTATTTTGTAATGGAGCTCACCTTAGGTTTTGATGAGTAAAAACCTTCATTCCAATTTGAAGAGGATCTGGTATAAAATGAATGAACTATCCTGGAATCAAGAATTTATATGGGATACTTTTACATGCCTTCCTCCTGTAAAAATGGTCCTGAATTATAGATATTTCTGACTTTCGAACTCATCCAAGGTTACAAACAGTTGAAACCATTCAAATTTGGAAGGATCCTAAAAATAAATGAAGGTGCTAGCAAGGGGACAAGAAATTGATGACAATCTGAACAAAAACTTTATACCCTCCTCAACTTCCTTATATGGGGCATAATTAACCTTAATTGTAATGTATTGTGTGTTCTTACTTCATGGACCACATCTCAGGTCGAAGTTTAGGTTTAATGTACATATATCCTTTAGTTTGTGATCACATCAACTTGATTATTGTTCACTAGAATATTTATTTGAAGATGCAGATATTGCAAGTAACTCTTGGCAATACCAAATCCCTGAGACATATATTGTTAAAATAAATTTTTATGACCTAGAGTCACAACTTCAGCAAAAATCGTTCAACTAGAATGAAACTTATGCTTGATCTTTATAAAAAAATCTAATCAAGTGATTCAGGTATTCCTATGGTAGGAAATCTAATTAGTTGATTCAGGCATTACAGAAAAAGTATGAAAAACTGAGATCTTCAATCTATTTTCTATTTCAATAGGCCACAACTTCATTAAAAATAAATCAAATGAAACTCACCAGTTGTATTTTGTAATGGAAAGGTAACACTGAAATATCAGTAATATAACATCATTGGTTTTTAATTTACCAAATATAACTCAATCAGGCATAAAATGTGAGTCATGGCTTACTATACAAAAGGATTATAACAGTAAAATGTCAACGGTTTATAATCATGGTTTTATGAGAAAAGGCAATGGAAACATTATCAGAAGGGACACAATAAAGGAACAAATGGACAAGGGCTAATCTGTTATACAATGTACTCAGTCATATTCATTGTACTAGTACTACAAACATCATTTCCAATATATATATATATATGCATCTGAAATTTTTCTACATATCTTGGTAAATTTAATTGTAAATCTCTTTCAGCTAAATTATATTTTTTCAGTATTTTTATACTCTAGGGAAATAGGCAAGATATTACCTCTTAAGACATAATTAATATCACATAAAAAAAATCATCACAGATCTCGCAAGTGTCAGTGTTTAGGGAACAACCATTTAACTTGTTTTTTTTCTAAAAAAATATTCTGATCCCCAATTTGATGAAAAAAAATATTCTGGTCAAGCAGATGACAAAAAAAATATTCTGAATCCAGATTTTCCCCATACCTTATAGTGTTAAATATTGAAAAAAATAATTTGATTGATAGCGTTGAAAAACTAAATAAAATTGATCGCTCTTCTGACGCAGACAAAAAACCATAACCCCTCCTTGAAGTTAAATGGTTGCTCCCTTAGATGAGTAAATTTACAAAGCGTTTGTCAATTATTTACTCATTCATGAATAATGTATAATTCTACAGACATTTATCTTATTCATCACTAGAAACAGTCATCTATTAAGCTATTTCGTTCTAAACAGTCTACACTAAGACTACTGTGGACTCATTTTCAAGATGTGGGATACCACGAAGTATAAATATTCTTTAGGTTTTGTAAGAAAACTTCTGCAAAACCACGAAAACACAACTGTTCCTCAATCCACGAAAATTGATACTAACGAAAATAAATGAACCAACAGTATTCCATTATAATTTTCTCTAATTAAAGATACGCTTTAGAAAGAGTTCAGTCTTCAGACCCATGGGGTGACTTACATTGTAAGTCTTAAAACTGACTATAAAACAGATGTCATATTGAAAGAACTATGTAAATAATATACCCTTTGATCAACAGGCATAGGCAAAGGATAATCCAGCAATTGATCTAAACATAAAGTCTAAACTACTCACATTGGCATGAAGTTTGTAGTTAGAGTCATGAAATATCACCCATATATATCAAAATTTACTGAGAAACAAAAATGACCAAATTGTTACAGAAAGTACAGTACTGTTTAGTTAAATTCTGACTACTGAGAAGTACCCAGAAAAATTCAAGTTCAGCTTTTTTTTTTATCATTCAAAATTAACTACCAAATAAATGAAATCAGATAAGAATATACAATACACTAGCTCTATAGATTAGTGGAGAAACATAATATGTTCATGTCAAAATTACAAATATTTTTGGTCAATATAACTGTACATAGAACAAGCTAAATATATAAATGAAATTGACAAACATTTCACTTACATTAAACTTAATTCCTTCTTTTTCACAGCTTCTTTTTGTTCTTAGAACTAGCTGCAATGTCAGATTTCAATCCAATAAAAAAGTGTTTAACTCGTGTCCAGCTAGGCAGCGGCCATTCAAATTCATTAGGTACAATACCATCACATTTAGACTCGAAGAATGAGAATAAAGGAAACCAGATTCGTGTTCTCTTCTTATCACGTAACATAAGTGAACGATTATTGGCAAGAGTGTGGTAATATAGAAACATACGGGACGTGATGTAGAAAGCAACGAACACATCTATGGAGTAATGCTCATGGGCTGCTAGAATGAAGAATAATGCAAACATATTGGCTACCCATGCTGAAGTATGGAGATAGTACATCTTTCTTGGAGTGTCTGAAAAACACAAAACTCTTATAATAAAGGATCTATTGTCATTCCTTGATATATGAATGTATAGATAAACTGCAAACAACAACTTTTTGTAAATGTCTAAAATAAGTATTCTCAATATTTCAAATGATTTATAACCGACACAGAAAATTCAGTAGCATTTTAAATTTGTACAGTAAAAGCCAAAGGATACATAAATAAGACAGCCTTGTGGCAAAATTAATATAAACTAGAAGAGTCAAGAGGACTTGTATGCCTCTGTCTGCAAAATGACTAAAATACTCAATAATTCTGTGAAAAGAGAGTTCATCCATAACAAAACACAAACTCAATCTGTAAATACACCAATTAACCAAAAATATAATGATAACTTACATTCAGTTATGAGAAAATTAAGCATAGTTACAAAAACTGTATGTCCACTGAACATGTAATCTCCACAAGTCCTAACACCAGACAGTGTCATACCTAGTCCTGTCCAGATCTCAAAGGTTCTACGAAGTTTGGTCCATATATCTCCATACAGCTAAAATGAAACAGAATATAAATTATTACACTCAATCTCCATACAGCTAAAATGAAAAAGAACAGAAATCATTACACTCATAACCAGTATATTATCTCCATACAGCTAAAATGAAATAGAATAGAAATCATTTCACTAATAACCAGTATGATATCTTTATACAGCTAAAATGAAATAGAACAGAAATCATTACACTCATAACCAGTATATTATCTCCATACAGCTAAAATGAATAGAAATCATTTCACTCATAACCAGTATGATATCTTCATTCAGCTAACACAAATCACTAAATTTCTTGATCATGTATGTAGCCACACCACAAGTAAAGTCTCAAAATTTGAAGGTCGCCCCTGGCTCAGTGGTCTCGTGGTAGTGTGTTCACCTCGAGTGAAGGGGTCGTGGTATCGAACCTAGGCCAAGTCAAACTAAAGACTTTAAAATTGGTATTTGCTGCATCTCAGATTTGTACGTGGCATTAAGGAGTAAGAGCAAAGACTGGTTGGCTCGGAGTCAGAATAATGTGTCTGGGTAAGGCGACATGTCTTCCTGCAGACTGTTACCTTGTGAACTCGTCCTGAATATGCATATTAATTTGCTGCTGGACGTTAAGCAGCCATCCATCATCATTAAAATTATAATGATGATTGTTTTGCATTTTTCTCGGATATTTTTTTTAATCAACATTCCCCATGCATACAAACAGTAGGTAATCTTCAGTGTTATGAAGCTGTAACTTTATACCAGAAGAAGAATCAAAAACAAGAATGAATATAAAACATGTAGGTCAGGAAGTGCTTACCCTTCCGGAGCACCTGAGTTCATCCAAGGTACATGTATTCGATGAGGTTCTAGTAGCTCAGTCTATTTTTCTATGTAATGTTTTGTTATTCATAGGATGATATATATATTCATTGCCTTCACATTTTCACATTTATTCATAGGTTGACCTGTTTATATCTCTATTGCCATAACATATATTGCCTTCACGTTTTCACATTTATTCATAGGTTGACCTGTTTATATCTCTATTGCCACATTTATTCATAGGTTGACTTGTTTATATCTCCATTGTCATAACATATATTGTCTTCACATTTTCACATTTATTACTAGGTTGACCTGTTTATATCTCTATTGCCATAACATACATGTATACTGCCTTCACATTTTCATATTTATTCCTAGGTTGACCTGTTTATATCTCTATTGCCATAACATATATTGCCTTCACGTTATCATATTTATTTCTAGGTTGACCTGTTTATATCTCTATTGCCATAACATACCTTGCCTTCACATTTCAGATGAGCACCAGGTACAGACAATGATGTAATTAACATACAAATACAACGTAGTAAAAAAATGGTTCCTATCATGGAAAACATTCTTCTCATCAATATAAATCTGTAAAACAACAATCTTCTTATTACATAAACTTTAAAAAAACAAACAAATGTACTGATTCATTGATAGTATTTATTAATTTTGAGTGGGAAAAGGTAAGTTTTTGAACTTACTTTGAGTTATCTTCAGGTAAATTCTTTGATACATTATTATTGAGTTATAATTCACTTGTACATGTAGCTGTTTTACTGAGGTTATTTTTAATGGCCATTATTTTTGTACCTTTTTCTTATTCTATTGACGGAGATAAAAGGCCGAGGTTGCACATTCACACAACTTGTCTAACCCCAGTACATGCTTATGAACCTGTCCCAGGTCAAGAAATTTTTCACAGTTCGTTGGTCTCTTCTTGTTTTTCCATTGAAAATTAAGTGTGTATTTTAAATAATTGGTTATCTTTGATGAATTTATCACAATGTGTCTACACTGTAGACAATTTTGAAGACTGTCACACGGATAGGGGAATTTCTCATTGTTGAAGGCTGTACAAAATGTATGAAAAGCTCTAGATATCTAAACCCTAGTACCCTCTACGAGGACACCTCAGACCATCTGTAAAAAGATAACTTAGTCCGTTCTCAATTCAACTTCATAATATTTGATTTGGTTTAGGAACTGTCATGACTGTTTTAATTTGAGCGCTACTGGTGAGTCTTTTTCTTTAATTGATGCAATTTTGTTTGTGTTTGAATACCATTTGTTTAGGAAAGTCCAATAGATTACATAAACTTATATTTATGGAAGAAATATAGTTTTGACTTGACCAAAATCTATCATAATTTTTACAAACCTGTGATTATGAAATATTAATAAAACAATCCATGTTGTTCCTAGTCCTATTGCAATAATTTCACATGCTTTAAATGCCCATGGGATATATGGTACATTATCTAAGAATATATCTGGTAATGGAGGGTATTTATCTGTATCTGGTACCCTGTCATGGACTATAACCATGACAAAGGAAGTCAGTAAGAAAACTGTAAATACATATATGAAACTTAATGCAGTCTTCCATAGCTCTGGGTCCAAATTTTTGGAAAAATGTCCCTGTCTCAACTGTTGTGAAATTTCATTTAAATCAGCATTATCATTTTCTTCCATCGACTCATTGCTATCCAAACGTTCATAACTTTGTGGAGATGATGACTGTTGGTATGACCTTGAGAGAGGTGTTGATGTTTTCTGGAATGTTCTAGAGCCATTTGGTTGAGGGCTTAGATTAACATTACTCTGTGATTGTACTTTTCTAATGATAAGCATTAACCGTTTAATATCTCCTAACACCGTCAACTGTAATGGTGGCTGTTTCAAGTCATTTTCTGTGAGTACTAGTAATGCTTCGCCATTGATCTTGTGCTCGTCACAGAGTAACTTCTTGTATTTTTCAAAACCATTTTCTTTCAACCAGTGACCAACTTGTTTACAATTCCATGTAACAGGATCAACCATCACTACAACAAATAAGTATAAGGTAAAACAACCTTCTTAGAAGTGGATAATTGGAGAAGTTTAATAGATGTTAATGGTTGAATCTTGTATAAATAAACTATACAGGTATATATAACTAATCATATTCTGACTTTAGGTACACATACATGTATGTCGCCTTAACTTGTTTCAACTAAAAACAAATAGTACATAAATTTTAAACAAAATCGGCATACTGAAGCTGCATAATCAAATACATGTAGTATATAAAAGGCTAATGCATCTCCACAATCTAATTATAATATAATCATGATAATGTTCATGGCGTAAGAATATTTATTGAGAAGTATTAAGCACAGGCACTTGTCTCTGAAAAAAATTACCTATATACTTTAATATAATACAAGGTACCTAATTCGTATATATGAGAAATGTCATCAGGTCGCGATCTAAAATTATATTTCAATTCTGCGGTTGTCTCTCCCACTGAAACTTGTTATGTCGTAAATCTACATTGAATTATCTACAAAATGGTGTATAACACCCCTATTTCTATTCTCGGAATCATTTGTAACAGGCCTTTGAAATAGGACAACTGTAAATTATTTCGTCTTCTCACAGCCAAATGGAAGTGTTAATCTTACAGTGAATGATTAATTATAAAAAGTATTTCCCCAAAACATAGAACTTAGAGACAAGTGCCTGTGGTATTAAGTATGCAGAATCATTTCGGTTAGCATGATTTACATCTGAATGGTTATCTTATAATTCTAATAATTATTCAACCCAACATTCATGTATTCTTTTTTTTAGTCTTGCCTGCGACAAAAGTCGCAAAATGCGAGACATAGGGATAACCATCCGGCAGCAGCGGCATAAACTATTTGTATAAAGCTTTAATTTCAGAAGCTAAATGACCTGGATACTTCATACCTTGTATGCAGATGCCTTATAGTAGGAAGTTTCCATCTATGGATCATTGATCAAGGTTGAAGAGTTAAAGAATAACAAAACTTTTTCGCGGCTGCACGTGAAATAAAAATGGCAAAACATGTTGCACGAAAATAACCCTTTACCACCCTCTTAATAAAACATACAAATATCATTTACTTTTATTAGCTGAATCAATAAAAAGGAGCAAAGGTATAAATAGTTTCCTCCATTTAGCTTTATCCTACAAGAACATTTAGCTTTATCCTACAAGAAATACAAGTGTGTTTACTGTTAATTGTGTGTGTGGTGGTGGTGAAAAAAAGGGGGGGGGGGGTATTTGGTATTTACCGGTCGTTGGTTGCGGTATTTCCCTGCAAGCCTCGTCTGTAATCACTATTTGGATTATCAGATATTTATCTGATTTGAATGTATTTAAACGTTAATTGTATACTATCTGGTAAATTCTAAGGCTAAGCTGATCAGTGCTTATGTCATGATAACTTCCTTATGCGCTCTACATAATGCACGTGGTTTTCATGAGTCTCATCATGCGATAAGGGATAGTCAATATTATTTTTATACAAATGTTAACCTTTCTGTTATATAATATTTCTATGCTGATTTATGCTACACTCGACAGCAAATTTGGCAACCATGCACGGACCTCGGACCCAATTTCGGAGTTACCTTCTCTTTCTATAAATAAAAATTAAATCCCTTAAAACCCGTGCTCTGACCAAAATTGAGTTTGATTATGGAAATTTATCAAACAAAAGTTACTTATGTATTATTTCACATCATTAAAACGGAAATTTATGAATCAACATCATATCAATTTAATGTTTTAAGATAAATTTGTGGATTAGTATTTGATGATTTTAAGACATATTTAAGAGTGCCAAGTTTTCTGCCGTTTTTTATGTACTTTCCATATACGTTCATTTTCCCGGCCATTTCTTATGTGCTTTCTATACAATTGTTCACCTATTTTGAAAGATTTCATTCTGTAATGTTTAAGAAAATAAAAGAGATGAATGCATTATTATTTTCGATATTAAGTTATGGTTCAACGACCCTCCCCTTTAACGTATGCGTGTCAAAGTTGTATGCAAACTTTTACAAACATTCATGACATAGCGCATTTTACTGTGCCTTGACCATAAGTTAAAAAATTATGTTACAGCCGATTGCATTGAGTGTGTAGGTAAAGCTAATATATCTTTGGTTAGCTTGCTTGCTAGCTGAACCGTGAAGTCATTATTAGGTAAGGTATAATACCCTCCTTTCGAAGTAGCCTAGTCCTACAGACAGATAGATTGGTTATCTGTCGCACTAGTCTACTCTTAAAGGAGGATAGTTTACCTTACCTAATAATGACTTCACGGTTTAGCTAGCAAGCAAGCTAACCAAAGATATTACCTTTACCTACACACTCAATGCAATCGGCTGTAAATGAAGTTATCAAATTGTGTTCTCTAAAACTTTAAAACAGGTGCGTCCCTCGTGAGCTCCCGAAGTTTTTTTTATTACTTGCGAGAATTCGTATGCTCAGATTTTGTAAATGCCAGATTGGAAATAAACCTACTTTCAATAAAAAAAAACAAAGGAAAAGAAAAACAAGATGTGAACAATAAAAGGTCCCTGTGCGGCTTTTAACAATGAGAAAAGAATCCATATCGTATACGTAAGCGAAATTTAAGGCGCTAATCTGACAAAATGTAAAAATGTAATTCGAAAGGGAAAAATCAATGTATTGTTTTTACTTCAACAATTAAAAAAACAAAAAAATATGACAGACAACAACCAACGACAACCACTGGATTACAGGTGCATGGCTTGATTGACGTTTTTGCATCCCAGTTCAGTTGTAACGTACATAGGCCAAGGGATTGACTCATGAGGTCGGTACTAAGTGCAAAAAAAAAAAACAAAAAAAAAAACACACACACACAAATTAATACACAAAGTTGAGATCTAAGTGTAGGAACAGCTACCAAAAGCTAGTTGAAATACCAATTTTAATTAATAAGTCATACAACCATGTTCGCTTAGAGTAAAATATCAATCTGCACACCTTAGTCCAGCAGATAGTGCAAAGACAAAACTGTTTTATACAACTAAATATTTATCAAATTTTTTTTATACAACTAAAACTATATAACATAAAGTTGAAGAGCGACCACAGTGTACATATTACACTGTAATAAGGCCTCGATATCAATCCACATGATACGATACTTCGAAATTCTTCTAACGTGGAGAGATCTTGAAGCATTTGCTTGCCGGCCAAGTACCAAAACATGCAATATTTTTTTAACATATTTAAACTCACGAAAAAGTAAACATGTTCACGAAACACTGACAGTCTGTATACAGTTGATTAGTTCTATGCGACTGTCGTACAAGTAAAAAGTTTGGCTAGCTATAAAACCAGTTTTAATCCACCATTTTCTACATAAGGAATAAAAGCCTTACCAAGTCCGGAATATGACAGTTGTTTTCCATTCGTTTGATGTGTTTGAACTTTTGATTTTGCCAATTGATAAAGGACTTTCCGTTTTGAATTTTCCTTCGAGTTCGGTATTTTTATTATTTTACTTTTGACCTGTAACATTGTTCTTGTTTCTCGTCATTATTACAGCTCTTTTCATATTGCTAGCAAGACAAAGGTTTGTTTGACTTGCTTGCTTTGTTTGTATATAAATGTTTGCTCAAACATTGTAATTAAGATTGATATCTACAAACAATATAAGTAGGTGGAGTTAAACCTGTGTATAGATAAATTTGATTATTTGATAATGCCCAATCAAATTTAAATATAATAAAATTGAGAATAAAAATCATCGGGGGAATGTGTCAAAGAGACAACAACCCGACCATAGAGCAGACAACAGCCGAAGGCCACCAATGGGTCTTCAATGCAGCGAGAAACTCCCGCACCCGGAGGCGTCCTTCAGCTGGCCCCTAAACAAATATGTATACTAGTTCAGTGATAATGGACGTCATACTAAACTCCAAATTATACACAAGAAACTAAAATTAAAAATGATACAAGACTAACAAAGGCCAGAGGCTCCTGACTTGGGACAGGCGCAAAAATGCGGCGGGGTTAAACATGTTTTTTAATATCTCAACCCTCCCCCTATACCTCTAGCCAATGTAGAAAAAACAAACGTACAACAGTACGCACAGTAAAACTCAGTTTAAGAGAAGTCCGAGTCCGATGTCAGAATAGGAAACAAAAGAAAATAAACAAAATGACAATAATACATAAATAACAACAGACTACTAGCAGTTACTGACATGCCAGCTCCAGACCTCAATTAAACTGATTGAAAGATTATGTCTTCATCATATGAATACCAGGCACAATCCCTCCTGTTAGGGGTTTAGTATTATACCATCATAAAATATATGTATACAAGTTTAAATCCGCCTTTTTATGTTGTTTTCAGATGTCAATCTTAATTACAATGCTTGAGCAAACATTGATACAAACAAAGCAAGCAAGCCAAACAAACCGTTGTCTTGCTAGCATTATGAAAAGAGCTGTAAGTTGAATTAGGAATTCTTTCACATTTCGTCATGTCGGCGCCTTTTATAGCAGACTAAACGGTATGGATTTTGCTCCATATCTGTAAATATGTACAAATTACAAAGATATAATATACGAGAAAGAAATACGAATAAACCCGGCCCAAATGAACCTATAAGTCACCTTAAATAATATTAAACTAAAATCAAATCAAATCAGTTTATTTCCTAATCCAAAGGCCCGTAATTACAAACAAGAAAATAATAAAAAGACAAACATATATACATTAATTTTAGACAAAACATTCACGAAACATTATTATATGACTTATATAACATGTACATATATAAACAATTTGTTAAACTATACTGTTTGTTACCGTCATCTCGAAGTCACAATAATCTCTCTAAGTCAGATTATAAGCTAGGTCCTCGCTGTAAGTTCAAGATCGCCCCTCTAAGCACACGTTTAAGCAGAATGTATGATCATGTTTTGGAAACCTTATCCATTTCCCAGTTTAATATTTGGCGTGATTCCTGTTATCCTTTGATTTATCATTGGCTATTCTTCGAATTATGTAAGAATATAGAAATATCAGATAACTAAAACGGGAATGGTTGACAGATGCTCAAATGTAATCATATATACAGCCAATGAAAAACTAGCAACTAAGCAGGCAAAGAAAATAAGACATCTCGCATACTTGCAATACGTTCACGATGATTAAAACGGGAATCTTATATCTTTGTATGTAGGAAAAGTTAATAAATTATGCAGGAGAAAGAATGGGTCGGAGCGTTGACCGTGTCGAAACAGAAATATCAAATAGGCAATGTAGTCAAAAATATTGGTGACAACAGCATACCTATTAACGATAAACATTCAAGTATAGAAGTCATTACAAACAAATACTCAAGGTCAACATCCAATTAACTTATTTTTCAGCCTGTAAATGAAACTTTTGTATCTAAGCGTATAAGTAAAATATATGTAAAAAACGGCGTCTGGTATACAGATGGTATATACACTGTAAAAATGGTGGTTAGATCCTAAACACATTTCTAAGCACATCTGTTGTGCACTTTTTTTTACATGTTTAGATCTAAACGTGTCTCAGTACAATGTGTTTAGGATTGTGTTTCGAATCATGTTTAGCTTAGAAAAAAGTGTTTAATTTCTAAACACTTTCATTTTTAAACACATTAAAAGTGTTTAAATTCAAGACATGTTTAGATATTATGTGCTTACTGAGAAATGTGTTTAGAAATTAAACACAATCCTAAACACGTTTAGATCTAAACATGTAATACAAGTGTTTAATTTCTAAGCACGACTTTTACAGTGTATATATATATATAGTCAAAACTACTGCACTATGCTAAACCTGTTGTGGTTAAACCTATCACTGAACTTGTAAATTTGTCATTATCCACTTCATTATCCAGACTCATTGAAAATTGCTCAAGTAGCGCTTATCCACAAAAAAATAGTGTTCTTGAAAAAAGGGAATTATAGACCTGTTAGTGTTCTACCTACTATATCAATAGAAACAGCCATAGAAAATCAACTTTCTAAATACTTTGATGATATTTCTAACCATTTCCCTGCGGCTTTTATTTTATCAAGCTATGGCTGTCAGTCAACTTTTAGAAGACTGGAGAAAAAGGCACTAGATAATGATGAATATATCGCAGCAATACTTATGGATCTAAGCAAAGCAGTATTTGACTGTCTACCACATGATCTTCTTCTTAAACTAAGAAAATAAGGCCTAGGTACATCTGCACTAGATTTATTAAAAAGTTATCTCACAAAAATTAAGGAAACAATGTGTAAAAATAGGACAAAGTATAAGTCAAATGCTTGATGTTTATAAAGGTGTTCCTCAGGAATCTATATTTGGCTCTGTATTATTTAATGTCTTTATTAATGACATCTTCCTTTTTGTAAAACACTGTGAATTATATAACCATGCCGATGATAACACCCTCTCTAAATCTGGCACTTCTCTGGAACCAGTTATTAAACACTTAGAGGAATATAGTAACTCCCAAATATCATGTTACTCATTCAACAAAATGCAGGCAAACCCAGAAAAATTCCAGACAATCGAAATAGGCGAAAAACACATTCACAAAATACAGTCATCAACTTAAACGGCATCAGTATTCAATATGATGACGAGGTAAATACTCTTGGTGTAACCATAGACTTTAAACTAGACTTCAATACACACATCTCAAACATTTGTAAAAAGCAGCACAACTAAACGTATTAAAAAGAATTGGAGTTAATCAAACCAGACTACTAGTTTCTAAACTTACTATTTACCACTCTTTCATCCTTTCAAACCTCAGCTATTGTCCAATAACATGGCACTTTTGCAGTAAACAACTTGAAACACTATAAAAAAAAAATCGAAAAAATACAAGAACGATCACTCAGATTTATTTACGAAGACTACAATAGCTCTTACAACACCCAACTTGAACAGTCTAAACTACCAGCACTTAACATCAAAAGGATGAGAACCATGGCATTAGAGACATATAAAAAGTAAAAAAATCCAGTCCGGATTTTTTTTACATAATTTGATAACCATTAAAGAAAATTCATATAATTTTATGTATGTATAAAGGCATAGCTGATATACCATGACCGAAAACAAAAAGGTATGGTGAGAAATAAAATCATCATAGATCCTAGGATTGAAATTGTGCGCGACAGACGCATGATTCGTCTAAAAAAGACCCATCAGTGACGTTCGAATCAAAAAAGGTTAAAAAGGCCAAACAAAGTACGAAGTTGAATAGAAATTGAGACCAAAAATTCCTAAAAGGTTTTGCCAAATATAGCTACGGTAATCTATTCCTAGCCTGGGCGGGTAGAAAAGCTTTGATTACGAAGCAGAAACACTATGGAACTTCTTGCTTAATGAGGCAAGGAATCTGCCAACATTTGGCTAATTAAAAAAAAATCCACTTGGTGTTTTTCAGAAAATTGTACCCGTAGTTCATGCAAATAATGACATCTCTTGCTGCCTCATAACTTATCTTTTATAATTAAGCCTGTTTGAGCTTTATTTATTTATTTTTTTTTATTTTTAAACTTGATGCATGTGTGATATGTGTTGGTATCTTATGTTTTCTTGCTTGTATGTGTTTTATGTGAATATGTTTATCTGCTCTTCACTCTGCATGTGCTTTGTCTGTATTGATATATTATGTTTTACTGCCTATATGTTTATATATATTGACGGTTGCATGTGCTCTGTATTTATTCATATGTGCTGCCTGAATTGATTGTAGTTGCCGTAAATGTATACGTTGCTATTTAAATGTTTATATGTCACTATAACTGAGTTCAGTCAACAGATACTGTCAAACTTCTTTGGGGTATGTTTACGGGATCGGTATTCTTAATTTTTTGTTTCTGGTTCCCAATACAAGGCATTAAGCGTGAAACATATGGATTTAAACAGGCTTCTAGTTGTCATAAAATTTAAGATTTTATTGAAAAATTATTTAGAAGTTATGGTAAAGTGGTTGAAGTATTGAAACATAAGTCTATACGTTTTGTGAGACATGAGAAATGCAGAAATTTAAAAAAAAAAAAAAATTCGGAACCGGAAACTGCGTTAAAGTGACCTTGATTTCTCTCTTGTCCTCTCAGCAGAAAAGGGAAGAAGCGAAAAAACGTGTAAGGATCAAATATTTAGCTTGAGCATCAGTTTATGCATTAAAAGTGTTTCGGTTAAAGCTTCAAAGCAACAGCTTTAAAAAATCAAGCAAGAAATTAACCAGTATATGACAACGACGGAGGGTATAAATTTCGACTGTCTGACCTCAGGGAAGGGGCATTTCGTCATGGAATTATTGTAAAAATACATGGATGGTACTAGGGGTATAAATTGCAGCCCTCGATCTCAGAATTTAAAGAAGAGAACTAATCGTTTGAGCCAAAGTAGATCCCTAAATCAACCAGTTAGACTACCTTTACATCTCCAGATATACAACATTCTCCCCCTTTTCTTAATTTGAGCTGCATAACATCCATTTGAGCAGCTTGCATGTCCCCTGCTGGACAACCCCTGAGTCTTCACTCTGTAAACCTTTGTCCAGTTCCTTGAATGTCACCATCATCTTGTGACCTGGTTAAACCTTATGACCCTACACAGGGTTTTCCCTGGGTCAATTTCTTTATTCGCCACTATCAATTTTGTTCGCCAACTCACAAACATTTCACATGTTTTTGTTTAGAACTTGTTTCCTTCTAGCTAACAATCAGTTTGCAGCATTGTTGTCTCATTTATTATAATTCTACATATATAATTTCATATCCTACATTGTAATGAATGAACCCTCAGATAGAACAAAATTTCGTGAACTTTTTTACTGTAAAATTTGACTTTTAGGTGCACAGGTTTCATCTTCAATCATTTTATTGTATACTTACAATGTACCTTGATTTCTAAAAGGACAAAGAATGAAATCAGATATATTTCTTACATTTGAATCCTTTCTTCAAAACAAAAGTTTTCTTTCCAAACCATCATTAATAGTAAAAGTGGCAACGTAAAAGTATATGCTTAAAAACAGGTGTGCACTAAAACAATTGTGACTTCAAAACAATTATTTTCATCAAATCTGTTAATATAATCCTTCAGGTGACGTGACACCATTTTACTACATATTTTCATTAAACAATACAATTAACACCTGTTTTTATTGGTCTGTTGTTGCCAAATGCTATCAAATACAATCAGCTGATTATTATTAATTTTCTATAAAAAATTGATACCCCTAATGTGTTCAAGGTGAAATCAGTGAAATTTGAGTATTGTCTGATCAGGAAAAAGTTCAGAGAAAGGTGAAAAATATTAACAAGATGGATAAAGTCAAACTGTTATATTTCTTTTTGCCAAACTTTTTCGCCATTTATGATTTGTAATCGCCACAAATGTATTTTTGCATATTTCAAAAAGGCGACCCCCATCGGAAACTCAGCCTATCTATCTAACTGCCAGGTAATCACAAACCGGTTCAATAGTTTCCCCAAAACTCAATATGAACCAGAGAACCAATACATATTACCAGAAAACTTTACTGAATATGGACTGATACTGCTGTTATAAATAATGAAGTCTACGATTTTGAGATATATATGTCAATTTTACTCAATCAAAGCACAATTTAGCTTCATAAATTTTATTTGTGTATCTTTAATGCAAGTTTCCATCTGGACTCTGGCAGACAGAATTATTCAAACTTGATCATGGACTGCATAAGGTATACCCATGATTAAAATATGATAAATCATTAAAACAATATGGATTGCAGTGCTGTTACACCTGCTTTTTTCTTTTTCAGTGAAATGGAATATAAACAGTATAGACAATTTATAGTTCATACTCAAGTATTATTTATAGTTTACTATTGTATTTTTTCAGGTACAATGGCACCTCCATCATACTCCGATTTAGGAAAATCTGCCAGAGATCTTTTCAGTAAAGGTTACAGTAAGTATTTTGATAACTTTTGTTAAATGGCAGTATTTTTTATCATGGTTTTTAATGTATAACATTTCTGACAGATTTGTATACTAAAGCAGACACCTGTTTACCCAATGCAGCAAGATAGTCTGCTGAATTGTGTTGCATAGTTTACTGTCTCAAGAATCTGTTAGAATTTTGTCATTATAAGTAATAAGTCTAGATGTCTAATAACAATAATATTTTTTTTACATTTAAGAGAGACAACAATACATAACAAATAGTTGGTTGTTGCAATTGGACCGCCATATCAGATATTTAACTAGATTTTTCATTTATATTAAGTGTTATGTAGAGCTCTAGATATGCTAGGAACTTCCAATTCTTTGAAATGGTGTTTTCCCTGGATATGATAGTGATCATGAATTTGAAGGATAATGACTTAAATGAATGCATGGGGGTACTACCATGCAAAAACCCTCTAGGTAAAAACACTGTAATTCAAAAAGGATTATTTTTAATTGCCAGAAACTGAGAAAGGTGTGCAATGTAAATAAAAGGTAAATCGTAATAGAAAACAAACAATATTAATCACTTTGATAAAGAAGCAATAGATAATATACCTTTCATCTCAAAACATTCAATTGAAAACCTTTACTTGATTTTGTTTAGCTTGGTCTATTTGACAGTTAAAAAAACTATCTATTTTCATTAAAAACTTTTTTTACAACAGACCAGGGGCCAGAATATATTCATATATCATGAAACTTATTTTTATGTACATGTATGTTTACTTCTAAATGTCATAGTTTTGTGAAGTCATTTTTTTTTTAGTTATCTTTTTGACAAGTATCCAAGTTTATTATTCTCAGGAACATTTCACCAATCTAATTTTTAGGGCACCTAATTATATTGTTTTGACTAAGATTCAGACAAAACTTAAATTAAAAGTCTGACCTTCAGACCTTTGATTTTGAAAAAGGAAATCAAATGGAACTGTTAACATACACATTTTTATGTCTTACAAAATTTTTTTTTTGTATTTTCATTTCATTTTCAGGTTTTCCAGCATATTACAATTTTTAAAAATGGAGGACCATCATATTATTTGAAGGACCACAAAGTTTGCTATTCAGTCAGTCTATATCTGACAGAAATAATAATAGTTTCATTTGCATCAGTAATTTATAGTGTATGATTGATGTTTTTTTTCAGACTTTGGTACCAATAAACTAGAGGCTAAAACAAAAACAGATAGTAAAGTAGAATTCACAAGTAAATTAGACCACAATCACGATACTGGTAAAGTTGCTGGTAGTTTAGAAACCAAGTACAAATGGAAAGATTACGGTAAGTTTACTTTCAAATCACCCTTGAACTCTAATTTATTGACCTACACAAAATGTATACACACATAAAAACTTGTCTAGTGTTTAGCTTGTGAAATGCAAATGGTTGTAATGAAAAAGTTCTGTATATTTTAAATCATGTAAAAAAGATTGCTATGAAAATACACAAGTTATATGTAAACAACTTTAAGGAAATGGGCCATGGACCAGCATGAAGACATGTGACTGGGCTTTTTTTAAGTGTGATAGGATAGATGTGTGACATTCATAACAGATATTATAAAAATAAGAAGATGTGTTATGATTGCCAATGAGACAACTCTCCACCAGAGACCAAATGACATAGAATTTAACAACTATAGGTCACCTTACAGTCTTCAACAATGAGCAAAACCCATACCGCATAGTCAGCTATAAAAGGCCTAGAAATGACAAATGTAAAACAATTAAGATGAGAAAACTAATGACCTGATTTATGTTAAAAACAATGAACGAAAAACAAATATGATATATAGCAACAAACGAAAAACCACTGAATGACAGGCTCCTGACTTGGGACAGGCACATACAGAATGTGGGGGGGTTAAACTAGTTTGCTGGCACCAAACCCTTCCCCAGACACATCATGACAAAGTTCAGAAAAAGTATAAAGTATGAATATAAAACAGTTATTATTTGTTTCTCCTTCTTGATAAGTCATTGAGATAAATACTTGAAAAGTATTACACTAAAACACAAAAGAGTGAAAGTATATACAGGTGTGTATATACAGGTGTGTACATTACAGTATTACCTGTGGATTCATTATTATTCGTGGAATACAAATTTTCGTGGATTTCAAGGATACAGGTGAACAACAAATTTAAATGTTTAACGAATTTCAAATCTTCTATTGGCTTGTATGAAGACTGGCACAACCACAAAATCCAATATCCATGAAAATACAAGTTTTCCTCAATCCATGAAAATTTGTACCCATGAAAATAAATGAATTAACAGTAACAGATGAATAAAAAATGCAAATATTTTACTGTGGCAATGCTATCTAGAATTAAATCATTCCTGATATGTTTTCTAGGATTAACATTCAAAGAAAAATGGACAACAGACAATGTGTTAAACACAGAAATAACTGTTGAGGACCAAATTGTACAAGGTTTAAAATTAGCATTTGACACTACATTTGCTCCACAGACAGGGTAGGTAACACAAATAAGTTATGTCAAATCAAACACTAGCATTTGACAGTGAAGTAATGAGAAAATTTTAATACATACATGTTATTGTATCTTAATGTGAAAAGAAGGATGCAACTTGAGTTTTATGGTCAATTCAAAATGGTGAATGTTATGTTATGGTAGGAAAGTAAATTTTAAAGCTACAGTTCATAACACTTTGTTTAATAGATAATTGGTATATTTGTTATGGCTTTCGCAGCAACATAATTGAACATTTATTTTATGTACATCCTTAGTTCTCTTGTAGAATTTAAAACATAATTCCAGGGAAAAAAATGAGTTGTATCTGCATGTAACATGTTAGAGGTATATATGACGAAACTTTTTTTTTTCAGAAAGAAGCAGGGAACAATTAAGACTGGATACAAACAAGATTATGTAAATATGGAATGTGATGTTAACTTTGATTTTGCTGGACCAGCCGTGAATGGTGCCTTAGTGTTAGGGTAAGGTCATACAAAGATGGCTGCTCACCAAACATTCAACACTTTTCAATTGGTGAAATAGATCAAATTATAGCACTGTTTTTTTGTACACACTATTTTGTTATGTAGAGGACACATACGGATCACTATCTTGTACTGCTCACATAAATGAATACGAAGCTCATTCATTAGTAACAGGTTTTTTTTTTCTTACGTAAATGTACTGGCTTAACGGGAAAGCTAGTTTAAGCTGAATTGGCCCTGCAGTACTTTCACCAGCCAGCAGGGGAGCACTTATTTTGAAACCTGTTGGTTAAAACACCATACAATTCATGTATATTCCAATAAATGGTAATTTCTCTTTCCAAATGATGATATGTGAAAACAATGTAAACTTTATCTTATTGTGATAAATGCTCTATTTGACAGGTACAATGGCTGGCTTGGTGGATACCAAATGAGCTTTGATACTTCCAAATCAAAACTTTCCAAGAGCAATTTTGCTGTCGGTTACTCTACTGGTGACTTTACACTCCATACAAATGTGTAAGTATTAGTACAGATATAGTGATCAAAATCATACAAAATACCAATTATGAAAAGAAGAATTTTAAAGAATCTTTTAGGAATAACTCTTAGAATAGAGCAAAATGAAAGTCATAAAAAATGCTTATAAGTGCCAGATTTTCTTTCGAGCGACTGTTAATTTTGAAGGCATATCCTTTTCTGAAAAATTCTCATTTGTTTTCCTTACAAGAAGTAAAATAGTCCATAATATAATAGTCAATTAAGGTTAATTTTGTCTTTACAGCACACCTGTAAGTTGTGTGTTCAATTTTTCTTGTCATATTCTTTTTTATTTTTATTGGCTTACAACAGGAATATGCTTTTGAGATTCCCCTTCAAAAAATGAAAATAGTGCCATCAAACACCACTATCATTGCTAAAAATCTTTTTTTTTTCCTCCAGAATTTATTGAAAAGTTCTGATAGATCTTGTAAAAAGTCAATTACTACTAAACATACAAAGGCTAGGTACATGTATGATTTATTGTCCGCAGTGCAACGTGTTGCAGGGGACATAGAAATACCAGGCGTCTGTTGGTCCGTCCAGTCTTGTTAGGGCTCTCACGTGTACAATTCTTTCCAGATTTTTATAAAACTTGTATCATAGCTTTATATCAGCAATGTCTCAGACGAGTTCGAAAATCAGTGCAGATGTGCCCCTTGGAAACATGGAATATTGCAATGTTAGCGCTCTCATTTGTACAATTCTTGCCAGATTTTTATACAACTTGTATTGAAGGTTTATATCAGCAATTCCTTGAACGAGATCGAAAATCAGTGCTGATCAATTATTTTTTAAAGAGTTATGTCCCTTGGAAACATTAATTATAGGGAAAATTGCATGGTTAGCGCGCTCATGTGTACAATTCTTGCCAGATTTTTATGAAACTCATATCATAGGTTTATATCAGCACTGTGTCTGACAAGTTCGAAAATCAGTGCTGATCAATTATTTTTACGAGTTATGCCCCTTAGAAGTATTAATTATATAGACAATTGCATTGTGAGTGCTCTCATGTGTACAATTCTTACCAGATTTTTATGAAATTTATATCATAGGTTTATATCAGCAATGTCTCGGACAAGTTCAAAAATCAGTACCGATCAACTATTTTTAGTTATGCCACTTGGAAATATTGATTATATGGAAAATTGCATTGTTAGCACTCTCATGTGTACAATTCTTGCCAGATTTTATGAAACTGATATCATAGGTTTATATCAGCAATGTCTATAACAATTTAAAAAATAACTGCTGATCAAATATTTTTAAACAAGTTAGGCTCCTTGGAAATATTAATTATATATGAAATTGCATTGCATTTGCTCTCAAGCCTTCATTTCTCTAAGATATTTATAAAAAGTTTTAAAGATAAAAACGAAGTTTTTAAAATTTTTTGACCTTGGACAGATAAAAGAGGTGCAACGCAGGGGACATTGGAACTCTGCTCTTTTAATTGGTTTAAAATGGCCTATTATGAAATAAGGCATTGATGTCGAGATCATTTATAATTTCATTTTAGACTCTTGGGTCTTGGTATTCTTAAAAAAAGATTATTAATGTTATACCTATTTTAAAACTTGAATGATTTAAAATGTAGAAATGATGGAGCTGAATTTGGTGCATCTATTTACCAACGAATCAGTGATGATTTAGAAGCTGGAGTAAGCCTTAACTGGGCCGCAGGAAGTAATGCTACACGATTTGGATTGGGAGCCAAATATGTATTAGACCGGGATTCTTCAGTCAGTGTATGTATTGATTACGACAATGTTATAAATATATTCCAATGAGTTCCAAACAAGTAGAGTTTTAGTACCAATTTCTGCTTTTGTTTTAAGCTGATCGTTTGGGCCAGTGTGAGTTATTGCCATAACTTGGTTTTTAGTCCCCTACCGACGAATTCGAAGGGGGCTTTAGGTTTGCACTCCGTCCTTCTGTCTGTCTGTCTGTCCATTTGTCAGTCCGGCAAATTAGTTTTCCAGACTTTTTTTCTTCGTGCTTGAAGATATTGATTTGATATTTGGTTTATTGATTTATCATGACAAGTTACAGGTCAAGTTCAATTTTCACGATTTTAACTTTTCTCTTTGTTCAGTTAAAGCCCTTTCCCTAGAATTAAATTTTTGATGAAATACTTATTAATTAGTAGATTTCTGTTCAAAGGGAAATAACTCATTTTTTAAAAGACAAAATTACATTTTGGATTTTTTTCCTTTTCTTTGGTGAATTGTTTGAAGAATTCAGTGGTAGGTTTGTTTGTCATTCTTGAAGATATTGATTTGATAATTGATAATTTTATCATGACAAGTTACAGATCAAGTTGGAATTTTGTTCCAGTCTGATAATTTTGTGCAGAGTTATAGTCTTTGGACATAGAAAATTCACTTACATAATCAGTTTTCAACAGTTTTTTTCGTCATGCTTGAAGATTTTGACTTGATATTTTTATGTAGTTTACACCATGACAAGTTATAGATCAAGTTAGAATTTTATTCCATTACAATGAATTTGTAACTGGTAGGGGACTATGTATTGCCATGCAATACTCACAGAATGCTTGTTTGTCCATTAGCTTGTACAAAAGACTGCTCCTCTGCAACTACTGGGCCAGTTGGAACCAAACTTGGTCAAATTCATCCTTGGTGTATATAATTTGAAAATATGTCTGATGATTTCTCCTGCCCATCAACATGTTCATCAAAGTTAAAAATAATATAATTGATCACTAATAACTTGAATTTAAAGTTCTACCTATGGCTAAATTTGATGTGAATTGTCAGACTGCTCTAATTAGGAGTTATTGCCCCTAAGATTTGTTTCTACCAATTTGGGTTGGTTTGGCTATAATTTTGAAAACTATAATAGATAGAGAAACTAAAAAAATAATCAGCAAGTCAATATCTACAAATAAGTCAACATGACCAAAGTAATTAGTTGACTTAATAAGAAGTTATTGCACTTTAATGATGAGTTTTAGCTATATAGGAATGTTGTGGCTACATTCTAGAAAACCATTATACACAGAGAGACATTTTAGAAGCAAGAAGGATAAACAAGACAAGATATACTAATAAGTCAACATGCCCAAAATTATCTCTTCATAGGAGTTATTGCCTTTAATTACAATATTTACCCATTTCTCATATTTGGAGGAATTTATAGTAGATATTGAGAGACAGTAATTAGCAAGAACTATCAGCAAAATTAAATTTACAAAAAAGTCCACATGACCAAATTTATCAGTCATCTACTGACTTTATGCCCACAGTTTCCATTCAATTGAAATATTCTTAGTGAATATTATCAGTTTTGTGCAAAAATGCCAAATGAGTGAGAAGGTCTAGTGAAGTATTTTCTATAGAGATAAAAAAGATAAGATTTTCTGTTTTTTATCATTTGTTGCATTGTCCTCGCACATACTTGCAAAAAATAGATATAAGTGAACAAAACAGAACTACATTCTTCCTTCCATCCACATTATCTGCACCTTTTATTTCATGGCAATTTGAATCGATACATTTTTTTTAATTTCCACAAGAATATACATTTGTATACCATTTGATGGAATCTACATCTGAGGACCTACATTTTTGGAAAAATATAACCTATATGACACTCACAAATTTTCATTAAACTTGTATTTACATCTTTACTGTGGTTGGAAAAATCTTCACAAATATTTTCGACAGCAAGAGGATAAGGTCAACCAAACACAATCTAAATACTGTTGAAATCTGCATGAAGGCTATGGTATGTTTATGTATGATAGCATTGGGTCAGTTAAAAATTTGTATGCTTTTTATTGCAGTTGAAAGTAAACAACAGCAGTCAGATTGGAATGGGTTATTCACAGAAATTAAGAGATGGTATGTAAAAAGTACAAGTTATGAATAGCTGTCATAATTATACTAAACAATTACCTGCCCTTTATAGAAATGAAACAGTAACCTCTATGGAATGAAAATGGAGTCAGTAATGAACTTTGTGATTTATTTTTTTTTAAGAATAAAGAATTTCTAATATTTCACTAGCCCAACAAGTACAAATGTAAGACAACTGTTTTTGTAATCAAAATTACAAAAATGGTGTGTCATTCCACAAAAATTGCCAGTCTTGCAGTAAGAAATACTAGGTATATGCATTGGGCTGGTGATATTTTCAACTCTTTTCAATTGTATTGTAATGTAATTAATTACATTGAAAAAATCAATATAATTGTTATGTAATTAGTTACATTTAAAAATCAATGTAATTTATATGTAATTAGCTACTTTGGCATGTAATTTAAATCATTATATTAAAAAGTTGAATGGTAAATAAAGGATTTTATGATAACTTAAATGATGGTTGACAAATATTATCAAATTTTTTTTTTAAAATCTTATAACTGAAATATTTACATTTTTACTTTATCTTTCTAGGTGTTAAACTTACACTATCAACTCTCATAGAAGGCAAGAACTTCAACCAAGGAGGTCACAAGATAGGACTTGGTTTAGATGTAGAGGCATAAGTGATATAATTCATGCAGACATTGTGTTGTTTTTTTTTTAATTTGCATTTCCAGAATGCATAGGTGTCTTTATTCCAAGATTAATAAAGCATAAAGGCATGATGATCTAAATGACTTGAATTAATTTGATTTAACGTTTTAAGTTTTAGTAGCTTCAGACTGTTGTGAGAGGTTCTTTATATCAGGATCAGGATATCTGTTCAAATTTTATAATCATTGTTATCATGAAGACTCATCTGTCTAACACTATCATGTCTTTTATGTTATATATCTATGTATTCTGAGAAAATAAACATGTGATTGTGATTCTTTACATTTTCATCCAACCTAAATATTATCCCAAACATACTTTTCAATAAGCTATGAACTGTTGACCGCATTTGACATCTGTTATTGGTCCATAATTGCTTAAAAGAAGTTTTTGTTCTCAATTTGAATTTGACTGATTAGTCCAAAATGATTTGCAGACAAAGAAGAGCAGGATATTAACTAAAAAATGCAAAGGTTTGTCAGTCTACCAACATTCTCAGGGTTATTATAAACAGAACATACGTTATTACAGCAGTTATAAAGTTTCAAACATATGGAGGGTGGGAAACAGTGAACTCTGGATTTATTTATTTTTGTTCATATAAATCTTTGTGGATTGAGGAACAGTTGTGTTTTTGTAGATATTTGATTTTGTGGTTTTGTCAATGTCAGCATACACACTGCGATAATAAAATTTGTACTTTGTTGGACATTTGAACTTATAAAATTCTTGCCACAAAATTTACCAGTTATAATTTCCCTTCTGTATAAATTATACATTCAGAGATTTGACAAAGGACAGTGTGTGTAAAAAGGCCTTATTTAGCTCACCAACTCAGGTGATGGTCGGATAGCTGTTGACTTGAAAACAAAATAATGGTAAATCTGTTGGTGATTATAATAAAAACTTCACTGTTTAAAATGTATAGTGAAACTTTTTCCCCCCTAAAAATGATGAATTTTTCCGAAACTATACCATTATTTCAACAACTACAAGCTTACTAGTGTATTGTTTGTCATGGGAACTTTGTTTATAAATATGGAGATTTAAAGTAATATCTGTCGGATTCGGTCCTAACAGATTCAATGAATAAAAGGAGAGGTTTTTTCCAAAATTAATTGTCCCTCGCCTCACCCTGGTAGAGAACATATTTAATGCTTATGTCCACAACACTACTCCGCATTAATTTGCCTTTCTGTCCTTTTGATTTTGAACTACTCCTCTGAGACTATTTGCCCAATAGCTTACATACTTTGTCATATATACTTCTGTCATTTTTGCATATTGGCCTATTTATGAATACTGCTGTTCTGATACCATTTGCCCAAAATTTTTCCTACTATGAATACTAACGCCATTTGTAGCATATTTACACCATGTGAATGCTGCTCTGACATTTCCCCAAAGCTTTCCTCCTTGGTCATTATACTGCTGATATAATAGCAGATTGACCCACCTAGGAAGACGTATAAGATCATTTCCTCAAAAGCTTTCCTACTTGTTCATCATGTGTACTACCACCAAACATAGCATATTGACACAATGTAAATGCTGCTGAAAGGGATATTTGTACTGGACTAGAAAATGAGTGTTGAATAGGGCAGAAATTTTGCATTGCACCAGACCACCTACGGATTTTGAGACAACTCTTTTTACAACTGTACAGTTTGGTCTACTGTTAGAACTTTTATAACTGTACATATAAAAATAAGAAGATGTGGTACAATTGCCAATGAGACAACTCTCCACAAGAGACCAAATGACAGAAATAAACAACTAGAGGTCACGGTACCGCCTTCAACAATGAGTAAAACCCATACACATAGTCTGCTATAAAAGGTCCTGAAATGACAAAACTAAAACAATTCAAACCAGAAAACTAACGGCCTGATTTATGTACAAAATGATGAATGAAAAACAAATATGATATACAGCAACAAATGACAACCACTGAATTACAGGCTCCTGACTTGGGGACAGGCACATACAGAATGTGGCAGGGTTAAACTAGTTTAAAGGCGTGCCAACCCTCCCCTAACCTGGGACAGTGGTGTAACAGTACAATGTAAGAACAAACTATAAAAATCAGTTGAAAAGGGCTTAACTCACCAGATCGATACAAAGCAGAAATACATATAACAAAAACAGAGTGGATGTGGCAGGGTACTTATACATTCGCACAACAAAAAGACAGTAAGTACAGATCTGACGGCTAGTTCAAAGCCAATAACTAATAAAAAAAAATCATGCATCTAAGACTAAAAAATCAATCGGTACACATCCAACTTCCAATGATTTTAGTGTAAAGACGTCATTAACAGTCTAGAGAAAAACATGACCTTGTGCAGTGCCAAGATACAGGTATCGACAGATTGTAGAGCCATGAATGCGCAGATGTATATAAATATAATATTTAGTTTGATTTTAATTTACTGATAACAAAATCAATATAAATACCAATGAAAACAATATTCAAAGATCTAATTATAGTGTTGAATTCTTAACCTTTTAGAATATGTATCTTAATTTCCAGGCTTGGTAAACAACAACTCTGTAAAAATTACAGTTTGGTTTACTGTAAGTTTTGTAATGACTGTACAGTTTGGTCCACTGTAAGATCTGTTATGACTACAGTTTTGTCTACCGTCAGTTCTGTTATGACTGCAGTTTGGTCCACTGTAAGTTCTATTACAACTGTACTGTTTAGTTTACTGTAAGTTCTGCTATGACTGTACAATTTGGTCTACTGTAAGTTCTGTAATGACTACAGTTTGGTCTACTGTAAGTTCTATTACAACTGTACTGTTTGGTCTACTGTTAGTTCTGCTATGACTGTACAGTTTGGTTACTGTTAGTTATTTACTGACTACAAATTGGTCTACTGTAAGTTCTTTACTGATTGTAGTGTTTGGTCTACTTAAGTTCTGTTACGACTGTACAGATTGGTCTACTGTAAGTTCTGTTATGATTGTACAGTTTTGTCCACTGTAAGTTCTGTTACGACTGTACAGATTGGTCTACTGTAAGTTCTGTTACAACTACAGATTGGTCTTCTGTAAGTTCTGTTATGACTGTGCAGTTTGGTCTACTGTAAGTTCTTTTATGACTGCAGTTTGGTCTACTATAAGTTCTGCCATGACTACAGTTTGGTCTACTGTAAGTTCTGTTATGACTGTGCTGTAGGTCTACTGTAAGGTCTGTTACAACTATTCAGTTTGGTTTACTGTAAGTTTTATTACAACTACAGATTGGTGTACTGTAAGTTCTGTTACGACTGTACAGTTTGGTCTACTGTTAGTTCTGTTATGATTGTACAGTTAGGTCTACTGTAAGTTCTGTTACGACCGAGCAGTTAGGTCTACTGTAAGTTCTGTACGACTGTACAGTTATGTCTCCTTTAAGACCTGTTACAACTATACAGCTTGGTCTACTGTAAGTTGTGTTATGATTGTACAGTTTGGTCTACTGTAAGTTCTGATATAACTACAGTAACTGTAATGACTGTACAGTTAGGTCTACTGTGAGTTCTTTTACAACGTTACAGTTGGGTTTATTGGGCAGTTAAGCTGCCTTATGCTACCACCCTAGATTTGTATTCTTCCCACTGGTGTAAAAGTGCTATTGTTATTATCTCAGAGCTGGCTAATATGTTATTAATAACTAATTGGGCACTTTTTTCATACTTTCAATTCTGGAATACAAAAAATATGACCAGAAAAACCTTAAATGATCGTCGAACTACCCAAAACTTTTGAAGTTGCACATAGGAAGTAGTGCTCAATAGAAATCCGTACGTAGTTTATCATCCCATGTGCTTTTGGCTAAGATGTCAAAGAACAATTGTATGAAATATTTCATCGCCGAAAATCTCTAATTACAAGTCGTTTACTTTCCCAAATGGCAAAAGGCACAGGAATATTGTTCATGTACACCAAATCTCTATGATAGAGGAAATAAAGTTATAAATATATGGAAGTCTCAGTTGGCGGTAATTTCAACTTACACCGTAAGTTCGTAAGCTAGTAAGTATTCTGATGTTATAAAGTAAGTTTTGTTAATCATGATGTTCTTTTCGTTTAACATGTTTAAGAAGATTGTGATTATTTAATTGATTTCAATTAAATGTATGCACATTTAAATTCCTTTCTTTTATATTATTCCGTTTATCACTGACTTGCCAAAGTTGTTGTTGTTTATGAATGAAACAGATCCGAAAATCGACGTTGATGGGATGTTTTACGAAATGTGCAAAACTCGTCCCCGAGACAAGTCGGACCGAGTCCACTCGGACCGTCTAAAAAGACAACTCGAACCGCTTGTCAGATTTACTTAGGGTTTCATAAAATGTAAGACTAACATGTCTAGCGGAGCCATCAATCTTTCGTTTGTGCATTGGGGTCTATTTAGGGGTATTTTGAGGGGCCTTAATAAGGGAGGGGTTTACTATACAACCCTATGGGATTTTATTTTTTTTCAATTTTCAAATGACTATTAGGGAGCTACCTTTTGATTTTTATGGGGGTGGGGGTGGGGCTAGGATGAAATTTGAAAAAATAGGCAGGACAGGAGTTTTTAGTAAAAAAAAGACAGGATGAGACACTTTGCAAAAAAAAAAGGCAGGACCGAATAGAGTGAAAAATAAAAAGGCAGGACAGAGATTACAACTAACAAAAAATGCAGGGCAAATATTTTTCATCCTAGCCCCTCCCCCCCCCCCCCCCATACAATCAAATGGCAGCTCCCTTGCTTGAAAACAGTAAGTGATAGACACACACAGTCTTCAGTAATGATAACAGGACAAATAAAATAAAATATAGGGTGAGTCCCTAGGGTCATCCGACCCCCTTCAATTTGAAAATGTGCTTTTATCTTGTAAACGGTCGCAATCCCCACTCCTAAACCATATATATACTAGTAATTGTATGGGACAATAAAACAAATCAAATGAAATATAGGGGGAATCCCCAGCGTCACCCCACCCCCTTCTGTTTGAGAACTTGTAAACAGCCGAGATCCCCACCCCTACTGCATATATTTTCTTGTATTGGTCATTAAAACAAATCAAATGAAATATAGGGGAGTCCACAGGGGTCAACCCACCCCTTCTTTTTGAAAACTTGTAAACGGTCGAGATCCCCACTCCTAAACCGTATATATATTCATGTAGGGGACAAGATAACAAATCAAATGAACATAGGGGGAGTCCCTGTGGTCATCCCCACCCCCTTCTTTTCGAAAACTTGTAAACGGTCGATATCCCAAACCCTACACCATATATATTCTTGTATGGGACAATAAAACAAATCAAATGAAATATAAGGGAGTACACAGGAGTCACCCCCCCCCTTCTTTTTGAAAACTTGTAAACTGTCGAGATCCGCACCCCTCATCCATATATTCATGTATGGGACACGATAACAAATCAAATGAAATATAGGGGAGTCCCTGGCGACAACCCACCCCCTTCTTTGTGAAAACTTGTAAACGGTCGAGATCCCCACCCCTACACCACATATATTCTGGTATGGGACAATAAATCAAATCAAATCAAATATAGGGGGAGTCCACGGGGGTCATCCCCACTCCCTTCTTTTTGAAAACTTGTAAACGGTTGAGATCCCCACCCCGAAACCATATATATTCTTGTATGGGACAATAAACTAAATCAAATGAAATAAAGGGTGAGTCCCCTGGGGATCACCCCCCCCCCCCCCCTTTTTGAGAACTTGTAAACGGTGAGATACCCACCCCTAAACCATTTTTATTCCTGTTCGTCATTTCAAGAAGATTTGAATGAGATACAGGGTCAATCTCCTAGGCGTCACATATGCATATCACTTTACTAGACCTAACCAATTTGTACTGGACATTGCCCAATGTCAGGCAACCATGGGATTGACGATGTATTGGAGCTCTGTTTGGAAGACTTCGTAACAGCATCCTGTTACAATTGTTTCTTGTTTATTATAAAATTTCATTGATGCAAAAATAAGTTTAGGTTAATTGAATTTACTTTAATTATTTTTTGAATTATTTCTGGGCCTATAAAAATTTTCATTTACGGCTCATTTTAAAGAAAACATATAAATCTTTCAAGCAGTGTAAAGCCCAAGAATGTTTGACCAACTGTTTTATAATAACCTGTCATTTTATTCCAAACTTGGGGTGGAGTGACATCATGGACTTGGTGAAGGTAAGGGTCATTTACATTTACTATGGGCAGGTCAATCAGACCTCACCTTTGATCCCTGTAGTAGTAAACCTTTGGCTGATTTGTGTCTTATAACTTTTGTACTGTAGAACCCAAACTCAGTGTTCCTGCCAGGGAAGCAAGTCCATTCATACTATTACAAACTCGTACTACGTCAACTTGTACCACTAAAAGTCAACTGGTACCAACGTTAACTACCAACTAGAACAACTGCACTCATTGCGAACTTGTATCACTGCAAACTCATCATTAAAAATATACATTGATACATGCATTGCTTTTGAAAATCTTGATAGAATATTAATTAATTTGCCTTAATAATCAATTCATTTAATAAACATACATGTACAATATACGAATGTTTAATGTTTGTTTTTTCCAAATCTTTTAAAAAAAAAAATAAAGCAACACTGCCACAGTATTCATAATTACGTTTGCCTTGGTTTTTGGTTAACTGCATATAGCGCTTACAGTGCTTTGATTATAAGTTCTGTTACGATTGTACCTTTTGGTCTACGGTGAGTTCTGTAATGACTACTATTTGGTCTTCTGTAAGCTCTGTTAGGCTGTACTGTCGGCTTTTTACAACATTCATACCACAAATAAAGACGCAACGGTATTTAGTAAATGTCTTGCAAGAATGTGTCGAATTTCGGCGTTTAAAAAAAAAATTACGAGTAAAATGTCAGTTGCGACATCAATGATTAAAATATTCGAGTTCAGGTATATAACATAGTGCTTTTTCGTAATTGTAATTGTAACTCGTAGCTTGACCGTTGTCGTTTCGGGACGCTATCGATGAGTTATGAAATCAAATCGAATAGTTTTCATATTCCTAATGTATACGAATGGTTTTACTGTGTCTGCGATTGTGTCTTTGAATTTTTTATATACTTTTAAAATAAAAAAAAAAAGTACTGTTCAACCTTGTCAATTCTAAGATTAGAGAACATAACAGAATAAAATACTCTAATCAGTTATGCAAATGATAGAAACAAATATAACGTTAATAATTTTATAAATGAACTTATCTGAATAAAATATACTACAATTCATTAATAAATACTAGTACTAGTAAGTAATATAATTATATAAGAAGCATCAATATTGACCACACACAACTTTTGCATTGAAAAGGAAAGGAAAAGGGTGGCCCTTTTTTTTGTTTTGTGTCCGACTCTTTAGGACTAGGTTTATTGTGACGTTTCATTTGGACGACGTCATTCATTCCGGCCATTGAGATTCTCGAAACATGAAAGCCGTACATTTTATCAGAGGTTCAGAATGAAATAATGAAATATGGAAAGAGATTCATTACGACAAAACTTTACAGATGAGTTTTATGAGGACTCGGAAAACAAAAGTGTTCTTGAAAGACCTCGCAAGTCTGAAAAATCTATTCTTCTAGAACTGAAAAATGAGGGCGTTATCCCTAACAACGGACGTTGCAGGAGAAAAGGACTTTCGTACTATTTATCAATGAACGGTCCCGGTGTTAATGGTTCAAGCACCCGCAGACCACCAAGATTTTTAGAAAAACTTGATAGTAACACTCAACAAAAATTCACCATTCATGACGTAGAAAGAAAGATGGCTGCTTCAGAAAACCTTCATAAAGAGCAATTAAAAGCTAAAGGTACTGTATTAAGAAAAAACCCCATTAAAAACAGGTTAAAATAAGGTATAGATTCATAAGTTTTGAAAATAAAATGTGAATATGTATATTTTTAACTTGTGATTATTAAATTTATTACGATTCTGACTGGCTTTTATTTTCCTTCGTCCGTAATTCAACGTTATGTTTAGATCTATATGAAATTAACGAACTCACCGGACGAGTGAAATTACTAAGGTTTCTAAATAAATTAAACCAAGTAAATATTTTGTCAGTTATTCGTTTAGTATAACTGAAAATTTTGTAATCCCTTTGCTTTAAGATTCCGAAAACCGCTCAGTATTTGCATTTTCCACTGACATAAAGTAAAGTCCCTCATGAAATTAGAAATGGGTTACACTTAATCTAGAACTTTTAGAACTTATATCGATTCAATGCTTTGGTAGCTACAGCAGTCTCTGTTGGCGATTTTGTGATTCGGACAACAGATTTATACAAGTTTATTGACACGTTGTGTACAAAAGGTCTTTAAGTCTTCATTTATTTGTTATATACCCACCTTTATATTTGTTATGTTGTGTATATTAACTGTACTTACAGGAGAAACAGCTAGAATATTCGAAGAAAGATACGCAAAGCTGAAAGAGAAAAAGGAAAGGGAAGAAACAGAGAAAAGACAGCGTATCGAAGAAAAACTGAAAAGAGCGGAAATGGTCCGAAATACCAGCAACAGAGAAAAAATTCCCAGAACAATAGATCGTATAATGCGAGTCCAAGAGAGAAGAGATATGCAACGAAGAAAAACTCTGGATAGGTTCGAACGAAAAATGAAAAGAGATGAGGAAAAAAGAAAGCAATTACTAGAAAATAAAAAAATATCCAGCCGTTTTCAGACAGTAAAAGAAAGATTAGAAAACATTGAGAGAAAAATAAATCCAGTTGAACTTATTTTAAGGAATAACGATCAAATTACAAATTATCAACACAGTCCTCAAGTATCACCATAAGATAAAACTGTAACCGACGAATAAATTAAATAGTACAACTGACAAATAAAACTGTATAACTGACTAATAAAATATTATACAAAAATAACTTAAATAAATAGTCATTTGAAAATCCTAGCAATGTGCCAATTATAGTATTTTTATGACCATGTAAAAGAGAGGCGAAAAATACCAAAGTGACATTCAAACTAATAAGTTGAAAATAAACTGACAACGTCATAGCAAAAAAGAAAAGGACCAAAAGACAAACAACAGTATAGAACACAATATATAAAACTAAAGCCCGAGCAACACGAACTACACCAAAACCAAAAACCGGAGGTGATTTCAGCTGCTCCGGAAGGGTAAGCAGATCCTGCTCTACGCTGGTCCTCGGCTGACTACTACACTTCGTATACCCCAAAACTTTAATTCTATTCTTATTTGCCCTTGTAAAGAACAAAGAAAAAAGCAGACAGTCTTAGCATGACCGATTAAGTGCTAATCACTGTTTATAATGGGTGGATGGTAAGCTGGTAACTTTTACTGTACACCAAGACACCCGATATAAAAGACGCGGTTCGGATTAGCGTAAGCCTGCTCTGCCACCTTATTTGATAATCAATTCTGTGTTAGCCTTCTCTGTCACCCTTTCTGATGCGTCTGTTCTTCAGAATGTAACATGTCCTTATACTTATAAAAAAAATCTACTACTACCATCATACCTGAATATAACTTAAACCATCATACCTGAATATAACTTAAACCATCATACCTGAATATAATTTAAACCATCATACCTGAATATAACTTAAACCATCATACCTGAATATAACTTAAACCATCATACCTGAATATAACTTATACGCGTTTCCACTAAATACATGTGCACTTACCCAGTGCTAAGTTAAAGATGGAAAACCACGATTGGAAGTAGGTAGTATTAGGCTAGTGAGTTGGAACAGGTTAGAACAACACATACCTTTTAAAATACTCAAAGGATAATTGTTAAACCATATTCAAAATGAGAACATATCGATATGTTTTGGTATGAAACCTGCTCAGTTTGGTTCGGACCGATAGGCTAACACGGATTTTAACGTTGTAGGTCACAAAATAACCGCAAGTCTTCAGGAAGACGTGTTATCTTTTATCTTTTTATTTTCATTCATTCAGATACATAAAAATTACCTAAACATAAGAATACAACCAACCACCAACATCCGACTCCACGAGGAAATAGACGTACAAACAAAGTCGAACAATAAAGGACAGGATATGGTTCATAGAGCCCGACTTGGCACACAAATAACATGTTAAAGGGTCGAAGCTGTTTTAGGTGCGCACACCCCTACTTTACCTACACAAACCATATGTCACAAACAGTTCAGCTACAAACAGGATGATCGCTAACCGGAATAAAGAAATAATAAAAAAAACGGCACATATAATTTGTAAAGTAGGATCAACTTTAATTATGACAACCTTTCTTTTGGGCCTCGGTGGTCGAGTGGTTGTCTCCTTGGCACTCATACCACATCTTCTTATATCTATATAAGCTCGGCAGTCCAACTTTTCCTCGCTTCTATAAATAATGCATGAATTAATTTCACGCTAACCGCTTTTTTATGCATTCATTCAGAATGCAACAACACTATGTTGTATTTCCGAACACATTGGCCAAATTTCAACGGTCTCATGTGCCTCATAACAGCAATTTTTCTTTTGTTTGCAAATAATTCGAGTATTTATCAAAAATGTAAACGATAAAGACATTTTTAATCAAAACTAAAATTTAATTGGAAGAAAATATTTTATGGGGTTTTGTCTGCAATTCATTAGATACAAAATAATTCATTTTGGTTAAGAATGTCCTTCAATGCAAAATTTTACAAAAAACTTTGTAACATTAAACCAGAATTTTTTAACATCAATGTATAAAATAAGATTCCCCATACCTTGTGCTATAACTTAATTGATTGAGTATTGGTGTTTAATGTCATTTCCAGAACTATTTCATGGCGGCCATTTTTTTATAGCTGGAGGACACAGGCACTTGTCTCTAAAAGAATGCATTATATTAAAGTATATAGTTTTTTTTTCTCGGTGACAAGTGCATGCGGTGGAGGAAACAGGAGTGCCCGGAAAGAACGACCAACAATTGACAGAAAAACTGGCAGTCCTGGTCAATTAAGATCGAAGTTGAACACACATTAACATGCACGAGGGGAGTACCAACTCACAACTGCAGTGTTGACAGGCTAACCATCACTATAGATGAACTGTTTAGACCACTCGGCCACCGCGGCCCAAAAGAAAGGTTATCATAATTAAAGTCAGCTACAATAGAACATATTTTAGCAAACCGCAAAAGTTGTGAATTGTAAACGCTCGAGGTTAGAGGAACATCGCTGTTTTTCTCGCGCCATTTGAAAAAGGGAGTTTGTGATGGCAACGTTCTAGCTCTTTATATCTGTCTCTTGATATGGTACGGTGACACGTCCGATGGACGTTACTACACCGCGCATCCGTCGTATAGTAATTAATTCAAATATCCCTCGTCCAAACAATATATGAATGATCTGACTTGGTCTATTGATAATTCTATCTTGTTGAAAATGTCCAGTTGGATGTTCCAGCCCTTTGTATTATTATAGGGAGAAAGTTGAATTTGAGTGAATCTGTTCTGGTTGGAGGTCTGAGAAAAATATATTTATTGCATAGATTTGCTGATTCTCGCATGTTTTTTTTTCAAATGCCATGTTAATATATTGACTTTATTGTTCAGTCCTTAAATGTGTGTAAAAGTATTAGCCTACTCTGTGTTCTTCTTTTTTTTACTGACACTGAGATTGCGAGTCCAGAGAGTCGAACGCACATGCCACGTGCCGAGCTCGAACTCGCAATAAATTGACTAGAAATGCCAGTTTTCCCGCTGAAGGTCAGTACACTCTGGCTTCCTCCACCAATAAAAACTAGCCGCCACGACATAGCCAATAGTGCCGAAAGTGGCGCTAAACACCAAATAATCCGGCAATCAATCATTCTTTAAGTGGTGGTAAATTGGGTTATTTCAGTATGACTGTCATTGTCAGGTTTATATACTCGATGGAGTTTTACAATATTTCTGGAAATAAGCTTAATTGATGGGGATCCAAGGCAGCAATTTGATATACAAGGACTGGTCGTATAAGTCCTCTGCACGCTTAAAATGTTAATTCCTGGGGGCAAGATGAGAAGTTGCGCCTTAATAATCCCAGTCACGGTTCTGTATGATATAATGCAGATAACTTCAATATCATGGTTTCCTTTAGTGTAGGTTATTTGTGATGTTTAAACCGAGATATTTCATTGATCGGAGAAAGTCATGGACGTGAGAGTGCAGTCCATATAGAAAACATGGAAAGTGCCGATCTTAACGTGGAGCGGCAAGTTTCATTATCGAAATTGTGATAAAATCATTGTTCATCAGATAAAGATAAATCATACACCATGCGCTTCCTCGTTCATTATTTTCTCCACGAATATGTATCTTTTTATTCACCGGTACCGATATATGGAGAATGTGAACAGTGACATATTTTTGGATAATTTTTATTAAGCTTTACGTCTGATGTTAACATACGAATAATTAAAGATAAGACTGACCTTTCCATTGGTTCTAACTCCGAGCGGAACAGTCTTTGCTCTTACTCCTTTATACTTGTTGCGTGATCACTTTTGAAGCAAGCACATACAAGTTATGCATCTTTTGGACACAACTCCCCGTGTCTAAACCAGCAAAACAAGCAATCAAGCAGTAATAGATAGATAAAAAGGGACCATTTAGTTGGTTGCTTAGCTGGAGGAGACACCAGGGGACGGTGCTCACGAATGAATATGATTCTTCTTGTTCTAAACGTCAAGTAAATTGAGTAAGCAGTTGTGAAATGCAAGAATTTAAAACTCAGAGTATATCACTCAGAGTTATGAATTTAATGCAGCCTTTCAAGAAATCTCCTCTTCTGTAGTGAATTGCTATCTTTTTTCATTATTCTAAATTTAATAATACATTTGAGTCGAAATTTGATGTACAAAATTTTCCATTTATACAATGCAAGGTATATGGAAAAACATTTAAAACATTGAAAGATTTTAACAACCAAAGTTTCTCATGTTTCTCTCCCCACCTTGACCGGCCCCCTTCTGTAATCATGCTTTTGTAAAACTTATTTCAAGATTTACAGGTATCAGGTACGTTCAAGGATGGTTAATTCTGTAAACTGACATCATATATGATTAGATTTCTGTGCATACAACACATGATATTACAGATAACCTACACCAGTTACGCTCATGACCAAAAATGTTGAATGCCAAAAATACATTTGAAAAAGTATAAAAAAAAACTGCTTAATAAGTTAAACGACACAGTCAAACCGTTTTAATTCAACCTGCCCGAGGGAGTTGCAACCTTAGTTTATGCACAATTGCATAATGTTGTGGGATCTCCTGTAGTTGGTGATCGCAATACTGGTATACTAGTATTGTGCACAATACTGGTATAAAAATTTTGTACCAGTATTGTATTCCAGTATTGTACCAGTATTGTGTTTTTTTTTTTTAAATAAACAATACATATATATAGGTAATTAATCTTTTATTAAAGGTGTCACATATACATGTATATGCATAATGATATTATCATATGACATGACAATTTCATATGGAAGGATTGTATGTTTAACTGATGATGCCATTGATGGTACACTAGCTGTGATTGTAATCAAAGAAAGTGTTAAATCTTCTGATGTTTTTTTCTTAAGGGAACCGTACTGTCTCAGCATTTTAACAAACTCTTTACTTTCTTCTATGTTTTCTTCCAGCTCTCTATTTCCAAGTCTCAATAGTATATTTTAGTGAATTTTATATTGACATTAATGCTGTTATAGCTACTGTATCATCAGCATTGGTATTGTTTATTTCTTCTTCAGATGGCATTTCTGCAACCCCCACTTCCTATATTGATATTTATGCATTCAGTCTGTGGACTTTCTCTTACGCTTACTAGATTACAAGCTTGTTTAGATAACACCTGTACGGCTCTCTTACTGTAGGAGTGCTTGTCTAGTATTAGTATTTGAGTATTTGTACCTGAGTAGATATATCTGCTACAAATTGTATTGCCCATGGTTCTGAATCAACTGCTTTAACTACCCTTAACAATCATGTAGACAAACAAGTTAATTTGATTATAATCAGGTTCCCCTATTAAGCAACTTTTTATGTTTAATGGATATTGATATCTTTTATCATGTTTATTGTGAAAGATTGATAAGAAAATAAAGACAAACAAATGCTTAAATTAGAATCTTAGTATACATATATTAAAATATCTGTAAAAAATATACGATCGCATACATGTAAATGCTGAATTTACAGTGTTATAGTGTAACAATTTGCTTGAATTTATTAAATAATAACTCAGAAAATAAAGCTTTATTTTTTTTATCTAAATTGAACTAAAAAAATATAGAAATATGATAAAATTATGAGCAATTATTTATATAATTATCAATTGTTTGAATAAGATGAAGTAATTACAATAATTTTTGTTTATTTGTACAAGTATAGTAATTATTTTTAACTGGTTGTTAATTGATTTCACAATTATCCTCTATAATCTTTTTGAGTTCATTTAATCTCCCTTTGATCTTTAATATCTAATTTTGCTTAAATTTCATTTTTCATTCTACACCTTAAACTATAGTGAACAATACAACTACAATACTGGTATATCAGTAATGTACCAGTATTGTTGTTTTTAAAAAAAAAAGTCACAATACTGGTACAAAATTTTTATACCAGTATTGTGGACAATACTGGTATACCAGTATTGCGATCACCAACTACAGGAGATCCATGTTGTGGACTGTGGGCAGGTTAGAGTAGTTTAATATAACATTCGTCATAACCATTTGGCAAAAATAGTTGTGGATGATTAATATTCAACAACATTTACTGAGAGTTTCAAGTGGAGATGTTTTAAGACCTTGTAGGAACTAGATACATAAAAAATTTAAAACGCATTTTGTGTTAAAGAAAATTTATTACTTTCCTGCATTTTGAAGTGCATTTTTTGTTGCTATATCATTGTATATGTAGGTGTCAGACCATCACAATCAATTAAAAATCCTTTTTTAATCAACCAATTTTTCAATTTCACAGCTTTCTAAATATTTTACCTTAAGTTTAACTTAATAGAAACCAGGTATATTCTGAATTGTACATGTATCACCTTTCTATAGGCCAATTTGCAACCAATGTTTAAAGTCTTGCAGTGAAACACCACCATTTGGAAATCAACTGCTACTAAAAATAATTCCTGGTTTTCTGGAAATCTTAAATAAATATACTATCATGACTATGGAGCGCATTAATCCTCAATTTTTATTGCAAAATCATGGACACGTAAATTTTGGCTCAAAATGGTCTACATATATTTCTCTTTCACCAAAAATTTCGTTTGTTAGTTTACAATACTACCTGTAAGTAAAAAACAATGACATCAAACGCACCATTTTTGTCAGGGAAGGGGTACTTTTACATATGTTCTAAATTGAAGTGGGTGAATTGGTGGTCTGACACCTGTATAGCTAAAATTGGGTAAAATCTTTGAGATGTCACCATGAGGTAAACATTGTACTGTATTGTGTTGATTGATATCCACAATAGAGGGACACTGAATGTCTGCACGCAACAACAGGTGATTTAAACAGGACAGCAATTCAAATGAAAATCAGCTAGGTCATTGCATTATTTTACCATCTTCTGCAGTAATTGATATAAATCAATATCAAAATCTAAAAAAAGATTTTAAGGATGTTCACTCACTTCACTGCTCTGTTTCAAAATAACAAGCTTTTTACAAGACTGTTATAAATTGACAGTATATACACAAGGGAACTAAAAAAGCAGAAAAAAATTAAAAGTCCAGATATAAGCCATTGAAAATTTGGTGGAAAATGATTCTCTCTAGACTTTTCATACATTGAACATTGGCTCCTTTTTTCTTAAAAAAAATTATGAAAAAATAACAAGCAATTTAAAAGATTTAAAAAAATGGCTTTTTAAACTATGTGTAATAAAATCATGAAATAATAAGTAGGGGTTTAATAGTAGGCAAAATTTTTCATGGTATTACATAGATAAATCCAGAGGATTCCAACTATTTGACAAAAAGTCAAAAACAAGATTAACGAACATCCTTAATTTATATACCGGTACATACATGTATTTATTTTGTAAATATTTGGGTCCTGCCAGGCCTTTTAACCTTCCCAGTTGCACTTGTTCGTCTGTATTCAGAATACATTTTTTAGTGTAAACACACCTACTTATACTAAATGGTGACATGGCGATGTACCTTAACTGGGTGAAATATTCGCTTGGAAGTTCACCTGTGTTAGACTTGATCAATTAATATTTTAATGTGCATTGTGATAAATAAGAAGAAAGTTTTACTGCAGATAGGACAAGCAAGCCTTGGATTGAATCATGGATCACTGGCACACTAAACCTTGCAGTGATTGTGTCACATTATCCTACTTTATCATACTATTGTATCAGCCTTGGATTGAATCATGGATCACTGGCACACTAAACCTTGCAGTGAATGTGTCACATTATCCTACTTTATCATACCATTGTATCAGCCTTGGATTGAATCATGGATCCCTGGCACACTAAACCTTGCAATGAATGTGTCACATTGTCCTACTTTATCATACCATTGTACCAGCCTCGGATTGAATCATGGTTCCATGGCACACTGAACTTTGCAGTGATTGTGTCACATTATCCTACTTTATCATACTATTGTATCAGCCTTGGATTGAATCATGGATCACTGGCACACTAAACCTTGCAGTGAATGTGTCACATTATCCTACTTTATCATACCATTGTATCAGCCTTGGATTGAATCATGGATCACTGGCACACTAAACCTTGCAGTGAATGTGTCACATTATCCTACTTTATCATACTATTGTATCATCCTTGGATTGAATCATGGATCCCTGGCACACTAAACCTTGCAATGAATGTGTCACATTGTCCTACTTTATCATACCATTGTACCAGCCTCGGATTGAATCATGGTTCCATGGCACACTAAACTTTGCAGTGATTGTGTCACATTATCCTACTTTATCATACTATTGTATCAGCCTTGGATTGAATCATGGATCACTGGCACACTAAACCTTGCAGTGAATGTGTCACATTATCCTACTTTATCATACCATTGTACCAGCCTTGGATTAAATCATGGATCATTGACACACTAAACCTTGCAATGAATGTGTCACATTGTCCTACTTTATCATACCATTGTATCAGCCTTGGATTGAGTCATGGATCCCTGGCACACTAAACCTTGCAATGAATGTGTCACATTGTCCTACTTTATCATACCATTGTACCAGCCTCGGATTGAATCATGGTTCCATGGCACACTAAACTTTGCAGTGATTGTGTCACATTATCCTACTTTATCATACTATTGTATCAGCCTTGGATTGAATCATGGATCACTGGCACACTAAACTTTGCAGTGAATGTGTCACATTATCCTACTTTATCATACCATTGTACCAGCCATGGATTAAATCATGGATCATTGACACACTAAACCTTGCAATGAATGTGTCACATTGTCCTACTTTATCAAACCATTGTACCAGCCTTGGATTGAATCATGGATCACTGGCACACTAAACCTTGCAGTGAGTGTGTCACCTTATCCTACTTTATAATACCATTGTATCAGCTTTGGATCGAATCATGGATCACTGACACACTAAACCTTGCAGTGAGTGTGTCACCTTATCCTACTTTATCATACCATTGTATCAGCCTTGGATTGAATCATGGATCCCTGGCACACTAAACCTTGCAGTGAGTGTGTCACCTTATCCTACTTTATAATACCATTGTATCAGCTTTGGATTGAATCATGGATCACTGACACACTAAACCTTGCAGTGAGTGTGTCACATTATCCTACTTTATCATACCATTGTATCAGCCTTGGATTGAGTCATGGATCACTGACACACTAAACCTTGCAGTGATTGTGTCACATTATCCTACTTTATCATACCATTGTATCAGCCTTGGATTGAATCATGGATCCCTGGCACACTAAAAATTTCTACAAATATATAACATTTTCCTTCTTTTGACAGAAATATGGAATCAGAACCAGAAAATCCAGATCATCTCTTGCAAGCATCGTTTCAACCTTATAGATCAGACAAAAATTATTCTTCAGATAGTCTGCTGTCTTCTGAATCTTGTTGCCAAAATGGTGGACAATCATGTAAAAAATTGCCCCCGTTTTATAACTTGGTATCAGACTGGACAATACAAATGGTAGAAAAATACTTTCATATTTTTTACACCGACGAAGGAACAGAATACAGTGGAGAATTTGTACTTCAAAAAGGAGGAATAAACACAGAATTGTCTCCCTTTCACACAAAGTACCTAGCTGACTTAAAGAGTATATTAACGTTTAATGGATCTATGTACACTTATAAATACCGTGCTAAAACAAAAGCAAAACCAATGTTTAGGACCATCTTAAACAATATTTCACCTCAAAATACAGCAGATTGGAAAGATCGACCAATGTAAGTATTCTTTACATTTGCAGCTTGTGAATTTTACTCCCAGAAGGCAATATTCTCTTTGATGATTTTATTTCTACTGGATAATATGATATAGTTTCACAAGGTAATATATCTCTATGATTAGTTTTATTGTTCGAATGAACGAATAAAAGGTTATCTTAGATGTTTATCTAATGGCTGATTGTACCATATCTGCTTGTTGCCAACAGAATAAATTTCTAAAATATTTGTATGTAGGGTCTTCCCAAAGATCAGTAAGACGTTTCCAAAGGTCTTGATAAATTTAGTTAGGCCCATGAAATGTTGTTAATTACTGGACCAAATGTTTTAACATTATTTTATCTGATAGTTGACCATGTAAAAATAGCTTGGTCCTGTAGAGTCTGAATGTTAACCAGACCAAATGTCCAGTAGCAATTTCGCATGATGGGTATAGTTAATTGATATTGCATTTTATTTTTATTTCCCGACATTCCATACATGTATCTTTTCAGTTACCAATATTTACACAGTATAGCAGTATTTGTCAAATATATGATAAAATACGTAGACAGATTACAAGAGACAGAATGGTTTGATCATAATGTACCTGAAGAATATTATACAGAACTTGTGGGCAGATTTGCTGAAATGTGTTTATTATTGACAAAGTAAGTACCTTACCATGTTTAAGATTCTTTGTAATATAAGATAATGTAGTAGGATTGCCAATGAGACAACTATCCGAATGGTGTGGATTTAAGCAACTATAGGTCATATAGGTCCACATACACCTTCAACAATGAGTAAAACCCATATCATATAGTCAGTTTTAAAAGGCCCTAGCTGATATAAAGAAGTGTGAAACAATTCAAACAAAGAAAGTCTGCATTTGTTATTGACTAAGTAAGTAATTCACAGTTTTAGTTTCTGCTTGTTCATTTTTTGTGATTGCAACACTAAAGGTTCATGGAATATTATTGGAAACAGATGTCATTAGTCACTGTACATGGAAATGTGATAGTGCGTGCCAGGCATAGTGTCATATAAAATTCTTCTCTTATTTCTTATTTATAGCCTTTTTGTGCTGAGGAGGCGTAAAGCAAACACCAATCAATAAATCTTCTTTTATTAAAATTATTAAACAGCTTTGGCAAATACTGTTTAACACAATGTCACAGAGTGGTGAGGACCATAAAATGTAGATTGAGTTCAAGCTTGCAGATTTATAGTTTTGTAATTTAGAATAAGTGGCCTTGATTATTTTAGATGAATTTTTTTTAAAGGCAAAACATACTGTGGAATCATTATTATTCATTGACACTAATTTTTGTGGATTTCTTTGGTAGAGGCAAACCACAGATTTAAATGCTCAATGAAAGTATGAATTTCCTATAGGCCTCTTTGGTAAAAACTATTTTTTTTGAGCTATCAACCCTGTTAGTATGCTCACAAATACTGAAATAAAATTGAGAATGGAAATGGGGAATGTGTCAAAGAGACAACAACCCGACCATAGAGCAGACAACAGCCGAAGGCCACCAATGGGTCTTCAATGCAGCGAGAAACTCCCGCACCCGGGGGCGTCCTTCACTTGGCCCCTAAACAAATATGTATACTAGTTCAGTGATAATGGACGTCATAATAAACTCCAAATTATACACAAGAAACTAAAATTAAAAAAGATACAAGACTAACAAAGGCCAGAGGCTCCTGACTTGGGACAGGCGCAAAAATGCGGCAGGGTTAAACATGCTTATCCTGCTAATAAGAAATCATGTCACACTGCACTTAATATCAGCTCCTATACTTCATAAAATATTTCATAAAGCAACATTATGAACAGTACAGGAATACATGTTCATGTGCAATGCCCAAATCAAAGTACTCGTATGGAAAAAGACAAAAGAAAAAAAACGTTCAGTAATACAAAAACTCGAGTTATTTATTTTGGTGAACTTGTTTTGTGGGGTTACTAATGCATTATTGATGGTTCGCTCATATCTCTTTTTTTTTTATATCTCTAAACCCTAAAGCATAGTATATTGTCTTTGTAGCCATCTACCAGACAAATCTGTTTGGAAGAATTTGAAAGGTATAACAGTAACATCTAAACCAGATTTAAGACTCTTTAAATGTGATACTCAGGACAAGGTCAAGGAGACATCTTTTTCTGTTACCCAGGTAAAATATGACGTAATTAAGACTTACTAAGGGTCAGTAAGGATCTTTCAAAAAAGTTCATGGATTTACTTTTTTCACCAGAATTATTTGAATTTTTAACCCCACCACATCACTGGACCAGCTGGATAAAGAGAATTTTGTCTCTTCCAGTAGTGTCATGTCAGAGCTATATGTTAAAGAAGGATCCATAAGGAATATAGTTTGATTCATTATATAATTAGATACAATGTCAGTTTAATAACAGACATAGGTATCCCTATTGTTGTTTAGAGAGGTCAAAATTATCTTTTATTAAGTAAGAAAGGCTTATATCATTATGATTTGGTGACCGACAAGGAAGATTTTCGGTTTCCATTAATATCCACTTGAACCATTTGTTTAAATGTGTTTTTTTTTTTTAATTTTAGGTAAAAGAAGATAAATATAGAGATAATAAAGGCGAAAATTTGGCAGCTAAAAGGATGAAAATAAGTTGTAGTTCAGACTTAGACTTTGACTCAAAAATTTCCAAAACAACTAAAAGACGGCCAAGTAAAGAGACAGCTAATAAAGTTAAAGGGCAGCATGCAGGCCAACTACTGCTAGATCTGCATTCAGTTCATAGAAAAAGTTTTGTCAATGGTTCAGAATATTATATGCCAGGAATTATAGTCCACAGAACAGGGGTAAATTAATATTAATATGAATAAAAATCATTCTTTTATTGGAACCAAATACTTACTGATACAGTTTATAAGAGAGCATTTTTAGCTCACCGTTCCGAAAGGAACTGTGAGCTTTAGCCATCACTTGGTGTCCGTCGTCGTCCGTCTGGTTTAAACTATTTCAAACATCTTCTCCTCTGAAACTACTGAACCAATTCCAACCAAACTTAAGCTGAATGATCCTTATGGTATTTAGAATAAAGTTTGTATTTTATTTTCTGTTTCGTCAAAAAACATGGCCACCATGGCCAAAAATAGAACATAGGGGTAAAATGCAGTTTTTGGCTTATATCTAAAAAACCAAAGGAGTTAGAACAAATCTGACATGGGGTAAAAGTGTTCATTAGGTGAAGTTCTATCAGCCCTGAAATTTTCAGATGAATCTAATAACCCATTGTTGGGTTGCTGCCACTAAATTGGTAATTTTAAGGAAATTTTGCAGTTTTTGGTTATTATCTTGAATTGTATTAATGATAAAGATAAACTGTGAACAGCAAATATGTTCAGCAAAGTAAGATCTACAAATAAGTTTTATATGACCAAAATTGTCAATTGACCCCTTAAGGAGTATTGTCCTTTGAGGACAATTTTACACAATTTGTTTATCATGTTTTCTAACTTTAAAAAATCTTCTCCTCTGAAACTACTGAACCAATTCCAACAAAACTTAAGCTGAATGATCCTTAGGGTATCTAGAATAAAGCTTGTGTTTTATATTCTGTTTCGTCAAAAACATGTCCGCCATGGCTAAAATTAGAACATAGGGGTAAAATGCAGTTTTTGGCTAATATATCTCAAACATTTAAGCAATTAGAGCAAATCTGATGAGAGGTTAAAATGTTCATTAGGCCAAGTTCTATCAGCCATGAAATTTTCAGACGAATCTAACAGTCCACTGTTGGGTTGCTGCCACTAAATTGGTAATTTTAAGGAATTTTGCAGTTTTTGGTTATTATCTTGAATATTATTAATGTTAAAGATAAACTGTGAACAGCAAAAATGTTCAGCAAAGTAAGATCTACAAATAAGTTAATATGACCAAAATTGTCAAATGTGTCCTTAAGGAGTTATAATTTTGCCCTTTAAAGACAATTTTTCACAATTTGTAGTTTGCTTATTTTAAAAAATCTTCTCCTTTGAAACTGCTGAATTGATTTCAGCCAAACTTGGGCTGAATGAGTTTCAGAGTATCTAGTATAAATTTTGTATTTATTTTCTTGTACGTCAAGAAACATAGCCACTATGGCTAAAATGAAACATAGGGGTAAAATGTATTTCTTTGCTTTTGAAGAAAATATGACAGATACAAAGAACATCTCAATGGAATTTTTAAGCCACTCATTAATATATATTAAAAAGCAAAAATAATCATTGATGAAAGATTTAAGCAAAAAATTACAGGTGAGCGATTCAGGCTCTTGAGAGCCTCTTGTTAGTTAGAATATGGTCTTAAAAATTATACTTATGAATTTAGTCCAGAAACATTAAAACTCAATTTTTAGTTTCAATTCTATCGAAAAATATAAAAAAAAGTCACTGGCCTGATTGAATTTCAAAAAACTCATTCATGAAAAACATTACTTCATGTACAATGTAGGGGATTGCTTTAACAGCAAGTTAAACTTTGGAAAAAGTGTTATGTGTTTGACACTCACATTAGCCCTCATCATGCAACCGTTTTGTTATAATCTGTTCATGAATACTAAAATATAACACCTTTCATAAATATTTGACATTTTAATTGCTTTTAATGAACTTTTATTCACCTTTCATATTTTCCATTTCAATACATTTTTACTCATAATGCATCAGTTTAGATATATGTCTGTTAATGAATATATACAGTATAAATAAGAAGATGTGGTATGAGTGCCAATGAGACAACTCTCCGTCCAAGTCACAATGTATAAAAAGTTAACAATTATAAGTCAAAGTACACCTTCAACACAGAGCCTTGGCTCACACCGAACATCAAGCTAAAAAGGGCCCCAAAATAACTAGTGTAAAACAATAACACCTTTAAGGAACTTTCATCACCATTTTATGATGTTTGTTCACCTATAATGCCCATTTACTTCTCCATATATCCCAGTGCAGTATTTTATTTTCAAGTTGAAAAGTTCCATGTCTTAGCTTCATTACTGATTTCATTATGAAAACATTTGTTTCATTTTAGGTAGCCGTCACTATGCTTGTGATATCAAAAACACATTTTGAGAAGATTGAAAAGAATGAACCTCTGGGTTTGGACGATAGGGCAAAGATTTATGTTAGTTGTTTTTATGATTATTTAAATGAAGAAGAACGTAATGAGCTGATACAGGTTTTTCTGATCATGAATAACATTCAAGAGTATCACACTGAACATGATGAAAATTGAATATGAGTGGATTTCTAATTAAAAGGTAGCAGATAATAAAATAAAATGTGTTTTTTTTCCTCTAAATTTCTGAATGGATATATCCTTTTAATTGTAGGACCCGATATAATTATTGCCTCAAACAGTCAAAGAGTTTGGCTTAAAACTCAATGTTAACATTATAATGCCATTACTCTAGCTATTATAATTGTTGGCTGAGATGTCCTTCATTAATAATTAGGGATAGACTCGTGTGAAACAATCACCCATCTGACCCAATTGTAATTTGTTTTATCATATCAAACTGTTCCAACTGGTCAGAAATTTTAACAAACTGCCATAGAAGAACCACAGTCAAGTCAAAGTACAAAGAAATAAAATAAAACATACTTTTATTTTGTCATTGCAGAAGTCATGTCTTCTTTGACTGTCCATGGTGTTAAAACACTAAATCCCTGGGATGAGTTTTAATTGATTTTAGTCTCTGATGCATGATTTTTTATTATTAATTGTTTTTGGCTTTTAACTAGCTTTCAGTAACTGCGAGTACTCTCAAATCGTACTTTTGTGTTACTGTGAACAATAAATTTATTAATTTTGTAAAAAATGTTCACATCCATACTCCCAACAAAACAAATATTATATTTAAATTGACCTGTGTGCGTGGTTTTATTTAACCCCATTGTCTTTTTGACACTGTTCCTGCATCTTTTTTAAATAATATTATATTTATATTGTATCATAGATCAAACTTATTTGTTCAGCGTATGTTTACTTGTTTTTGTTTAAATGTCTTTTTGATCGAGTTAAGCCATTTCAATTGATATTTTATAGTGTGTCTTTTTATGTTGTAATAGTACACTACTGTCTCAGGTTAGGGTAAAGGTTGGTGCCTGTTAAAACTTTTAAACCTGCTGCATTTTTATGCACCTGTCCTAAGTCAGGAGCCTGTTGTTCAGTGGTTGTCGTTTGTTGGTGTGGTTCATAAGTGTTTCTCTTTTTTTATATAGATTAGGACAGTTGGTTTTTCCTATTTGAATTGTTTTACACTAGTCATTTTGGGGCTCTTTATAGCTTGCTATTCGATGTGAGCCTAGGCTCCGTGTTGAAGGCCGTACTTTGACCTATAAATGTTTACTTTTTATACATTGTGACTTGGATTGAGAGTTGTCTCATTGGCACTCATACCACATCTTCTTATTTATAATTACAATCCTTTAACACTTGAATTCCACATCATGGCTGATATCAAAGTGTTTTAAACTGCAGAAGTTCTAAAGATATAAACCAAAAACTAAATTTTACCCCCATGTTCTATTTCTAGCAACAGTTGCCATGTTTGTTAATGGATCAAATCCACAGATATAATTTTTAAGCATTGACTTAAGGTAAAGTTTGGTTGCATGTAGCCCGGTAGTTTCAGAGGACAAGTTTTTTTAAAAACATGTATAACAACGGATGGATAGACGAGGGACACAAAATGGTGGCAAAATCTCACATTTTAGAAAAGGATATGTATCCATTTATGACAAAATTTACTACACCCGCATAGAAAATCTCCCAGAGGGTTTTGTTGCTATATGACATACTTTCAAGGTGTTATTTCATGCATGTTTTTTTCTCAAGAAAAGGTGTCATATTTCTTCTTTTTTATGGTGTATGATAAACTTATAAGCCTTTTATTCTTCTTTGTATTGCATGATTGTTATTTTTTTATTGGGTAGAAAAAAATATAATACAAACTGTCAAGCATGACCTTCAAGTTTAGGAAAGACTGAATGTTGACCTTTGCCATATTTTGAAAAATAAACACATTTATCATATACCTTGTAAAATTTATTTTTAAAGACAATGATTTGAATAAGTGAAGGATTTAATATAACTTAATGTCATACATTTAAATGTATTGTGAACAGTCCTTTTTGTAACTTTTACAAGCCCGCCTTGTTGTCTCCATTGAGAATTGAAGCTGTCACACAGTGTTGTTGATTTTCACAGTAAGCAATTTTAAATATTATTGTCTAAAGAAAACATAGTATCTGCCTGCATTTTCTTAACTGCTGAGAATATACATTCATGGTCTTGGTCTATAGTGGATGTACTGATGGGTTTGGAAGTGTTCTTAGCCTATAAAGACTTCTTGTGTTGAAAGACAACTGTGGTCAAATTTGAAGCCTCTGGTGAAGAAGGCACACGAAAGTCTAGACTAGGATTGTGAAAACTGTTTTCTTGCACAAGGCAACACTGTCTTGTCAAGAGAGAGAAAATAAAATGAAATTTCCAAACATGGCTGGAAATTGCTGCCTGTTTACAATTCTGCCATTAATCAGGGGGAAGGATGATGGGCTAATAATGGATACCAACAATTGTCTCCCTTGTGGGGAAATCAAAAACAATACATACACATTTTTCTAGGAGATTCAGTACAAGGGATGAAAATCTTGTAGTTCTCAATTAAATTGTGCAAGTTAGCAGGATTTGAGCGTTGAGAAACTTTGCAGCGAGTTCTTTGTATACATTTAAAACACTGAAAATTGAGATTGAGTAGCTGTTAGAGGTCGCTTTTGTTAACTAAATACAATCAGGGCAAATTACACGTGAAAAGTTGGTGGTATATGCTTAAAATAGTGTTTTATACTTTCTGCAAGTCATTTACACATCTGTGGCATTATCGTATGCTTTAAATTCTGAATTATGTCCTGGATTATTTATCCTACAACCCAGTGATAACAAAACAGCATTGATTGCCCCAAAAAACCAGGAAAAAAACATATAGAATTTAAAAACTTTCTTGAACAATAGACAAGAATTTAATACCTTATGGCTTATTCTAAACAGCTCAAGTGAAGACAAAATGTGAAATCTTTATCCAAGACTACCAAAATAATATAAAAAAAGGAGATGTGGTATGATAGCAAATGAGACTAATATCTGACAGAGTCTGAATGAAGTGGATGAATTAAAGCAACTAAGTTTATATAAAAACAAGAGGCTCCAGGAGGCTGTATCACTCGCCTGGCATTTATGCAAAACATAAATTGATACAATGCAACAAGATTATTTGGTGAAAACTGGAGGTAGGTAGATCTTGACATTTCTATCTATTATGGTTTTCAAGATAGAAGACAATTATTGCATTTAACCCGTATTATCTATTTTAAGCCACAGTGGCCATGTTTGTTGACGAACTTGGAAAAATCATTAACTTTATACTTAATAACCTAAGGATCATTCACCCCAAGTTTAGTTGAAATTGGTTCAATAGTTTCAGAGGAGATCATTGAAAAAGTTTAGGAAGGAGACAACAATCGCCAAGTGATGGCAAAATTTTGCAATGCCTTTTTGGCCAGTTGAGCTAAATGTGTTGATAAATGCAAGAAATTAGTAAAAAATAGTTTAAAACATTTGGTCACAACAATACCTGATAAAGGTTAAATCAGAAAAAAATCATGTTATTATTTTAACATGGTAATAACCTACCGGTATTATCAAGGTGGAGATAACTCAGGTCTACCAGATGAAAAATGGTAGTGTCTTTTTCTACCACTAAATCAGATTAATATTTTTCATAAAAATCTGGCTGAAGGATTTTGAACAGTGCTCATAGTAAAACAGAAATAAGAAAAACAGTTGCACAACATCTTACAAATGACAGCAATTTAGCAATCTAAAATCATAAATCCAACCTTTCTCTCGTCTTGTAAATGCCAGTTTACCTAGTGAACAAGTTGATAATAACAAAAACAGATTTGTACAATTAAAACTGTTGACTTGCTGAAGTCTTCCTCTAGCAGTTGGATACACCATTTTACAAATTAATAAAATGCTCTGCTGGGCACAGCTTGATACGACCGCAGAGGTCGAACCCTGAACAGTTGGGGCAAGTATGGACACAACATTCAAGCTTGATACACACTGACTTTGGATTGTGATTAAATATTTGACACAGCATAGGTTTCTGACACAGAATGAATGTGGTCTAAGAACTTATAAATTTTTTAATTTACCTATTCAAACCATATCATTATTATTTGCTTTTATATATGTAGGACTCAGAGGTGCGATGGGGACGCTGAAGTGCGTTGGTCACGCTGAAGTGCTATGGTCTACGCAGAAATGCGATGGTCCGTACGCTGATGTGCGATGGCCTATTTGACGCATGATTGCTAGTTTAAAATCTACAGACGTGCAATTATCATGAGAAGTAGACTTTTTAATATAGTATATAAATTTGCATTCATTATTGTCTATGGCTGTCCTTAATTACAGTTGCATACTAAATGCGAGATTGTCCTCTTTGATTTTCTACATGTGGACATAATTCTGCATTAGCATTTTATCTATACATTGTTTCTCTCATGAGTTCCTCATTTACCGTAATATTGTAATGAAGAGAGTCTCTGCGAATCCGTATGTATTTAGAGAATGTCACGCTCCATCGTACGTAAAATAGAACCTTTTGTATATATCGAAAAAAAAAATCACTGCAGAAGGTTAACTTTCCACTATCTTCCAATCCTCCCCGTTTCCTGTAGTATTAAAAGTTTATAAGCTCCTTATCAACTTAAAAACCTTTAAAACTGCTTTAAGATACACATTGACTTCTATATCGACATGAAAAGCATTGCAAATGTAGTTTGTGTAGACCATTGCACCACAGCGTTACCATGATCGCACTCCGGCGTAGCTATCAACAAGATAGCGTAACAATGCCACCATCGCACTTCAGCATGATCAAAAACGCTCTTCAGCGTCAAACCATCGCACCTCAGTGTGACCATCGCGGTTCGGAGTACCATCGCGGTTCGGAGTACCATCGCGGTTCAGAGTCCTACATATATAAATCAGAAATAACCAATTTAAAATGGAACATTTTAAAGAAAAAAAAAGGAAAAAAAGGAAAAAAAAAATCCCTCCCCCCAAATTTTTTTTAACCCCCTTATGATTCATCACCCCCAAACTCAATCCCAGCCTTCCCTTTGTGGTATGGTACCTTGCAGTACAATTTCAGAGAGATCCATACACTTGAACACAAGTTATTGTCTGGAAACTAGAAAAATGCTTGTTTTTTGCCCCTTTTTGACCCAATTCCTAAACGTTTAAGGCAATTACCCCCAAACTCAAACCCAGGTTTCCCTTTGTGATATGGAACCATGTAGTACAGTTTCATAAAGATCCATACACTTACACACAAGTTATTGTCCTGAAACTAGAAAAATGCTTGTTTTTTGCCCCTTTTTGGCCCCTAATTCCTAAAATTTTGAGGCAATTACCCCTAAAATCAATCCCAGCCTTCCCTTTGTGGTATGGTACCTTGCAGTACAATGTCAGAGAGATCCATACACTTGAATACAAGTTATTGTCTGGAAACTAGAAAAATGCTTATTTTTGGCCCCTTTTTCCTAAACGTTTTGGGTAATTACCCCCAAACTCAATTCCAGCTTTCCCTTTGTGATATGGAATCTTGTAGTACAATTTCAGAAAGATTCATACACTTACACACAAGTTATTGTCATGAAACTAGAAAAATGCTTGTTTCTTGCCCCTTTTTTGGCCCCTAATTCCTAAAATTTTGAGGCAATTACCCCCAAAATCAATCCCAGCATTCCTTTGTGATATTGAACCTTGTGGTACAATGTCAGAGAGATCCATACACTAACACACAAGTTCTGTCTGGAAGTTACAAAAATGCTTATTTTTGGCCCCTTTTTGGCCCTTAATTCCTTAACTGTTGGTACCATAACCCCCAAAATCAATCCCAAGCTTCCTTTTGTGGTATTGAACCTTATGGTAAAATTTCATAGAGATCCATTCACTTAAACTAAAGTTAGAGTGCGAAAACCAATGTGTCTTCGGACGACGATGACGACGACGTCGTACCAATATACGACCGGTCGTATAATAAGTTGATACAAAGTAATTTGGAAACAAAAATTCTTTGCAATGACAGATTTTTCCATACTTTCAATAAAGTCACAGTAAGTGATGTATTGCCAAATGACATACATTTGTAATTGCTGATGTGCATAATTCTCGACCAAACAAAGGTCAAAGAACTAACAAATCTTAAAGACAGGAAGCTTTATTTATAAGTAAGGTTACATGAAAGTCAGAGTGCATGACAGCTGTTTAGAAGACATAGCATACAAAGGTGTAAATATCAATTTGAAAATTTCTTCTCTATTCATCCTCATATCCTTCTAAAATTTCAAAAATGAGTAATTTTGTTCTATGCATGTGTTCTGTTTGAGTTTTGAAGCAAAACAATTACTTCAGCAGTTATTAAATTTAAAGAAGCATTTTACACTAAAATAAAAAAAAAGATGCAATTTTAAAAAGGACCTGCATTGTTTATGATTCAGTAATCATGGATTTTCCAGCATAAAATCATTGATCTTTCTGACAATTTATATATATTGTATACTATCTCCATCTGTTCAGCCAAAATATAAAGCGATTCAACAGTTTGTTGTTCTAATCCTGTATTTTCAGACCTGTCCATTTAGTATTCAGAGCAAACAAAACTGAAAATAATAATAAATAAACTGATTTTATGTCCGTTTCAAAGCTACAATATTTAATAAAAACTGTTAAGTTACATTCTACACTGTTAATTTTGTTAAAGATTTTCCATCAAAATCAGTTTAAAGAATATGGGAAATGGAAATTTCTTATAATATAATGTTTATTACTTTAATGCTACCTTTGATACAATATAAAGAAAGCAGATTCTCCTTATTGTTCTGTTTAATTTATTATGTTGGAAGTTATTAAATCAAAACTACAGAGCATTTTAAGGAATGACTGATAAAGATTCATGTAAAAAAACATGATATAAATCCAAAACTGACCAAATATATATATGTTTTAAATAAAGTTATTTGAAAAGATAAATTTTAGTTTTATCAAAAACTTTTTGTAAAATAGAAATGTTAATTACATCATAGTGTCATCACAAGTGATATATATGTCTGCACCTAAATGTCCAGATTATATTAACCTGTTCATTAATCTATAAAATTAACATGAATCTGAAAGGCTTGAATAATTTTACTATTTTTGCAATTACAAGTGTCAAACAAAATGCTCTTAATCTATATCAGGAATTTCATAAAATATTGAAAATGGTCAACAAACACATGTTATCCATTCAACAAGAAAATTTCAGTTTTTATACATAGTGTAAGCAGACATAAGAAAAAAAAAATGACCAGGATATACTGACAAGAAGAAGAAAGACAGAATCTCTACAAAAGTTACTGATGTTTAGTTTTAAAATATGAATAAATATTATCTAAGTAAATTGATAAAAAAATAGAAAAGTAAAATGTATAAAAAAAAGTCAAAATATAAATATTATCAACAGTTCAAATTGTCATTTAGATATCAGTATCTTTCTCTTCATCACTGAAATCATCCAGAGTGACAAATTGATTGCCTATGTTGTTGTTTCGTCTCATTGCAGACTTTAGTCTTGTGTGCCTAAAAAGCTCCATCTCCTCTGTATCATTCCAGCCTGGTGGTGGGACTCCCTGATTCAAGGTAGACTCTCTAGACATGATGATCACATGGTTCTTTTCATGGTCTTCATCATAGTTGTTCTGTGGCAGGTCCATCAGTTCACATTCAACATTCTTCTCTGTACTGCCTAATTGTATCATTCTGTTTGGAACAGACTGAAAACCTGAAAAAGCCTTTCCAATAGACTCTCGTTCCCATTCGTTCATAAATTTGTCCTGTTTATTTAGATCAGGTTCAAAGCCACCATTATCTTTTTGATTTGCCATAGATGATCCAGCTGTTATCTGTGGTATAGGTTTTAATACAGGCAAGAGGTCATCAACTGGTTGGTTCAGAAAATTCATTACATCTTTTTCTTTACAACCAAAGTCTGTCTTTCTAGCCAATATACCATTATCATCACTTTTACCAGAATTGTTGTAAGGTGATATTTTATCCTTTTTAGTATGCTTCCTTTTCTTCTTTTTCATTTTCTGGGGTGCATTTAGATCTTCCTTTGGGGGATCATGAAGTGATAAAGTTGAAGATTCCCTTGACCAACATGTTACATCCTGTTTACCTGTTGTACACATGAAATCTGTCAATGAGGACCCTTTTAGATCAGACAAACTATCATCTATAGTACCATCATATGGTTTCATTTCTAGCCTGGGTTTGGAAATAGTATCTCTTTTGACTGGAAGTGATAACCAACTTGCATCATTAGCTGAGGTTTGATGGAGAAATCCTCGAGTTGGGTGGAAGGACAGCTGATCTAATTCCATTGACATCATTTGATGTGATCCGGGGGCTGGATGGTCTCCATGTTCTGCAAATGAATTTTTCACATCAGGCACACCATGTTTCTGGAGTAATTTTTCCCTATCAGATGCAAGTAGTACTTTGACAACACCACCAGGTTGAGGATGTTGAAATCCACCCTCTTCATCATCATCATGTTCATGAAAGATATCCCTTTTACCTTTTAATGGTCCACTATGACATGACTTTTGTTTGGTAGTGAGAATATGGTTGAAGTTTTCAGGTGGATTCTGTTCCACTGGTACCTATGAGGTAAAATATAAAGAGTATTAATAGTTTTATTCTTATTTCATTAGTGTTCAACCTAATAATTACTTGAAACAATTGTAAAGTACATGTACACCTGTTAACAAGAGTTGGCATATTAAATAAAATGCTTCGCTGAGCTCAGCTGGATACGACCGCAGAGGTCCAACCCTGAACAGTTGGGGCGAAAATGGACACAATATTCGCGTTTGATACAGGTCTGAATTTGGATTGCAATTAAATATTTGACACATAATAGGTTTCTGACACCGAAAAATAACTGTAGTCAAAGAACTTAGAATTGATTATATGATTTGAATTTATATTCAATTTTTTGCTTTTGTGCAAAACACTATGCTGTTACGAATTGACCCCCCCCCTTTTTTTTTGCTTTTGTGAAATACACTATGCTGTTGCATATTGAACCCCCCCTTTTTTTTGCAAAAAAAAAAAAATATTTGAAGAAATTTTCTTTTTAATTTCTGAAATCTGAAATGAAAAAAAAAATTGCCCCCCACAATTTCTTTTTTACCCCCTCCCCTCTTTTCCAAAAAAAAAAAAAAAAAATTCTTTCCCTCAAGATATGGTCATAATCTCAATTCAAATTTCCAACCATAATTACCAATTTAAATACACCATAAAAGTCTTAAATAGAAAATTTAAAAGCATTGTACAATTTTGTTTTTGGATTACCTCCCTTACACTGCTTTCAAATTGTCCATTAACCAGGAAACCCTTGTTTTTTCCCCTTTTTTGCCCCTAATTCCTAAACGGTTTGATCCATAACCCCTAAACCATCCCTTTGTGGTATGGAAACGTGGTATAATTTCAGAGAGATCCATACACTTAAACACAAGTTATTGTCTGGAAGTTACAAAAATGCTTATTTTTGGCCCCTTATTCCTAAACTGTTGGTATCATAACCCCCAAAATCAATCCCACCCTTCCTTTTGTGGTATTGAACCTTATGGTAAAATTTCATAGAGATCCATTCACATAAACTAAAGTTATTGTGCGAAAACCAATGTGTCTTCGGACGCCGCCAACGTCATACCAATATACGGCCGCAAAAATTGCGGTCGTATAATTATTATACTTCATGTCAAAATGTTAGATTTTGATTGGTTAATGTGAGGGAGACAATTTACTCTATCCCATGGCAAAAATTAAATAATACATATCTGAAAGGGTGATAGAGCAGATTGTTACCCCCCTAACCTTGGCTTCGCCTCAGTTGACAATGTTTTCTTGGGGTAACAATCTGCTCTATCACCCTCTCAGCTATGTGCTATTTATATAATATCTCATTGGCTTATTGCAATACTTAATAAGCAGCTGTTTCAAGAATGCATGATACACCCTTATTGTGCTAATTGAAATCATAGCAAAATAAAAAGGAATATTTAGAAGGCATTTCATAGGCAAATTATGTTCCAATTATCTAACCACCATCCTGTCCTATTTTCCTCAAATGTGACCTACCCAATTAGACTTATCACAGGTTTGTACTTACATGAGCACCAAGATGGGTGCCACATGTGGAGCAGGATCTACTTACCCTTCCAGGGCACCTGAGATCACCCCTGGTTTTTGGTGGGGTTCTTGTTGCTCAGTTTTTAGTTTTCTTTGTTGTGTTTTTTTGTATACTGTTGTTAGCATTTTAGTTGTTTTTTGTTTTTGTGTCATGGCATTGTCAGTTTGTTTTTGACTTATGGAGTTTTAATGTCCCTTTGCTATCATTTGTCTCTCTTTTATCAGAACTAAATAAAATTGCTATTTATAAAAACATTTAAAAGGATACCCTTAAGAATATAAGTATTATGTCAAATATGACTGTTGAAAGTCCCATAACTAAAGACCAACAATCCAGAGGGGCCTCGGTGGCCTAGCAGTCTAAGTAGTTACTACTGTAATCACTAGCCAGTCAACATTGAGGTTGTGAGTTCGAACCCCGCTCGTGCGGGTGCACTCGACTCCAATCTTAATTGACTAGGATTGTCAGTTTTCCTATCGAAGATCTGTGGTTTTCTCCGGCTTCCTCCACCAATAAAAACTGGCCGCCACGAAATAGCATAAAAGTGGCGTTAAAACACCAAAAATCAAATCAAACCAACAATCCAGAAAGTTTTCAAAATCAAAATAGCGTCTACTTTCACTAACTCCAACATAAGTGTTAAGTGTGTAGTAATTTGATCCAAGCATATTAGAGCTAGTGCATGACATTTAAAACATGCCTTTTATTATTTTATATAATCGACTGTCTACATCCAATAACTCTGGAATGACATACCAGATTTTTTATTAAATCAAACATTGTGTAATGTTCGACAATTCCAACAATTATGTAAATTTTCCAGTGAACTCAAGTTATGTTACATCATGTGAAAAATTTACTTAAATCTGACAATTAAAGTCCCGTATCTCTGGGTGACAAACCATAAATTAAAAAAATCACAAGGGAGCTTCCTTTTAAGATACTATCCCAACAATAATGTAAACTTTTGAGGAAATCAAACCAGGCAGACTGGAGTTAGTGCACAATATATGAAAAATTACCTAATTCAAACTGTTAAAGTACCGTAACTTTGAACCGTCAAAAGAAAAATGTTCAAAATTGAAAGGGAACTTTCTTCCGTCAATCCTAATGTTGTGATAAAATAACATGAGAATCGGTAAAAGCAAATTTTTTTTATCGTACGAAGTGTTGATGGATGGACGGACATTGGTATACCATGATATGTCCATTCTTTGAATGGCGTATAAAAATCATTGAAAATGTGTACACAACCCTTTGTCAAGCCTGCCATTTGCCATTATATATTTTGCTCAGGGTGCTATCTTTTGATTATGAAGAAACCTTTGTCCATTTTATGTTAAATTTCCATGAGGGTATGACAAAGATTTTCAAGTTTTACAATCTCTTTACTAATAACTGCAAAAAAACTAAGTCCATTCATAAGTAAAATAGGGGGAAATAAAAAAAAACATTGTGGAATCTCTTGATTATGAAGCCCCTTTTGTAAAAGTTTCCCGATATTCCATAAAGTTTAAACCATTTTTATCTCATTTTCAATATGTTTTTTCCAATAACCCAACTCCCGTAAAACGTTTCAAGACAGACACAAAAACTTGGGATAGGTGATTTTGACCCAAATGCAATGTTGAGTTCAGACATTGTTTCTATTATAACACAAGGATTGAAATGTAGAACATCATTTTTCATAGTTGTTTCTCTAAAAATTACCAGAGTTAATTTCGTTCTCACATCAACCTTTTCAGCTTTGAAATTCTGAAAAAAGTGTCCCCATTTCCATTCTCAATTTTATGTCTCCAAACAGAAGGGTATTTCCAAAAATCAAAATGATCAAAGTCCCTGATGGAGAGATTGGAAAAGTTGTGTTCATAATTATAGAAAAAAAGTTGACATAAAGTACACTTTTTCAATAAGTTCAAAAAGATAATCATTCTTTTTTAAGTTGATAAAATAAGCTTTGACATCTATTTTGCAATACAAAAATAAGCATTGAAATTTGAATAAATTGCTTCGCCGTGCGCAGCTGGATATGACCGCAGAGGTCCAACCCTGAACAGTTGGGGCAAAAATGGACACAATATTCGTGCTTGATACAGGTCTGAATTTGGATTGTAATTAAATATGAGACACATAATAGGTTTCTGACACAGAATAACTGAAGTCAAAGAACTTAGAATTGGTTATATGATTTGAATTTATATTCAATTTTTTGCTTTTGTGCAATACACTATGCTGTTGCGAATTGGACCCCCCTATAAAAAAAAAAAAAAAAAAAAATTTACCCCCCCCTTTTTTTTTGCAAAAAAAAAAAATATTTGAAGAAATTTTCTTATTAATTTCTGAAATCTGAAATGAGAAAAAATTGTCCCCTCCCCCTCACAATTTCTTTTTTACCCCCCCCCCCCCCCCCTTTTTCCAAAAATAAATATTGTTTCCCTCAAGATATGGTCATAATCTCAATTCAAATTTCCAATGATAATTACCCATTTAAATACATCATAAAAATCTTAAAATAGAAAATGACATACATAATCATGGCTAAAATTAATATTCCTTAATGATCATTTTTAAATAGTAACTTCTAAAAATAATTTGACAGCTAATCACCTCAAGACAATACATTTCTTTAAACATAATTTATAATAAATAGTGTATGGGAGGTAATCTAAACATAACATTGTACTTTTTTTTTAATTGTCCATTAACCAGGAAAACCCTTGTTTTTCCCCCTTTTTGCCCCTAATTCCTAAACGGTTTGAGCCATAACCCCCCAAAGGCAATCCTAACCATCCCTTTGTGGTATGGAAACTTGTGGTATAATTTCAGAGAGAACCATACACCGTTCCACAAGTTATTGTCTGGAAACTAGAAAAATGCTTATTTGGGCCCCTAATTCCTAAACTGTTAGGACTATAACCCCCAAAGCAATCCCAACCTACCTTTTGTGGTTATAAACCTTGTGTTTAAATTTCATAGATTTCTATTTACATTTACTAAAGTTATTGTCAGGAAACCAAATGTCTTTGGACGACGCTGACATGATACCAATATACGACCGCGGTCGTATAAAAACAGATTAGTGAATGATTCTTAAGTTATTGCATGCAAATTGGACACAGTTTGGAGGTGCCAGCCAGCTAAAGTTACTATCCCAAATTAATAAATGTACTTTTCCATTGGATTACACAATTATAAACTTTATAATGTACATTACCAGTCCATCATTATAAAAATCCAAATCATCTTCAACAGATGTCTTCTTCATAAGTTCTTCTCTGACTGTGATTTCATCATCTAAATAGAATATAAGTAAGTTATGTATATAATTTATTCTAATATGACATTTTTCTTTTGCTTTGGAAACAAAGCCATGTTCTAATTCCAATAAAACAAGGGCTGCACATGATTGAAATTGAAATTCCAATGTCAGTTGAATTTTGAACAACACGGGAGATCAAAATGGACATTTGTGTTGGTGTTGCTCACTAGGAAATTAAATAAAATCATTCTAAAAGAAAGTTTAAATGTATCTGTTAATTTTTTATGGATAAACTGTGATTTTCTATAACAATTTTAATTCATCAAATCAAAATGGCTACCTTTTGAACGTGTATTATAGGTCCACTTCAAGTACAAAAGTTCAAAATTTTCCCATTAGAATTGAAATAATTCCATCATGCAATTCTGTATGCTCATTTTAACATGGTAGGCATTATATTTGTCAACATTTTACACCTCGCTAATGCTGGGTATAAAGATATTGACAAATATAATGCCTACCCATGTTAAAATGAGCACAGAGCATGGCAAGAAAGAATTATTTCTTAAATTTTGTTTTGAGAGGTAGCTCACAAAAGCAGAAGTTACAGTAGTTAGCAATGTGAATCTGAGGAAAATGATAAAATGTATGTTACAGTTAAACAAGAGTACACACACAGCATTACTGATCATGACTGATTTATATTGAAAGGATTTACTAAAAGTATTTACATTGTAAAAGATACTTGTAAATTAAGTCAAGATTAGATAAAACCTGCAAGAGAGACATGTATAAACCCTTTACAATCATTCTATTTCAAAATATAGTTGACTTATTGCTTATAGAATCTGAGAAAGGGATCTAGCCATGATAACTTAACATTGATCAATGAACCATAAAAATGGTCAGAAATTTGCCGGAAGGACTTCAAATTTTTATTATCTATTTCACAAGGTAACATTCAGCAGGAAGTCATATCACCCTTCCCAGACACATTATTCTGACCCCAGATGTATCCCCTTCCCAGACACATTAATCTGACCCCAGATGATCAGTCCTTGCTCATACTCCTTACTTAAGGTAGCACGACAGTCAGAATTTTCTGACTCCAACCAACAGTCTTTAAAGATTAATTTCTCCAAAACTACTCAATGGATTTTTAAAATCTTTAACTCATTTTAAAGCTGAAATATAACTCTTTCTTAATCTATAGATAAATTTATTTGTGGTGTGATTAATCTCAAAATATAGCTCATTAATTGCCAAAAAAGTGGTCTTCCAACTTGGATGAAAATGGCACATTCAGGTCAAATGGTAGTAAAAATTTGTTTTCATCCCTTTGATCAACCATTCACAATCTACAAAACCGTGTCTCAGATTTTTGATATATGCCTCCAGTAATAAGATATATTATTTTTACTGCTGGATGCCAAACCTCATTTCACCTTTCATCTTTGGAGACCTATAAATTCATTTAGAAACAAATTATCCAAAAACTGGGACACGGTATTGTAGAAAATACTCCCTTCAATCACATATATCAAAGTCAAGCCAATAGGGGTACCCATAAAGTTTCTATTTTCATTTTTTCCTTACAATTCTCATGAAAAATTGTTCTGAGAAATGACCTTAAAACTGAATTTCCTCTTAAGAACCCCTATAAATGCCACATAAATACAAAAATTCCACTGGGAACACCCCAGGAGTGTTCTAACACCATTACTTTATCAATAGAACCACACACATTGTGTCTTTGATGCTCTAATGCTGTAAAATTTGCATTTTGTGTGCACTGTATAACACTAACTTGGCATTTGGCGGGAGTTTGACGTCACAGATTTGACCAACATCTGTGATGTAGTAATTAAATAAAGACAAAGCTCCGCCTCTGTCCAGACAGTCTAAGATAAGAGAATAACAGGATTGGCCAGCTGCATCATAATTAATATTTAACATCATTATTCTCACTATAAAGAATAATTTTCATTTGAATTTTAAAAAGAAATATAATATGACCATGATGACTGAAATTAGCTTAAATATTAAAATTGTGCATTAAATGACATGTCCATAAAAAGATCAAGACAATCCCCTTCTTGAAAATAGACTGTCCAACATGATTTATGAGTTTCATGGAATTAAAAAATTTCACATAAACTTAAAATTAGTTAAAATGCCTAATATTATTTTTAAATGTAGAAGAACAAAGACGAGAAATTTATACAGGCAGTCAGAGGCTTTCAAAGATACTTTCATACTCTTTTCCATAGTTTTTTTTTTCATTTTGGTAGATTTTTTCCCTTTAAATTTTTTCCTATTCATATCTTTTTCTTTTTCTCTGTTCTAAACTTCCATGTTTTATAAATTAGTTTTGTTGCAATGCAATGAGATATTTATCTTGTGGTCAGGGATTAACAGCTGGACACTGGTACATCATCAACAGATGATTGACATATTAGCCCCTCCCAAATGCCTATATATTTAGATTAATTACATGTGCTTTTATTTACATAAGTTCATTATCAATTTACTCCCTGTTGTGATATGATAATGACTTTGGGATTTTTACAAACTGTGCAGAGTAATACTTTATTCAAAATTATGTGATAAAAAAAATATCTTCAAAAAATCATTGTTAGACTGTAGTGCTACCTTAATGACATCTGGACATACTAGTAGTAATATTTTGTTAATCCAATGGTTTTGCCAGATTTGTATAAAAACATTGACCTTATTCAAGGATGCAGAGATCCAGTTTGCTCTCCAAAAATTGAAATGACTTTTAAAATCTTTGTCTAGTAAAAGTTTTATTCCAGTAATGGAAATAATATTATAAAGGGTACATAATTGGTACTTTGCATGAAAGGGAAGGTGTACCAGATACATACACTGGAAAAACTTTTTTCATGGGTTTATAATATGGCTAATATGACAACTGAGGAATTCACGATGCATTTGTTGTGAAATGGAAAAATACAAAAATATGATATCTAAAAACATTCTTAAAGACTTTTGAATGGTGCATACACCTTGATAAATATTTTTATGAGCAAAAATTTACAATTCAAACTTAAATTCAAAGAAAGGTCAGTCAAATGAAATAAAATGCAAACTCATTCTGTAATTCATCTTTTTTATACACTGAAAAAACAAAATAAGTTCAAGATATGCATAAGAAAGAAAAGTGCTGGCAAGTACAATTTTCAGAAATTTTCTGAATTCAAGAGCAGTAATTCTGCATTTGTTTGCGGACAAACCAAACTCAATTTTGTAAGTTATTATTATACACTACAGTGGCGGATACAGAAATTTTCATAAGGGGGGGGCACTGACTGCCATAAGAGGGGGCCCGCTTAGTTATGCTTCAGTGATTCCCTATATAATCAACCAAATTTTTCCCACAAAAGAGGGGGCAGGGGCACCCCCCCTTAAATCCCCCTCTGCACTAATGTATCAAAAATAATATAATATCCTTTCATTACATAGACATATCTGATTACGTATCATCCGAATTAACTTGGAATTTTGTGAAAAATGTTGATTACTCTGTAAATTTAAAAGCTACCCGCTCCCCAATAAATCATGCAAAATGATTATATTTTCAAGTTTTTGAAAATGTGCATTTGGAAAAATAAATTACTTGCTATCATTATTCTTTTACTGAAAAATTTTGATTCAAATTTCACATTGCATACCCCTTGAAGTATTAACCATCCCTTATTGAAGGGTTGTTCAAATCTATGGTATTGTCATTATGCAACATTTTAATGTAAATGGCTTTTAGTTTAATGCGAAGTTTAAAATCAAAATTTAAAAGGTATGAATTAAATACCTACTAAATTTAGAGAGAACTAAAACAATATGCAAAACATATGCTCCCCAATACCTCATACATTGTTGGAAAATCCATTTCCAACATTTGGAAAAGTTTAATGGCATCTCCAAATCCACACACAGTGTAAATGCAGACAATAACCCAGACAAAATACAAATAATTCTCAAATAACTAAACATTCCTTTTTATACTTATAAGTGTACTTTTGGCCAATGTTCTATTTTTGAATTTTTTTATTCCTGTGATTAGCTTCCATTATTTTGACATCATTATACAACAAGAGTGCACACGCTGAAATGTCTCGCCTACTAGTCTGACCATTGATTTTATGTTGATAGTCCTTCATATAAAGCTTTACTACAAGTATTACATTAACATTTATGATCCAAGAAAATGAGGTCAAGGTCAGATAAACCAAGTCGGAAATAGATGTACACCTTTAATACAATCATTCCATACACAGAATATAGATGACCTATTGCTTATAGTATAAAAGAAACAGACCAAACTATGGAAATTCTATATTGACCAATGAACCATGAAAATGAAGTCAAGGTCAGATGAACCCTGTCAGACAGACATGTACACCTAAAATCATTCCATATACCAAATATAGTTGACCTATTTCTTAAAGTTTAAGGAAAACAGACCAAAACACAAAAACTTAGCATAAGCAATGAATCGTTAAAATGAGGTCATGGTCAAATAAAACCTGCCAGACTGACATGTACATCGTAAAATATTTTCTATACACCAAATATACTTGACCTACTGCATTCAGTATTAGAAAAACAGACCAAAACACAAAAACTAAACTATTACCACTGAACCATGAAAATGAGGTCAAGGTCAGATGACACCTGCCAGTTGGACATGTACACCTTACTATCATTACATACACCAAATATAGTAGACCTATTGCTTATAGTATCTGAGATATGGACTTGACCACGAAAACTTAACCTTGTTCACTGATCCATGAAATGAGGTCAAGGTCAAGTGAAAATGGTCTGACAGGTATGAGGACCTTGCAAGGTACGCACATACCAAATATAGTTATCCTATTACTCATAATAAGAGAGAAATTAACATAGCTAAAATAACTTTTTTTTCAAGTAGTCACTGAACCATGAAAATGATGTCAAGGACAATGGACGTATGGCAGACGGAAACTTCATCTCATAAGGCATCTATATACAAAGTATGAAGCATCCAGGTCTTCTACCTTCTGAAATATTAAGCTTTTAAGAAGTTATTTAACGCTGCCGCCGCCGGATCACTATCCCTATGTTGAGCTTTCTGCGACAAAAAAACAAAAGAAAAAACAACTGGACATTAAACATTCAGATTCTTGTTTACAGTTATCCCCAACTGCATTGACTCTCCTCATGTGCAGTCACCTCCCCTTTAGTGCAGTCACAACTAATAACTTAATTTTGGTGTGTCATCTCCCAACTGCAAAATGCATACCAAAAGTTTTTTTATTGTTCATCCTTGCTCCAGAAACTTTTTCACAATCTTTATTTTCTCCAAGACATTCTTTGGTTTTATTGAATAAATTGGTAATCTCTGTAATCATATTTAACTTCAAAGTTCAAATAAACAGATATTTAAATAGTAATTGAACTTGTTGTTCTGAAAGTAAATCAAATATTTTTCATCTCTAAATTTTATGGTTGTTCAATAAACTTTACATAACAAGCAAAGGACAAGGTTCACTTCTGGCAAAATACGGCCTTGAATTTCAACTTGATCATAAATTATCAAAAAGGCCACAATTGGGTTCTTAAATAAATATATTTCAAAAGCCTAAATACTAGTTAAAACATTTCTCTATATAAGAGTACATGATAGGCTCCAAAGTCAGCAATTTTTGGAGATATTGTCAAAATATGATAATTTTTTATATTTTTCAGACTCAAAAGCTTTAAAAAAAATCTTGGACAGAACCTATGATCCACAAAGTTCTTTAAACAAAAAAGTCCCAAGGTTTATATTGAATCCCTAGACCACAGTTGCTAACTCACACAATTTCTCTGTGTAATACACGTATTCTTAACTGTTTACACATGCTATTTTAATCACAAGGTGTATGTATGCATTCTTTATGTCTTTACAAATTACACACGATCACATGTATCAGGTACACAACTGAATGATACAGAGTTTTGGTTGTTAGTTATTACTTATATTTTTTTTTTATCAAATGTGAATCATTATATTCAAGATAAGTTGCAAATGGTTTCTTTCAGGATAAGTTGCAAATGGTTTCTTTCACTAAAAAGTTTAAAGTTATTTTTCATTTTCATGTATATGTCCGGTGTTTGGAGGATTAGTTGTTTCTGGGCAGGTAGCTTCGTCTAAATAGGAAGGGGTACTTTTGTACCTATCAAAAATGGTTCAAAATTTCATGTTAATAAAAGAAAGTGATCGTGGGCTGAATAAATTGTTTGGTTTGAACCCTTGTACAGTTGTAACCCTCTTCTATATTTGACATTTACTCCCCAAATTTTTTGTCAAAAGCGATAAAAATAGACATTCAAATCTTGTTGTTTACAATTAAGTCAAAACCCATTTCACCCATACCGCCAGGTGCAAATAAATTATACCATCAATGAGGAAACTATCACCATCCAGGTATTCTGCTAATACTATTATAAAATATGAGAAAATTGGAAACAAACTGGTGTAAAAACACTGATAATGCATAACAAAGGGGGTCATAGTTTCATAATAAATAATGTGATGTGCCAAAAATAAACCATTTTGTTTTAATAGTAATATCACAACTATTTCTATGTGAAATTTGAAACACTTTAGCTGTATTAAAAAAAATAAATCTTATGGCCAATTTAAAACCTCGGTGAGCCTTATCCTTTAACTAGAATACTCACACTCTTTAAAAATTCAGTTTGTTTTGCTGTAAACAAAACATAATTGCCCTTTAAGACAATAAATTATCTTTTTTATTATGTAGAAAGTTTTGTAACAACAACACTAGAGAGACTGCTGCAGAAAATTTATTGAATGATTGACATGTTAATAAATACATTCAATAAATTTTCTGCAGCAGTCTCTCTAGTGTTGTTGTTACCATGCGTTCGTTCACTCTTGTGTTTAACCTTTTTTATTAGGTGTCAATGTTTAACTTATAACACCTACCTGTGTCCGTAATAATTCCTGTAGGATGGACCCATTTATTTTTGTAGCTGAAAAAAAAACTTCCAATGAAATGTTATAAAAGTGTTTCTGTTTCATTCTTACTAAATAAATAAGATTTGATTTGTCTAGTAACAAATTGAAGGGCTTTAGTATTGTCTGAACAATATTATTTTATGTGTACTATTTATATAATTACATTTTCAAACAATAACTTCAGTAATCTTAAATGCATGTACTTTAATAAGGTCTTTTTTACATCCATTTTTGTTTGAGGTCTTTGTTACATCTATTTTTGTTTGTATTTGTTGATAAATTGAGTAAAGAAAAGCTGTTACCTTACTTTCAATGAGTACAAAGACTATTAAAACTATTTATTTACATCTTAGAATTCTCAAGTAACTATGCATAGTTAAGGTTATGTAGACAATGTGATGCAATGGTTCTTTATATTTATAAACTCTAAAGAAGTTCTTTTTGGATTGTCTTTCTTACTAACATACATGATAATAACATCTTGATCGCTGCAAAATGCTTAACACTTTAAAAACCTTGAAGTTATAGAAATCAGCTATGATCAAAAGTTGTATTAACTAAGACTTTGAATGTTTATAATTTTTGAATATTCAAACAAAAAAAAGCATTTATTTGTCCTTTACTACATGTAATTATAACTCTCAGTAAATAACATTTGATTTGACATATTCATGCATTTTTCATTCATGAATGTGGGTAGACCCCAAGTTACCTGTTTTAGCTTTAGAAATACAAAAAATATACCTAGTTTTTATCCTGCAGTATACAATCACTATGATAGCAATGATGACTATAATCACTACAGAAAGACCAATCACAGCTTTAGCCCATGTAGCCAATCCACAGTCAGGACAAGAACAATCATATCCACCATACTTGTTAGTGCAGGTGTAAGAATCTGGACAAGGTTTGCTTAGGCATTCATTCACATCCTCTTCACAATGTAGTCCAGTAAACTCTTGTGGACATTCACAGTTATAATAGAGATCAAAACTCTCAGCTCTGTGAGTATCTTCACAAGGGTAGTTACTGGTGTTTTTTGCTGAAAAAGAATTTATTACAATTGAACGTGGCAGTTTCATTCCATATGTATGTGAATTGGAACAATCTTATCAATAAAAGTGCTGTTCCTTTGCTTTTTGTGTTTTTAGCTGTGAATAAACTGATTTTGTGTTATGGATACCCCCATATCCTTTCTTTTCAATTTAAGAGGATTCCTGCCAAAACTGTGTCAAATTTGTTCATATTGATAAGCCCAATTATTCCTAAAAACAGAATTTCAGAAATCATTTTATTTAGAAAAGCCATTTTGTCAGTACTCTGACTTTATTCAAAAAGCAACCAATATTTGACTCTTTGCACATGATATATTTTTCTCTTGATTAAAACAGTAGTAATAAAACTTTTTTTCAAGAATATTATAGGTAAAATTCTTCTTACTATCAAATCTCATAGACTAAAGGAGTATTTTTCCTGTTGAATTTGACAAATTAATTGATAGGCCAGAGTCTATGTTTCAGTATAGGAAAACCCCAAAATCATACATAGCTGTTTTCAAGGATTAACCAAGTGTGACATGGATAAAAGACAAATTTACGGTCCATGACGATGCTGTGCACAAAATAAAAAAAAATCCCTATGTGTCACTGCAGTATCTCTTACCAGTTTACACAATTATTCAACATATATAAATAATATAAATACTGCACAATGTGCTTTTATCAACACCATAGTTCAAACTATCAACAGGTTAAAACTTTGATTTTTACCTTGACACACTCCTTTGTTTTGACAGGGTGATTCCATAATAGCAACCTGTATGGTAACCACTTCAGATGAGCTGTTCCTATCGTCCATCACATACAGCTTTATATAATCATAACCATAGTAATTGTCAGGTTGAATATAGGTCACTGTGATATAGATCCATGACATATCTGTTACATTGTATGGTAATGTTTGAGTGAAATTCCCACAGGGTAAACTATTAATCTGAAATGGAACATAAGTGTTGGTGATAGACATTTTCTTCGTCAGTTGTTTGTCATTCTTTTTTTTCCATGAGAAGACGAGTTCAGTTTGAAATATCTGTTGTCTGTGTTTAATTCACTTAGTGGTAAGTTATATTTATATCAATGCATTAAAGTGTACATGTGAAAAAATAGCAAAAGATCCTATAACTACAAAGATGGAACTCCATTTTAACCACATGTATCAAATTTGATTCAGCATGAAAGTTGAAAATTATACATCAAAATAAAATACACAAAAGTGTACAAAGACAAAACACTTCTGTGAAAATGATTTAAGACTCCTACAAATACTGTCGTTTTTAATTGCAGTATGACCGTAACTAACATTAATATCACCAAAAGGCACTTTAAAGATATAAATAAGAAGACTTGACAACAAAAAATTGAAAAAAAAACCATCTGAAACCTGTGGACTGAATGCATAATATTAAAACATAATCTCAGCACACAATGGTGTTTTGAGAAGTATAACAATGAGTTATACAGTAACAAACATCGTATAACTGATACATAAGGATGAATAAAAGGTGATGTTGGGTATATGTTAATGAGACAGAAACCCAACAACACAAGGAGAGGATATGTTATACTACCTCAAGAGAGCATAAAATAATTTGTGATAATAAGATTGACAAATGTTTGCATGCAGAGTTTCCTAAGTAGGGTAATAATATGGGCATTCAAAATATAAGCGAAGGAAGAACATACAATTATTAACTTACTATGGCCTAATAAAATATTTCAATGTTACAAAACTTACCAATGGATCATGAGGGCATGGTCCAACATCAGGAAGGATCAACTGTTGTTTAGAAACTGTAATATTTCCATGCTCAAGTTGTGATACCATCAAAGTTAAATTATCTTGTACATCAATATCATATGCCCCAAACACAGCTGTGAACAGGTCAGACCAGAGGTGTTCTGTGTAATTGGTTTTCTGTTCTAGGTATACCTACAATAATGTGATTTTATATGAGTGTAATGAAAAAAACAAGAGTGCACACGCTGAAATGTCTCGCCTTCTTTACTAATCACTGATATTATGTTGATAGTTCTAAACATAAAGCTTTATTACAACTGTCACATAAACTTAACATTAACCAAGAAAACTAAACATTGACCAATGAACTATGGAAATGAGGTCAAGGTCAGATGAACCATGCCAGGCAGGCATGTACAGCTAACAATTCTTCCATACAACAAATATAGTTGACCTACTGCTTATAGTTTAAGAAAAACAGACCAAAACACAAAAACTTAGCACTGAGCAATGAACTGTGAAAATGAGGTCAAGGTCAAATAAAACCTGCGCGACTGACATATAGATCATAAAATATTTCCATACACCAAATATAGTTGACCTATTGCATATAGTATTAGAAAAAAAGACCAAAACTCAAAATCTTAACTTTGACCACTGAACCATGAAAATGAGGTCAAGGTCAAATGACACCTGCCAGCTAGACATGTACACCTTACAATCATTCCATACACCAATTATAGTAGACCTATTGCATCGGTATAAGAAAAACAGACCAAAACACAAAACCTTAACTATAACCACTGAACCATGAAAATGAGGTCAAGGTCAGATGACACCTGCCAGTTGGACATGTACACCTTACAGTCCTTCCATACACGGAATATACTTGACCTATTGCTTATAGTATCTGAGATATGGACTTGACCACCAAAACTTAACCTTGTTCACTGATCCATGAAATGAGGTCGAGGTCAAGTGAAAACTGTCTGACGGGCATGAGGACCTTGCAAGGTACGCACATACCAAATATAGTTATCTTACTACTTATAATAAGAGAGAATTTAACATTACAAAAAATGTTAACTTTTTTTTCAAGTAGTCACTGAACCATGAAAATGAGGTCAAGGACATTGGACATGTGACTGACGGAAACTTCGTAACATGAGGCATCCATATACAAAGTATGAAGCATCCAGGTCTTCCACCTTCTAAAATATAAAGCTTTTAAGAAGTTAGCTAACGCCGCCGCCGCTGCCGCCGCCGGATCACTATCCCTATGTCGAGCTTTCTGCGACAAAAGTCGCAGGCTCGACAAAAAACAGTTCAAGGGTTATTGAATGATTGAATCTTAGACAAGTATCACTGTTCTTGAAAATTTTGTTACACTGTTTCATAGCCTGATGCCAACTAAATTTTAGTCTTTCCTCCTCTTTCTTTCATTTGTTTACACTCTGTGTATTTTAATTTAAAAGAACTGTTCCAAATGAGATATGAGGTCAAAAGATCTTGAATATCTTGCCATCTGATATGTTCTGTAAATACTAAAGTCTTTACTGCATCAAAATCTGAATTACTTACCATGACTGGTTCCTTGTAAAATCTGAACAATATAGAGCTACCATACTGAGTAAGGAAAACAACAAGGTGGTCATGTTGACTGGTGACATGGATTGTTATTGTGACATTAGAACTTACCACAACTGGTTCACTAGTGTCCTCTAACAATATAGAGCTACCATACTGAGTAAGGAAAACAACCGGGTGATCATTCTTACTGATGACATGGATTGTTATTGTGACATTAGAACTTACCACAACTGGTTCACTAGTGTCCTCTAACAATATAGAGCTACCATACTGAGTAAGGAAAACAACCGGGTGATCATTCTTACTGATGACATGGATTGTTATTGTGACATTAGAACTTACCACAACTGGTTCACTAGTGTCCTCCAACAATATAGAGCTACCATACTGAGTAAGGAAAACCACAGGGTGATCATTCTGACTAATGACATGGATTGTTATTGTAACATTAGAACTGGCTGCTGGGATATCTGTCTGATGTTCTGTTAGGAGTATGTGTATGTATTCTATTCCTGCACAGTCTGTACATGGGGTATACAACAGCCTGAAAAAAGTATCTTTGGTTATATTAAGTATTATACAGTGTTCTAGCTTGGATTTAATGTCAGAGGGGTACATCTTCAAGATGATGATCATGTTTATAGGTATATAGCATTGAAATAATTGATCAATGTAATGTATTTCAGCTATATAAACCTTTTTCCAGTAGATAATATTAATTTTTGGGCAATAAAAAGTGTATATTTTCCTTCAGAAAGCACAATACATATAACAGGACTATGAGGGCTGAGGGGTGCTGTACCCATCTAATTTGGGCTAGCTAGAATACTGCACTTTATCATATATATAGTCAATAAAATTATCAATGATAAATAGGAAACAGCCATCATTATAACAATAAATAGACAAACACATTTGTGAATTTCTACCTGTAGAACCAGCATCAGCATTTGAAATTTGTAAAGACTCATGTAGGGGTTTTCAGGGTGTTGAAATTTAAATTACAAATTTTTTTTTTTTTTGATTTGTCACTGGGACAGCAACCCAAAAACATATAAAAAAAGATTTTTTAATATCGATATTTATAGTAGTTTGATGACCATCAGTGGACTGAACATTTGTATCAATTATTTCTGAATTATCATCACACAATTGGTATATTGTCTTCTGTGTAAATATATCCCTTTAAAAACTTGAACTTACATTCCATCAGTAGTTAGACTTGGAGTACCCATGATATAGGTAGAATCTTCTAAATAAAACAATATGGTATCGTCTTCATCATCTGTAGCCTCTAGTAAATACTGAAGAGTTCCTGAAATGTAGACAGTGCTGTTTTAAGAAGAATGTATTTTTACATTGTAATGATCTAGTTATGTTGACAGATTTTGCAAAAACATTTTAAACTGGATCCAGTTAAATATATTAGGTAAATCAAATAGAGTATTGTAATGTCAGAGCATATATATATTACTTCATATTAAGTAATTTTTCAATTGAAAATTTTGAATGCTTATTATATGCAGATTCTGAAAGCCTATTAAATTCCATCAATAGAACAAAGTAATTGATTAAAAAATTATCTACCCATACTACTGTTCTGTGGGCCCTTAATGAAGGAAATAAACCAATAACAATTAGTGAAATACCTTATTTTTAACATGAAGGTTTTCTTTGCATATTATATCAAGAATTGTCAAAAGTAATTTAACAGATAGCAAACAATTAAGGTTCTATTTTCTGTGGAATCTTTTTTGCTAAACATAAGAATCCAAAGACTTTGTAGAAACAGACATTACAAACAGAAAAAAACTGTCTCTGATGATGAATAGGTATGCTAATCTTATTCTTATTTTCCTCCATAGTTGCAGTCTCAGGAGTAGTTAATCTTGGTGGTGGATTGTAGATAGAAATATAGACAGTACAGACAGAGAAAACTAGAGTTGCCCGCATAGTGGGACTAATAACCCCTGTACATGCATTTTAGTTGCTGCTGTAAAATTTAGTATGAGACGATGACATTTTTAGATATTTGGCTTTCAGCCATATCAATGATAGATGTCAATCAACTATTTGGGGTCAAAGGTCAAAGCCAATATGACCTTATCTTACTGACAAATCATCTTCCCATAATGCATCTGCACACTTAGTTTTACTTACTTTGGTCAACATAAGTTCTCCAAAGAACAGTTATGCCCCAACACAAATAACTATCATAGGGGTCAAGGTCAAGGTGATCTGACTTTGGTATTTGACACATCTCGCTCCCATGATGCTTCTGCATAGAAAGTTTGTCAATCTAAATGCTATTTTACATCAGTTATGCACCCTACAGAAGTCAGATAATGTTTTACTATCATAGGGTCAAGGTAAAAATCAAGGTCAGTATGATGTTGCAGCATTCAAAGTTTTGTCAATCTAAGTGTTACTGTACAAAAGTTATGCACTCAATGTTTTACTGTCAAAGTTAAAGTCAGAGTGACCTAATTGCTATATGACAACCCATCCCATGATGTATCAGCATACCAAGTTTGGTCAACCTATGTTCTACGGTACAAAAGCTATGCACAGGACACAAATCAGACTAGGTTTTACTATTATAGGGGTCAATGTGACCAGATGGAAGGACAGACGATCAAGGAGATTCCTATATACTCCCAAATACTCAAATTTTGTTTGCTAAGGGTATAATTAGGTCTCTTATGAAAGTTATGCTGAATCTTACCTGAATCTTCCTCCATAGTTACATTCTCAGGACTAACCAATCTTGGTGGTGTATTGATTATAGTAGTAGACACTACAGACAGAGAGAACTGTGTCTCTTGTGACAAATACTCAAGCTGTGAAGTAGATCTTTTCTTGCGACTTATTGTAGAATTTTCTTCTTTGGACTTCCAGGTACTACAAACCTATTTAGACAAAAGCATTCTTAGATAAAATAATAATAAATAAAATTTGTATTATTTTTCTCATTTTTAACTAAAAATCCTTTAAAAAAATAAAAATCAATTTCAGCACAATAACAGTGGACAGTGGGTTGGTTTATTCAGGTTTCCGTATTGACAGAAAGTTATTGACTTGTGACGTCAAATATTTTGCAATTAAAGTTCTGTCTCATTGTAAACTGTAAACTAATAAACAAATTTTTTAATTGCCGTAATAATCTATTTATCAAAACTTATTTTTTGATGTGAAAATATTTTGACATGAACATTACAATTTTCCCTTCCTTTTCACCATTTTACTACGCATGATCGTGTCTTCAGTCATCGTATTTACTGGCTTTAGAAATTTCAGAAATCGGTTGTCCCCCGAATTAAAAAAAATGTTATAACGTTTTTTTTATCCTCCTATGCCAATGGGCATCGGTAGCATCAGTCTCACTTTCATTTGCATCAATATTCTCTCGTTGTTTGAATTGTTCAATGAGTTTCTTTTACCTCCATCTTTCATTTCCTATGTTGGTATAGCCGATAAAAAACAGAATCTTATCAAACGAAATTTCATCATGATCGAAACATTGTCGTACAAAGTACCATACCCATAAACTCGACAATGAACTGTCATCATCTGGGTCTTCTCCACCATCAAGGTCATCGGTTTTGGGGTTCACAACAGGGAACACAGCATTTCTTTTAGTTTATTTTAATGAAAACTTAATAGGGTTTCATTAAAAACAGCTCACAACTTAATTACACGGTTAGACACCTTGCTAATTGATTATCCTTAACAACCCTCTTGTGTAAACAATTTTGTTTTGATTGCATGTAAATCAATACTGTTATCATTTCAAACTAGATATCATTGAGATGGGAGCCATCTCTGAGGGCCCAGCTGTGAATAATGTGTGTTAAAAAATTTGTATCATTACCATAGGACATGGGGTTGTCAACTGAAACCAAAGTTTTTGACCTTGAACTTTAACCTTGGAAGTTGTACATAAATTATGACACACCCTCTGGTGTTGGTTAATATACATGTCAAGTATAAACTTTGAAATCATAACGGTTCTCAAGATATAGAGCGGACACGATCTTTACCATAGGACATGGGGTTGTCAACTGAAACCAAAGTTTTTTACCTTGACCTTTGACTTAGAAAGTTGTACATACATTATGACACACCCTCTGGTGTTGGTTAATATACATGTCAAGTATAAACTTTGAAATCATAACGGTTCTCAAGATATAGAGGGGACACGATCTTTACCATAGGACATGGGATTGTCAACAGAAACCAAAGTTTTTGACCTTTACCTTTGACCTTGGAAGTTGTACATACATTTTGACACACCCTCTGGTGTTGGTTTATATACCTGTCAAGTAAAAACTTTGAAATCATAACGGTTCTCAAGATATAGAGCGGACACGATCTTTACCATAGGACATGGGGTTGTCAACTGAAACCAAAGTTTTTGACCTTGACCTTCGACTTAGGAATTTGTACATACATTATGACACACCCTCTGGTGTTGGTTAATATACATATCAAGTATAAACTTTGAAATCATAACAGTTCTCTAGATATAGAGTGGACACAATTCGTTACGGACGGACGGATGGTATGACAGATGGACAGACAGATTGATCACTATAGGGCGTCCGCCATTCGGCGGGGCCCTAATTAATTATACAAACCGGTTTTGACAGGTAATAATTAATGTACTTAAGAGTATTGGGACTGCATAACTAGAACCGGAATAACTGGAATTCGGAATACACAGGGTCCGGTTTACAAAGACTTTGAAGGGAAAAATATAAGACTTAAATTTTCGGCCAGAATGGAGAGGAAATCGGTTTATTCAGGGTCTGGTTTACCCAGGTTTTACTGTATCACATTATAAATTAGAAGTTATGACCACTTATATATGCATTTTTATGTGGTATCGTCAGTTTTGGTCAAAATTTTCATTATTTATTGCAGCCCTTCATGCGGATAACTTGGCACCCTACCCTGATCCAGAAATTTGTTATGTCTAAAGATTCAACATAAACATTGGGAACTTTTGGTAACTAAACATTTTATATCAGAGGTATTGGCCAAAAATAGCACAAAATCTTCATATTTTGACGTGTCCAAAATGTGCTCCCTTTGGAGCATATAATGTACTCCTATATGGGGATCATCTCTTCTATTTCCATATAAAACAAAAGTGAGCTACAGCTTGTTTTGCTTTAACCGCAAAACTTAGGATATTGTCTTATATAGATAAGATGTGGTATGCACCTATTAACACATATTTTTATAAGAATCATTAAACTTGCCAATGTAGTAGTACTTCCATCAGGATTTATTGTCTCAGTATCATTATAGTCACCACATGTCTTACTTGTCAGCTCCCATTGTTGATCCACTGTAAACATACATTAACCCATTATTATTGCAATAAATCTATATCGAAGAAAATTGTACTCTTACTTTAAAACTTTTAATCTCAGAAAGCCTCAACAAACTACTGTTTAAGGGAAATCTAAACTTGTCATCATATACTTTAAATGCTTTGAAAAATAAACAGGCTAAGAATTTGCAAGTTGTTAATTTATGGACAGATATGATTATTTTCACACACCTTCTCAAACATGGTTTGCATGGTTTAAACTTTACAGGGGGGTGTCTTTCTTAGAATTTTTTAGTTTATACATAAAATCTTAAATGTAGGAGTTTAAATAATGCATGATTGCAGACTTTCTTCTATATTAGATCTGAAGTAGGCCAAGATGATTTAATTTTATTGGATCTTACCATAGGGATTTGTCAATAGTGGATGTGCTTTCTATTCTAAGTTCAAAAAGATGAAAATGGTATGATTGCCAATATGGAAAAAAGAACAAATATTGTTTAGCATTTCTTACAAAGCTTTGACATTTACATCCCAAAAATAGTGAAAGTTGACAAAATCCACTTGATTTTTACCACATTAAGGCATACAAAGCAAAAAGATCACGGTTCAACAAATTAAATATTGAAAGTTCATTTATTAAAACAATCATAATGAAAATAAATCTTTTTTGTCAACCCATCCATTATATATTTCAAGTCCAAAAATAACAATGGAAATTGGCCTATAATCATTGTATTTGTGGAAAATTGAAATGTATGCTAATTTGATGTCATAAACAAAACACCAATAAATACATTTTCCAACAAAACCAATATTTTCTATCTTGATCATTGTTTTATCTATGTTTCTTTGTGATAATTGCCATTAAATCCTAATTTGAAATTTTAGTTTACATGAAAAGGCCATATTTGGCCCTTATCTAACCTACTCCTAAAATGATCTCACATTGAGACATGTACTACAAAACTGGGAATAGAAGCAGTATCTACATCACTTTTATACCTGGATTCCAGTGAGTTAACATAATTCTTTGATCTCGATTTGAACTGGTATCAAAATAAGTTATGTTGACTGGTCCTGGCATAGGTAAATGTCCAATTGGTACCAGAGTAAAGGAAAATATACTAGTTGATAATCTGGAACAAAAGGCAATAGTAGTGTATATATGTATAGAATTATATCTTAAAATCAATGAAACAAGGTGAAAATCAGTTTCAAACTTTTATGTGTCCCATTTACCACTTAAGTTTAGAAATCGTTCACATTTTTTTACCAGAAGCATACACCAAGCTATAGCTTGCACTTGTGTGGTGACATTATCTACAAGTATGCAGATGTCATTTCCACAAAACATATCTTGTTTTTCATCAAGCTATTTACTAGTCTTTGTTAAACTGATATAAAGTGCTTTTCCTCTTGTTTTGTTTCTTTTTTTGTTCTATTTTTAACAATCAATATTTTTTTCACAATTATTTTTTCGAGGGACATTAAGTGACTAAATGTTAATTTAATTATGAATACCATCACATGTTTATATGCCTGTCCAAAGTTAGAAATCTTGTCAGTAGTTGTGACTGTATCTTTATGAATTTGGTTGTGAATTTGCTGAATTCTCTGAAGAATTTATCCACAAGGGTCTAGACTAGGTACAATTAAGAGCTTTCAATTTGTTTTGGATTATCCATTGCTTAAGATATAATATATACATTTTAAACTCATTTACTATTTGTTTTACATGGTATATGTAGTTTTGTTTGATCAGAGCATAAAACTAATTAACTGAAGAAAGTGTTATTGATACCAAGACAACATCCAATGTGTCCAAATATTCTATGATTCATTGGTCAAAGATCATATGTCAATGATCAATAACAGACCTGAACCAGTCAAGTAGACTAATACTGCACAAAACATGTCATCTACTCACCTTCTATAAAGAAGTCTGTCTACTAAATCCATGGTATCATTAGGATTTACTATATAGGGTTGGAACCACGTACTACTCACCTTCTATAAAGAAGTCTGTCTACTAAATCTATGGTATCATTAGGATTTACTATATAGGGTTTTACTCACCTTCTATAAAGAAGTCTGTCTACTAAATCCATGGTATCATTAGGATTTACTATATAGGGTTTTACTCACCTTCTATAAAGAAGTCTGTCTACTAAATCCATGGTATCATTAGGATTTACTATATAGGGTTGGAACTGTGTTGAAGATACTGAATCATAAACAGCTGTTAAATCAGAACGATCTAACGGTTCCATCAATATACTCTGTCCTGAGGCAAGTCCTGAAAAATACCAAAAAACAGTTAAATCTGTATTATATCTAATGGTTAAATATGCCTGATTACTTGCCCAAATACTTACCATCAGGTTGCATAATGAACAACCTGATTTCAATTCTCACCATCAGTTGTTGTATATGATTAGCCTGCTTGATAACACCCCAGTTTTTTGTAGGCTTCCTGTTGTTTAGTCTTTAGTTTTTGATGTTGTGTTTTGTAAACTTGTAATTCAGTGGTTGTCATTTGTTGCTATGTATCATATTTGTTTTTGGTTTATTGTTTTGTACATAAATCAGGCCATTAGTTTTCTCGTTTGAATTGTTTTACATTTGTCATTTTGGGGCCTTCTATAGCTTACTATGAGGTATTGGATATACTCAATGTTGAAAGCCATAGGGTTATCTATAGTTCTTAACTTCTACGTCATATGGTCTCTGGTAGCAGGTTGTCTTCTTATTTTTATATTGTTTGTCTTTTCATCATCTTTTTTTTTATTGCCATGGCATTGTCAGTTTCTCTCGACTTAAAAGTTTTGAATGTCCCCTTGGTGTCTTCTGTATCATTTTACTAACCAACATATGATAAACAATTTACTTTAAATACCCCCTATTTAACATGTAGGTGCTGTGTAGATTATCCCAGTACTCACCAAAACTATGTGTCCTACTCATCAATCAAAATAATCATATCAGATGTTTTTTTTGTGTATCATTAAAGTGATTTTGGGTAAAATACTCGCCATCAGGTGTTATTATAATAAGTACATCCCCTAAACTCCTCCTCTTCCTCCTGTTAGCTGACATATCATACTCCACCTCCAGAGCTTCACCTCCCACTGATGTCTTCATCACAGCTTTATCATCCATCATGGTTACGGTTCCCAAGGATTTATTACTACATAGGTAAGCATCATTACAAGCTCTCAGTGTTATAAACAGAGTTCTCCCTGGCTCCATGTGGAATGTATTAGAGGAAGAACTACTCTGGTCTTTTCTCAGCTCATGCAAATCATATAATTTGTACTCATTCATATAGATGGAGCCATTCTTTATCAAAACTGTACCAGACATGTTAACACTGATGTAGGTACAAGGGAAAATATCATCATTTATCTTGGATGATCCCAAACAGATATCTATAATACAAAAATATTGATTGCATCTTTTTTTTTACTCAATTAACTATTGAAGGTAGCTATCCCAATATAAAAAGAATAAACAGCTGCGCCATGAGCGCATGATACACCCGTCAGCTTGTGTGTGAATTTTTATGCAATAGTCATAAATTGTTTCTTACATACGGCTGGACATTCGAAAACCCCCCTTTTTTTATAAAAAACTCAATATCTCTAAAATAAAATTTTGAATCAAAACCAAACAGTATACAGATCTTTAGATTAATATAACTAAGAAGTGTGTAAAATTTTAAGCAATAATCATAAATCGTTTTTGAGATATGGCGCGACATATGAAAACCCCCCTTTTAAAAAAAAAAAAAAATCAATATCTCTTAAATTAAAATTTTGAATCAAAACCAAAAAGTATACAGATCTTTAGATTATTATAACTAAGAAGTGTGTAAAATTTTAAGCAATAATCATAAATTGTTTTTGAGATACGTCGAGACATGTGAAAAACCCCTCCCCCTTTTTTTACAAAATACTCAATAACTCAAAAATAAAATTTTGAATCATCACCAAAAAGTATACAGATCTTAAGATTAATATAACTAAGAAGTGTGTAAAGTTTTAAGCAATAATCATAAATTGTTTTTGAGATATGGCGCGACATGTGAAAAAAAACACACACCTGTTTTAGTTACTAAGTCCCGTAACTCAAAAAGTTTTAATCTTATTTTCACCAAAAAGTATACAGATCGTTTGACCATCATAAGAAACAACTATGTTAAGTTTCATGAAATTTGGATAAGTCGTTCTCAAGTTACTGTGTGACATGTTTACGCCAGACAGACAGACGACATAATTTGTATACCATAATACGTCCCGTCAAAATTTTGACGGGCGTATAAAAAGTTGAATTTCTGTTTGAAGTAAAGCATTCCGTAAAGTTTATTTGCAGATAAAACTAACCCGCACTTATCAATTTTTAAACCATGAAACCATATTCATCAGGGTTCTACTAAAAACGTTGAAATTTTAGTATCAAGTTTATTTTTGCTTATTTCAAGATCACAATAAAATGCATGAAAATATATCCCTGCATTAAAAGTCTGTACATAGCAATACTATTGGTATGTATGGCAAACTTACATACAATGCACAAATTTAATCCCCTCATTGAAAGTTAATTCATTTAAATCACAAAAAAAATCCTAACAAATGCTTAAACTACATTTACAGTATACTTTTTTTTATACATTTTCTTTCCACATGCAAACCATAATGATAACTATAAAATTTTCTGTGCAAAGTATTGATTATGCAATTGTAGCCTAATATCCAGTGGAAAATATTTCATGCATATTAATGACGACTTTTCATCAGTGTTTTAATTATATTTTATTTCCTTTCAACAGGCAAATCATTATTTTTTAAACAATTTATATAGTAAATTTTATCAGTAACGATAATGCTGTTTAATGTCCAGTAGCAAATATTTAACGCATATTCATTATGTCATTTTATAAGTCTTTTTACAAACAGAATAACTGCAGCAGACTCAGTATAAAATCATCAATGTTATTTTATATGTACAATAACTGTTTACCATATCTTGTTACTGCTTCATCTTCACTCAGGGAAAATGAGAAGCCAATAGTGTCAGGGTCTGTACCACGTTTAGAATCAGTAGGGGTGACAGCTTGACCAAAATCTTCAGCTCCTACCACTGTTGTATTGATGACTTCAACATCTGGAGGTTCCAATAAAGCTACCACACCTGAAATATTTTTAATATCATGAAAGAAAACTGACAAGTCAGTGTTTAAGAATTTGTAGCTTGCATACATCTGAGACTATTATGACACATTATTGTTGTCAAGCATATATTCAACTTGAAAAAGATTACACAACCTAATGCTTTATACGTTTAACAATATATTTAACTAAGATGGTTGCACTATATTTTTCGGTCAGAAAGTTGGCCTTAATTCAACAAAACCTAGCAACATTTAAAAATTTTATAGAATATCTTCATAAAGCAAAATCTTGTTGGACACTTCTTTCAAATTCGGAAATACCAAACTTTAAAAATAAGATTAATCCAAATTAAATAAAAAAAAAACCCACTAAATATTCAAGTGAAACAAGTTATTTGCAATAAGGTCTTTTTTGTCGATAAATGTGTGCAGCTCTAAAACACTCAGAAATTGGCCAGTTTTCATAGAATTCAGTAGAAAATATAAATTTATGATAGAACACTGATGTGTAAATTAAAGAAAATAAAAAAATAGAGTTCCAATGTCCCTCGCGTTCCACATATTACAAATTTCCAAGGGGCATAACTCTTTTAAAAAAAGTCGATCGTCCACAATTATGTCCAAGATATTGCTGATATTAACCTATAGTTTAAGTTTTATAAAAATCTGGCAAGAATTGTACCTGTTAGAGCGCTAACAAGACAGGACGGACGCCTGGTATTTCCATGCCCCCCGCAACACGTTACGCGGGGGACAATAAATGGAGAATGTGTCCATGGGACACAGATGATGCCTCCAGCCTTGCATATAACGTTATGAAGGGCATAACTAAAGAATGGTAAAAGTGAGGCCACCTAAATTCAAACTGGATCTGTGTTTTGTGGTAATAAGCATTGCGTATAAGCTTCATAACATTTGGTTGAGGCAGTAAAGTTGGAGAATGGAAACCAATTTTGGGATGAATGTACGGACAGATGTACGGGGTAACACTTAACGTAACGGTGATGAAGGGGGCATAAAATACCAAACAAACAAATTTCCTATCTTGTCATTGTTTTAAGTTTTATACATTATGATGATAGCTGTTAAATCCTAATTAGAAATTTAACTGATAATAGGGGACATATTTGAGCCAAATTAAACCCGCCACTTTCAGAGTATATTATCAGCAGGTTATGCTATTCATCTACCTGTATTATCATTCCACTGTGTTATTTGTCCTGCTCCATTCTGACATATTATAGACACATAATAAGTTTGGTTACTTTGCAGCACTCTCTCTAGTGAGCTGTTTATTTACCTGTATTATCATTCCATTGTGTTATTTGTCCTGCTCCATTCTGACATATTATAGACACATAATAAGTTTGGTTACTTTGCAGTACTCCCTCTAGTGAGCTGTTTATACCAATCTGTCTGACACCTAGTGATGTAAATGACTGTAACTCCTCTCCACCAATTGTTGTCCCAATAGCCCATAAATTATCCTGCATTAATATATCATTTGAATTCATTTATTATTACCAATTCATTGAAATTTTCAAGGCTATTTTCAGAATTTTGTATTTGCATAACCAATCTAAAGATCTACACATATATTGTGGATTCATTTATTTTCAAGGATTAAAGAAAAATCGTATTTTCGTGTAAACTTGATTTCGTGGATTTGTCAAAGTTTCAATACAAGCCTAAAGAAAATTGTAATTCGTTGAACATTCTTAAAAATTTGTGGTTTGCCTCTACCAACGGAATCCTTAAAAATTGGATCCAATGAATAATAATGAATCCAGAGTAAAGCAATATGGGACATCTAAATTTCATATGTTTTCAAATAGATTTTGTGCATTGAAAAGAAAGATAGCATTATGATAGCACACAAGTTTCACATCAATTACACCCTTAATCTTGATTAGGATGACCAAATAGATGCCCAAATCCTTTTATATACCCTTGTGCTTGACACAAACGAGGCATAAAAACTGCTTTTTGTTTGAAAAATATGTGGCATTAGATAACAGAATTTTAATTCTGGTTGGGTGCTGTTTGTAAGATATCAAATGAACATAAATATATGTTCGTTCCACTAAATTCATAAGTTCTGCATGTGAGTGAGTGGATGGATTAAATTGTCAGGAATTATACCTTGATTAAACTTTCATCATCATAACAGTACCAGTAAGCTTTTATAGTGTTGCTGGATGCTTGGTACTTCACTGGTGTAAACTCTCCCTGGGTCACATCAATATAGATCTGGGTCATGACTTCAGGTTCAAATACAGGTGAGGTCAGGTCAATGTAGAATCCATCTGATGATCCTTCAGAGGTCAGGCCTGATCCTAACAATACTCTCACTGAAAACACACAAATTTACATATATATCACTCTCTGTGAGCAAATAAAGGCATTACACATGAACTGCCACTTTAAATATTGATTTATGAAATTAAATCTTCAGTACTTTGACTGAAAACTGAAATCCTTTTTGCTGAAATTTACATGCCTACTGTCTTTTCAAATAATAGACTAGTCAATTTGGACTTACTTATTAGTTGAATGTTCAATCTAATTTTTTATATTTTTTAATTTGCAACCAAACAAACATTTTATGTATAATGGTATAAGAATTAGAAAATTAGACAAGGATAGCCAAGCACAAAAAAAATATCAAAATACCTGTAGTATAATACATGGCTGTTTTGTTGTATTGATGTCCTGTCTCATTTTCTGCCAGAATAAAAGGTTCAAGAACAAGGTCATTCAAGGTGAAGGTCACAACAGTATGCTGATTAAGATCACAATCAGACTGACAGTTTAGCAAAGAACACTGGGTATTGCATGGTATACATGGCCTATATATCTCTTTATATGGTACAACATCTGTCTGTAACTTTTCTGTTCCGATTCCAGCCTCATACTTTATTACTGGATTAGTACCTCCCCTGAACGGACCACCATAGCGACATTTATTGCCAATCTTAGGTGGAATAATTAGGTCTTTGAAGTATGCTTTAGCTGAGAAGACATTAAATAAGTCAGATATATCTGGAACATAGTTGTTACGATTCCATACGTGAAGAACAAGTTTGGTAGAAGTACTAGGTGGTTCTATACCACAGATTTCTGTTAGTTCTTCATCATCTGCATACACTTTTATACACCAGTTTATCTGCAACGAGGGAAAAAACTTAATGTAGATCAGGTGTCTTCCCCCATCTTGGATTGTACAATAGCAGTAAACAATTGGTCAAGATTGTAAATGAAATATGCAAATTGTGAGAAAAGAATGGTTTCAAATGTAAGACTTTTCATCAAAATGAAGTAATTTTATGTGTTTTATTTTATTATTAGGACTAATTTTCAAATACAAAACATTTTTTGTTTGATTCATTTCAACTTAATCAAACAAGGGGAGATTACTCAGATACTTTTATTAAGAAATGTGTAGTAAATTTACATATTTTGTTTTGTAGCAAAAATTTAGCCCCTTGACCACAATTTTTATTGGTGTTATGCAAGTAGTGAAATGTTAGGGATAATGATGAGGTTAAGGTGTAGGTAGGTTTGTATGTATGATATTCATATTTACTTTTCCTTTTTATTATTACTCAATCACCTTTTACTTGTTGTTTTTACATGTTTGTTGCCGTTGTGATTTGAGTATCAATATTGTGTGTGTGCTGAAAGAATGAACTATATGAACACTATTTCTATTGAAGGTACCGCGTTCCGCTTTACTTTACATTGTAATGTATGTATTGATTGTTATTGTATATTTTGGGAATGAAAGGCATAAGTTCGTCTCATTGTTTTCCCTGATGTCAGACCCCAGACATGCTTTAGTTCACTACCCCTTGCTTGTCACTTGTTCTCAACTTATTGATTCATTTACGTAAGGGCTATACATTGTAATCTGTGCTTTGTCCTGTCATTGTAGTATTTCATTAAGCCCTTGTCCCTCTTTTTCCAACGTACACACGCTAAAATACTAGAAACTGCCATAATTGTATTCGGTTTCTGGCCAGGGTATACGCATGAGCATGGCGTGAGAATCCTGTTACCATGAATGGGGACCTTTAACCAATGAAAAATCCTGTAGGTCCTTAGAGGTCCCCATGTGGGTATTTGAACCCTGCATGTCTGCAAGAGTACGATTGCGACCTGTTACCAGGGATTTTGAATTTACAAGACCTGTAGTAATTTATACAAGAGCATTACCAGCGCAATCTTTTACAAACCACGACCAGGATTTATACAAATACCTGTGAATGTTTAGCCCTGTATTTGTTTTATATTTACTGACCTGTGACTTTGACCCAAATATTTTACTACGTCCATCCGTTGATTTTAGCCAAATACTACAAAAGGGGGTCACAGTTATTCGTAACGCTCTGGTGGGTTTTTATGTTGTATATATATTAAAACATGTTGTTATTAAACTTTATTTGCAAGATTTAAACAATTCTTGCCCTTTATTAAATATTATAAAATCAGTGCCTTTAGGCCATGCTACCAATGGTTATACTGTGTTACCAACAGTTTTAGATTTTAATCATGCTACCAGTGACAAATATTAATCTAACTAGTTACTTGACCCTCTGTATGCTACTGTAAGTATACATACATTAACTTCATCATCTTTCTGTGGAATGATGACTACTTTGTACTGATGATATGCTGCCGAGGGATCAAATGATAAATCTATTGTAGCCTTCATTAATCTCTGTGTATTGTTGTATGCCTGACACCATGTGACTACTTGAGGTATGTCTCCTAAAATATTATGTTAACTTTACAAATGTACAATCAAAAACAGTCAATCAAAAAAGCAGTACTGTGATAAATAGTGTTTCAAAAATTTGGATATTCCAAATTTTGCAGTGATAAAGGACAGTTTTAATTATTATAGCAGCGTATAGAAAAGAAGTTATACTGCTTCATAAAACTTCTACTGATCTAAACTTGCTTCAATTAGGGACCTGAAGAGTTTATTCACTGTTGGAGCAGTCATATATAGACCTCAAATAAAAAGGATTTATTCTTTAAATACTTCATCTTCCTACTATTTTCAACATCCAGTCATCTATTGTCCTTTCTTATTGTATCACCCAACATCAACCAATTTTTGTGCCAAAATTAAATGCAGTTAAACTAAAATAAAGAGTTTTGCATAATTTTTTGGAGAATCATCAGTTTAAATATTGAAAAGACTTAGTGGCTACATTTTCACCATGTATATGTACCTGTCAATATCTGCACACCACATGCTGTCTGTGCTACAGGAACCTGAGTATCTATTGGTCCAGTAACTATAGAATCGTCAGGATTCTTTACAATCTCATATGGAGGCTTTATTGTAGTAGAAGATGTTGTGAAAGGAGTTGTGGTTATATCATCATACAATGAACAGTTACAGAATGAACATGCCTACAAAATATAATTAACTTCTGGTAGAGAATCATCTGTAGAATTTAAAAAATACAGATGAAAGACAGCAAAAAATGTTTTTTTTTTTGTTTTTTTTTAAATATCAGTTATTATGAATAATAGGCCTGAGAACACAGTTATTTCCTAGTGCATTTTTTTTAGACAAAAAACGCAAATTAAAACAATAAAGTGTCAATAGTACACAGATGCCCCACTCGCACTATCATTTTCTATGTTCAGTGGACTGTGAAATTGGGGTCAAAACTCTAATTTGACATTAAAATTAGAAAGATCATATCATAGGGAACATGTGTACTAAGTTTCAAGTTGATTGGACTTCAACTTCATCAAAAACTACCTTGACCAAAAACTTTAACCTGAAGCGGGACAGACGGACAAATGGACATACGGACGGATAGACGAACAAACGGATGCACAGACCAAAAAACATAATGCCCCTAGGTGGGGCATAAAAATTGCACCTGCTCTATCCAAAAAAGATTTTTACAGTGTAATGTACTACTTTTGGGACGAATTATATCAAAATTATAGAAAAGTCTATCGGCTCTAACTCAAAATATGGACAATTTTATGATACGGGGGTCTGTAATTCAGTTTGGAAGCTTCAGACATACTAATTATTGACCTTTTCAAACTAGACCAAATCACTACTTTACCTAAAAATTCATGCCCCAAATTTTTTTACATGTAATTTTATCCCCCTACTTACTATTTTATGCATAAAATATAAAGAAGTAAATTTGGAAGGTATATGAAAAAAAATTGCAAGCTATACACTGTCCACACTAGGGACTCAATTTGTAGACAACAAACATCAAAGGACGATAACTGTGTCCTCGGACCTAATAGGATAGAAAGACTTGACAAATTTTAATAAAACTTGGCATGATCATAGATTAAGGAATTATAAGATAGTTTACCAAGTTTCATGGCAATAGAATATATATTAAAGACCATATGGACATTCTTATATTTGAACTTTGGGTGTCTATTTCTGACGTTTAAATCAAACAATTTCAACTATCAAGATTTGGGCCTATAAAATTTGAATATTGCAGAAAAATGCTTTTTAAATGCCTTAATATATAGTGTAGCATGTATTTGAAGCATTTGAACACTCATTTGATGTATCAGATTTATAACACTTCTTCAAAAGTCAAATTTATATGAGCCTGTGCCTGAAAATAGAGATTTTCCAATGAAGGGGGTCTTATATAAAATTGTAATTTTATCCACCAAATCAAAATTTGTGAAGTAATTTTACAATAAATAATTTTTTCAAATATATCTAATGTACTTTAACTGGAAAGAAAAGTTACAAATAGCATACCACATGAGTATAAAAAGGTCCTAGGCCATGTAAGAATAAAAATAATTTAGGGTCAATTTAGGCCGTAACACATAATTACATATGAAAATGCATACAGAAGCTATAGGAAATAGAAATTTGTTTCTTTTTGGTCATTTCTATGCTAAGGTGACATGATACAAGAAGTCTGACTGCAACAGGACTCTTGCATTCAATTTTTTTGGCAGAAATATAGTCTGATGCAAAGTTTTTTCACTTTTCAGTGGAAAACTTGCGTGTAATTTTAGTCTCAACAGACATATATTTGAAACAAGGAAACAGGTACAACTATCATTGTAAAGTGCTTTTTATACAGATTTAGTGAAATCTTTATGATGGACTTCAACTTTTATGTACATAGCATAAAATTGAGAATGGAAATGGGGAATGTGTCAAAGAGACAACAACCCGGCCAAAGAGCAGATAACAGCCAAAGGCCACCAATGGGTCTTCAACGCAGCAAGAAAATCCCACACCCGGAGGTGGTGCTCAGCTGGACCCTAAATAAAAATGTGTAATAATTCAGTGAAAATGGATGTCATACTAAACTCCAAAACATATAAATGAACTAAAATTAAAAAACATACAAGACTAACAAAGGCCAGAGGCTCCTGACTTGGGACAGGCGCAAAAATGTGGCGGGGTTAGACATGTTTTGTGAGATCTCAACCCTCCCCCTATACCTCTAGCCAATATAGAATAAAGAAACACACAGCGATACGCACATTAAAACTCAATTTAAAAGAATAGCGCCTTACATTTCACTTCCTTCAAACAGGCTGTTTGACCAGGACAATAAATACAACACATTTTGCACATTTTTTCTGTGATAATCTACTTTTCTCTAGATTGAGGGTTCCTAAATGATTATAGAAACTTGAATTAAGCCTAGAAACACAAATATCAAAACATGAAAACCTATCAGATAGAAAGTCAGCTTGCCCCTTGGGCATAAAAATGGAAATTGCTTAAAAATGCTTATTTCAGCCATATAATGCTAGAATTGGACATTTTTACAGAATTTCTATCAAATAAAGATGAAAATCCTTTAATTTCTTTCAATTTGACAAGTTGATACCCTCAAATCATTCAGGGAAGTTGCCAAAGTACAGAATTTACATTTACTGAATTCATCTCTTAGGCCAGAGAACACAGTTATTTCATAGTGCATTTCTTTTAGACAAAAAACGCAAATTAAAAAAATTGCACCTTCTCTATCCAAAAAAGATTTTTACAGTGAAATGTACTACTTTTGAGACAAATTATATCAAAGTTATAGAAAAGTCTATCGGCTCTAACTCAAAATAGGGACAATTTTATGATAAGGGGGTCTGTTATTCAGTTTGGCAACTTCAGACATACTAATTTTTGACCTTTTCAAGCTAGACCAAATCACTACTTTACCGGAAAATTCATGCCCCAAATTTTTTTTTACATGTAATTTTATCCCCGTACTTACTATTTTATGCATAAAATATAAAGAAATAAATTTGGAAGGTGTATGAAAAAAAATTGCAAGCTATACACTGTCCACACTAGGGACTCTATTTGTAGACAATGAAAATCAAAGGACTTTAACTGTGTCCCCGGACCAATAGGACATGAATTTCGGAATATATATATAATTCATATCACAGTCTGAAAAAGTTTAATCACAAGTCTATAACACTGTTTAGAAAGGTTTTTTTTTTTTAATTTCTGCTTTTATTCATTGTTCATGCATTTTATATTCAATTATTATCTATTTTCATATTTCATCCCAATGATTTATGTTTAATTTTTTTTTATACAACAAGATAATACCTGTGGTACTGGATCTTCCAGGCAACAATCACAAATATTGAGAGTCCAATCCTCTTCAGTTAAGTAATCATAAGTAGCTATACCATCTACAGGACCGTCCCATAACATGATTCCAGTAACAGGTATACCTTCACCACCTGCTGCCTTGACTGATATCTACAACAATAAGATAGTCTATTATAACAGGACCGTCCCATAACATGATCCCAGTAACAGGTATACCTTCACCACCTGCTGCCTTGACTGATATCTACAACAATAAGATACTCTATTATAAAAGGACCATCCCATAAAATGATCCCAGTAACAGGTATACCTGCACCATCTACTGCCTTGACTGATATCTACAACAATAAGATACTCTATTATAACAGGACCATCCCATAACATGATCCCAGTAACAGGTATACCTGCACCACCTACTGCCTTGACTAATATCTACAACATAATGGTACTTGAGGAATAACGGTTCTGTAGTTGAGTTGCTGCTGTCAATTGGTGATTTGACGGTTGCAAATGCAGTTTTACTGGCGAAGTGTAGCGGAGACAGTATAACGAATATTTGCGACCGTCAAATCAAAATTGATGGGTATATCAGGTCATAGACCATCAGCATTCTTTGGAGTTCATTTAGATGGTTAATTAGATGGCATCTAGTCTAAAATACACACCAAATGCTGATGCATTATAACAATAGAATAGTGAATGGAAACAGGGAATGTGTCAAAGAGACAACAAACCGACCAAAGAGCAGAAGGCCACCAATGGGTCTTCAACACAGATAGAAAATCCCGCACTCAGAGGCGGGCTTCAGCTGGCTCCTAAACAAGTCTATATAATGTTTATTGTTTCTTTTGAACTTTTTGTAACTTGGATATACATTTCAGTATGTGATATCTCAAATATGAGAACTTGAGTCAAATCTGTGAACATGAATTTGACAGCTTTGATGCCCCTTCAATCTCATATAATTTTCTGTAAAATGTACTCTTACCTGATATGTTCCACTATTTTCAAATTCAGCAGACCTGATGTATGCCCCAGTATACATTTGTTTTTTATTAACATCTCTTGCCAGCTTTATACTGATAGCGTTATCATAAACCAAGTTCTGGATATTCTCTTGTCTGTGAGTAAGTGACCATTGTTGACCACTTGGATCTCTGAAGCCTATCTGTTGTAGTTTTCTCCAGCCTGGATCATTGATCATAGATACAGCCTGGATAGGACATGACGGACCTTCAGGATTCGCCAAGTGTAAAAATGTACCTATAACAAGAAACATTTACATTCTGACATTAATATTTTTACACTGATAAACCACATAAAGAAATAAATCTATGAAAAATTCACATATCTGTTTCTTCAAATTAGCATTGAAAAAGAATTCTTTCTTGTTTTTAAGGGGTCTAAGTGGCCAGGTTGTCAACAAACCATGAAAATGAGTTCAAGGTCAGCTGAACTCTGCCAGACATACATGTATACTTTGCATTCATTCCAGGCACTAAATATTGTTGACAAATTGCTTATAATAAAAATATTAAATCATAGATTGCATAATTATGTTGGTACAGTATCAAGGAGATTTCATATCAATGAAATATGTAGTTGTATCATATAGTTTTAATCTGGAAAATTGATGATGATAAAATGCATGATATTAATCACCAATTTAATAAGTTACATTTTACACAATCTAATTCAAACCTGTAATAGTAGCTGAAGAGCCAAACCAAACTCTGTCATTAACAAAGTCTGTACCATCCACCACATGTCCTGATGTTGGTTTTGAGGAGTCATATAATATAGGGGCAGATTCTGTACTGACAAACTGTCCAGCATGATTGGTGGCCATAAGTTTTATTATGTATGGAATGTTTCCCTGAAAAATTAAATTCTAAAGTCATCATTTGTAGCTTTAAACCAAATAGAAATCAGCTTCAAGGCTAACAACAAAACAACGTGTTTTATATGAAACCTTAATTGATATAATAGCTAAGAGAATTGGTATTATTTCCAATGAGGTAATTATCAACCAAAAGCCAATTAATGATTTGAAATTACATACAAAAACATAATAATACATTAAAAAATCTTAAAAATAGTGCATCTGAACTGTGTATTAATTTTGTTGCTTGTAGGGAATTACTGATCCGTGATGACTAGCCTTCTTCATTTGACTGAGATTCATAGTTGCAAGTGGAACACAAAAAAATCTCCCAAAAACAGCTTTGTCTAGTGTTCTTAAGAAATTGTTATCTATTTTAGTGTCAAACCTGAAGTTGAAGTTCTGTAAACATATACTGAGAATAGTTGGAACCCAAAGTTATCCAGTCCACCATCAGTACTTCAGAGCTTTGATCTGTGCAGGATGATTTATTCCATAGTGATATTTTGTAGGAGGCAATATCAGATTCAAGATCACTAAAGCCTTCCCATGTAATTGTCAAGGTGGTGCTGTCTGGAGTGTATGTAACATTCTGGAAAAATTTTAATTCAATAAAACCACTAAAAGGCATCAAAATACAAAAAGTGAGGTTCTCTCCTGGCACTCCTGCTTCCTCAACCAATAAAAACTAACCACCACGAAATAGCCAATAGTAAAAAAAGTGGCTTTAAACACAAATCAATCAATCAATTTAAGACTAAGAGTAATTATATTTTTTGAACTGAGACCTAAATTCTACTTCAAGCATGATAATTCTTTTTCTCTAATTCTTACATGATTTATCCTTTTCCTGACCTGTTGATTATTTTTATTTAATCAACGTGTGGTTCGTTTTGATCTCAGTTCTTCATTGGTCCAAATTTTATTATGACGTAAAATTTTCTTGCTTTCCTCTGAATTTCCTATTGTGATGTGATGAAAAAAGGTGACCATGCCTGATGACGTCACATAGAAAGAACACATCTTTTTGCAGATCATTCAAAAGGAAGGATTGAATTTGTCTGCATATCGTTTAAAAATCATTAGAGAAACAGATTCCACCACCAAATCTTGTGCAATACTCTCCACAGTTAAATTTTCAAATTTTAAACACTCGATACAGTGGTAGAATCTATATGTATTGCATCACCTATACACTTATTCATCATTGCTGCTGCGTAAGCAAAATAAGCTAAATAGATAGAAATTTGCTACAACTAGACATCATTGAGATGGGAGCCATCTCTGTGGGCCCCACTGTAAATAACGTGTGGTAAATTTTTTTTATCTTTACCATAGGACATGGGGTTGTCAACTGAAACCAAAGTTTTTGACCTTGACCTTTGACCTAGGAAGTTGTACATACATTATGACACACCCTCTGGTGTTGGTTAATATACATGTCAAGTATAAAGTATGAAATTGTAACGGTTCTCTAGATATAGAGCGGACACAATTTGTTACTGACGGACAGACTGATCACTGTAGGGCGATAAATCAAAGATACAAATTGAAATTTATCCATTGAGAAGGTTCAAATAAAGATTCTTCTGAGATACTATACTGTTTCTTTGGTAATATTAATAGCTACAGTATGCCAAAAACCTTACCACGTTGAAACAGCTTTTAATATACCTAAATTATACCATTTCATAATAGCTATTAAATATTAAATACTACAACTATGTACATGCGATGATAGCTATAGAATTTCTCAAAACTAACAATGTGAAATGACTATGAATGCCCCATATTTTACCTTGTAATGGCAGCAATAGAATGTCTAAAATCTTACAATGTGATACAGCTAAAGAATATCTGAAATCTTACCATGTGATACAGCTAAAGAATATCTGAAATCTTACCATGTGATACAGCTAAATAATATCTGAAATCTTACCATGTGATACAGCTATAGAATGTCTGAATCTTACCATGTGATACAGCTATAGAATGTCTGAAATCTTACCATCCGATACAGCTATAGAATGTCTGAAATCTTACCATGTGATACAGCTAAAGAATATATTAAATCTTACCATGTGATACAGCTAAAGAATATCTGAAATCTTACCATGTGATACAGCTATGGAATGTATGAAATCTTACCATCTGATACAGCTATAGAATGTCTGAAATCTTACCATGTGATACAGCTAAATAATATCTGAAATCTTACCATGTGATACAGCTATAGAATGTCTGAAATCTTACCATGTGATACAGCTATAGAATGTCTGAAATCTTACAATCCGATACAGCTATAGAATGTCTAAATCTTACCATGTGATACAGCTAAAGAATATATTAAATCTTACCATGTGATACAGCTAAAGAATATCTGAAATCTTACCATGTGATACAGCTATGGAATGTCTGAAATCTTACCATCTGATACAGCTATAGAATGTCTGAAATCTTACCATGTGATACAGCTGTAGAATGTCTGAAATCTTACCATATGATATGGCTAAAGAATATCTGAAATCTTACCATTTGATACAGCTATAGAATGTCTGAAATCTTACCATATGATACAGCTATAGATTGTCTGAAATCTTACCATGTGATATAGGTATAGAATGATTGAAATCTTACCATATGATACAGCCAAAGAATATCTTAAATCTTACCATGCCATACAGCTGTAGAAGTTCTGAAATCTTTCCATGTGATACAGCTGTAGAAAGTCTGAAATCTTACCATAAGATACAGCTATAGAATGTCTGAAATCTTACAATCCGATACAGCTATAGAATGTCTAAATCTTACCATGTGATACAGCTAAAGAATATATTAAATCTTACCATGTGATACAGCTAAAGAATATCTGAAATCTTACCATGTGATACAGCTATGGAATGTCTGAAATCTTACCATCTGATACAGCTATAGAATGTCTGAAATCTTACCATGTGATACAGCTGTAGAATGTCTGAAATCTTACCATATGATATGGCTAAAGAATATCTGAAATCTTACCATTTGATACAGCTATAGAATGTCTGAAATCTTACCATATGATACAGCTATAGATTGTCTGAAATCTTACCATGTGATATAGGTATAGAATGATTGAAATCTTACCATATGATACAGCCAAAGAATATCTTAAATCTTACCATGCCATACAGCTGTAGAAGTTCTGAAATCTTACCATCCGATACAGCTATAGAATGTCTGAAATCTTACCATGTGATACAGCTAAAGAATATATTAAATCTTACCATGTGATACAGCTAAAGAATATCTGAAATCTTACCATGTGATACAGCTATGGAATGTATGAAATCTTACCATCTGATACAGCTATAGAATGTCTGAAATCTTACCATGTGATACAGCTAAATAATATCTGAAATCTTACCATGTGATACAGCTATAGAATGTCTGAAATCTTACCATGTGATACAGCTATAGAATGTCTGAAATCTTACAATCCGATACAGCTATAGAATGTCTAAATCTTACCATGTGATACAGCTAAAGAATATATTAAATCTTACCATGTGATACAGCTAAAGAATATCTGAAATCTTACCATGTGATACAGCTATGGAATGTCTGAAATCTTACCATCTGATACAGCTATAGAATGTCTGAAATCTTACCATGTGATACAGCTGTAGAATGTCTGAAATCTTACCATATGATATGGCTAAAGAATATCTGAAATCTTACCATTTGATACAGCTATAGAATGTCTGAAATCTTACCATATGATACAGCTATAGATTGTCTGAAATCTTACCATGTGATATAGGTATAGAATGATTGAAATCTTACCATATGATACAGCCAAAGAATATCTTAAATCTTACCATGCCATACAGCTGTAGAAGTTCTGAAATCTTTCCATGTGATACAGCTGTAGAAAGTCTGAAATCTTACCATAAGATACAGCTATAGAATGTCTGAAATCTTACCATGTGATACAGCTATGGAATGTCTGAAATCTTACCATCTGATACAGCTATAGAAAGTCTGAAATCTTACCATGTGATACAGCTAAAGAATATCTTAAATCTTACCATGTGATACAGCTATAGAATGTCTGAAATCTTACCATGTGATACAGCTGTAGAATGTCTGAAATCTTACCATGTGATACAGCTGCAGAATGTCTGAAATCTTATCATATGATACAGCTAAAGAATATCTGAAATTTTACCATGTGTTACAGCTTAAGAATATCTGTAATTTTACTGAGTGATAATAGCTATAACACATCCTTAATCTTACCATGTGATAATCAGGTCCACAAGTTAATTCTCCTGCTACAGGGGGTGTAGTGTCAACCATGAATGTATGTCTGGCTAGATTGCATTCTCCTGATTTGTCAGTTCCTGGAGAAATATAATCTTATATCTTCAGTAAGTGCAAAGGATATCTTAATACAAACAAATTAAAACAAAATGTAAAATTTTATATTGCATAAGCAATTTAATATAAAATGCAATATATAAAGAATTTGGTAGTTGATTTCCTGAGAAAAAGATAACTAAAATTTGAATTTTGTTTCCTATATATACAAGTATGCACCAAAAAAAATGCTATCATATAGATTTAATAATCAGACAAGCATCTAAACAAACTTTCAAATAAAGTCAGGAAAACTTATTTTTTTTAAGCCCTGTAATTAAATGTATTTCTAAATTTTTCCAATTTGTTGACCTGAACGTTTAAGCCCTGTAATTAAATGTATTTCTAAATTTTTCCAATTTGTTGACCTAAATGTTGAATGCACGTACACTGATAAAACATTGCCATTTTTGTTGAAACATTTCCCTTTTCAAAGGTAATCAAACCAAGAAATGACAGCAAATACAATAAATGGGTTAAGTTACAATCTCAAACAATGACTATCATCACAAAATAATATACAGTCTAAGGCTTCAAAAAACAGTATAACATGATTATCTACTACACAACAAAATAATATTTTCCAGCAAAACTAAGCTCTAGCAAAGCACCCACAGGATTTAATAGTCATATTGCATTATAAAGTACATGGTAATATTAATTTTTTTCATACTGTCTTTTTAAACAATAAAAAAATAAAAAAAAATAGGACAAACAATGGTATCATACAAGTTACATTTTTAGTGAATTTCAGTTCCAAGTAAGCCCTGAAATGCTCATATGTTCTGTTTCCTGCTTTCATTTTGAATTTCGAAATTAATCAGGATTCCAACTTTGCTACAGCTTAGCAAAACATTATGAAATTTGCAAATAATTCAATACCTGGATATAAAAAGATTATGGTGCCCGAGCGTTATTTATGGATAGCCATCCTGTTCAATGTCAGGATTTGTAGTAGATTAAATAAGTTAATTAAAACCTACCCAATACCCAAGCTGTGTAGGCTTTTCCCACTTCTAGATCTATATTTTCTACTTTGTAAAATGTGTTCTGATTTATATTTGTGACAGGAAACACATTAAATATCCTGGATTTTTCTTCTTCTGTAGCCTTTCCACCATCAATCTGTATAAATTTATATCTGTTATTAATATTCAACAAAACATTTACAAATACTCAGTAAGATAAGCACAAAGATTTCTCCAAATAAGCAAAACAAAGAAATAATACAGTCTCCCGAGACAAATAACCGTAAACAGATAATATTTTCAAAAAGCAGCAGCCTCTATCAAAAATTATCTTAGTAACATCTGGAAAATCTGTTAAAATTCTCCAAATGAGTTTACTAAGTTAGGTACACATCTTTAGAGACTTAAATGATGAATTCAAACTCCAACTGGAAATAACAATAACAATATAACTTACATAATGTTTACAATCAGTGCCAGTAACACCTGTGTAGTTAGACACAGCCACATAGTACATCAATATCTCAACTTTGGAGAAGAAACCTTCAAACTGTATATCTACATATGTATCTGTACTGACATAGTCTCCCATCACAATAGTACCAGCTGTAAGAAAGATATGGGATGTAAATAAAATATGTAAATGTTCTGATAAATATAGATTATATCACAATATAATAATGATATATTTTTACTCAAGATAGTTTTTATAATTTTTTAAACAATACGCAAACAACTGAATTAATATTTGGGTTATAAAAACTTTATCATATTGGTTAAAACCAGTTTAAATGCACAAAGAATAATAAAGAGAAACAAAGAAAGCAATAAATAATCAAAACTTGTCATAAACTCACTAATGCATTATACCATGTCATATTTTAAAACATATGAGGATCAGTATTATATTATTTATATTTTTTAGTCCATTACGTAAAATAGTTGTCCTAATTTGGAAATCTTTCATCAGCTTGCATGATCCAGCAAAGATGACGATCCCTATCCTGACTATTTTTGAAATATTTGCCATGTTTGTATAATCAACCTGATATCTCCTTTTAATTAGCTTTTCTCCTTTTCAGGAGTATGAAATGGTAAAAACTTTCCATTCCTTCTTCGACCATCAGTTTTCAGAAGTCACCATCTGTTTTATATCATTTTAAATAAGCATAAAACTTTGTTATAGTACTTTAACAATCAAGTAGCTCACCTAGTAAGATGCTGGCTGGTCATTATCTTCCAATAGTGAGACTGTTCATTCAATGTCATGTCAATGAAATTAAAAGACTTATTGGATGAACAAAAATTACCAGGCTTGAGGATTTGATAAATAATTTATGCTGAATTTTTATAATATCTTTTTTAATTGATTAATTGATTGCCAGTCTGATGCCTAACCAAAATGAAGTACAGACAAACATGATGACTTACCAACAACTCCACCATCATATCCAACATGAAATCCATTTGATGTTACTATAGCAACAGAGTAGGAGGCACTGTATGCTTTGACTGTAAAGTAATACATTCCTGTACCTGGAACCAGTTCAAGGTCATAAAAGGTCACTTTTTTGTCTTTTCCAACATTAGTAAATGGAACAATGTCGTCTCTGGTTTGTGAGAATCTCCTGTCTGTTCCCAAGGCAACCTCATAAAATTCTACTGCTTGGTTTTTATCCTGGTATTCAATATTATCTTCATTTACTTGAAGACCAGGATTTCCTGTAAAAAAATTCAGTAAAGAAATATTAAATGAAATCTTATGGTCATAAAATAGAAGAAAGGCAAATTTCCTATGGTTCATTTCAACAGCATTTTCAAAAAGCATCTCTCAGTATCATAGTGACATATAAGCATCCTGAGTTAATGTCAATATATCATTTTTAATCAAAGAGTAACTGATTTTAAACGATTAAAGTCAGGATTATACAGTGCAAGCACAACAAAAGGTAGGACAGTAGTTGTTTTTTGGAAACATTTTTTGGTTCCGCTAAGTGAAAAATGTCATCTCGAACTAATGCAATTGATAGTTTAACAATATTTGAACAAAAACCCTGGTGTCAACTTTACATGATAGCAACTTTATACTTCTGGTCACATGTCTTTTTTGAAGGTTACTCAAAAAACCATGTCTTGTGCACACTAAAATCATATTAGTGCAGCGCTAAAGAATCATTACTTTCAAACCAAAAGGATCAAACTATACATTTCATGTATTCCATTCACAAATAGATATTAATAAATAGACAAATAGATGCATCCAAGAAAAATCAGAACATTAAAAAGAACTTAAAAAAAAATAAAATAAACCAATAAAATAAATTTAAAGCAGAAAAAAGACAAAGTTTACCTGAAATAACATCTACTTGAGTTTGTGTACTGACTGGGAGACCAAATCCATCCCAATTGACTGTCACCATGGCTTTAGAGTTGAGAAAATTCAGATCATATCCGATCAGGTCTCCATCAAATACTTTTCCTGGGATGAGAGGTTCTTGTTTGACAGTGACACCATTAGATCTGATCATGTAGGTGTAGTTCAAAGCATTGGTTACTCTCAACAAAGAATAGTATAATTCTCCATTCAACATCTCAAGTTCATCATTCATTCCTGAAGTTTTAACTGCAATAAAAATGTATAAAAGTAAGCTCCAGAATCTTTCTTTTAGTCACATATTCCCTAAATCTTGAAATTAGAATATACAATCAACCTTTAACTGAATTCTAACATCAGCAGTTCCTTTATCATATTAAACACAAGTATTTCATACCTCCCATATCCAACCAATCCATGACAACCTTCCCATCAAGCCTCTGTATCAGCCAATCATATCTAATGACAGGACAAGGGTCACCTGACAAATCCCATGATGCCCTGTATGTGTCAAAACTCTCCTGGAAATCACTGAAAACGAAAAAGAAAATTGCCTTTGACATAAACAAAGAAAAATTTATCACTGGAAATGTTTTGTTGTATCTTAATATTTTTGTAATTAAGAGAATTAGTTGTTGAAGGAAGATCTTTGATAGTCTAAGTTCAATTGACTCTGGGTGATTTAGAGCTTGACTGAATGTAAAGACAACTGTCAAGTGTTGTTGACTGTATGTTACCATTAGATGTATTTTGTTTTTGTGTCATAAAGTTGCCATCTAGTTGTCATTGACATATACCACACTTCTCCTTTATTCATACATATGAACTGACTTACATATCCACATTTGACAATTCTGTAACATCAGCAATACCAATATGTGATAGAGGAGGCAGTCCCTGACTAAGATAAGACAAGTATAAACCATTGGATGAACTAACACTGGATAATCCTGCTCCATTGGTTCCTTTAATTGATACATATACCTACAAAAATATCAAGAGTAATATACTGGATAGTCCTGCTCCACTGGTATCTTTAATGGATACATCTACCTACAAAAATATCAAAATAAATATACTGGATAATCCTGCTCCATTTGTACCTTTAATGGAAACATGTACCTACAAAAATATCAAGAGTAATATACTGGATAATTCTACTCTATTGGTACCTTTAATAGATACATATACCTACAAAAATATCAAGAGTAATATACTGGATAATACTGCTCCATTTGGTACCTTTAATGGGTGCAAATACCTACAAAAATATCCAAAAGCAATATACTGGATAATCCTGCTCCACTGGTATCTTTAATGGATACATATACCTACAAAAATATCAAGAGTAATATACTGGATAATCCTGCGATGATGAAACCAATAAGGGATACACACTGCTGTAAAAATATCGAAAGTAATATGCTTGATTATCTTGAACTGCTTGATTGTCCTTCCACCATAGGTATCTTTAATGAATCCATGCATCTGTAAACTGTAAAACATCTTAGGTTATGTACTGGAAAATCCTGACTTTGTAGTACCTTTAAAGAATACAAACACCTGCTAATTTAAAGCAATATACTGGATAATCATTCTCCAAGTGTACCTAATTGAAACATATACCTGTGAAATATCAACGATAAGATTTGAATCAGCTACAGATACGATGATCTATGTAGGAGTTGCAATGAAAAGGTTGGTTCTTAAAAGGGACAAAATTTTAAAGGTGGCATAATACTGGAAATCTAAAATGAATAAAAATTTCTACCCATATAAACACCTGTATAAAAGAATCTAACAATATACCAAGTTTCATGTAGATATGATAAAACATGAGGAGGAGTTGCAAAAAGGTTGGTGCTCAACAGGGCCAAAATTTCTACTGTGAAAGAATTCTAAAAAAACTCAACTAATGGAAACATTCTACCCACATGCCAAACTGCAAGTTAGGATTTTAGCAATGTACTAAGCTTCATGTGGATACAATAAACCATGATGGAGTTGTGATGAGATGACCAGTTCTAAAAAGGTCATAATTCTGGATAAATTAAACAGAAGAAAAAACCTTCAGATGGTGACATTTGCATATCATGATCAATTATTCTACTTAACTTAAAAGTTTGAAGTGAACCAAACAAAGGATAAAGAAGTTGGTACGGACAGACAGACAGACAGATGGACGATCAGACAGGCTGATCTAATATACACCCCAAACTTTGTTTACAGGGGGTATAATAAACTTGTATTTGAATTTTGTTTTCACTATCCTAGTGGATAAATATTTACAACTAAGCAATAATTAATGGAATTATTTAATTATTTGTACATTTTACTGCAAGTACAGAAATTTATATAAAAAACAACTTCTCAGATAGTGGGACATATATAAGTATTACAATATTTAGTAAAATAATTACCTTTTTCAGACCATTTAAATTCAGTCCAGTTACTGTATAATAATTGGTTTCTGTGTATATACTGAAAAAAGTTTTAATCTGTCCACCCCCTGAAGTAGTCCCTACAGCTATCTCATACCTATCAGAAAAATATAAATACATCATTTGATTTTTTCAATGTTCCAATAACATACACAGACTTATCAACTTTAAAACTAATCCAGATATTATCAGATTTTCAAAAGGCTAGTGCAGAAAGTAGACTGGTATCTTTATACTAGGTAAAATAAATTAAAAAATATCTCAAAAACACATACAATGAGAAAAATAAACATTGATACGCCCATCGCTTTTTCAATAGATATAAACCAGTCACCAAAGTTTCATGAAACTGCTCAAGGCATTTTTGAGTAAATGTCCGAAAACCGGAAAATCCCCCTTTTTTAATGAATAAAACCCCATAACTCGGAAACGTAAAATCTAAAATTTATTGAATTCGAAAGGGACCTCACATCAATAGACATAAACAATTCACCAAAGTTTCATGAAAACTGCTCAAGGCATTTTTGAGTAATTGTCCGAAAACCGGAAAATCTCCCTTTTTTAATGAATAAAACCCCATAACTCGGAAACGTAAATAAAATTTATGAAAATCGAAAGGGAGCTCACATCAATAGATAAAAACAATTCACCAAAGCTTCATGAAAACTGTTCAAAGCATTTTTGAGTTATTGTCCGAAAACTGGAAAATCCCCCTTTTTTAATAAATAAAACCCCACAACTCAGAAATGTAAAATCTTAAATTTATAAAAATCGAAAAGGAGCTCACATCAATAGATATAAACAATTCACCAAAGTTTCATGCAAACTGGTTAAAGCGTTTTTGAGTTATTGTCCGACATGTTGACAACAGACGGACAGAGGTATACCATAGTACGTCCCGTAAACGGGCTTATAAAAATCAATCAATAAGCCTATACATCTAAATAGTTAAGATTGCAGACTTTGAAATAGAGAATTGAAGATTCTTTGGTTAAGAATGACAAACCAATTGAACATGATACAGGCTAATAATTATATTAAAAAAGTTGAGTTTAAGCAAACAATGTTTCTTCCATAAGTCCCTTTGCCTAGTGAGGTAGATATATGTGTATCAAACTAGGCATACAACTTCACTTCACAGTATTTTGTTTAAAAAAGGCTGTGTAATGCAAAAACCCCCCCCCCCAAAAAAACCACTTAAATGATGAAAAAAAAGTAAAATTCAATTTACTTGTCTCTTGCAATTATTTTAAATTTGAACAAACAATACTTGTATATATCAGTTCAATGACAAAACTATTGACTCTTCAGGTAGATCTGGTGTCTTTTTCTGAGCATCCAAGTTCTGTGCATGTAGCAAAAATCCTTTTTTTGGTTTAAAAACATTTTACCATGTCTCATTCAATATACAACAGAAACATCTGAAGCTTGAAATTTAAAGATTAAACATAAAAAAATTAATTGTTGATTAGTGGTTTTAAAATTTTCAGAAAAATCTCCTTTTTTAAATCAAGTGCAGATATAATTACTGACCGTGCAAGACCCTCATTGCAAGAAAAAAAGGCCTGTGACCCCCTATTTTAATTTGATATTATGGATGTATTTATGAAAACCAATTCTCTTACTTTAACAATTCCATCGTTTAATGACACCTCAATAAACAAAAATTAAGTTTCCCCTAGATAACCCATATAAAATAACTGTGATTTTGTTAATTTCAATGTATTTTAACAAAAAACATGGTCCATGACCCCAAGTTTTTATATTGAAATTTGAATATCCATTGACCAAGAAGTCTCAATCAGAAGTTTAAGAAAAATCTATTGTTGAACATTTAAATACCCCATCTACCTTAACTAAGATTTTACATTTTATTAAAACTATGCCAAAGTAGACTTAATTATTATCTGAAAGTATTTTTCCATACCCAGCTATTCCAGATTGTTCATCAGTAAATGGTTGCCAGGTTACAGAAACTGAGGTTAGAGATTCTGAACATGTAGCATCTAAAGCATTACATTCTGAAATAAAGACAGCATTATTCTATAACAAAGAAAGTAAGGACATATAGTATCATTACATTTTCCCGCGTTTCAAAGAATAGCGGGAAACATTTGTATTAACGATGCGTAAGATTTTTCTAATTTAGTAATGTGAAAATTTGCATGTGCGGGAAAATATTTTGAAAGCCTTCACTTTCTACCCAACAGTCATATTGTCAAGTTTATTTTTACATATTTCAGATATGTAATAATTTTTAGTTTTAATTCATATTTTTGCCCATGATTAGTTGTGTTTTGTTTCGAATAATTATACATATATCATTTTTTTTTTATACTGTCCAAGTATACCTCTTGAGACGGTCTTCTGAGCATTGGGTTTTGGACACAGGTTTCCAACTTTTTTCCACTACATATTTAGTTTTTAATGTAGTTTGACCGAGTTAACTCGTTTTAGTTGGTTGTTCCTGGCCGGCGGGACCTTCGATGATAGAGACTTTGTCATTATTTGGTATTTAACTTAAAGATACAGCATACCAGCATTCAGTCATCATTTATAATTGTAATGATTGATTTATGTATTTATGCTTATGAGTTTTATTCATGAATTTATTAAAATCCGGTGTCCTTCAAGCTGTCTGGGTTTTCGGCAAAATATGAATATATTGTTTTGTTTTATTTAAGCCTATATATTTATGGGAAAGAAGTTAAGGTAATACATTATCTTATTCACATCTTCTTCATTTTCTAATAAATTATATAAGCATGGGAATTTCATTTTGACCTTGACCAGTCACTACATGTGTTAATCAAGCATGGTGTTGGCAGAATGATTTGTCTCATTTTGTTACTGTTATCAGTAGATTGTGTATCCAATGTAATTCACACTATAAAAAGAAATTTCAATTTTTATAATGCTGCTGTATTTATAGGATATCAACAAGCTCGTCATTTTTTCATAATAATAAAAACATTGCTTTCCTCAAATTAGATAACCATAGTTTGTTTTATGTAAATAAAATGTTGACACAAAGATATGTCTCTTCTGTGTGTATTTTAATAGTATGATGCAAATGTTGTATTTATTCAGTCAATGGATCATGACTGAGATTACAGGGCCACATAACCACCATGGTAATCAGATGTGTCAATGGATCATGACTGAAATTACAAGGCCAAATAACCACCATGGTAATCAGATGTGTCAATGCTGATACAAGTGAATACAAAATATTTACTACCATAAGTAGTTGTGGTTAAATTGAACTCTTAAAATTGTTCATGCTTTTGGTTCTGTAAACAGTATGCATAAGCTTTGCCCCTAAGACTTTGTAGAGGTGAGACAAAAATAAAGCTGGAATATATCTTATTTCACTGGTAAGAACAAATTAATACTTTTATCCTACCAAAAGCTTTAATACAGCTCTTAAACTGACCTTTAAAGTGACGTGTGTATTTCTTTGGTTTTTAAGGTATTTTACGATTTGAATGTGAACCTGATCAGCATGTTTGCCTGTTTAAATACCTTCATCCGTTGTACAACTTTTAGCATTCATTTGTACAGTAGCTGCATTGTAAGTCACATCCATTCTGTAGGTCGTATGAAGGTCAACCACTTTACCATAGTCAGGAGGTGTGGTATCTATGGCAACAGGTCCAGAGAAACTATAGGACTGTAAACCCACTGTGTTAATAGCAGTCACAGTAACATAGTAGGACTTCTCATGAGTCATCAACTCATCTGCATCTATAAAATCATTTCTTTCCTAATGCACTTTTTTAGACTTTCCTTTGATTTAATAGACCTTAATGTTTGGAAATTTTAAAATGTTTTTCATGTAAATCTAGTTAAAAGGATTTCCATATTGTTATGATTTTAACTTGAAGAATTCTTGTTTCATACATCCATACCATTTGGACTCTGTTGGATAGTTGTTTCATTGGCAATCATACCACATCTCCTCATTTTCATAATATCTTAATATCTTCCACAACCTTTCCAAAAACTGTCATATTCTTTACAGATTTGTCCTAACTTTTTTTAAATTACCGACCAATAATGTGATTTTTATATCATTTCTCATAAGGGAAACAAAAAACAAAAAGTAATTAAAAACTGTCTTTTCTATTAGATTTTTTACTTTAACACTAGCCATATTTCTAGTCTAGGATAAACAATAAAGTCCATCTGTCCAAAGGTGTTTAATACTTGATGCATCTGTAACTTTCATAATGACTGTAATTTCAAGTATGAAGACACTAGTGACTAGACAGAAAAATATTTAAAATCAAGAAATATTTTATAAGACTCATAAAAATGTTACAGGTTTTGCATATTATTTAATAGTTTCTATTTTCAGTTCATTGGAAATAAGAGAAAAGTATTTATTAAAATTTTTGCCAGTTTTGTTTTGCTTTTTTCCGTAAGAAGCTTCAATACTAAATTTTTCACCAATTACAAACCATTTATTGTATAACTGAATGTATTTCCATCAACTTTTCTGTCGCTGAATATGTCAGAAAACCCTTCTTGAGAACCAAGTGATATAAGAAACTTCTCTATTGGGCTTTCATTATCCTGAAAACCAGTCCAGGTACACTTAACTGGAACCTTAGCCTGAAATAAAGAACTTACCATTTCAGTTCATTCATGTTTAAAGGTAACAGTTTCTATTACAGTGTCACCTTTCAGAAAATAAATCATTTTTAATGCAAACCATCTGCACCTCATCAGAACAGGTGACAATTATCTGATTCTGGTGTATCTATTGATTATAATGTTACCTGACTTTACCCCATCAGGATATGTGACAACTCCCTGATTTTGGTGTATCTATTGATTACAATGTTACCTGACTTAACCCCATCAAGACAGGTGACTACTCCCTGATTTTGGTGTATCTATTGATTACAATGTTACCTGACTTTACCCCATCAGGACAGGTGACAATTATCTGATTCTGGTGTATCTATTGATAATAATGTTACCTGACTTTACCCCATCAGGACAGGTGACAACAACAGAATTCTGATGTATCTATTGATTACAATACTACCTGACTCTACCTAATCAGAACATGTGACAACTCCCTTACGCTAGTTTATTTATTGATTACAATTAGGGATGTCAAATCGGTGAAGAATTACTAATCAAGTACTTGTAGGTTTCATCGAGCGATACTCAAGTACTTGCTCGTAAATATATCTTCAAAATTGGAACACAATAATACACATTTTACACTTGTGTGTTGTTGTTTAATGTACGTTGAACCTCTAAATAGTCATAGGAATCATATACCATAATTACTTAAGAAATAATTCTTTCATGCCATACTCTATGCTCATTTTAACATGAATAGGTATTATATTTGTCAATATCTTTACACCCAGCGCTAGCTAGGTGTAAAATGTTGACAAATATAATGCCTACCCATGTTAAAATGAGCATAGAGCATGCCATGATAGAACTAGATATCATTGAGATTGAAGCCATCTCTGTGGGACCCGCTGTGAATAATGTGTGGTAAAAAATTTGTATCTTTATCATTGGACATGGGGTTGTCAACTGAAACCAAAGTTTTTTTTTTACCTTGACCTTTGACCTAGGAAGTTGTACATAAATTATGACACACCCTCTAGTGTTGATTTATATACATGTCAAGTATAAACTTTGAAATCATAACAGTTCGCAAGATATAGAGTGGACAAGATCTTTACCATATGACATGGGGTTGTCAACTAAAACCAGTTTTTGACCTTGACCTTTGACCTAGGAAGTTTTACATACAGTATGACACACCCTCTGGTGTTGGTTAATATACATGTCAAGTGTAAACTTTGAAATCATAACGGTTCTCTAGATATAGAGCTGACACAATTTGTTACGGACGGACGGACGGACGGACAGACAGACTGATCACTATAGGGCGTCCGCCATTCGGCGGGGCCCTAATTATTTCGATTCTAATAGGAAAATTTAGAACTTTTGCACTTTGAAGCAGACCTATTAAACACGTTCAAAAGGCGCCCATTTTGATTGGATGATGTCAAAAATCAACAGTTTCAAGAAAAAAAATTAACAGATACACGTAAACTTAATTTTAAAAGGGATTTTTTTTAATTACCTAGCGAGAAATACCAACAAGAATGTCCATTTTGATCTCAGGCGTTGTTCAAAATGCAACTGACGTTGCAATTTCATTGTGAATTCAATAGTGTGCAGCCCATGTTCTATTGGAATTAGAACATGGCTTTGTTTCCAAAGCGAAAGAAGAACGTCATATTAGAATAGCTCATTTACTACATGTACTATTACCCTACCTTATCAGGACAGATGACTAATCCATGATTCTAATGTATCCATTGATAACAATACTACGTACCCCTACATATTCAGGACAGGTGAAAACTCCTCGATTCTGATGTATCTATTGATAACAATACTACATACCCCTACATATTCAGGACAGGTGACAACTCCCTGATTCTAATGTATCTATTGATAACAATGCTACATACCCCTACATATTCAGGACAGGTGACAACTCCCTGATTCTGATGTATCTATTGATAACAATACTACATACCCCTACATATTCAGGACAGGTGACAACTCCCTGATTTGGTACTGATGTATCAATAATCACTGAATTAAATGTCCTTTTACTGATGGATCCAGCCTTGTTTTCTACATACACTGATATAATGTTGGGCTTTCCTATAAATTGTAATTACAAGTAACTTAGAATAACTAAAGGCTCTAAAAAGTCTGTGTCTCTCACCTGAATCTATGTGCATCTCTAACAACGGCCACTCTCCAACATTATAGACAAAATTGAAAAAATGGTCATTTAAGGGAAATAAGTTCTTCTAGATCTATTATAGTTCTCAAGATAATAGCCAAAAACAAAAGAAATAGTAAGAATACTTTTTTTTAAAGGCAATAAGTCCTATAAAGAATGATCTGACAGTTTTGGTCTAAATGGACAGTAGGATGAAATCATCATTCTAAACATTTCTGCCCATCAGATTTTCTTTATTTATAATGGTTTACAAGATAATAGACAATACTTGCATTTTACTCCAATTTTCTATTTTTAGTCTTGGTAGCCATGTTAGTTGGCAGGCTGGATAGCTGGACACATTTTAAATACTAGACATCCCAAGGATGATTGTGTCCAAGTATGGTTTCATATTGTCCAATAGTTTCAGAATTGATTTTTGTAAATGTTAACTGACAACGATGACAGGCGATGAATGCCAAGTGAAAGCATTAGCTCAAACTGGGCTGTTGGGCCAGATGAGCTAATAAACAAATATATCAATACATTAAATGTGGTCTCTAAGTAAACAATTAAATTACCAAATAAGCTTAATAGTAATCAGCTTTAGAGGTGTTATATTATATTAACTTCTGCAAATGGCTATTTCTTGAAATCATTTGAAAGGGTACATTACAGAGAAAAATTTCAAACTTATCACATTATAGTTTATTAAATGATTGTTGTTTAATGTCCAGTACCAAATATTACATGCATAGAATAGTTTACCTGAAGTATCAGCAACTACAGAAGACAATGGCAGTGAACTTTGTAGATTTGGTGTAATATTAACTTCTGTTACTGGAGCCACATCTCCTCCAAAAGGATAGGTCCCTACACCGAACCAAGCTCTCTGTATGCCACTCTCTTCATCACTATAATGCCACAGGGCTGACAGGGAATCCACTGTTTTCTGAAAAATACTGGACCCACTTTCCATTTCAGAGGCATCTTTATCTGTTAGTCTGTAAATGATTTTTAGACAAATTTTTAAATAAAAAAAGATTGGAAAATATTGTTCATATGAAGCAATTATTCATTTCAAAATATCTACATAATATCCTTGTCACTGGTTTTTACAGATGAAATTAAATAACAATGCAAAAACGTGTAACAATTAAAGAATTGAAATGAGGTTATTAAGACAATGTATCAAATCACTTATATTATGCAATTGAGCGCCTGACAATCAAATACTGTGGATTCATTTTTATTCGTGGTATACCAATTTTCGTGGATTTATTGGGTCACAGCGAACCACGAATTTAAGAATTCAACAAAGAATAATCCCGAGAAATGTGTATGGAGTCGGATGTTTATTTCCAGTTATGTTATGCAGTTCTAGTATAGTGTTGACTAGCGATAAACATTGTAACATAACACGTGTTTTTATTGAAAGAAGATACAAGTAGTTGATTAAATCAATAATAAATATATCGAATATCAGTGATAATTTACTTTTTAAAATTGATTAAAACTGTTCATGGAAAATAACTGCAAGTTGTTAATTACCGTGTCATAGTTTGGTTTACTGGTGATTAAAAATCAATAGGATTAAGTACGGGGATATTGCCCGTAGGTAGTATTGTTTATGACAGGAACATTTATTTTCACACCGTTTACTTATATGACTGTTTATCATATCGTGATTAGGAAAATGAGCTTTCAATCATAGAGTTTTGAATGCCTTATAAAATTCCGACAAGAATTTATAAATTGTAAAACAAACAAATAATTAGTTGTCTCTGTCCATTATTGTAATAGAAGTTTTCAATGAACACTTTAACCTAGAATGACCAAGCGAGGATTTTGACAATTCAAAACTTTTTCAATGAATTCCTTCTTTTTTGTTTGTTTTATTATTGATCAAACTAAGGAGGTTATATGATCTCCTAAATCAAAAAGAAATCCATGAATTACGAATCTGAATTTTTTTTTTTTTTTGTGATCAGCGATCCATGAATTTACGTATACCACGAAACGTCTTTTTTTCTCTATCCACGAAAATTGATACCCACGAAAATAAATGAATCCACAGTAAACACTTTAATAAACCTCTCATTCTTTGTTTCAGCTATTCATTTGAATAAAACTTTTATCATTTGTTATTGTTAGATCTGTTTGGGAATTTAATTTGATTTGAAACATAACATCCTAAGCATTCTACGAAACATTACCTGTCTAGTGTAACCACAGGTGGTGTGGTGTCTACAGTGAATCCATCAGACACAGCCTCTAAAACATTGCCATCATTAGTGACAGCACGAACACTGGAGTAATATCTTGTCTCTGGTTTAAGTTGAACATTGGCTTGGGCAAAACCAGAACTGGATATTCCTGATAAGTAATATAAACAAAGGTAATCAGTAATAACAAAGTTTGACATCACCCCAACTTGGCTCGTTAAACCTTATAAAATAGAAATATTTGAGAAAAAAAAAAGAACTTTATCAAAAAATAAATTTGATTAACGAACCATCAAATATAGGTTAAAATGACTACTTTGAACCGGAGATTGTGTCATAACCAAGGGTCCGGAAATGGTCATATTTGCCAGTCATGTCCTAAATGGAAGTTGGGATTTAGGACAAATTATTTTTTTTACAGAAATAATTTCGATAATTTCATTGAGATTGGTTTCTTTATGATCGCAATTTTGCACTTTTTTGTTTTGTAATCCCTTTCCTGTAATAAAACTGCCACTCTAGTATAGTATGATAATCCTGAGGGCCCTCCTAATAACCATAGTAATGCCTCCCGGAAATAATGGCTAATGATGGCTAATCACTTTTTACCTGTGTTTTTAATTCACACCTGACAGTGATCAGAACTAATATTATAAAGAAATTAAAATTCAATTACAACTTTCTTCATTATTTAATTACTTTTCAGCAAAGACAATCGACAATTCTGATATAAAATTAAAACTTGATGTAATTTACGTAGAAAAAAGTAATTTTTCACGAGTCAAACGTGTGCTTCATTTACTATGTAATACGCATGCCTGAAATTGTCTTCACAACATTAGACACTTAATCGTAAAATGCAAAATCATTTCATGCTAAATTCAACGAATGCAACTATTATTTTTTATATTCAAACACATTTAAAGGTAATAAAATTAAAACCCTGTGATTTCCTGTCAATTTGATAAACAGAAGGAATCCCTGAAACGAATCCAGAATTTCTCGTACTTCAGTACTGTCAGGAAACTTCTGGTTTTAATTTCGTCTTCAAAATCAAAAGAAACGTTAGAGATGTCTAAGAAATTTACAATTTTGAGTCATTAAAATCATTTCAATTTTAAACTGTTGCATTCCATTAACTGTTCTTGAACGTTTTTAGAAAAGCAGTATGAAAATTCATGAAGTAAATGCGATGAAACAGTAAAAGTGACGCCTCCCAAATTCAAACTTGATCTGTGTTTTATGGTAACAATTATTGTGTATAGGTTTTATAACATTTGGTTGAGGCAAGCTAAAGTTAGAGAATGGAAACAGATTTTGGGACGTACCGATGTACGGATGGACGGACAAGGGTAACACTTAATGCCCCCTCCGCTGCGGCAGGGGCATAAAATTTCAGTTTTTTTTTTAAACCATTGTATAATGATCACCACTTCAGGTGTTGGTTCACTTATATATTTTTACATTGTATTATGAGAAAAATTTGAATCCTTAAGTTATTCTTACACGTACCATTGCCAACAACATCTGCTTCTTCAGAATGTACCAGTCCATGAGGAGTATAGGACATAACATCCTCTCCACCTGAAGTTGTATCTACTGTAGGGACTCTGTGTGATGATAACTTACCATTGCCAACAACATCTACCTCTTCAGAATGTACCAGTCCATGAGGAGTATAGGACATAACATCCTCTCCACCTGGAGTTGTACCTACTGTAGGGACTCTGTGTGATGATAACTTACCATTGCCAACAACATCTACCTCTTCAGAATGAACCAGTTCATGAGGAGTATAGGACATAACATCCTCTCCACCTGAAGTTGTACCTACTGAAGGGACTCTGTGTGATGATAACTTACCATTGCCAACAACATCTGCCTCTTCAGAATGTACCAGTCCATGAGGAGTATAGGACATAACATCCTCTCCACCTGAAGTTGTACCTACTGAAGGGACTCTGTGTGATGATAACTTACCATTGCCAACAACATCTGCCTCTTCAGAATGTACCAGTTCATGAGGAGTATAGGACATAACATCCTCTCCACCTGAAGTTGTACCTACTGTAGGGACTCTGTGTGATGATAACTTACCATTGCCAACAACATCTACCTCTTCAGAATGTACCAGTCCATGAGGAGTATAGGACATAACATCCTCTCCACCTGGAGTTGTACCTACTGTAGAGACTCTGTGGGATGATAACTTACCATTGCCAACAACATCTGCCTCTTCAGAAAGTACAAGTCCATGAGTATAGGACATAACATCCTCTCCACCTGAAGTTGTACCTACTGTAGGGACTCTGTGTGATGATAACTTACCATTGCCAACAACATCTACCTCTTCAGAATGTACCAGTCCATGAGGAGTATAGGACATAACATCCTCTCCACCTGAAGTTGTACCTACTGTAGGGACTCTGTGTGATGATAACTTACCATTGCCAACAACATCTACCTCTTCAGAATGTACCAGTCCATGAGGAGTATAGGACATAACATCCTCTCCACCTGAAGTTGTACCTACTGTAGGGACTCTGGGGGATGATAACTTACCATTGCCAACAACATCTGCCTCATCAGAATGTACCAGTCCATGAGGAGTATAGGACATAACATCCTCTCCACCTGGAGTTGAACCTACTGTAGGGACTCTGTGGGATGATAACTTACCATTGCCAACAACATCTATTTCTTCAGAATGTACCAGTTCATGAGGAGAATAGGACATAACATCCTCTCCATCTGGAGTTGTACCTACTGTAGGGACTCTGTGTGATGATAACTTACCATTGCCAACAACATCTGCCTCTTCAGAATGTACCAGTCCATGAGGAGTATAGGACATTACATCCTCTCCACCTGGAGTTGTTCCTACTGCCCATTCATAATCCACAACTCCATGTAAATGACTCTCAAAACCATTGAACTGTAGTGTGGTAGTAGAAAAGTCTAACTGATAATCTAAATCTTCATTAAGAACTAAGGTATTACCATCAGTACCCTCAGCTCCATCTATCACCAAACCTGTTATAGAGATAAATACAATCATTAAATCTGTAAACAAATGTTTATACAAACCATATCACATTAAACAATAAGATACAAAAAGGTATATATCACATTGTATATTGATATATTATAATTTAAAAATGTATATATTTCAGAATTAAGATAACTAATAAGTACTAAACGAATCAAATTATTATATACTACTAATGTTTAACAAGGCCGGGATAACGTACCAGTATTTTTTGTATCCTACTAACAAATGTCAAAATTATCAATAAAGTATGATACACACCAAAAAAAACAACAATGTAATTGATTTTAGAGGAGTTGTCGATACAAAGAATGGATGGACTGACAAAGGAACAGACATATTCTGCACCAAGTTTTATGCTTGAAGCCTCCTACCTGGTTTGTCTTCATCTACTACCACAATAGGTGTAGATCTGATAGGATTACTCTCCTGTCCTGACACTGTATCCCTGTCATACATACCTGGTTTGTCTTCATCCACCACCACAATAGGTGTAGATGTGACAGGATTACTTTCCTGTCCTGCTCCATTCTTTGCCTTTACACTGACATAATACACTGGTGTGTAAGTTGTCAGGTCTGTCAGTTGTAGTGTCAGGTCAGGTATGTATATATCCTTCTCTGTTCCAAAAGCTGTCCAAGACATGATATCTGTACCACCTGAATACACAAAAATATTACCATAATTTCATAATTGTTTTGAGTCAATTCTAATATCAGGTCATGGATATTTATACATGTTTTTGTTCTCTTAGGAAAACGAGAATAAAATATTGAAGACATTTGCAAACAGTGAATGCCATCCTGAGAAATACTATACCTTTGAGTCTCACCTAGTGTGACTTTTGAAGTATGCTCAATAAAGCCGATAATATCATCTCAAATAAAAAGTAGGTAATGCAAAAACACATAATTAACATAGCCTGGTCATGATTCATAGCCTAACTGGTTTTGGTTATGTAATATCATCTCCTTTATTTTGAAAGATGTGTCATTTTATTTTGAAAAGCATTGAAGAAATATAAAATCGGACTGAATTGATTGTTAAATTTTCAAAAGGGGATGATGATGATTATGAAGGATTGTGATATAAATATAAACCCTGCATTTTAATAGTCTGACACACAAAGCCAGATAGGTATTTCTCTTGCTAGTTCACAAGGTAACATACATATCTACCTACCCAAACACATTATTCTAACCCCAAGCCTACCAGTCTTTGCTTTACTCTGAAATGTAGCATGCTTAGCCTGGAAGCAGCAAATACAGTTTTTCAAGTCCTATGTTTTACCTGGCTAGGCATGAATCTATTGAGGCGAGAATGCTACCACAAAACCGAAGAGGTGGTTGATTTTTTTAAATGAACACTGACCATGAGATGTTCCTACTGCTACTTTAAACTTTGTAACCCCTGACTGGTGATCATCTGCTCCCCAGGCTGCCTTGATCCCAGTAGTATCAGCTTGCCACACATATCCATCTATAACTGTCTCTATTCTGCCTGCTAGGCTTCCTACATGTAGCCAGTGCATCTAGAAAAATCCATAATTGACATTTATAGTATTCATACTGATTGGTAAATCAAAGTTCACATGTCAATAGTTTACATGGGACCTTTCTTCAAAAACAGATTTCCTCATTGATTATTGTTTGCCTAATGTCCATTGGCAAATAACATCATTTGTTTAGAAAAAGAAAATGTTTGAAGAAGTCAAACATAAAAAGAATATCCTGTCTGGCAACCATTTTGGTAGGCTGATCTGTACAGCTCTTGACAAAGATATGTTCTTGTTATACTTGTTTTATACAAAAATATGTGTCCATAGGACACCATGACCCACTCGCACTATCCTATGTCTATGTTCAGTAAACCATGAAATCAGGTTCAAATATGTAATTTGTCATATAATTTTAAAATGTGTAGAAATTTCAAGTTGATGTGACTAAAGCTTTGGATACTTACAACAGGAGGAGTTGTATCTATGACAACACCATCAGTCTCAAATGCTGCTACAAATCCTGCCTTGTTAACACATCCCACCCTCATACTGTATACTCCGCCCTGATGTAAAGACAGACCTGTCTGAGTGTAGTGGTTTATACTGACATCTGTACCAAGATTTAACCATTCACTATAAATTGCTAAAAACATAATACAAAATATGCAAATAATGACATCTTCAAAAAAGTCTTTTCATTCATAGAATTGTTACAATGTGTTTCTTCATCAGTTTATTTCCAGATGTGCAAATGTCTTTAAAAATGTTGCATCATTAAAACTAAATCCATTTCTTTACTTATCTCTTTTAAAATTCTTCTTTTATTTCTTATTTTTACTACCTTTCCTTCTGAAAAATATCAAGAATCTACAAGTGTTAACCAATCTTGCTTCTGTTATAAAGGATCAAAACTGCTTCTGTGCAGGAAATGGATAAATCCTTTAGATCTTGTATCTTTATGTTGTTGATAGCATGCACCCCGTCTTAAATGGTTTTAGATTTTGCATTCTGGGTATGACTTGTGATTTGGCAACTTTATGATGTTGATAACACCCCAACTAAAAAGGATTATCTAGATTTTGCATACCTGGTATAACTTGGGATCTTACACCTTCATGATGTTGATATATCTGAATTTTATAATGATCCAAACCAGATTCTTCATCTATAAACTCAAAGTTACTAGACAAACTTGTCACATCAGACTGAAAAAAATACCAAATACATGTATATGTGCCTCCAGGTTAATTATGTATACATCTCCTTTTATTCATATCACAATGGATCTTAGTTATTGATTAGTTTTTGGTACACAGAACTTGTTACATGACTTCAGTACTTCAAAAATAATTTTAATTGTAAAAATTACAAGGCTAAAGGATTCACAAGAAGAATTTTAAAAGGCTGACATTAAGCCCTGAGGTAAGAGGGTTCACCTGACTAGTGCATTTGAGAAGTCACCAATTAAGAAACAAACGATAAACAGAATGAAGTCTGGAGATGACATTTGGAATGAAAAGGTAAGGAAAAACTGTCTATGGTGAACCCTTTAACAATCTACTAATTTCAAATATAATTTTTTCTATTACTGTGTCCATTTTAATATTTAAAACAAAAGATAATACAAACCTGAAATGTTTTATCTTCTTTCAGCACAGATCCATCACCAAAGCTAACAAGAACAGCTGGAGTCAAGTCAACAACAAATCCACTCGTCTCATTGATGATTGAGTTCAAGGCTGCATTTGTGGTTTTTAACTTGACCTTGACATGGTCTTTGTGATAAAGGTGAAAGTTCACCCATTCTATACTGTCAGTTTCCTTTGGGAAGGTGACCCATTCCCTAACTACTTCATAGTCTTCTGTGTTGTTGCTAAAAAAAAGTGTGACAAGTATTTGTGTGAAACAAAGTATGACATGGATTAGTGTGAAACAAAGTGTAACAAAGATTGGTGTGAAACAAAGATACTGACAAGGATTAGTGTAAAACAAAAATGTTGACAAGAATTTGTGTGAAACAAGGTATGACATGGATTGGTGTAAAACAAAGATGCTGACAAAGATTGATGTGAAACAAAGATGATGACCAGGATTGGTGTGAAAAAAGTGTGACATGGATTGGTGTGAAACAAAAGATACTGACAAGGATTTGTGTGAAACAAAGATGTCTGACAAGGATTGGTGTGAAACAAAGTATTACATGGATTAGTGTAAAACAAAGTGTAACAAAGATTGGTGTGAATCAAAGATACTGACAAGGATTGGTGTGAAACAAAAATGTTGACAAGAATTTGTGTGAAACAAGGTGTGACATGGATTGGTGTAAAACAAAGATACTGACAAACATTGATGTGAAACAAAGATAATGACCAGGATTGGTGTGAAAAAAAGTATGACATGGATTGGTGTGAAACAAAGATGCTGACGTGTGAGACAAAGTGTTATATATTTATCATGGGTTGCAGTGATAACTATTTCATAAGAGTATATATGTTTTTAAAGTACAATCTACAGACACAATAATTACAATTTGCAATACATCAGTATACATAAAACAAAGAGTAATTTAATGCCATGGGAAAGTTATGCCCATAAAACCTAACAGAACATTATAACTGTGAACTATTTTTAGAGATAATAAATTATTGACAGACACATCCGCTAATCTTATGATAATAAATTCCTAACTGTCAGAATTAATTATAACCCACATAAACAATAATGATAATGTTTCATGTACCGTATATTCTGGAAAATAAAACGCACCCCTAAATAAGGCGCACAGCCATTTTTGGGGAAGAAGTGTTTTTTTCCTTACATAAAATGCAACTGAATATAAAGCGCACCCTGATGAAAACGTAGTATGCATTTTACTGACCTTAGAGTAATGAATGTTCACTCGTTTTTGTAACTCACTCCGTAACATGTTTCATTTCTATTTTCAGATTGTTGAGAAAGTTGAAAGGCATTTTGATTATATTTATTTGTTTCATATTAAAATAAAAAATGTTAATAGTGTCCATTGAACTTGTTGTTTTGATTAAAATTAGTTTGGTGTTGATTGCTCGTTAATTGTTTTAATTGGAATCAAGGATTTTAATCTTTCTTGAAAATGTATTCATTAAAGGTCACTCAAGCCATAAAACTGCCATTGTTTACCTTGATTATTACGTAATACCGGTTACCTGTAGCCACATGTTAACTGGTCACACATAAGTCAGGGGGAAAACAAATTATCAAATTGAATTTGAAGAATTTTATTGTTGTCTATATAATAAAAGTTTTAGTTTATTAGCTTCAAACATTTTTCAATTAAAACTTGGTTGAAAACTACGAAAAAAAAAATTCAGTTTCTGCAAGTCATTGTCTATTTTTAACTGAAAGTGAGATGGACCACGGAAAGGGGAATTCAAATAAGACGGCGATATATAAATGTCTTAGCATATTGAATTATGAAAATTAATATTCTTTTTTTTTATTTCATGCATCCGATATGTGGCTACAATATTTCATAAAGATATTTTATTTTGAAACAATAAAACAACAAGCAGTTACTCCTCAATAGTATATCCTGTATGGTACCTCTTTTCAAACACGCTTATCTTTCTTTGTTTATGGAACACTTTAAAGGGTTCATTTCAGCACATGGTTATCACCATCGTCATTAAAAGAGACTTGAAATATTGGAAAGAAACACAATCACTTCCTTTATTATTCCATTTAGAGATTGTATTTAAAAACACATTAAAACAACAAACAATTACATATTTATTGTAAACACGCAATTAATATCCTGTATGGTACCTCTTTCAAACACGGTTATCTTTCTTTGTTTATGAAATGAACACATGGTTATCAACTTCGTAAACAATGAAATAAAGAACAAATGATAAAGTATATATATTTTTATTCATAACAAAATATACCACATGAACAATTTATCAAGTCACTGCAAGCACTTGACAATCTGACGGTCTCCATAAAAAAAATCCAGATATAATTTTTTTTTCACGCTTGCCCTGAAACACTGAAAAAATACATACATAAAGCACACCTGAGTATAACATGCAGGGACAATGACAGAGAAAAAAACCTGCGGCTTATTTAACGAATTTAACGGTAAACATAACGCAAAGTGTGACATGGATTGGTGTAAAAAAAAAATTACATGGATTGGTGTGAAACAAAGTGTTACAGGAATTGGTGAGAAACAAAGTGTAAAAGGGCTTGGTGTGAAACAAAGATGCTGACAAAGATTGGTGTGAAACAAAGTGTTACATGGATTAATGTGAAACAAAGTGTGACAAGACTTGGTGTGAAACAAAGATACTGAAAGGATTGGTGTGAAGCAAAGATGCTCACAAGATTTGGTGTGAAAAAAGTTTTACATGGAATGGTGTCGAAACAAAAGATACTAGCAAGGATTCATGTGTAACAAAATATAACAGGGATTGGTGTGAAACAAAGATGCTAACAAGGATTGGTGTATAACACAGTATAGGTCAAGATAATACCTTAAGGAACCTCAACATAACCAGACATTTTATTGTTTTAACAAGAATTTTGTTGCAATAATCTCTCTCCTGAGCCTCAACATATCTATATGAAAATAAGAAGATGTGGTATGATTGCCTATGAAGCAAATATACACCAGAGACCAAATGAAGTAGATGTAAGCAACTTACTTTGAAACCTCCACCTGTACACCATACTGTTGTATACCAGATTCAGGATCATGATATCCCCTCCACTGTGTCCCAACTTTAGCTGTACTTGGAGAAAACTGAAGATCTTTAAATCCTGTCTGAACCCCATCAATAACTTCTCCCGATTCTGGCTCGGTCAAATCCACAGTTACTGAAAAATTTAACAAACTTATAATTCTTTCTTATTTTATAGGACATTATGCCTTCCATGATAATCTATGTTGATCTATCATTGATTAAAAAAAAAACACTAATACAATTTATATATAATTGGTTAAATAAAAACATCTGACAACAATAAAAGCTTGGCCTGCTACTCCTTTTTTTATTGGTTGATACATACCTCCATCAGATATAGCAGAGACTTTCTGTTGTGATATTCCTCCATTATAAGCCAAGACAATGGTATAATATGTCTTGCCATGTTCTAAGTCTTTGTTGACAGACACACAGGTTGTATGGGTGTGTCTACTTATTTCTGTTGAATTAGCAATATCTGTTATGTTGACATTTCTCTCAGAACTCGCTCCCACCATATACATTGATATTCCTGATTCTTGGTCATAGAAATGTCTCCAATTGGAGCATAGCTATAAAAGAATAAAATATTCTGTCATTCCATTTTAACTTTTTTTAGTAAAAAGTTAAGAAATAGATTCTTTTAAAATTCAACTGGCATACTTTGGAAACTATCAATATGTGAACGAACATGACCATTACTTAACAGATTAAAGCTTCCATGCTTAAAGAATTACTCCTGGGATAGCATGCTGAAATTTGCTTGTACTAAGTCTGGTACTAATAAATGGTACAAGTAAGTTTAGAGTTTTGCACACATTTTACTGCTTCCATAGATCTGCTTTAAACTCTATTGGGAATAAAACATTTACTACAAGCAACTTGCTTTGTAATGCAATAACAATCACTGCTATCAGAAGTTTCAGTATTTTGCTAATTCCTACCGAGGAATCATAATTGATTAATGCAATGAAAAAGTAATTTTTCCTTTACATTAAATTTTGATGCTGAAAGATTAAAATGAGTAAATATAATAACAATTTAACCTTTTGATACTCCTTGGTGAATTGCAAATCAGTTCCTTGTACTGAACCATCTAACACTTGTCCTGCTATGGGTGGTGTATTGTCAACAATTATAGCTTGGTCTGCTACTCCTATTTTTCTCAGATCCACTGAAAAATTAGGAGACATTAATTATAGCGTTAGTCACTATAAATTTTGTAGGTAAATTCTTGATAACAGTATAAACTGTACCATCTTCATGTAGTGTCTCTTAACCTCAACTGGTATAATGACCTACTTCTAAATTTAGAAATAAATGTAACTTGCCTGCCCATTTTTTAAAATATAGATTAACAAAAAACAACAATAAAAAGAACATTTCACCAGACAAATATGTATTTTGAGGCGAAATTTTCATACCTCCATTGGTGACCTTAATTTTGACCCAAATACGGACACCATCTGTGAGCTTTACTGCATACTGTATGTCTGGACTATAGTCCATTCTTTTCCAGTCCATTTCATCACAGTCTCTGGCAGAATGGCCCAAACATAAATCATTGTACACCAAACCTGAATGAGGGTCACTGTGAAAAAGATAGAACTTGATAAAGTTTTAACATGTACTTAAACATTATATAAATAACACATAGCTGAGAGGGTGATAGAGCAGATTGTTACCCTGAAAAACATACATGTTTTTTTGAGGGGTAACAGTCTGCACTATCACCCTCTCAGATATGTGTTACATGTATTTAATTTATTATACTGAATCAGACGAATATATAAACATATATACATGTCTCTGACTGAATGTTCTGTTATTACTATCTATTAAATTTCTAGTTCAAAGTAATAAACTATGACATCTTGAACACAACAACTATCCGTATTTAATAAAGGGCACACTTGATCAAGCACCTCCGTGACGATTTTGCCATGGAATAGAGTAAATAATCTCCCTCATATCAACCAATCAAAATCTGGCATTTTGACATAAAGTATAATAAAAGAATATATGGTGCATTTTTAACTGAACAACATATCTATACACTGTATCATTCTGTCAATGTAAGATAGGATAGAAGTTAATATAATCCAACTATCCTGCACAAAACTACATGTTTTATAATTCAATTTTGTCTTCTTATTCCAATCAATCAATGCATACTGTGATTTTATTTTATATAAACAAACAAACTTCCTCTCCTGCTGAACACAGCAGTCACAACTTTCTATAAAACTAATTGGAATTTGTTTTTGTTTTTCATATAACTCTTTTAAATAACTGTTGATGAAGAGCAGTTATATTTTATATTTATGTGAAAAGAAAAAGTATCACAGCAAAGATGATTTATTGTACAATAATTGCGAAAATATATAAATAAAGTCTCATAACTCTAAAATGACAAAAGTGGAAATCTTCAAAATCAAAAGGAAACTTTCTTCCATCCATCCTAATGTTCTCTTAAAATTTTATTAGAATTAGTTAAAGCAAATTTGAGATATTTTCATGAAGAAGCTTCTGCCCAAGTTTCATAACATAACATGAAGGTTTGACAGAATAATTGATGTCTAAAAAACCTTTAACAACAGACAGCACCTAAATGTTGACGCCAACAACATGTAGGATCACTGTGTTGCTATGAGACTCTAGTTACAGACTCAACAAAAAGTATAAAAAATTTCAAGTGTTTTTTGAAAATAAGTATAACAAAAATACCAAACTCCAAGGTAAATTAGAGTAACTGTTTCTATACATACCTGGATACATGTGATGCTCTCAGTAAGGGCAGATTTTCATCATATTCTATTCCATATATATCATAAATCTCTGGTCTGGAGTTATCAACTGTCAGTGGTGTAGAATGACACACTGTTGTTACCAAAGGCCCTCCATACTTTACATCATTTAATGCTCTGACAGTAATGAAGTATTTACCATCTAAAAAAAAAGTTATCATAAAAAATATCATCTCCTGGTCAAAATCTGTTTCATGTGGTTATTATATTTGTAGTATTTTACAGATTTCTTACTAGTTGTTATTTTTCTAAAAGAGCAAAACATAACTTTTATTCAAGATACTTACAAAAAGGTAAGAGAATTTTTAAAGCATATTAGAAATTTAGCCCACAGTGTGTTGAGAGATATTGTTTTCTTCATCACATATGATTGCCACTTATAAGGTTGTTAATTTACATTGGATCTTAATAAATTGAAATGATAAGGTTGCACAAACTGAAATGCCTCGCCTACTTTAATGATTGTGGTTGAATTTATGTCAAGTCTTAAAGAATAAATGGGGAATGTGTCCATGGGACACAGATGATGCCCCCCGCATGCATATCATATAAAGTTATAAAGGGACATAACTGAAGAACGGTAAAAGTGACGCTACCCAAATTTGTACTTGATCTGAGTTTTGTGGTAATAAGTATTGTGTATAAGTTTCATAAAATTTGGTTCAGGCAAACTTAAGTTAGAGAACGGAAACGAAAAATTCAGCAATGTTTCCATTTGTAAAGGGACATAACTCTAGAACAGTTAAAGTGACGCCACCAAAATTCAAACTTGATCGGTGTTTTATGGTAATAAGCATTGTGTATAAGTTTCATAACATTTGATTGAGGCAAACTAAAGTTAGAGAACTGAAACCAACTTTGGGACGTACGTACAGATGGACAAGGGTAAAACTTAATGCTCCCTCCGCTACAGCGGGGGCATAAAAATGGTAGATGCTAACATCCATGTACTTTGGTGGATAGTTGTCTCATAAAACATCTTCTAATTTCTATTTTTAACATTAGTGGAAATACCTCACAATGATGAGTTTAAAGCAAGTACAAGTTTGATTTGTTGTCTGCTACATATTGAATTCATACAAATCTACCTTGCTTGATATATGAAACTTTGCTATTTATTGCTGGTAAAACTGGCACTGTTCAATGAGTAGAATTGAATATAACTTTTCACAGATATAAAGTATCCTAAGGCTTATCATAGTAGTATTAGTCTACCAAATGTTTAAAGTGATCATTATAAATACCTGGTAATTTGGTGTATGGTGCTGGTATAGGGCTTATCATAGCACTAAATGTCCACTGGGACATATCAAATAAATGTTTATGAGGATCATGATCAGCATGTACCTCATCTTTACATTCTGTCAGGCCAATAAGTACAGTATATCCCATGATTCCAGATTCTCTGTCTATGAAGCCATCCCAGTTGGCTAAAATGAAACAATTCTATAAATAGACACATGAAGAAATGTGAATAATATATGTAATAATTTATTTAGGTGAGCCTCTGTATCCATACCTTATATGGGTGTATCCAGTCTTGTTGGTTAACACTGGTAAAGGATTGGCACGGAAGTTACAATCTGGTGTCCCAGATAGCAAAGAAAAGGGACTATTGTAAGATAGGCTGCTATTGAGATTATCAGACAGTTCAACATAGATATCTATATGGGCTTGCATTATGAGTTGGTTTTTTTTTGCTTTTGTAAACGTTTTCATATCTCGTAATAAGATCATCAGATGTTATGTTTATATGCTAATACTGTATTTAATTCAAATGAAATTTTCTAGTCTATGTCTTCATAGATGAAGCCTAAATTCTACTTTTTGGACTCTATTGTTGCTTCTTATTATTTTGGTGCTCTTGTACCATGTATTTCCTAGTTTCATTCAATTATTTTTTTTGTCGAATAAAACCTCACTGGCATATTTTAGTTTAGTTTTGAGGTGAGGTTAGGAGGTGACATTCAAAAAATGATCCCAATGAATTATAATAAATTTTAAAGTTGATTTAAGCAATGCATACTGCCATTAATCAACAGGGTATTCCTTGGATATACTTAAGAAAGGAATGCTTCTTTTTGTTTTTTTATTGGGGTGTAAAAGTGTTGAACGAAGCACATTTTGTAAGTGAAGAAGCGATTCATTCTAAAAATGTGTGCACGATCAACACTTTTACACCCCCAATAAAATTACAAAAAGAAGCATTCCTTTCTTATATACTTACATTTTTATGCTAATAAGACCATGAAAAAAAGTTTTATCAAGTTTTTCTTTTATTTACCTGTGCACTTTTTAGTGGAAGCACGTGTCATCACGAATGTAACATTCATTTTGATATGAAGGTTAATTTTTGAATGACGCACAACTGTTGTTAGCCAATCAAACTAACAGATTTTCGTGAAACATACATGTAATGTAATTATTTACATATGTTTACCTTGTTCATCCTTAATCAGCTTACACATAACATTAGCTTGAATGTACTGAATACCTACCAGCTATATAGGCATTTGCCCTGGTGAACTTCAGATCAAACATTGGTGTAGGACCATTGAATACAGTCCGGGAACCAGGTCCGTCAACCACCAGTCTACAATGTATATGTTTAAATATGTAATTTAACTTTAACTCAATTAAGTTTTGTCTCTAAAGAGATTTAAAATTAATGGCATATCAAATCCAAAATTTATCATAACCTTCTTTAATTTTTTTTTTTAAATGTTTTGACACATGTAATGGCAATCATTTTTACATGCAGTTTCCATATATTTTTTTTAATTTGCAATTTCAATACAGAGTAAAAAGTTGATAACTGACAAATTCTTTTACAACTTTCTACAATTGCTGTTACAATTACTTACCTATGATTCTGAATTTTTGGATTTACCCCTTTACAAAGTAACTTCCAGTCAGGTCTGTCTCCAGGTATTAAATCCAAACATGGAAATATTTCAAGGTAATCAGCAGTCTTATTGGAAATAAAGCCTTCAAAATATTGTTGGTTTCAAAAAGTTATTTGATTGTTACAATAAAATCTCCAAAGAAATTTCTTGTATGTTTCGCATTATTAGTATTTCCAAATACTTTTTAAGATATTAAACTTTATCAGTAGTATCTCATTTTTCAACATGTGTCTCTATAGTCAAGCATAAGGAATAACATGTTTGATTGCAACTTACAATTTTAATCCTGGTATCTATGATGAGTGTATTTACATTACTTAGATTCAGGTTAAGATGCTACTATAAATTAACATTACCAACATATAGACAATAGATATAAGAAGATGTGGTATGAGTGTCAATGAGACAACTCTCCATCCAAGTCATAATTTGTAAAAGTAAACCATTATAGGTCAAAGTACGGCTTTCAACACAGAGCCTTGGCTCACACCGAACAGCAAGCAATAAAGGGCCCCAAACATTTTTGAAAATTTTCTCTTTTTATTCTTTATGATATATTCAGTTTTACAAACCATTGACCAAAGTTTAGAACTTACAAAATTAAGTCAGATAAAACATCTTTTACTTTCCCACATTTTGTTGTTCTTTGTTAATGCTACAACCTATTTGTATGTGTTTTACTCCATTATTAGAGGGGCTCCAGTGGGTATCACCTAAGGTCGCCGAGTCACCTTTGAAAATTGACTCAGCTCAGGTCACTTTTGAGCAAACTTTACAGTTCTAAACTGATGTGATCCCAGTCTTCAACATTTTTAAAGGTCTCAGGTTTTTTTAAATAACGAGACATCAGGTCACAAGGTTGCTAGCCAAACCCCCAAGATCACAGATCAGATTTGACCATGTTGGAGCCACATAATTAACAACTGACATACCATGTTTGTAATTTGCAAGGTGTGTTCACCAGTTTAACCAATGAAGGAGATTTAAACTTCTGATGGAGGAAATTACTATATCTATTAAACAAATCGCATGGGGTAAGACATTTATATGTAGGCTGTGAAAGTGTGAAATGGTGGGCTCTGTTCATTTCAGTTAATGAGCATAATTTCAAGTTCATTATTGGACCTGTCAACATATATTTGTTCCTCCTAACAGAAGTTCCACTGGAAACTTTGTTATAAACAATGTCATAATATCTGTTCCTGTTGGAACAATTATTCTATACCATTTATTCCGTTAGGAACATTTACTGTAATATTTATTTCAGTGGAAATAATATTCCAGAATATTGTTTCCATTTGGAACTTATATTATGAAGGAATTTCTATTCTGTGACAGACCTACTATTTCAGATGTTACATTGCCCATACATGACATGTAACGGCATAAATCAAGTCTTATCTTGTAATAATCAAATTAAGGTAAATTCACAACAACAAAAAAATCATGTTTTTTTGGAGGTGTAAATATTGAAGGAATGTTTTTTTTTTTGAATATTCATAATAAAAAATCAGTAAATAAACAAAAAAGTACAATGTTCAAATTATCTTGAAAGGGATTGTCACAACCAAACTCATTGTTACAGCTCTTTTCATAATGCTAGCAAGACAAAGGTTTGTTTGGCTTGCTGGCTTCGTTTGTATCAATGTTTGCTCAAGCATTGTAATTAAGATTGACATCTGAAAACAACATAAAAAGGCGGATTTAAACTTGTATACATTATATTTAAATTTGATTGGGCATTATCAAATACTAGTAATCAAATTTATCTATACACAGGTTTAACTCCACCTACTTATATTGTTTGTAGATGTCAATCTTAATTACAATGCTTGAGCAAACATTTATACAAACAAAGCAAGCAAGTCAAACAAACCTTTGTCTTGCTAGCATTATGAAAAGAGCTGTAAATGAACCACAAACTAAATGATTGTTTCATATACTGTAAATTCAGAAATTATTGCGAGGTTTTTATTAATGCGAATAATGCGACATGGTGAGTATAACAATAATAAGAACTCACATTCTGATAACTGAAACATAGACCTGTATGCAGATTTTTTTTGAAATTGCAATAATAAAACTTGTATTTTTGTCCATTCTTGAAAAATCGCAATAATAAATGCACCCAATAATTTCTGAATTTACAGTAGTATATATTTTAATGTTTATGAAATCATTATATAAACCTGTTTCAGGGGTAGTTGTATCCAAAAGGACTCCTTGTGTGGTGATTATACTATCATATCCTAGAACATTGACCAGCCTCAGATTGAAGTAGTACAATTTATTATGCAGGAGTTGTAGATTTTCATAAACAAACTGTTTGGATTTGCCAATACCAAGTCTTTCATAATGTTCAAACAATCCAGACTTGGACCTTGAGTAGTGATGTCCCTCAATGGCTTCCATAAGTTCACATACTCCTTTACCAAAGTCATAATTAAAGCTTATACACTTAGTACGAGGTAAATCTGCACAGGCCCTGGCACAATCTCCAGGAGTACTTTTTATTGTATCTGGTGCTGATTTTGGTCCAACCAACCTTCCAGCTATAGCTCCAGTAAATAGTTGGTCTAAAACCTTTTTATTAAAAGGATCTGACCCTAAAGAGAGAAAAAAAAAGATATTGTGAACATTGCCACTAATGGCAATAAATACTCTGTAAGCAATGACACATTTGATGTAACTTATATTAACTGCTAAAACATATTTCCTGGACTACTGTATTCAAAACTCTTTGGTGACCTGCAACAATGTTTGTTATTCCATATTTATATAATCTAAGTTAAGAAATAATAAATGCTAAACACATCATTATTCTAAAGGTACAAAACCACACTGACGCCATTTTTTAGATCATTTTGGAGCTTGATACATTGTATTGATATCAGTCTATTGTTATATATGTTGAACTGTTGATATCTTTTGGTTTTCTGTTCCTTTGGGTTGTTGTATCATTAATGTATATCAGATATCTGTTCTTCACATTACTTTAATTTTAAGTGACATCTGTCATATCTGTCAATAAACAGATACATCTAACAATGAATATATTGTTGTCATCACATAAACCTGCAGCCTAATCATTTCATTTACATTTTTGGGAAGTCATATACAGGTGAGGTGTTCTAGAGACATAAATTTGCAACACTGTGTTCATAGGTATATAGTGTTGCTGATATGACGAAACTAAAAAAATCATTATGTATTTGTTGAATTGGAAAAGTCATTCAACTAATATGGAGCATTAGAAATAGAATAGAACCTTAAATTACATAACAGTCAGTCAACTTGGACATTTCTCCCAGGCGCAACAACACCAAAGGCAAATATACCTAAATTGTAATTTATCTGATTATGGTCAAGGTCAACATCATCCCAGGGAACCATCTGATCTCCATAGATTCCTTTCCCATATCCTGCTCCAACTTGTACAGTCTGAAGTTCAGAGTCCTCATACACCGTAACATAGGCCCTTAGAACCTCAGGATTACTTGTAGACATAAATTCCTCCTGAAATCTTCCACCAGGTACAGTCACATCATAAGTTGGTAAACTACAAAATGCTTCTGACCTTTGACCTGAGTTGTTTTCTGCTATCAAGGTGAAGTAGATTGGAACTCCTGTACCTTTACTGATCAATGGCTGAAATATTGTAGTATTACAATTTACTTTAAGTACACGAACAAAAACTAGTAACTTGATCTTAGTTAAGTAATCAAGGAAAACCAAACCTATCAGTATATATATATATATTTCAAAGAAATCTATGAAAGAAGACTGAAATATTGATATCAATAATGCTTATGCTTCAATAACAGATCATTAAAAAAATTCATCCATTTAAATCTAGCTAAAACAAAACATTTAGGTGTTGGAGAAAACTGAATGAGGTGAGATGTTTAAGTCTTTACTAAATTGCCTATTAATTAATATAAAAAAAGAATAATTTGTAGATTACAAACCTAATGTTATCCTTTCTGACCAAAAATTTCCCAAATGGTAATTTTTTATCCATAACTTTACAACAAATTTTACCAGAAAGCAAGAGAATATATTTGAATCAATCAGAATGTTAAATGACCTCCAGTTACTTCAGTGTCACTGAATTGACCTCTGGTAGCAAACTGAAAATGAATCATTAAACCCACCTCTTTAATAACTGTGGATGGTCCTCCAAGTTCAGATTCATGTAGCACATCAGACCCTCCTGGTACAGTACCTACATTTAAGTACAGCTTGACCTGACTTCTATCATCCTCAGCTCGGATAGAGATTTCAAACTCTGGTTCTGTGTAATCTAGGTTTGGTGTTTGTTTAACATAACAGGAAGCCGTTGATCTTTTTTTCTACAAAAGATTGTTTGATTTTCACCAACATTACAACAGCTCTTAAATTCTCTAAACACATTGTTTTGCTCATTTAAATGTTGACAAGCATTGAGATCCATTAGTCATTTAAAAACAATTTTTGAGATTTATGAACGTCAACAATTATTACAAAATTTTTACAATGAGGATATCTGAACTAAAAGAAGTCAGAAGTATGAATAAATAGATGAAGTAAATGTAAATTAGACAGCAAATCAACAATACAATAAAAAAGCAGGACATCTGATCTTGAAGGTGCATGTAATACTACTTTCAAGTATAGTTTTAATCATTTCAGTGGTCTATACATTGAGTATATGACAGAAAAATGATAATAGCTGAAAATTACTGGCAAATCAAATCTTGTATGTATCAAAAGAACATATAACAGCTGAAGTTTCCATCATATTGCATCATGGGAAAAGTAATACTATTTCTAAGAAGAATTTTACCTTTCCATTGCCACCATATAACAGCTGAACTTTCCTTCATATTGCATCATGTGAAAAGTAATACTATTTCTAAGTAGAATTTTACCTTTCCATTGCCACCAGAATCTGTAACAGGTGATAGTTGTGGTGGTGAAGCATCTTCCTCTTTTTTTCTATTATCAATTATCTTTGCATTAATGCTTGGAGCTTTGTACCTCCATAATGTACCACTAAATAAAGTCTTTGTAAACCTAATTCCCCATGGTAGTCTGATTTCTAAAGTAACTTTAGCTGTCAACTTCAATTCTAATGGTCTCAGTTCTAGGTACATAGACAAACTGTTAATCATAAGAATATGTGAATCCATTATATAAAAATTGAATAATTATTTTTATTTAATTCAATTCTAAGGTCAACAAGATTGATACACTTTGTAAATATGGAATAAAATAATGTGTACAGTATAAAATTGTATAACAGGAACATTGATTACAGTACGTTTGTTTTTTCTACATTGGCTAGAGGTATACGGGGAGGGTTGAGATCTCAAAAAACATGTTTAACCCCGTCGCATTTTTGCGCCTGTCCCAAGTCAGGAGCCTCTGGCCTTTGTTAGTCTTGTATCATTTTTAATTTTAGTTTCCTGTGTATAATTTGGAGTTTAGTATGACGTCCATTATCACTGAACTAGTATACATATTTGTTTAGGAGCAAGCTGAAGGACGCCTATGGGTGCGGGAGTTTCTCGCTGCATTGAAGACCCATTGGTGGCCTTCGGCTGTTGTCTGCTCTATGGTTGGGTTGTTGTCTCTTTGACACATTCCCCATTTCCATTCTCAATTTTATTATAAAGTGTGTTTTGAGCTATTGTATTTGTTCCTATTATTCAATTGGCAAAGTGCAATTGTGGTACATAAGTCGAAGAAAGGTTAAAGTCTGATTTCTCCCATTAAATGGTGGAATAAAAATTCGTAAGGGTTCCACGGAACCCAGTGTCTCGCCTACTTTTTCTGTTAATCGCAGGCTCAACAAAAATGAGGAAGTAAATCAATAAAAATATTCCTCTTTATACTATCTTTTGATTGTAGGAAGCTTATGCCCAAGTTTGGTAAAAATCCAGGATAGTTTATGAATCTAATAAATGTTTAAAAACTTTAACTGTAGACTGAATGTAATGTTAACTGCAAAAAACAAAATTTCCTTCTAGATACTAGCATTTGATCATAAACAAGCTTCTGTCCAAGTTTGGTACAAATCCAAAATAGTATAAGAAAGTTATTAAAATTTTAAAAACTTTTAACCACAGAGTGAATATGTTGTTTCCTGGCAGAAAATCTAAGTCCATTTAAAAGTAAAATACGAAAAAAATGGATTTATTTTTTTACAAAATTTCCTTCTAGATACTAGCTTTTGATCATAAACAAGCTTCTGTCCAAGTTTGGTACAAATCCAAAATAGTATAAGAAAGTTATTAAAATTTTAAAAACTTTAACCACAGAGTGAATGTGTTGTTTCCTGGCAGAAATTCTAAGTCCATTTAAAAGTAAAATAAGGAAAAAATGGATTTATTTTTTTACAAAATTTACTTCTAGATACTATCTTATGATCATAAACAAGCTTCTGTCCAAGTTTGGTACAAACCCAGGATAGTTTAAGAAAGTTATTAAAATTTTAAAAACTTTAACCACAGAGTGAATGTAATATTTCCCGGCAGAAAAACTAAGTCCATTTATAAGTAAAATACGGAAAAAATGGAATTTTATTTTTACAAAATTTACTTCTGGATACTATCTTATGATCATAAACAAGCTTCTGTCCAAGTTTGGTAGAAATCCAGGATAGTATAAGAAAGTTATTAAAATTTCAAAAACTTTAACCACAGAGTGAATATTTGTGGACACCGCCGCCGACGCCGACGGAATGTAGGATCGCTATGTCTCACTTTTTCGACTAAAGTCGAAGGCTCGACAAAAATGACGGTAGAAAAGGATCAATTACATAAACGCATTATTTGGATGCATCATTTCCTGAATCATATTTAATTATCTCACATTTTATTTGAGGATCCCTCACTAATTTTGAGATACCTTTACATTACTTACAGACAGGTTATATATTCTTTTTACTGCTTTTACTACTTACAAATGTGTTACATTTCATTTCTAACATAGCATGTTGGAGCAGAGTTTAAGAGGTATGCAACATTTTCATTAATTTTGAATTTTTCACCTTTTTCACAGTTAAAAATCTTAAAAAATTTGTAAGGGTTCCGCGGAACCCAGTGTCTCGCCTACTTTTTCTGTTAATCGCAGGCTCAACAAAAATGAGGAAGTAAATCAATAAAAATATTCCTCTTGATACTATCTTTTGATTGTAAGAAGCTTCTGTCCAAGTTTGGTAAAAATCCAGGATAGTTTATGAATCTAATAAATGTTTAAAAACTTTAACTGCAGACTGAATGTAATGTTAACTGGAAGAAAAAAAAAATTTCCTTCTAGATACTAGCATTTGACCATAAACAAGCTTCTGTCCAAGTTTGGTACAAATCCAAAATAGTATAAGAAAGTTATTAAAATTTTAAAAACTTTAACCACAGAGTGAATGTGTTGTTTCCTGGCAGAAAATCTAAGTCCATTTAAAAGTAAAATACTGAAAAAATGGATTTATTTTTTTACAAAATTTCCTTCTAGATACTAGCTTTTGATCATAAACAAGCTTCTGTCCAAGTTTGGTACAAATCCAAAATAGTATAAGAAAGTTATTAAAATTTTAAAAACTTTAACCACAGAGTGAATGTGTTGTTTCCTGGCAGAAAATCTAAGTCCATTTAAAAGTAAAATAAGGAAAAAATGGATTTTTTTTTTTACAAAATTTACTTCTCGATACTATCTTATGATCATAAACAAGCTTCTGTCCAAGTTTGGTAGAAACCCAGGGTAGTTTAAGAAAGTTATTAAAATTTTAAAAACTTTAACCACAGAGTGAATGTAATATTTCCCGGCAGAAAAACTAAGTCCATTTATAAGTAAAATACGGAAAAAATGGAATTTTATTTTTACAAAATTTACTTCTGGATACTATCTTATGATCATAAACAAGCTTCTGTCCAAGTTTGGTAGAAATCCAGGATAGTTTAAGAAAGTTATTAAAATTTCAAAAACTTTAACCACAGAGTGAATATTTGTGGACACCGCCGACGACAACGACGACGACGCCGACGGAATGTAGGATCGCTATGTCTCGCTTTTTCGACTAAAGTCGAAAGCTCGACAAAAAGAAATAATGTACTTACCCAACATCCAGTGGAAATTTACTGAAAGCTATTTCTGCAGCTGAAGGAAATCTGGTATCCATTATGTAACCATCTAACTGTAATTTACCACACAACACAAAGAAACAAATTCCAACAGAACCATAAGCTTTTGCTCCAGCATATGGGACTATAGTAGCAAATCCAGTCATACCCAAAACTTTTACACCAACTTCAAATGCCATGCCATAATAACCTGAAGCTCCAAATTCTGCAAATTATTAATCAAAAGTAAATAAAAAATTGTATTATTGATCAAAATACCTTGATTGCCCATTAATACAGCAAGTCTCATGTTTTGTCATAGTTTAGTTTTGGAAGTCAGTTTCTACATGTAAGTCAAGGTGATGAACTAGATGTACCTAAGGTTTCCTTTAGTCAATTTTTCAATGTAATAAAGAATGAAAAAGACATCAGCTATTGGGTGGATGCTGTATTTCAATTTAGTCTTGGATTATGTTAATGTTGCTATAATGTTCTCTGTCTACCTTACACAAATAAAGGAACATGTTAGTAAAAATAGGAGCACAGCTGGTTCCCATAAGAATGGAAACTGTCTGTTAATAAATCTGTACACCAAACACAATAAATATGTTGTCAATAAACGAACAAGCATCTTGATGATGTCAGTTTCGGGTTTTTTTTCAAACTGGAACTTTTTAGGCCAGTCTTACTCTGACACCTGGTTTTATATAAACAGGCCATGTGCAAAAGAAAGTGGTTGCCATGGTTTAAAAGACAAGATTGCCACAGAGTGTCCCTTACATATTTTAGAATTTTTCATATCACCTAAAACAAAGGGACATACCTCCCCAAAATAGATTTGTAGGACTCTAAAGTGAGATGGCACTCTAAAGTGAGATGGTACTCTAAAGTGCGATGGTCTACGCTAAAGTGCGATGGTATCAGACGCTAAAGTGCGATGGTTGTTTGTTTTTTAAAGTGCGATCAGATGACACGCTAAAGTGCGTTGGTTTAACACTCTTTTAAAAGTGCGATGGTGTAAGGAGAATGGGGATCCGGCAATGGTTTTTGTTTTTTGCTGTGTTCGTATTAGTTTTTCATCTATTGTATTGTTTATAAATCATGCTGTTGTCTTTCTCTTTTGAATTGTTTTACATTAGTCTATTCGTGGTCCTATATAGCTACTATGCAACGTAAGCCAAGGCTCCATGTTGAAGTTCATAATGTTGCTAAGTGCATATGGTCTTTGGTGGATAGTTGTTTCCTTTACACCACATCTTCTTATTTGTTTTTTATTTATTGTTTTCCATCTTCTTGACAGACATGAGAACCATATTGTAAAGAATTGTTTTATAAAATAATTCAATTAGAAAGTTAAAAAGTAGCTTTTATTTCATGCAAGTAAATGACATGGGATTAAAAACATAGGAGTAGTTTCTAAATTAAATTTGGACAAATTAAATACTTTGACCATTGATGTACTTTGCCGTTTTCGCTCTCTTTTACGGTATACACCTTCCCCTTACTATCGTCAGTTTCTAAGTTTATGAGAAGTATTCTTTTCCAGTATCCTGTCAGAAACACGTTTGTCCCCGCCGACACAGCAGGATCAAAGGTTTGCATTTCTGTAACTGTTGATGAAATTATGGAAATAATTCCTCCTCATACAAACTCTTCTAGCACCGACCAAAATTGGAATCATTTGTTTCTCTTTTTGTGTCTAGTAAAAAACCTTCATCTGCACAAACATTCTCGTTTACAGGCATGTCCATTTTTGTTTGTACAAACGGCGTGTAGTGTCATAATGCTATTTATGGTTGCAAACGTCTATACTTTTGTGAACAAACGCATGTTCGCGGAAAAACGCACTTTAGCGTATCGCAGCATCGGACTTTAGCGTAGGCCATCTCACTTTAGAGCGACCATCTCGTTTTAGCGTCCCCATCGAACTTAAGAGTCCTACATTTTTAATCAACTCTATTTTTGAACTTGCAGGAGATATTGCAACTGATTCCATTAGTGTTACAACTATTTCAAGTTATAATCAAAATTTTGTACAAATTATAGGTTCTAAAACTTGTTATTTATCAGATATTTTTCAAAAGACAAGAAAACTTGTGAGTTATTTAATAAATATATTTCAGAAGACCAGTATACTTACCAAGTCTGAGAATAAGTGGACCAACTGGTATATCATAATAAATTGGTGGGACAATTACAATGTTCGTTCTAGGAAAACTAACATCTCCCTTTACTATAATGTCAGTACGTTTGAAGATATTTGTTGGATCTCCTAGTAATTTGTCAATGAACTCTGATAACTGTAAATGAAAGAATAATTTAAAATGCAAAAAATCTGAACTATTTTATTTTAAAAGATTTCATTTATCATTCTATGAAAAGTATTACACATCAACTTTACAAATGTAAGGAAGTATAATATTACTGATTCAATATTTTTGTTTACAAAGGAAATTGTTTTCCTCAATGCCAAAATTCTAATCATGTTAAAAATGTAGTAAACTCCCTCAGTGGGAGGTTATGGGTTCAATCCTTGACAAGGTCAAACCAAATTCTTGAAAGTCGTTTTGCTACTCTTCTGCCAAGCATGCAGCATTTAGGAGTGGATCAAGACTGGTCAACTCTTGTCAGAATAATGTTTCTGGTTAGGGTGACATGTCTTCATGGGGATTATTCCTTGTGAACTGGCACAAAAATATGGGCTCAGCATGTTGGTCTTCTGCTTTAATAAATACTACACATAAACATGTTTTCTTCCTAAATATGCATTTACTTTGTCAATGGTCATAACAGTCATTCATCATCATAAAACATGTAGGAAACATGAATAAACAATCTATGTATGGACCAATATAAAAATAATACTGCTTAAAAAGACTCACCAGAGCTTTTGCCAAGTCTTTAAGTTGACCAAATAATTCTATGACAACAACTGGATCTAGATTCCTTAGATCTAACATGGCTTTGATATCACCAATAGTCATATTGGCCAGTTTCTCTCCTAACATTTGAACTCCGGCATTAGATAGGCCTTTTCCTACTATAAATACTTGATCAGCACGTCCTACAATATCTGTTGCTGTTGACAACATGTCTGTTATAGCTTTAGCTACAATAAAAATCAAAATGTTCCTGTATTATATCAACCATTTAACAATATAAATATTTTACCAGTTCTACAATATTCGAAGCTGTCGACAAAATGTCTGCTTTAACTACAACAAAAGTAACAAACTCAAGAATAATGTTTTTAGAATTTACTACATTCTTAGTGACTTTTACTTCAATGAAAGTAAAGAATTTACAAGAAATTGCATGTGATGTCTTGCAAAGTGTAACCCCACTCTTTATTGGACAAAGACCAAAAAATTTTATGTTCAGCGGGAATAAAAAATTCAAGGTTTCATCAACAAGGAAGGAATGCCCAGCAGATCAAAAATAATAGTTATAAAAAAATACATATCAAATATTTCTTAACACAGAAGCTGAAAAATATGGAACAAAAAGAGAGGGCTTCTCAACTTAGTGATATCATTTTACTGTTTAAGGAAGAAATATTTTGTAGGTTCTAAATGAACTACAAAACCCCTGAAAGTAGAGAGAACCCTACTTGGTCATATCATTTAATTGACTAGAGAAGAAAAGAATTTGAAGGCCTTAAATGAACAAACCTCCATCAGCATCACTGACAATATCTACAGTCCACAAAGAAGACATTGTAGTTGGACTATTCTGTCCTAAAGCTTTCATGGTAGATTTGATTCCTGTAGTGATGTCATCATCCATTATCTGGCTGGGTTGTAAATTGCCTGATCTCACTTGATTCTGTAAAATTAAGCTTCATTTAAAAGATATAACTACAGAATTAAAACTTTTTAATAATGGATTTTAGAATAATTTAAATATTTTGGATAATCACGCAAAAGTATTGATGCAACGACAGTAATTGAATCGTTTATCATTAAGGGCAACTGCAATCAATGATTCAAACAAAAAGGAATTACAAGCAAATTTCGGTAATTTTGGTATCAAATGAAAGCTTAAGGACTTGGGATCACTGTAGAACCCTTGTTAAAAGTTTCTTTTGAATATTAAAATAATAAACTGTTAACACAGATTTATGTCTTGCCTTTTTGTAATTTTGATAATGCAAATGCTGAAATTAAAATAGCAAAACTTTAACATGCAGGTTATGCAGGTATTCAAAGTCAATGAACCATGACTGAAGGTACATGTATGGCTAAACAGTCTCCATGGAAATGAGATGTGCCAATGCTAATTCAACTGCATACCAAATACCATTGACTTATCATAAGTCGTTCCCTTTTAAACAAACCTAAACACAAACATTAACTTGTAAACTATGACAAGTTTCAAAGTCAATGAACCATGATTAGGGGTTGGGGCTATATAATCTCCATGGAAACAAGACTTGCAAATGCCAAAAAATTTGCATACCAAATATCATTGACTTAACATTAGCGGTTCATCTTAAACTGATCTAATCACAAGCAAATACATGTAAACTAAGCAAAAGTTTCAAAGTCAATAGACCATGACTGAGGGGGCGGGGCCAAATATTCTCCATGAAATGAGATGTGTTATGCTTATACAACTGCATACCAATTAACATTGGTCTACCACTAATGGTTCCCCTTGACCTGACCTAATCACAAACTAATACATACAAAATAAGCAAAAATTTCAAAGTCAATAGACCATGACTGAGGGGGCGGAGCCAAATAATCTCCATGGAAATGAAATGTGCCAATGCTAATACAACTGCATACCAAATATCATTGACCTATCACTAGTGGTTCACCATAAACTAGACCTAATCACAAACTAATACGTTGTTGACGCCAACGCCAGAAACAGCATACCTATGTCTCACTTTTTGACTCTGTCAAGGCGAGACAAAAAATATGAAATTAAGATAGGAGGGCATATTTGCCCTGTTGCTCATATCAGAAGTACCTGTTTTTGTACTATCCAACTTCCAGGAACCAGTGTGCTCTAATATGCAATTAAAGGTATGTTGATTCTTTTACCACAAGTCAGAATAAGGTATAGTTTTGACATAAAATGACTTCCATGCTTGAAGTTGCAGAATTTAACATAGAAAGCAAGGGCTATGAATAAGTGGTATTATTCTAAATCAAATGCTTAACTAAAGTCACTCAAGCATGAAATGTAGACCATAGTAAACTAACTATTACTGAATTAATTGAGTTGTATTAGAGGATTAAAGTGGTTATTATCATAAATATTTTAACATAGGTTTCTGAGAAATGGACTAAAATACAAAAATAAATCAAATTAGAATGTACAGAAAAACATACGTTTTAGACAAGCACAACTAGTATTTACTGTAATTTATGGGTGCATTTAGTTGCAAATCCTTGACTGCTGGAAAAATGTGAAATCTAATAAATACAATTGGAAAACTTTTATCAAGGAACATCAGAACTGAAGTTATGAATGCTAGTTTTTATTATTGCAAACCTCATATTGTCACATTCTTCACATTTATAAAAACATTGCAACAATTTCTGGATTTTATAGTGCATTCATCACATTCATAGAGGGGAATATTAACACTTACTTCATAATCTTTGGCTTCTTTTAAGAACTCTTGAACTTGTTCTGAAGATGCTAGATCATTGTATAAGTTTCTAAAACCACCTTGAAGATCTGATGGATCAAGTCTGCATGTAAAAAAAAGAAAAGCAATTGTTAAAATAACTATCAATTAAAAAATGTTACCTCCTAAATGCTCCATATCGACAAGTACAGCTTTAGTGTCATAGAATGAATTTTATAATCAAAATGAAACGTACAATACCTACCTCAAATACTACAATTTAATAAGATAATATTCAAATTGGAAGCTTTACAGAATAACCTTCAGCTTGAAACTTTTCATTCCAATGATGTCTTGCTTTGACATGACGTTTATGCTCCAAGATCTTTTATGAAATTTTATACATTTTTTCAAGCTGTTATGCATTAGAATAGGAATAACAGTTCTGTAGCTTTCTATTCAATTACAATTCATTTTCAAACAGCAAAATTGACAGTGTTTGTACATAGTTCACAATACAGGTGGATGTACATGGCAGTATGTATTATGTAACTCCCATAAATATGTACATCTGTGAGTCTGCGATAAACATAGATATCGATAATTTGACCACACAGTTGTTTACAAAGCAAATGCAGCAGGTCATATTAAAATAATGTATGACCTACCCATAGCCATATAAAGCATCTCTTCTCTTCCTCCTTCTCCTCTCTGGTGTACAGTCTGGTTTTTTTAAAGTGACCTCTTCTGCTATTGTCAAGTTTGTACAAATACCTCCGCTCAAGTAACAGATATTTACAGACAATGTCACTTTATACAATGTAGAGGAACTTTCTACTACAGCCATACTCATGTCAAATACACCATTGACCTTTTCTGAAATTGTTGATCCTGTAAACAGAATAGCAAGAACTAATGCCAAAAATATATATGCAATAAACCAGCTTTTTTTTATCATCATGGTTCATACTTTATATTATTCTGTAGGACTTTGCTAAATTAGTTGTTTTATGCATGCTGTTGGATGCAAGAAATGTTTACTTATCAATCATTTTGTTTATCATTACATGTTATTTTAACAGTGGCTGAATGTTCTAATCTTTAGGTTGTTTGTCATGGGGATAATTTATACCTATTTAAGTCCAAATTTCAAAATGGTTGAAAAGTTTTACTGTGACTTGACTGTTAGTGTTGCTCTCCACCTATTTCAACTTATTCAAAATTCTGACCGAATTGCAATTTGTTTTACAAATCCAAACTGTTCAACTGGTCAGAAATTTGAACAAATTGCTGAAGAAAACCACAGTAAAGTCGTGAAAGTGCAAGGTGATAAAATAAAGCATACTTACAATCCTATAAGACTTTAATTCCACTTCAATGTTATTATGAAAAATTTGTAAGGGTTCCGCGGAACCCAGTGTCTCGCCTACTTTTGCTGTTAATCGCAGGCTCAACAAAAATGAGGAAAAAAATAAATAAAAATATTCCTCTCTATACTATCTTTCGATTGTAAGTAGCTTCTGTCCAAGTTTGGTAAAAATCCAGGATATTTTATGAATCTAATAAATGTTTTAAAAACTTAAACTGCCGAATGTATGTAATGTTGACTGGAAGAAAAACTAAGTCCATTTATAAGTGAAATACGGAAAAAATGAAACAAAATTTTATCAAAATTTCCTTCTAGATACAAACTTTTGATCATAAACAAGCTTCTGTCCAAGTGTGGTACAAATCCAGGATAGTTTAAGAAAGTTGTTAAAATTTTAAAACTTTAACCACAGAGTGAATGTAATGTTAACTGGCAGAAAAACTAAGTCCATTTATAAGTAAAATACGGAAAAAAAGGAATTTGTTTTTTACAAAATTTACTTCTGGATACTATCTTATGATCATAAACAAGCTTCTTTCCAAGTTTGGTAGAAATCCAGGATAGTTTAAGAAAGTTATTAAAATTTCAAAAACTTTAACCACAGAGTGAATGTAATGTTTCCTGGCAGAAAAACTAAGTCCATTTATAAGTAAAATACGGAAAAAATAGAATTTTTGTTTAACAAAATTTACTTTTGAATATAATCTTATGATCATAAACAAGCTTCTGTCCAAGTTTGGTAGAAATCCAGGATAGTTTAAGAAAGTTATTAAAATTTCAAAAACTTTAACCACAGAGTGAATATTTGTGGACGCCGCCGCCGACGGAATGTAGGATCGCTATGTCTCGCTTTTTCGACAAAAGTCAAAGGCTCGACAAAAATCAGTCTAACAGTTTGTATAGAAATTTTAATGTAATTGTCATGCTAAAGGTGATAGGTAGTAATTTTGAATTGCTATAAAAATGTCCGAACTAAGCTTTCATACAATTTTTTTTTTTGAAAAGTCCTCTATATTCATAAGAATCAGACATCATTTGAATTAAAACATTTTATATTCAGTAAAATACGTGTGAAATTACAATACATTGTTAGGAAGTTTCCAAGGGAGATAATCAATTTTTCTTTATCTCCCATGGAAACTTATTAACAGCATATTGTAGTTTCACATATATTTTACTGAATATAAGATGTTTTAATTCAAATAATGTCTGATTCTTATGAATATAAGCTTAGTTTGGACATTTTTATAGCAATTCAAAATTACTACCTATCACCTTTAGCATGACAATAACAATAAAATTTCTATACAAACTGTTAGACTGATTTTTCATAATAACATTGAAGTGGAATTAAAGTCTTATAGGATTGTAAGTATGCTTTATTTTATCACCTTGCACTTTCACGACTTTACTGTGGTTTTCTATAGCAGTTTGTTCAAATTTCTGACCAGTTGAACAGTTTGGCTTTGTAAAACAAATTGCAATTTGGTCAGAATTTTGAATAAGTTGCAATAGGTGGAGAGCAACACTAACAGTCAAGTCACAGTAAAAGAAGATTTTAAAATATGCTTTGAAATAATTAATGATATCAAGTTATGTAAAAAATATAATCAAACTCAAAATGACTCTAAAAAACTATGTGACACCCCAAATATCATTCAGCAAAAAAATACTATAGAAGACAGGCCATTTATCATTGGAGACATCTGAACTAGTGCCTGATTTATGAAGAATTGCATAAACAAAAAAGGATTGTACCACAAATCATTGTTATTTATCTCATTGCATTAAACAAAGGTATCAAAACCAACCTGTCAGTGAATCTAGTCCAGTTTTGGTCCATGATTGTCTCTCAATACTGGTCACCATCTCATCACACTGTGTCAGTTGGTATGTAGTATATACATTTCTGGTACCAGTCATGAAGTTAATCTCTGTACAACATTCTACACTGTGACAATCAGTGGACATTTTACATCCAGGTAAGGATGACACTGGAGCTGGTACATCAGTACAACCTTTACAAATATATGTATTGAATATGTATTGTCTTGATAATAATAACAAAATAATTTATTTGTTGTTTCATTTATTGGTTATCGTAAAGATAGGTAGTCATTGAACACGTCATTACTGCACTTGAACATGAAATTTGGTACAGGCTGTATTCTTAGTTAAACCTGTCTGGGTCAGATATGAAACATATGTACATATGAATATTCTGCCAAGTCTTGTGCTGTAAGTAGTATTTCTTCTGTACATATATATTTAGAGGAAATTTATTCAGTCTATTTTTTTTCCCATTTGGAGTATCTTGATGTATAGTATTATGCTTATGGAGTAAGCCAATGTTGACAAATTATTGTATCTTTTGGGTTTTTTCCCCCAACCAAATAAGTAGGATTTGGAACCTGTTCTTTATAAGTTAACTTTAAAAAGAGTTTGATTATGTCATCAGGTTTTATAGAACATGGCTCACTGAGCACTGGACAAATCCATTTCTGACTCATAGATTTTCTTACCTGTAAAAAATTATCTACAGCCAATATGAATAAAATATTCAAACTCAACCAGAGAAGCCTTTTTGCTTCTGTGATTAGAATTTTTAGAAGAAGTCAATTGATGGTTTTAGTAAAACTGGTAATTTTTAAATCTTATATTGTTGATCTCTCTTTTGTTCACATGAAAGTATTTAAGATAATTGGAAAAAACTATTGCTCTTTTTTGTAGATCTTGTACTGCTAATAATTTTTAGCCAGGTAAACTAAGAAAAGCCTTTAAGCTGTACAGGGACAGCTATCATTACAAACCATTCAGAAAGTTTCCACTGTAACTTGTGCACTGGGATGGTTTCCAAAACTCAAATGCCAATCCTGAAACACATAAAATAATAAATTCAAAATACTTTGATTGATAAGATCTTATTTTGTACTGTAAGCACTTAAAAAAAACCCCAGAAATTTATAAAAAAAAAATATTTCTGAAATATTTGATTGATCTCAAAATTCTATACAATACGGAGCAAATTAATTTGAGGATCACTAACATTTGAAATATTTTTTTTTTCGCCTCAGGAATAGAAAAACACAATTGTTATTGCTTCAAAACTTTTCAAGGTATTTTTTTTAATCTCATTTTATCCAATTTTTTCAAACTTTTTTCCCACAAAATAATCAATTTAAGGGTTACAAAAAATTGTAATAATTTACCTACATGTATCCTTTAATTAAAAGTTAATTTGATGTCAAAATAGAGGAGATTACACTCTTTTCTTAAAAAAAAAATTTTGGTTGGGGAAAATTCACCACAACTTTTAGAGCACGCGTGAAATTTCATTACTAATTTCAATTTGATGTTTTGAAGTTAACTTAGTTAAGTAGTTAGACTGAAAAGACCTTTTGTTATCAGAATCAACCTTAAATTAGAACATTTTAACACCTGGTTAAAACTTTCAAAATCAGAAAAAGCCTATCAATACAAAGACATGGATGTCATGTGATTACAGCTGTTTATTTTATTTTTTATTGCTTTTAAACTAGAACTTGCCTCCAAAAGGAACTGTCACAGAATTATTACAGTCAGAATACATGAAATCAGCATTGTTTAAAACAGTATATTCTTTCAGACATTTGTCATCCTTAGCTTCAAAACAGAGTCTGATATTGACATCTACCAAGAACTTTCTCTCTGAAGGAATGTTGTATATAGTAAATCTGTAATACATAATTTTATCACAAAGATCAATCACATCTTTATAAAGAAATGCATTTTATACAAAAATTAAATGATCTTGAGGGCAATCACTTTTGACATTAATCTACATATGTTAGATATAATTATTTAGATTGACTGACAAAGAAAAAAAATTGAGACCATCATTATATTTTAATTAACATTGACCTTGATTGTGATCTTAGACATAGTAACACCAAAATCAATTGGAATCTTCCTTTCATTATATGTAACCATATATCCAAACAAATTTGCAATCCAATATGTAGTATTTGATTTAGCATCTGGAAACCACTATTCAGCACAACTTTCTTTATTTTCTTTTTTAAGTAAATATGATCTTGACCTTCAAGGTATTGACTTCATTATCAATGGGAATCTTCCTCTCATTATATGTGACAATATATCCAAGTAAGGTTGCAATCCCATATGCAGTATTTGATTTAGCATCCGGAATACACCTTTTTTGCACAAATTTTGGTCTACTTTAAAGTAAAATTGACCTTGACCTTGGACATATTGACATCAAAATCAATTATGAATACACTTCATCCTCTTATTATATTTGACAATGTATACAAGTTAGGTTACAACCCATTCATTATTTGATTTAGAATCCGGATAGTACTTTTTTGCTCAAATTTCAGTCTATTTATGATCATTTTTAGTAACTTTGAACTTGACCTTTGACAAGGTGACCTTAAAATCAACAAGGATCTTCCTCTCATTATATGTGACCATATATCCAAGTAAGGTTGAGATCAGATATAATGAATTTGAGTTATCATCTGGAAACAAAAATGATTGGCTAAGTGACTGACAGACTGACAAACCGACGACCAAAAAAAATATATACCTCCCCATCCCCACTTATAGCAAGGGGTATAATAATTCACATAGAGAAATCTTGAAATCCATTTGTTTTATCTCATTTTCTATACAAAATTATTCATTTATGCACTGACCTTAGTTGGAAGACCCCATGAAGCTGTACATTTTCAGTTTTACCTGAAATAAAAAATAGTCTATTTATCGATTTAATTTCAAAAGACATAGTAATATAAAATTAACAAAACTTAACTGAATAGTCTAAAATTAAATGGATAAGACATATTAAAGATTTTATTTTAAGGAGGAAAAGGCAGGAATTTTTTTCTCTCATTAATTTCTGAAATGTTGCAAAAGGTGAATAAAAGAGCTAATAATACAAAAATCTTGTCTGTTTTCTGGTAAAATCACTATTTTATTAAAAGTGATTGATAAACTGAAATATTATTTCCCTTTAATATAAGCAGATCAGTAATCACTATTTTCAAGTACACAACGGCCAGAAAACTAAGCAATAATTTATTGCCTAAAAAGCAATGTTTAGAACTAAAGACTCATAAAATGTCATCATGATAGAAGTTCTATATCCAAGTCAAAAGTTTTTAAACCAGTGATTCTTATATCTAGTAGGTGTTTATTATATATTAATTTCATGACACAGATATTAATTTTTTCACTGCACTTGCTTCACACTTTCACTGAAGCAATGTGCTAAAAGAAATGCTTTACCAGTTGATCAGTATGTAAGGGTTATTCAAACTACTGTGATTGGGTTAAACTTTTTGAGCAATTAGTATTGTGTAAGGAAAAGGCTTCTAATTATGCACAGTAATATGGATAAAATATAATCATCTACACATGGATTAGTAAAAACAACATTCTTGTTGACTTAAGATGTCGTTTTACTATGCAAATAAGCATTGTTTTAGCAAAACAGTGAAAATCAAACACAGAAAATACTATCAAAACAACTCAAATGATGAAAGGGGTGGAAAGAGAGTAATTTTTTGTCAAAGATAGAGATTTACATCTCCCTGGACAGTGACAAGTCCAAATTTTTAAGGGTAAAGGAGGGAGTTTCCCTCCAAGAACTGGTATGTTTACAGGAATGTACTACATACCCCATTGGTAGTTGAAAAGGTTGATTTCATGGTGTAGATTTTCTATCCTCACAGTCAGTTTATAAGTACAGGTATCCAGAGTAAGACTGGTCTGTAGGGATCGTTTGAGAATATCAACCTGCACACAACAAGATACTTCAGACTGAGTTGGTGATATATAACACGTTATCTCTTCTGGTAAGGATGGTAGTGTCACATTACTGGAAGTCTCTGTAACATAGAAATATTAGAATATCAACCTTCACACAACAAGATACTTCAGACTGAGCTGGTGATATATAACACGTTATCTCTTCAGGTAAGGTTGGTAGTGTCACATTACTGGAAGTCTCTGTATCATAGAAATATTAGAATATCAACCTGCATACAACAAGATACTTCAGACTGAGTCGGTGATATATAACACGTTATCTCTTCAGATAAGAACAGCAGTGTCACATTATTAGAATTCTCTGAAAAAAGAAAATTAAGGAAATGTAACAATTAGCTTTTGAAAGGAAAAATGTCTCATATTTGCCTTCTTTGCATTGAAAATTTAAGAAAAATCCAAATAAACATCACTCTATCATCTCAATTATAATACATGGATCCATGATTTTTTGTTGATTGTTTATCTAGGTCTAGTCAGAAAACTACGACAAGAAAACCTGAAAGTTAATCAGTAATTAAACTCTTCGACAAACAATCATCAAATGAAATATATTTTGACGATATATGTTATAGATTCAAAATAAATGTAAAAATCGTGCATAGAGGACTTATTCTAGTTTATATGCATGCAATGTTTCAATAATTTCCTTCACATCACAATCACCAGAAACTTATTTCATATGAGTCTATAAAAAAACATATATATATAAAATTAAACAGCTGACACTGAGATATGTCAATTTTATGACTTTGAAGGATTTATTTACCGTTCACTTGTCCATCCTCAGTATCCAGGTAAGGAGAAGTGGTCAAGTTACATTTGTCAGAGAAGTCCATGTAATCTGGTAATCCTAACACCATTAATAAATCATTGGCTACAACATCAGAGATAGTGGAGTTCAGTGTCAGTCCTCGGTTTCCTAACCAAGTGTCTATTGAAAACTCTGAAATATAACAAATAAATCATTGGCCACAACATCAGAGATAGTGGAGTTCAGTGTCAGTCCTCGGTTTCCTAACCAAGTGTCTATTGAAAACTCTGAAATATAACCAATTAATCATTTGCCACAACATCAGAGATAGTGGAGTTTCGTGTCATTCCTCGGTTTCCTAACCAAGTGTCTATTGAAAACTCTGAAATATAACAAATAAATCATTGGCCACAACATCAGAGATAGTGGAGTTCAGTGTCAGTCCTCGGTTTCCTAACCAAGTGTCTATTGAAAACTCTGAAATATAACAAATAAATCATTGGCCACAACATCAGAGATAGTGGAGTTCAGTGTCAGTCCTCAGTTTCCTAACCAAGTGTCTATTGAAAACTCTGAAATATAACTAAGTATTTTCAATAAATTCTAACAGAATATCATTCTTCTAAACATGCAGGTCAGCATATATTGAAATATCATTTATAGAATATTTAATTCAAAATTTTGTATGTTACAAAAAATATCCAGTGACAGAACAACACTCATGAATATATGTAGTACATGAGTGTATTGTCAGTCTTGGTTGGTCATGGGTTGACACCACCATTTGTTTATGACCTCAGAGGAGTGAAATTATAGGATTCATTTCACATGTGAAAAATTGGTTTTTATTTGTCTGGTAAATCAGGTTATATTCAATTGCAACCAATGTAATAATGTGGAAAAAAATGTCTATAAAACAAGAGGGTTTCTCAAAATACTATCTAAACTACTCGAGAAAGACCAACCTGAATCAATGAATCCAGCAGCCAATTCACACATGGTCTTATTAATCAATGTATCTGTCCAAAGGTGTATATTATAAACACATGGTTGTGTATCTGTGTAGCATATTGACATATTCATGTCTACTTTATACTGGTCATCTAAGTCCACTATTTTATACCTGGAAACAATGAGATGTTTTCATGTATATGTAAGGCATCTCTAAACATTATTAAGACATAGAACATTTATACTTCTCTAGTAATTAGGTTTTGTATCATTATTTTTTGCTCATCGTAAATTGACAATTTTATTTCCTGTTCATCCGTGCACATATCCTCCCTTTACGACCCTCATTTAACCAAATGAACTGTCATGACAAATGTAATTGTTTATTAAAGATTGTATATAGTTGTGAAGATACGATTTTTTTTTTTATTATTCTTTAAGCATAAGTGCACAGTTTGGTAATCAAATATTCCTGATGTCTGCTCACAGAATATGTAAAATGAGTATTAAAAAAAATAGTCCATGATTCCACTGTGTTGAGTAGGACTTTCCTTTCCTTAAACCTGAAAAGTCTAAATCTATCTGGAAATTTGTAGTCCTAGTGGAAAAAATGTCCTTTTCACCTGGATATAATTATAGATGAAAGGAGATATGGATAAACAACAGAGCCATAGTAATCCAACAGCAACTAATATCCATATATTGCCATTTTTGATCAAACATGGAAATAACAAAGATAACAACAAATACTTACATGATATTAACAATACCGAACAAAGAAAATGTGTGTTCCTTATCTGCAAAATATATAAATAAGTATTAATTTATAATATTTAGAATAAGCTCAATATCTCTGCTCAAATACATCTTTAGGATGCAAGGTCAATCAATTATCTCCCCTCCAAATGGGGGGGGGGGGGGGGGGGGGGGGACTTACCATGTAATGAATGGTAGATATGAACTGATAGAATAGGTAATAAATACCTAAATCAGGAATGCTCACAAGAACCCCCCCTCCCCCCTCCCCTCCTCCAAAAAAAGAAAAAGATTTATAATACACTTAGAAAAGTTACAAATAGAAACTCACCAAATACAAACTGATTTAATTTGATATTTGTTGTTTGCTCTCCAATCTGTAGTTGTAATGTATTTCTACAGTTTTCTATTCTAAGAGCAACTGCTACAGACTTGTTAAGTCTAGGCAGATCAGCACAGCATTCTATACCATTACAAGATGATGGCACTGAACAGGACAACCAGTCAGGTAGATCTGGTACTGAGAAACTACAATCTGTAAAATACAATCGGCTATGTGAACTTGTTTTAACACTACAGCGAGATCAATACAGCATTCAGTACAATCACTGGCTGATAATACCAAACAGAACAGCTTGTCTGGTAGGTCTCACACTGATAAAAATAATTTTTCGACAACCTTTTTCCTTTTTTAATTTAATCACTTAATAATAAACTAATTTCCTTGTATCCAACAGAAAATATTCTTTAAGGTATCTTAACCATTAATTCTAATATGATGTGCTTCTTTCGCTTTGTAAACAACACCATGATAAAATTCTCGATATATCTATACTTAGTGCAGACTCAGAGATTTACATAATAATGGCTGTTACAATATACCTCCCACGTAAATCCACATGTATCGTAACCTATATACAAACGCTATGCCGATTTCCCTGTTTTAAAAATTGCAATTGAAAAAACTACAGAACATTTAAACTTATTCTGATGCATTACAAATACGGTAGAATTAATGCATTAGAGATCAGAAAAATGTACAAAATCAAAATAAAATAAAATTCCGCGAAATTCCAATAATGCTTTAGGTGCATTAAAGTCATTTCAAAACATGACGTCATAGGAATGAAAACGCTAAGGCTGAAGGTTTCTACATTATGTTAACCCTCCAAATTCGGATAATATTGCATCAAAATGGAGTTTTGAGGTATGTGTTGTTTTATTTTCTATTCTATTCTTTTGCATTATTCGCAAATTTACTGATTTCAGCAAGTCAACATGGCGGCTCCTTAGTTACAAAATGTCAACTGTGGATTTGACTGTAGCTTACAAGAGAAAAAAATAAAGGCAAATGTTGGGGTTGAGAATTAAAAGAATTTAACACTTTTTTTCTCCCAGTTATTTAAGAAATAATTCATGCAAGCTATAGATTTATTGGAAATGTTTAGCTTTACCTAACAGTGGGTAAAATAGAACATCCACACACAAGGCATACCAAACGTCGCTTCAGTTTTTAAAATAACCTATTTGTATTATTAGAATCAAAATAATTCACAGAAGCCATACATTTGTTGGAAATTTACAAATGGCCTGGGCCGTGATATTCATTAATTTTATCCCTCACTAACGCTCAGGATAAAAGTCGAATATCACGGCCCAGGCCATGTGTAAATTTCCAACAAATCTATGGCTTCCATGAATTATTTCTTAATTAAATGATGGTGATGTTTTAAAAAAAATATTTTAAGCCATAGGTTTTTCCTCAGAAGAAAAAAAAAAGAAACTTTCACAGAATTTTACTAGAAAACTTAAGTGTCGAAAGTTACCAATGTTTGCCATAGTCATTTACCTGATTTGCATAGAACATTTAGGTATACTTTATTAATCATGTGGCCAATTATGTTTTTGATATAATTTCACATATACATTTGAAATCTGAACAGAAACAGTTTTAACCCACTTTTTAAATTATTTAAAATATAATTTTTTCCAGCTGACTGTAGCCAAATTTCATCTCTATGCTTATGCAAGTAGCTTTAGCTATTCAGAATATGTAATTGATTGTTCCTTTCTTACTGTCCAGTGACACATTCTCAATACTTGTATCATTAGTAATTGTTTGAAAAAAAAAAAATCTACAATTCCTTTTTCACAATTTCTTTTTTAATTGTAGACAAACAACAAATATTCTCTTTATATTTCAAACAAGTATTTTTTTAAGGAAACAGACCTGAACTTGTATCCAGCAGAACACCAGAGCAGGAATTGTCTGAAACAAATCTGGATATACCCCACATCTGCATCAGCTGTAGAACTGCCCACTGTGGTAAAGGATCAACATTTTGTAATAGACCATTCTCACTCATCCAGGACTCCATACTAAAGTCTAAAATATATAATGAGTTACTTTAATAACAGCAACCTGTTTGATGTCTTTTGGTTTTTTTGTGTTGTTAGGTTGCTTTCTAATTTACATTTATCCAACAGCTCTGTTTAGCATGGTGGATTTTATCTTTTCTGTCCAATATTCATGCTTTATATCAGATTGCGCTTTGTATCAATTAAGATTCATTAATCTAGCAGGCTCTTTCAGGTAAAATATTCAACATAAATAAAAGGGTTCAGAAAACCCTGTGTCTCCCCTGTGATTGCTGCTGTGAGTGAACAAATAAAGTCCATACCAGTAAAATACAGAAAAAATACAAAAATAAAACTTCTTTCTTCAGATGCTATTTCATGATCTTGAAGAAACTTACTTCCACTCTCAAAACATTCCATGAAGGTTTAACAAAGTTAGTAATGTCTAAAAAATGTGATCCCAGACATAATTGTTAACTGCAAAACTACTTAGTCCATTTATCAGTAAAATACGGATAAATGAAAAAAAAAAATTTCAAAATTTTTAATCTGAATTCTGTCTTTTGATTGTAAAAAGGCTTCTGCCCAAACTTCATTAAAATCCAAAAAGGTGTGACAAAGCTATTAATGTCTAAAAAAAACTTCAACCACAGTTTGAACCTAAATGTTGAAGCTGATGAATGAATAAAGGATCTTTATGTCTTCCTTCCACTACAAAATGATGAAGTCTCAACAAAAATGAAACCTTTAACATACAGAAAAATCAGTTATTAAGCAAAAAAAAAAACAGAGAATATCTAATTTTACAAAAAAAGACTGAAATTTCTCTATATCATAATTGAAAATCTTTTAACATGTCAAGAACAGAAATTTAATGTTGTTTTTCTGATACATTTCTTTCTTCCCTTTTTTATAGGAACAAGAGTGCACACGCTGAAATGTCTCGCCTACTTTACTATCATTGATTTTATGTTGATGGCTCTAAATATAAAGTTTTACTACAGGTATCACATTAACTTATCATGATCCAGGAAATTGAGGTCAAGGTCAGATAAACCAAGCCAGTAATACATGTACACCTTACAATCATTCCATACATTGAAAATAGTTGACCTATTGTTTATAGTATACAAGAAACAGACCAAACCATGAAAACATTATATTGACCAATGAACCATGAATATGAGATCAAGGTCAGATGAACCCTACCAGACAGACATGTACACTTTACAATCATTCCATACACCAAACATAGTTGACCTATTCAATAAAAAACTTATCATTGAGCAAAGAACCGTGAAAATGAGGTCAAGGTCAAATAAAACCTGCCAGACTGACATGTACATTATAAAATATTTCCATACACCAAATATAGCTGACCTATTGCATACAGTATTAGAAAAATAGACTAAAACACAAAACTTAACTTTAACCACTGAACCATGAAAATGAGGTCAAGGTCAGATGACACCTACCAGTTGGACATGTACACCTTACAATCATTCCATACACCTAATATAGTAGACCTATTGCTTACAGTATCTGAGATATGGACTTGACCACGAAAACTTTACCTTGTTCACTGATCCATGAAATGAGGTCGAGGTCAAGTGAAAACTGTCTGACAGGCATGGGGACTGTGCAAGGTATGAACATACCAAATATAGTTATCCTATTACTCATTATAAGAAAGAAATTAACATTACAAAAAATCTTAACTTTTTTTTCAAGTAGTCACTGAACCATGAAAATGAGGTCAAGGACAAAGGACATATGACAGACAGAAACTTTATAACATAAGGTATCTAAATGCAAAGTATGAAGCATCCAGGTCTTCTACCTTCTGAAATATTAAGCTTTTAAGTAGTTAGTTAACGCCGCCGGATCACTATCCCTATGTCTAGCTGTCAGTGACAAAAGTCGCAGGCTCAACAAAAACCACATTGTTTTTTTTTAAAGAAAAAAGAAAAAGCTCCAATTTTTTTCAAAGCTTATCAAGAAAAAGTAATGACCCAGATTGTTCTTCAGTGAACAATCAAATAAAAGGTTTTATTACCACTCATGTAACAATATTGGTACCTTTTACAGGGAAATTGGTATTCCAATCACACACAGATTTAGGTAGCTTGTAATCCTTGAACACTACAATGGACTGGTAACAAGGTACAGATACATCTGCATCCAGACAAGTTCTCAATGTCATGTCTACCAGATAGTTTCTTTCAGATTCTAAGTCATTCACTCTTAGCCTGAAGATAATAGTCATTATAATTAACTAACAAGTACAGCTTATGTCATATTTAAGGAATTAAAATAATTTTTAATTCTTAATTTTTTTAACCTCAAATAAACAAAACATATAAACTGTTCTGTAAATTATGTAAGAATTGATCTTACTAGAAAAGAGAGCAGTTTTACAACAGATAAAATTAAAACCTGAATTTAAATAAATCATTTGAATTATGCCAGTACTCAAGTATTTGCTATCGGATGCATGGTATCCTTAAGAAGGTTGCCATCTGAAATAAATTCAATAAAGAAAAAACACAAACTTACCCAATTCTAAATAAACCAAACAGCCACATTTCTACTAGTGTCCCCCACAGGAAATCTAACAGATTTTTCTGCAGTGTGAATTTTTCTATTGTTACTGTCAGTAGTGATCTACATGGATCAATATCAACTGAAGCCTGGAATGATTGACCTATCTTGTCCACATTAAAACAACAGGACACTGAGGTACAGCTTTCCTGAATATGACAGACAGTTGTCCCTGGTAACAGTGGAAGGTCAGAGGTCAAAGTATCACAATCTGAAAAAAATAATCAAATATGAGGAAATATGAAACTATGTAGACTAGGGACTATTGTCAACATTGCAACAATAACATATATAAACAGAGTTATTGTAACAAGAGAGGTGTCTCTGATATAACTAGAAGGACAGAAGATATATACATAAATATTTGTTTTATAAAATAGGATAGTTCACACTCATGAAGTCTTTCTTCTTCTCCTATTCACATTTAAATCCATTATAGTAAAATATGTAATCAAGTAAAACTTAACAAAATTATACAAAATGTGACATAAACTATATTTCTGTCATATTCATGAATTGAACATCACAAAAATCATTTAAGCACAAAATGTAGGTCAGAGTGACAAACTTTTGATAAAATTATCCTTCTCTTCTATGCAATGATATACCAATTCATATCAATTAGATAGGCTGCAGGTCATATAGTGTCATAGAGCTGAATCAGATCTATAGATTATAAAGTTAATATGTATGGAATGTAGGTTAATGTGATCAAAATTCCCTACAAAGGTGTCAGACTGATCTAGATACACTGCTAAACCAAGTCATAATGTTAGCCACACAGTATCTGATAGTCTATTGTACATTACATATCTTGCTTAAACTGATTATAAGTTTCACAATGAGTCAAATGCCTAGTTGATTTTCAGGAGTAGGATAAGAAAGCATGAAAAGACAATAACATTAATTTTATTTTCAATTACAAATTGACTATATCAAAATTATTAGTTTTAAGTTGTATTTTACAAGTGTAAGAAATCGATGAAGTAATTTACAGGTGAATGTTTACTGATTATTAACATTCAGTTGGAGAGCTCTGAGTTGTCTCATATGTATCACCTTACCATTAGTCCATCCATTACTTGGATATGGTGTTAGACTGCAGGGAACATCCCTCATGAAGTCAGAAATTCCTAAACTTTCCATTAATTGTTTCCTCTGATAATCTGTTAAACTATCTCCAATACTCAAACCTATCTCTTCTTTCATGAACTTATTGAATGAAAATTCTACAAAGAGGTACAGATGATGTATATAATGGTATAGTTGATGTATATAAAAAAAAACTCAGTCATTTACAATTAAAGAAACTTCAAACTTGGTGCATTTTAAAGAAAAAATAATACAAATAAATCATTGACAATATGAAATAATTATTCTAATGTACCAAGGTTGTAAAAGTCCTGTATCTTCATACTTAATGAAATAATTAAAGTATATACCTGGATCTATGAAGTTACTTTTCTAGTCACAGACAGACTTTAATAGATAGAATGGCACAAGTTAGTACAGGGAAGCTAATCATACACAGTCCTGTTGCTTCAAAAAGTAACATTTATAAACATGTACCTGGATCTATAAAGTTACTTTTCCAGTCACAGACAGACCTAGGTAGAATGGTATTAGTTAGTACAGGGATACTGATTGTACAAGGTCCTGTCGCTTCAAAACAAACACTCAGATGTAGGTTGACTACATACTGTCTTTTGTATCTCAGGTCTTCTATGTCATAGCTAAAAAAGGGAAAAAAAATCAGAATGTGTTGTCAGAGTTATATACATAAGTGTAGTGTAGTGTAGTGTAGTGTAATGAAATGTAGTGTAGTGTAGTGTAGTGTAATGAAATGTAGTGTAGTGTAATGTAATGAAATGTAGTGTAGTGTCATGAAATGAAATGTAATGTAATGTAATTGTAATGTAATTGTAATGTAAAATATATTTGAAACACATGTTACAAAATTACACTCAAATTAATTATGTAAGCCATTAAAAAAATCAATAATCAAATGAAAAGCTTAATGTTCTTACTTGCTTACAGTTTACTTTGATAACTTATATAAAGTCTATCATAGAAAAGAGCAAATATTCTTTTTTTGACATTTTTCTAAGACAGCATATAAAAAATAACACCTTGTATATTATGGCAGATTCATATGTTTGAATTTAACAAGAATCCACCAAAACAGAACTTATCACAATAAAAACCTCACCTTAACTTATAAACAATTGAAACAACACTTTATGTTTCATAACTTTACAAATTCTGAAGACATATAAAAAGGGTTTGGGGGAGGGGCAAACAAAAACATTCAAAATGTTAATTCTTGTACATTATAATTTTTGTGATATATACTTACTCAAGACGTACAACTCCAAATAAATATACACCATCTTGTTTACCAAACTGATAATCAATTAAACTTATGTTGACAATAAGTTTCTCTATCTGCACTTGCAAGGTATATTCACAGGGATCCAGTTTTAAACTGGTACTGATAGATCTACTGATCAGATCTACATCTGTACAACAGGTAACTCCAATGCAATCATCAGATAAGTGACAGGTGGTGCCATTAGATAAAATTGGGAGATTTACTTTCTCTAAACAATCTGTATAAATATAAGTCAAAAAGTTTTTGATAATAAAGACAAAATTTATAACAGGGAAACTAAAATTTGATAAAATCAGAGAATGTTTGAGAATTATCTTGTATAAATCAAAGTGCTTGTAAGCACAGAAGGATAAAGATTGCTTAAATTTATAAGTGGGAAGTAAAATTAAACATTGCTTTGTATGAAGCATTGGTTGTAGTTGATTCAACTACAATTATGGACAAAGGTAGATAATTCCAATTTTAAAGATTACTTAAACAATGACATCATTGATATTTTTAAAACAGATATTAGATTCCTGCACCTTGCACAAGTTATGTAATTTTCTTGACAAGTATAACATCATTTTGTAACTTGAATATCTGAGCATATATTTCATTGATAAATTTCTGGAAGTGTTCATTGATAGGATGTTTATAATGTCATGATCAATGCATTATATTTTGTGTATCTCAAAAGTAGTGACAAACCTTGGAAGATTTAGATATCAAGTCAATACCATAGGGTTTTGGTTGCATTTTAAGCAATCTTTACCCAAGAAGTCACAAATTAGATCAGAATTCATCTATGCTCAATGGTTACCATGATCCAAACTAAAACATGTCGCCAAATCAGTGGAGTTGCTATATATATGACTGATAAATCTTGATATCTATTTCACTACAAACTTTTTAAACCTGAAATTTCACATTTACTGAAAGGTGACCATCACTTTGAATTTACCCTAGAAGAGACCATTTCCTTTGTTTTCTTAATGCTAATATCATATTAAATAAAATTTAGTACTGTTCTTTTTTACATTTGTTTGTCTATGCTTGTTTGATGGGTTTCTGAACAATATATATCTTATTTCTCCACTTGCTCAATTCAAAGCTATTCCCTTTGAAAACTAATTATAATTGTCATAGACTTATTAAAAGACTTAAAACTTTATTTACATTGTATGTTTTACTCATTGTGGAAGGCCATACATACAGTGATCCTTGTTCTTTGGTTGAAATTTGTCGCATTTGCAACCCATCACATCTCTTATTTTTATATTACTGGTTGAAACCATATTTATTGAATGATACTGCAACAAAAGATCCTATACTGCAGCCTATTTATTTTGCTATGTTTACCTTTATTCCATCCATCCTTGTTTGGTACATATGGAGTATCTGCTCTGTTACACTGGTTTTCCATGTAGAATGAAGATATTCCAAGTTTGTTTGACAGCTGTAATAATACTTCTGTTGGTAGCTTGCTTAAAGTTGGACTTAATCCTTTACTTGATAGGAAGTTTTCTATTGAGAAATCTGAAATTAGTAAAATATTAACAAATGAATAATTTATTTGCTTATAAATAAAATATCTAAATACAATCTCTTCCCTTTTTAAAAGAAACAATTTCTTCAAGTTCAACAATTTAAAATCTGGAACTCCTGATATAATTATTATAACTTAAGTACTATTCAATGCAAAAATCAAGACATTGATGTCCACAAAAAAAACATACAAGAAAAGTATTGGTCATGTTTGTCGCAGTTACCCAAATATCACTGAACAGCAATATCAATTTTTCCATACTTAATCTTTTTTGTTTTATTCATAGCTAAAGAGGAAATGTTCCAGTTGTCTTATTGCGAACCCAATGATACTTTTCCACAGATTCACCTGCAAGTTACCTGTCGATTTAAACTTTTGTAAGTTCTTTTGTCCCATCTAATAAATACAATAGCTATTGTTCTCTGTGTAGTTTAATTGATGGGACCTTTAAATTTCTTCCAAGAGAAATCTATCACTCACTGATTAATTTACCTGAACAAAAAATTGAACTGTCAAAAATGAAAATACATGTACAAATACTAAATAAGGACTCGAAAAAAACTGCATGTGGTGTTGTATTTATTCAATATCAATAATTCATTTTTAACAGTTTCAATATAAACACTGATTCAAAAATATACAAATTCATTGGAACAATACTAAAAATTTTGTCAGAAATAAACTTTTTATAATTAAATCAGTGTTTATATTGAACAGATTGAAAATATATTATTGATATTGATTAAATACAATATTGCATGCAGTTTATGCAAGTTTATACAACTATCTCCCTAAAAAAAGAAGATAATTTTTTGGTCAGGTAAATTAATCAATGAGTGATAGATTTCTCCTAGAAGAAATTTAAAGGTCCCAGTGAAAAAACTACACAGAGAACAATAGCTATTGTGTTTATTCAATAGGACAAGAGAATAGACAAAAGTTTAAATACCCTGGTCAAGAGCAGACGACTCTGTGGAAGACTTTCATTTGGTTCGCAATAAATCTGGGAACAGTACAACTATTGTTATTATCAAAAATTATTAAGATAATTGTGAGAACGTATTTTACACATGTCCATTTCCATATCGTGTCATTTATTAACTATGACCAGACGAGAAAATCGGCTATAATTAGGTAGTGTCAAGTAAGGTTAATATATATGTTCCTGCTTAAATGTTTAAATGTTTATATTGTTTTAGTATTTTGCAAAGAAACTGTTGTTCATTTATGGCAGTATTTCTAATATTTCTTACCAGATTATAACCGGTAATTTCTTATATTTTCCCTCATCGTCTATCAGTCTTCAATGTACAGTGACATACCTGATATAATAAAGTCAGTTTTCCAGTTACAAACTGGTTTAGGTAACCTGGTATCTTTGAATACATTCAGAATTACTTCACATGGACCAGCTCTCTCCATACATACAGTTATATCCATGGTTACCAGTAACTTGTCATCAACAAGATTTTGTACTGTGAATCTGAAAGCATATCAATTCCATCTTCTTTCAATATAATATATAAAGGAGTGTTTCAAACATCTTTATGCTTTTAGTAGTAAAACTTTACAATAAAAAACTTTTTATAAATATGAGATACTATGGGACAAAAATGATCAATGTTACAATTTCCAGGAAGTTTCTCTAAATTGCTTTATTTCCTGTCTGTTCAATTCTACATTAATTTTCCAGTCTCACTATATATTTAACTAATTATTCATCCGTAGCTTTTCAAACAGTTTTACTTTGTAAGGTTAATGTTTTATTCATTATTTACCCTCAAACTCGGGGGTCTACTTCAATACCTTATTGATAGGGGGTGTCTCTGGGGTTCTGTTGCCCGACCCTTATTATATAATTTAGATTTTATAAATGTATACCTTTTCCCATATCGGTTGAGTTTCATGTGGTTTGTTGGAAAAGAAAAATAGCAAAGTGTCAAAAGAGGGAAAATTTGTGGATAAAAACACAGCTGGGAACACCAAGAAAGATGACAGACGAAGAAGAATTAACAAATTTAACAAATAATACAAAATTTTATTGACCTTATCATATATTTCTGATAGTTTTCCCCACCTATTCACATATTTTCAAGCTGGAAAATACATGTAGGAAGTGCCCCCACCCCCACACCCATCTCAAGCCACTTACCATCTAACTTTTCTTATTATTTGCTCGCATGATTAAATGTGACTTACACAACATTGAAGAGTCCAAACAAAGAATATGTTTCTGTGTGTCCCCATTCGTAATCAACCAGTGAGTATTCCAGATGGACTTTCTCAATATCCACAGTCAGTTTATAATTACAAGTGTCTATGTCAACAGAAGCATGAATATTCCTGTGTAATCCAGGCAGATTTACACAGCAGTCTATACTGGTACAAGTATGTGGTATGTAACATACACCATAGGGTGATAGGTCAGTCTTGTCTGGAACGGAACAATCTGAAAAATAAGGATTTTGGAAACTATTCTAAATCATGCTAGCATCTTGACTTTTGCATCATTCAATATAAATGTTTGCTCTAAATATTAAAGCTATCGAAATCTATTCTTATTCAAAAGTTTTATGTTTTTCTTAATATATAATGATTTTTATTTTTACTTATACAAACCATCAGTCCATCCATTCACAGATGAGTTAAATGGTAGCTTTGTCACGTCACACTGTTCTGACAGTAGGTATTCAGATACACCTAGATAATCCATTAACTTTGACACAGCAAAACTGTCAAGGGTAGATAATCCACTGTCAGACACAAACTCAGCCAAGGAGAAATCTATAAATATAAACAAAAGGAATCTTGAGTTTTTGTGATTTGTCTAATAACATATTTTCAGGCTTCATTCTCTTAGTTTTATATTGCTGAAAAAAAAGGCTGTGAGGTAGTTACTTACAAAAATATATTTTCAGAGACATCTTTTTGCCAAACATTCTAATTTTTCATATGCTTATATCTCAAAAACAAGCCTACCTTTACCTTTTCTTAATTTTGAGTACATGTATTATACATTATCTCTTGAAAAAAGATGACTATACTAAATTTTAGACAATGTGATAAAATAGCAAGTTTATACATCACAAAATTATTATTTTCATAACATTCAAAATAGCCTTACATTATATGTGAGGTAACTCCTTTTTCTTATGTTGGTTGATACAAGAAGTCTTTCAATTTTCTTCTACAATCTAAATATTATAAGCAGCTTAGAAAAGTTACATCATTACCTTATATGCAACACTTATCTCACATATGGTCAGTTAAACTAAATCATATTGATAGTCTTCACTGATTGTTGAAAGGAATCAAAGTTGATAATTCTAACCCTTACTTCAGTGTACAGATTTAGTAACCAGTTTAGACAAAAATCTAGTAACCAGTTCAGACAAAAATTTAGTGACCAGTTCTTACCCTTACTACAGTCCACAGACTTAGTCACAAGTTCAGGTAAAGTTGTATTCAGTTCACTGTATTCTGTATTGATGAAATGATCTGGTTGATATGCTGTTGTATTGAGAAGATCTACATCAATACCAGATCCTATCCCTACTGTTATAATTCTGACATTCTTACTGCTACACAAGGCTGCCTTATCTATAGCTTTGTTCCTGTCTGATTTTCCATCAGTAAGTAATACAAGATAGTTCTGAGCATTGGTTCTCTCCCCTTTTGTCATCTGAAACATTTCTTCACAAGCAAATTGGAATGCATCAGCAATATCTGTGGTAGTTCCCTTCTGATAGACAGCTGATAAAAGCCATGACCTTATTTCAGTTTTATTATAACTACTGTTCAGATCAAACAATGTCCTTGATGTTCCAGTTCCTTCAAATAAGGTCATGCCGACACGGATCAAGTCTTCATGAATGACCAATGTATCTATGGTATCTGCAATGGCATCCATTGTATCTCTAAAATTATCTTCTCCAACACTACCAGATTCATCAACCACAAACACAATATCTGCTGGTAAAATGGTCTTACAACCTGTAAAATAATCCCCAAATCTTTTATCAAGATTAGAAATTATATTATAAAATTAAAATAAATCCCAAATTCAATAGGAACATTAACTATATGATTGCTTTGTCTGTAAGTTGGGGAATCAATTGTATGAATAAATGACCAACATATGTAAATATTTCCAGCAATCAACAGAGTGCCATAACTTATTTCTTTGCATATCATATGATAACTAGGCTTTTGATTTATTCAAGTCTTATAAAACAGAAAGAAATCTTAGGAATATTGTCATTAAACTTCAAATGCTATATACCAACAACATTTCTCTAAAAATGGGCTGAAATACTTTGCTCAATCAATTTTAAGATGTGAATTTAAATTACAACTTGAAAAAGTGTTCTTACCAGTTTGGTATAGTGAAAAATTATCCTCTTAAAAAGATTCTTATTACTGTGACTTGACTGTAAGTGTTTTTCTCCACCTATTGCAACTTATTCAAAATTCTGACCAAATTGCAATTTGATTTATAAAACCAAACTGTTCAACTGGTCAGAAATTTGAACAACCTGCTGTAGAAAACCACAGTCAAGTCATGAATAAAATAAAGCATACTTACAATCCTATAAGACTTTAATTCGACTTCAATGTTATTATGAAAAATCAGTCTAACAGTTTGTATACAAATTTTATTGCTATTGTCATGCTAAAGGTGATAGGTAGTAATTTTGAATTGCTATAAAAATGTCCAAACTAAGCTTTCATACAATTTTTCTTTTGAAAAGTCTTCTATATTCATAAGAATCATACATCATTTGAATTTAAACATTTTATATTCCATGGGAGATAATCAATTTTTCTTTCGAAAAGTCTTCTATATTCAAAAGAATTATGTTTTAGGTTATCTCCTAGGAAACTTATTAACAACATATTGTAATTTCACATATATTTTACAGAATATAAGATGTTTTAATTTATAAGGTTTGATCCAGTTACAGTTAGGTTTGGGTAGCAGTACATTATTTAATATAACATGGTGATGACAGTCTTGTCCATCTGACTCCCAACACAGACTCACTGTCATGGAGAATAAGTTACTGTGTCTCTTACCTGGGATATTATAAGGTTTATTCCAGTTACAGTTAGGTTTGGGTAGCAGTACATTATTAAATATAACATGGTGATCACAGTCTTGTCCATCTGACTCCCAACACAGACTCACTGTCATGGAGAATAAGTTACTTTGTATCTTACCTGGGATATTATAAGGTTTATTCCAGTTACAGGTAGGTTTGGGAAGCAGTGCATTATTAAATATAACATGTTGATCACAGTCTTGTCCATTTGACTCCCAACACAGACTCATTGTCATTGAGAATAAGTTACTTTGTATCTTACCTGGGATATTATAAGGTTTATTCCAGTTACAGTTAGGTTTGGGTAGCAGTACATTATTTAATATAACATGGTGATCACAGTCTAGTCCATCTGACTCCCAACACAGACTCACTGTCATGGAGAATAAGTTACTGTGTATCTTACCTTGGATATTATAAGGTTTATTCCAGTTACAGGTAGGTTTGGGAAGCAGTGCATTATTAAATATAACATGGTGATCACAGTCTAGTCCATCTGACTCCCAACACAGACTCACTGTCATGGAGAATAAGTTACTGTGTATCTTACCTGGGATATTATAAGGTTTATTCCAGTTACAGGTAGGTTTGGGTAGCAGTACATTATTAAATATAACATGGTGATCACAGTCTAGTCCATCTGACTCCCAACACAGACTCACTGTCATGGAGAATAAGTTACTGTGTCTCTTACCTGGGATATTATAAGGTTTATTCCAGTTACTGTAGGTTTGGGTAGCAGTACATTATTTAATATAACATGGTGATCACAGTCTAGTCCATCTGACTCCCAACACAGACTCACTGTCATGGAGAATAAGTTACTGTGTATCTTACCTGGGATATTATAAGGTTTATTCCAGTTACAGTTAGGTTTGGGTAGCAGTACATTATTAAATATAACATGGTGATCACAGTCTTGTCCATCCGACTCCCAACACAGACTCACTGTCATGGAGAATAAGTTACTGTGTATCTTACCTGGGATATTATAAGGTTTGTTCCAGTTACAGTTAGGTTTGGGTAGCAGTACATTATTAAATATAACATGGTGATCACAGTCTTGTCCATCTGACTCCCAACACAGACTCACTGTCATGGAGAATAAGTTACTGTGTCTCTTACCTGGGATATTATAAGGTTTATTCCAGTTACAGTTAGGTTTGGGTAGCAGTACATTATTAAATATAACATGGTGATCACAGTCTTGTCCATCCGACTCCCAACACAGACTCACTGTCATGGAGAATACATACATGTGTTGTGCTGGTAAATCATCAATCATATATCTAAAATAATGTGTAAAATGAGGAAATTAACAATTAATTTAATAAGTATAAAAAGCAAGTGGAGATATAATTTATCAATGTTTTTTAACTTATCTCTTTTTTGACAAATTTGTTTAATTGATGAAATACGGTGGATTCTTTATTATTTGTGGGATACCATTTTTTGAGGAATTCGAGTGTAAAAGTAAACCACCAAATTTACTTTAAATATCCAACTAAGAGTTTTCTATAGGCTTGTATGCAGGTTTTGGCAAAACCATAAAATGGTATTATACATGAAAATGTTGTTGTTAATCAAACTACGAAAAATTGGTATCAATGAAAATAAATGAATCCACAGTTCCTTGTTGTACATTTTTACAAATTATAAATTGACATCTAACTCAGTTTTGAACTTTTACTGGTATACTGTTAGCATTACCTGATAGAGATGACATTAAAAAAATCCAACTATGTCTTTTCAATCATCATTATCTTACCTAACATTTATAACTCCATATAAATCAAACTGTTTCCATTCACCCCACTCATAATCATCTAAAGTTACTTCAAACTCCAACTTTTCTACTCCAAACTTTAATATGTAGCTACAGGTATCTACTGTAAGGTGACTATGGAATGATCTACTGATAAAGTCTACATCCCAACAACACTGTATACCCATACAGGTAGAATCCAGGTAACAGGTGAGGTAATCAGGTAGGTCAGGTAACTCAATCTTACTGTCTTGACAGTCTGAAAATAAACAGGTAGAATCCAGGTAACAGTTAAGGCAGTCAGGTGAGTAAGGTAACGTTATCTTACTGTCAGAAAGATCTGAAAAGAAACAGGTAGAATCCAGGAACAGATAAAGTAGTCAGGTAATTCAGTCCATTCTATCTCACTGTCAGGACAATCTGAAAAAACAAACAGGTTTAATCCAGGTAACAGGTAAGGTAGTCGGGTAAGTCAGGCAATTCTATCTTACTGTCAGGACAATCTGAAAATAAACAGGTAGAATCAAGGTAACAGGTAAAGTAGTCGGGTAAGTCAGGCAATTCTATCTTACTGTCAGGACAATCTGAAAATAAACAGGTAGAATCCAGGTAACAGGTAAGGTAGTCGGGTAAGTCAGGCAATTCTATCTTACTGTCAGGACAATCTGAAAATAAACAGGTAGAATCCAGGTAACAGGTAAGGTAGTCGGGTAAGTCAGGCAATTCTATCTTACTGTCAGGACAATCTGAAAATAAACAGGTAGAATCCAGGTAACAGGTAAGGTAGTCGGGTAAGTCAGGCAATTCTATCTTACTGTCAGGACAATCTGAAAATAAACAGGTAGAATCCAGGTAACAGGTAAGGTAGTCGGGTAAGTCAGGCAATTCTATCTTACTGTCAGGACAATCTGAAAATAAACAGGTAGTCGGGTAAGTCAGGCAATTCTATCTTACTGTCAGGACAATCTGAAAATTAACAGGTAGAATCCAGGTAACAGGTAAGGTAATCTGGTAAGTCAGGCAATTCTATCTCACTGTCAGGACAATCTGAAAAAACAAACAGGTTTAATCCAGGTAACAGGTGAGGTAATCAGGTTAGTCAGGCCATCTTACTGTCAGGGGTTTATTCCCGATTGTCCCACTTTTTAAAATTTTAGAGTTCTGATTGTCCCACATGAAAAGTTCTGATTGTCCCACATTATTTTATGAAGTAAAATGTTCTTAGATAAACAATGTAACTGTTGTTTGTTTTGCTAAATAAACAAGAATTAATTTATTGCACATTTAATATTAATTTTATAGAAGTATAAAAAAAATGTTTTTTAAATCATTAGATTAATGCACTTTTGATTAAAAAAAAATTATTTCTGATTTATGAAATATATACTAGTATACAATGTTACGTTATTTATAAAACAAATTTCAATACCGTAATTTTAATTACATTTTCTCTATAAAGTTTTTGAATAAATAATGCATGCAATTCTAAAAAAAAAGGTATAAACTCATTTACATTCTACACTTTACACAAACTTGTTGATGGAGAGATTTTTCCAGAAGTCTTTACAATTTTACTAGGGAAATCAGAGGACATTAATACAACATTCTCTGCACTATTGAAGACTGCTAACACCCAACGTCAGATTCACCTGAACCCAACAACTTCCTTTTTTTGATAACGAAGCTGTTGTCTAGAATTCTGCCTGATCAGCCTTTCTAAGAATCAATATCAAAGGTTGTTTTTCCAATATTCCCAGTGTCTTTGCCATAAAGTGCAGTCAACAGGACTCGTCACCAACTATAAAGAAGAACCAGACTTCCATAAAAAAAAAGATGTGGTATGATTGCCAATGAGACAACTCTCCAAAAAAGACTAAATGACACAGAAATTTACAACTATAGGTCACAATAAGGCCTTCAACAATGAGCAAAGCCCATACAGCAGAGTCAGCTTTAAAGGTCCCATATGAAAAATGTAAAAACATTCAAACTAGAAAAACTAACGACCTAATTTATGTACAAAATAATGAACGAAAAACAAATGTGTTACACAGTAACAAACGACAACCACTGAATTACAGGCTCCTGACTTGGGACAGACACATACAGAACGTGGCGGGGTTAAACTTATTTGAAGGCGCCAATCCTCCCACTAACCTGGGACAGTGTTGTAACAGTACAACATAAGAATAAACTAAAAAAATTAGTTGAAGAAGGCTTATCTCATCAGACGGGTACAGACAGAAATACATCTAACAAATCACAGAGTTGACATGGACGTGGACGGCTACTTATACATCCCCACAACAAAGACACTAAGTACAGATCTTAGAGTACTCGCAGTTACTGACAGCTAGTTCAAAGCCAATAAAAACTAATTAAAAAAATCATGCATCTAAGACTAAAATTTTATGATTTCATATTATATTCCATGTTTGATGATACTTCAATTGTACCTACTACATGTGCAAAATATAATATGTAAGTATTATTATTTGTTCATTTTTTTTCTTTTATATTTTATAAGTTACAGTGATTAGTAACCTGTAATTAACTGATACAGACTATAAAAACAAATTAATCACTATCAAAACAATTCCCAATTGTCCCACATTTAAACTTCCCAATTGTCCCACAAACATATTCCCGATTGTCCCACAAAATTTCATTACTTTTTTACCTGTAATTTCAAAAAGTGGGACAATCGGGAAGACACCCTGTCAGGACAATCAGAAAATAAACAGGTAGAATCCAGGTAACAGGTAAGGTAGTCGGGTAAGTCAGGCAATTCTATCTTATTGGCAGGACAATCTGAAAATAAACAGGTAGAATCCAGGTAACAGGTAAGGTAGTCAGGTAATTGTATTGTACTGTCAGGAAAAATCTGAAAATAAACAGGTAGAATCCAGGTAACAGGTTAGGTAGTCAGGTGAGTAAGGAAACTATAATATACTACCAGTACAATCTGAAATATACAGGTAGAATCCAGGTTACTGTTGAGATAATAATTGTTAAAGTTATTTCTCTTAAAAAGTTCTGACTAGGTATTTAAGTAATAATATCTATTTGCAGGTTATAACTTACAAAATAAAACGATATGACTTACCAGAAGTCCATCCTTGATAAGCATTAACAAAGACAGATTCTTGGTCTGTATAATCACATTTATTGTCAAACAGGAACTTTGACAGTCCAAGGTCTAACATCAGTTGAGATACTCCATCTTTAGTTAAGGTAACATTAGACTGAAAACCTGTCTGTTTGTACCAGTTTGATAAGGACCAGTCTGAAGTAATGAATAAAAACATGAAGAATGATAAGAGGAAACAGTAAAGTATAAATTGGTTTATAGCATTAGAGTAATTATTATCATACCTACCAACCTTTGAAACCTTCAAAGAGGGAGATCTCCCCCTCATCTTAGCTGAGGGGGAGATTTTGTGCGAACGACATTTTGAAGTGAAAAATATGACCTGTTTATTTATTCATTTATAAAACATAAATGAGAGTAAATAGATATACTTTATTTCTTCAATGATGGTTATATCCTACTCAAGGTGTGTTGGTTTGTTTTTATACTTTTTCAATGTCTTTGACATGTATGTCCCTTCAGGCCAGCATACCTCAAAGATATGTCTGTTTCAAGTGATCATCTTTAATGTAAATAATGGTGCATCATATGTATGAACAGTCACATTAATCACACAAATTTGAAATATATCTCTTATAAATTTCAATTTAAACATTGAATAGAAGTATAGATCTATTAAACGATTTTCAAAATATAATTATATTTTTTGTCCTAAGGTCTTCAAAATCATTAAATTCCCATCCTTTTATGATTCTTTGTTCAATTTGTATTTAATTTATATTCTTTAACCAATTCACATTATTTTAAGCAGGGTAACTTAAAAAAAGATTGAACAGGGGAAGTAACCCAAAATTTCTTTGAAGTGTTTAGCTTGAGGTAAAAGTCGTTAATGATCATAAATTAGTATTATGTTTGACACTCAAGCTGTCATGTGAAGCCATTTAATTTTCACATGGACTGTGATTTACAGGTAAAAAATACCCTCATCAGTGACACAAAAACGTTATTAATGTTGACTGGTCAATTCAAGGTAAAATATCCAAAAGCGGGAGATTCTATACTCCCGCGCGGGAGGGGACCGGCAAGCGGGAGATTTCCGGAATTTTGTCATTTGAGCGGGAGTCTCCCGCTCAAAACGGGAGGGTTGGCAGGTATGTATTATCCACATGACCAAATAATTATCTGCTCCACCCAAATATATCAAAAGGTTGTTCTCACACCTGCTAATATCTCATAATCTCCATGGAGGATTTAAGAGTAAGATATCTAGAGGACCTAATGTATCTCTAATACATGCCTTAAGTGTTTTAAAGTAATAAACTATGGTTTTGAATGAGTATGTTTATGTGCTTAAATGAAATTTAAACGAACTCCTTTGAATGCTTGTTTTCAGGCATTCATTTCATAGAACGGAAGATTTCAAATCAGGTCAACAGCTCTCATGGGGGAATTCCCAATAAATCAGGAAAGTTGTCCGATCTGTGTTCCTCTATAGGACAATTATTCTAATTTATAAGTTAGAAGATATGAACAAAACACACGTGTCATCATGCTTAGCTTACCCCCACTCATAGTTTAAATATCAGAAAAAATGAAGTAGGTGTCTGACAATTTCAACAAGGGGACACACATTACAACTCATCACTGTTGAGCTACTTTTAAGTAACCCCCCGTCCGTATAAAGAAGTTCAGTTCAGTAGTTTCTGAGAAAAATGTGCCTAAATTTTCAAGTTCGTTCAACAAGAATTCAAAATATTGGTAAAAAGGAAGTAAGTAACTTGACAGATCCAAAAAAATCTGGTCACACAATACAACTCATCACTGTCAAGTTGTTGACCAAATTTTAAGTCATTCTGTTCAGTAGTTTCTCAGTAAAGTGTGCTGAAATTATTTGTTGGGCAAACAGACAGACAAACAAATGAACTAACAGACAGGCAGACAAGGCTATTGCAATATAGCCCCCACTTTTAGAGTATCGGTACAATACCATGACACTAATTTCTAACTGTAGTAGCTGTCATTATTTATTTGGTCTTACCTGGATTAAAGAAACCTTTCTGCCAACTACACTGTATTTTTGGCAGCTTTGTATTAGAGAAGATGTTGGCTTGTATCAGACAAGGTCCTTCATCATTGAAACAAACTTTTATACTCAGATCCATAAAGTAAACTCTCTCTCCACCCATATCACTGATCTTATAGCTGCAAGTCATAAAAAAATCAATTAAAGAGACTGTGTAACCACTTCCATGTATATGATCTTTATAGCAGCAATGAAACAAGAGTGCACACACTGAAATGTCTCGCCTGCTTTACTGACCATTGATTCTATGTTGAAAGACTTAAAGATAAAGATTTTACTACAAGTATCACATAAACTTAACATTTTTAAAGATCAATGACAAAGAGGTCAAGGTCAGATTATACCTGCCAGACAGACATGTACACCTTACAATCATCCATACACCATATATAGTTTACCTACTGCTTATGGTATTTGGAAAACCGACCAAAACACAAAAATTTAACATTGACCAATAAACCATGAAAATGAGTTCATGGTCAGATAATACCTGTCAGACAGACATGTACACCTTACAATAATTCCATACACCATATATAGTTGACTTATTGCTTATAGTACTTGAAAAACAGATCAAAACACAAAACAAGAGGCTCTCAAGAGCCTGAATCGCTCACCTGTATTTCAGAGGAGAAGATTTTTAAATGTTAGCAAACTTGATGAACAAATTGTGTAAAATTGTCTTTAAAGGGCAATAACTCCTGAAGGGGTCAATTGACAATTTTGGTCAGATTAACTTTTTTGTAGATCTTACTTTGCTGAACATTATTGCAGCTTACAGTTTATATCTATCTATAATAATATTCAAGATAATAACAAAAAACTGCAAATTTTGTTAAAACTACCAATTTGGTGGCAGAAACCCAACAATGGGTTGTTCGATTCGTCTGATAATTTCAGGGCCGATAGATCTTGACCAATTGACCTATTTTACCCCATGTCAGATTTGCTCTAAAAGCTTTAGTTTTTGAGATATAAGCCAAAAACTGCATTTGACCCTTATGTCCTATTTTTAGCCAGGGCGGCCATGTTTGTCAATGGTTCAAAACTTCGGATACATATTATAAACAAAATACCCTAAGGAACATTTAGTCAAAGTTTGAAGGTAATTGGCCCAGTAGTTTCAGAGGAGAAGATTTTTAAATGTTAGCAAACTTGATGAACAAATTGTGTAAAATTGTCTTTAAAGGGCAATAACTCCTCAAGGGGTCAATTGACAATTATGGTCTTATTAACTTTTTTGTAGATCTTACTTTGCTGAACATTATTGCTCTTTACAGTTTATATCTATCTATAATAATATTCAAGATAACAAAAAACTGCAAAATTTCCTTAAAACTACCAATTTAGTGGCAGCAACCCAACAATGGGTTGTTCGATTCGTCTGAAAATTTCAGGGCTGATAGATCTTGACCAATTGAACAATTTTACCCCATGTCAGATTTGCTCTAAAAGCTTTAGCTTTTAAGATATAAGCCAAAAACTGCATTTGACCCCTATGTTATATTTTTAGCCATGGTGGCCATGTTTGTTGATGGATCAAAAATTTCGGATACAATTTATAAACTAGATACCCTAAGGAACATTTAGTTAAAGTTTGAAGGTATTTGGCCCAGTAGTTTCAGAGAAGATTTTTGAAATAGTTTACGACGACGACAGACGATGGACGCCGACGGACGCCAAGTGATGGCATAAGCTCACATGGGGCCCTTTGGGCCCCGGTGAGCTAAAAACTTAACATTGCCCAATGAACCATGAAAATGAGGTCAAGGTCAGATGATACCTACCAGACAGACATGTTCACCTTACAATCATTCCATACACCAAATATAGTTGACTTATTCCTTGTATTATATAATACTTGAAAAACAGACCAAAACACAAAAACTTAACATTGACCAATAAACCATAAAAGTAAGGTCAAGTTCAGATGAAACTTACCAGACTGACATGTTCCCCTTACAATCATGCCATACACATATATTGTTGACCCACTGCTTATAGTTTCTGAGAAATGGACCTAATCATGTAACTTTAACCTTGATCACTGATCCATGAAATGAGGTCAAGGTTAGGTGAACACTGTCTGACGGACATCAAGACGTTGCAAGAAACCCATATACCAAATATAGTTATCCTATTACTCATAATAAGTGAGATATTAACATGACAAAAGACAATATATTTTTTCAAGCAGTCGCTGAACCATGAAAATGAGGTCAAGGGCAATGGACATATGACAGTCGGAAACTTTGTAACATAAGGTTTGTCTACATACAAGGTTTGAAGCATCCCGGTCTTCTACTTTCTGAATTATAAAGCTTTATACAAATAGTTTTCACCGCTGCCGCCGGATAGTAATACCTATGTCTACCATACTGCGACAAAAGTCGCAGGCGAGACAAAAATGTGATCAAATATACTGTTTTACTATTACAACCTAATCATAATGAACATCAGAGAAAAAAATAATTGATCCTGAAGATGCTTTCTTACCCACCAAAATATCTCAATTTTGCTTTGAAGTTCTTAAATTACAAAGCATTTGCATTGGTACATATCACTCTTACTACAACATTTTAACTGGTCTTATTTTGTGCTGTATATCTAAACAATCAGAGACTTAAAATACTTGGTCAAAACAATATTCAAATGTGTAATACTATAATGTCAAGCAAGGCATTTCTGATTGATTGGTGGTTGAATAACATCGACCTAACACATCAACCTGGTTTTTGCTCCAACTTCTAAATGGAATATGTTTTTATGAGTAGCAGGAAATATCAATATTAACATCTTTGGTTTGACCCTGCCAGGATCATACCTCCAGTACTCCAAATAAGTGAATTATCATAAAATAACTAAAACAGCAAACAACCCATTTCTGTTTTGAGTTTATTATTGTAAACCAAAACCTGCATGTCTGTATATGTCATTGGAATAGTAACACTTGCTTCTCAATATTCATATCAACATGACAAAATTAAATTTAACCTACTCTATTTCTAAAACACGTCCAATATGAAATTGTTTCTGCAGATTAAAGTCTGTCTCATAAAGAGAAAATTCAAACTGGTATTTCTCAATACCAAGGCTAAATGTTTGGTTACATGGATCTACAGTGAGGAAGAAATGTATGTTTCTGTTGATCAAGCCTACAGGTGCACAGCAGGTTACAGATGTACAGGTAGAATCAAGGTGACATACTACATCATCAGGCAAGTTTGGTAACACAGCACTTGGGCAAGCTGAAAAATACAGGTATATAACAAATTAACTCAGGTACAGGTAGAATCAAGGTGACATACTGCATCATCAGCCAAGTTAGGTAATACAGCACTTGATTGGGCAAGCAGAAAAGTACAGGAGAAAAATTCTCATTTAAGGGCAAAAACTATTATAATGATTCGCCGAGCACAGCCTGATACGACCGCAGAGGTCGAACCCTGAACAGTTGGGGAAAGTTTGGACACAATATTCAAGCTTGATACTGTCTGAATTTGGATTGTGATCAAATTTTTGACATAATATAGGTTTAAGACACAAAACAAATGTGGTCAAAGATCTTGAAATTTTGAAATGGGACATTTAATTTACCTAGTATGGTCTGATATCCAAAATGTAACAATATGATTAGATTCAGCATAAAAAAAGAAAAAACAAACAAAAATAATTTTAGTTGAAATCAAACAAAGTTTAATTTTGGACCCTTCAATCCTTAATATGGACTTATAAATTATTAGAAAACAGGCCCAAAAAATAAAAAATCTAAATGCACAATAAGATTCAGCATATCATAGAGCCGCAATAATTCAGTTTTTGATGAAATCAAACAAACTTTAATTTTGGACCCTTTGGACCTCAATGTAGACCAATTTAAAAATTGGGCCAAATATCCAAAATAGTAATACATTTTGTGTACAAGGTTAGAATCCCCAAAAATTAATGACTTAATTTAATCCCATTGAAATTGGTTAAAAGATTTGTATTTATTTTCAATTCAAGATTTCTTGCTATTGCGCAATACTGTGCTGTTGCACAATACTTAGTTTTATCTGTTATATATAATAATTTACACAACCTGTTTGGTGTGTATCTCTTGCCATATCAGTATTTGTTGCTTTTATATATAAATCAGAAATAATCAATGTAAAAATGTAAAATTTTTGGAAAAAAAAAAATATATATTAAAAAAAAATGGTCCCCCCTAAAAAAAAAGTTTTTTTAAAAATTTGAAAAATCGAAAAAAAATCCCCCCCCCAAAAAATTTGAAAAAAAATTTGACTTTTCAAAAGACCCCCCCCCCCCCCCCCCCCCCCCCCAAATTTTTTTTGAAATTTTGAAGAATATTTTCTTTTTAGGAAAAATGTACAATTGTACAATTTCAGAGAGTTCCATAAACTTTAACACAAGTTATTGTCTATAAACTAGAAAAATGCTCGTTTTTGGCCCCTTTTTTGCCCCTAATTTCTAAACATTTGGGGCAATTACCCCAAAACTCAATCCCAGCCTTCCCTTTGTGATATGGAACCTTATGGTACAATTTCAGAGAGATCCATACACTTACACACAAGTTATTGTCCGGAAACTACAAAAATGCTTGTTTTTGGCCCCTAATTCCTAAACTGTTGGTACCATAACCCCCAAAATCAATCTTAACCTTCCTTTTGTGGTATTGAACCTTCTGGTACAATTTCATAGAGATCCATTCGCTTAAACTAAAATTAATGTCCGAAACTCAAATGTGTCTTCGGATGACGACGACATGATAGCATTATACGAACCCAAATTTTTGTCAGTCGTATAAAAAGAGGACTGACAATTTCTGCTTTGTTTAACTATTTGTAGATCTTGTCTTGCAAATCATTTTTGCTGTATACAGTTTCTCTACATCTTCTAAAGTTTTTGCCCAAAAAGTTAAAAAAAAAAAAAATGTAAATATTGTCCTCAAACAAGGCATAATCAGACAATTTCAGATATATTGTAGATCTTGTCTTGTTGATCATATTTGCTATTAATAGTTACTTCTATAAGCAGAGGACTGACAATTTCAGCTTTGTTGAACTTTTTGTATATATTGTCCTCTAATCATGCTTTGCTATAGAGTCTATTGAATGCCATTGCTGTCAAAAATGACAAAATTTTGGAATTTCTACGATTGTTTGACTGAATGTGATTCTCAAACCGGGAGCGGTAATTTTTTTTGTCCTCATCTTCAGAAAACACTTGCATTGGACATATTTTTGCATGTTTGGAACCATTTATGGACTTCTTACCTCGTTGAATAACTTGCTTGTGTATAAAAAGTTCTGCCCAACCCATGAAATGACAATCCCACGTCTGGGTCTGAATTTTCGTCAAATTGGCACCTAACCCGTTAAATGATGGGACACTCATGGTAAGGTTAAGAAGAGGGGTTTATTATTAAATATGCCATATATGAAAATAAGGAGATATGATATGATTGCAAATGAGACAACTTTCTAATATTCTAATAGAGTCCATATGATGTTGATGTTAGCAACTATAGGTCACTGTATGGAAATAAATTTTACCAAAGTAATGTTAATTTCAAATTAACTCCAGTACTTTTACCTGAATTCCAGCCATTATTCTGTACATTACTGAATGCTATATCTGTTACAGGATTACAGCTTGGTTCTTGTAGGTATTCAGCTATACCCAGATCTTCTAGAAGCTTTGATGCCATTAAATCAGAGAGTTGTGATAAACTTGGCGATAAATCATGATCTGTCAGCCAGGAATTCAATTTAAAATCTGTAATAAATAAAAAACCAGTATAATATGATCCCAGTCTAATGGATGTTTGGCTATTATTCTTGGCCTATACTTACAACTATTTGCTTATTCAAAATGTACACAAAACAATATTTAAGAGGGGAATGTTCTTTGATAATCTTTCGTCATTTGCTTGAAAATTTCATTTACTTGACCCCAATTTCAGCACTTTGTGGACAGCCTTAAATTATCAATACTGCTTATCATAAGGCAATTAAAAAAGAACAAAAAGAGATGCAAGGTACACTTCAAGGATATTAATTCACTATGACATCTGGGGGCAATATTTAATTGTACAATACCACAGCACTACATTTTCTTTAGATTTTCATTGTTTTTGTTCAGAATTGACGGTCATAACTCCTGAACATCTAAAGCAAAACTCATCATAATCCAATTTGACCTCAATAAAAAAAAAACTGAAAGGCATTGGTTTAACACATTTAGTGCTGGTTAATCTGTGCATAAAACTTTTTAAAGAAAATCAAAATATAGATAAATGAAAAAATACAGCTTTCAAAAAAATGAAAGATTAAACCATCAGAATTGAATTTCAAAACATTTCATAATATGAAAAAAGTGTGATATCTGATACATTAAAGCTTACTTGGCACTACAAATCCTCCTGTCCAATCACATGGCTGTTTAGAGAATTTATAATCCTCAAATATTACATAGTTATATATACAGTCTCCATCACTCTCAAAACAAAAGTTTACTGTTAAATCAAAAGACAGCTTCTCTTCAGCTTCCAAATCTTTTATGGAATAACTGAAAATTAAAAAAAATAAACTTTATAAGGATGAAATCTGACACAATTGTATGTTTTCTAACCAAATACTGAGAACATTTCAGGATGCATCACTTAAACATACATAGGTAAGCATTTTGAAATTAAGCCATCCTCAATTTTCGCTTTTGATGAACATTTGTGACGCAGTCACACAACTCAGGGACAGAAAGAAGAACAGAACAATGTCTTTTAACATAGAACATAGGGGAGATATGAGAGTATATTACCTTAGTTTGATCATGCTCCCAAGGGATATATTGTTCTGGGCATTGAAGTTGTAATTAGACAAAGATTCATTAATGACAAGGTTCTCCAGTCCAATACTAAGTTTGAGGTTACAGATATCTATCAGAACATGGAATTCTACAGACATATCCAACAGTGGTATGTATAAACAACACTGGATCCCTGTACAGTAGTCTGGTAACCGACATGCCAGGTTTGATGGTAATGTTGGCAATGATAAGGCTGCTGCACAAGCTGCAAATAAAACAGAAATATCTTATATCACATTTATAAACAAAACTGGATCCCTGTACAGTATTCTGGTAACCGGCATGCCATGTTCAATGGTAATATTGGCAATGATAAGTCTGCTTCACAAGGTGAAAATAAAACACTGATATTTAATATGATACTGAGCAAGTCAAACATATAAATACTTGATTCCTAAGAATTGGTCCGGTAAACAGCAAATCATGTTTGATGATAGTGCTTGTAATGATAAATCTACTTAACATGCTGATATCAAATGATCAGAATCAAAAATTATTTTTGGTAAGAATGGCTTTTTTTAAGAATCAAGATTGAATTAGAAATTTCAACAAGAACTATATGTTTATTCTCCTGGCTAAGTATTGGTTAGGGGCCATGGTTGCTGAAAACAAGATGACATACAGCAAATGATTAACAATTAACAAGCTGATATTGAACAAATGAATGACAAAAACTTGACACAGGCTTTTTTTCCAAATGGACTTTTAATCAATACTACGAATATATGCAGATTTCAAACTGACATCATGCAACCCAAATTTTAGATGAATGTTCTAAATATTGTAATAAGTTTTATCTCAATAAATAATATAATTATTACACAAAATGCTAAAGCAAGAATAGCTAGTTTCCCTGCTCACAGGTCTGGAGCTGGGATGTCAGTAACTGCTAGTAGTCCTTTGCTAATTTATGTTGATCATTGTCATTTTGCTTAGTTTCTCCTGTTACCTATTCTAACATTGGACTCAGACTTCTTTTAAACTGAGTTTTACTGTGTGTATTGCTGTGTGTTTGTTTATTCTACATTGGCTAGAGGGATAGGGGGAGGGTTGAGATCTCACAAAACATGTTTAACCAGCCACATTTTTGTGCCTATCCCAAGTCAGGAACTTCTAGTCTTTGTTAGTCTTGTATGTATTTTTTAATTTTAGTTCATTTATATGTTTCAGAGTCTAGTGTGACATCCATTTTTGTTTAGGGGCCAGCTAAAGTCTGCCTCCAGGTGTGGGATTTTCTCGCTGTGTTGAAGACCCATTGGTGGCCTAGAGCTGTTTTCTGCTCTTTGGTCAAGTTGTTGTCTCTTTGACACATTCCCTGTTTCCATTCTCAATTTTACTTTAAAACTTCAAATTAACATGACAGACATATGGATGGATGGACATGCACAGGCAGCAAATACAATGCCCCCTACTATTGTGGAAGGGCATACAAATATTTTTTGCAGTATAGTGTAATATGACTTACCTCCAGTATTCCATCCGTTAGTATCGCTTTGATAAGAAGACACCTGACATTGAGGACTCAATAGATAACCAGCTATACCTAATTCTTCCATCAACCTATCAACATCATAGGACTGTAGCTGTGATCCTAAATCTATCTTGTTATTATCTAGCCAGGCAGCCAAGGAAAATCCTGAAAAAAAAATATGTTGTGTACATTCTGTCCCATATCCAGCTCAACAAGTCAACAACATACATCACTGGGACTGTAGTTGTTATTATCTAGCCAAGAAGCCAAAGAAAATCCTGTTAAAAAATGTATTTATTTTGTCCCATATCCAGCTCAACCAGTCAACATACATCATGGGACTGTAATTTTTGTTCTAAATCCCCCTCCTGATCATGATCACCTTATCAGTTACATATGATTGTTGCTCTTGTCCTAAACTTCCAATCTATGTATCAACAACTGGTAATAATTACTTTACATGTATGTTTCATTATAATACGTTATTTTGATTGGCTAACAGCAATCTCGCGTCATTCTGAAATTAACCTTCATTTTCAAATGAATGTAACATTCATGATGACACGAGCTTCCACAATAAAGTGCACAGGTAAATAAAAGAAAAACTTGATAGAAATCGTGTTTTCATGATCCTAGCAAAAAAATGTAATTATAAGTATTAAATGCTTTTAGTAATTTTAAAGGGGTTCTAAAAGCGTTGACCATGTGCACATTTTTAGAATGAAGCGCTTCTGTGCTTCATACAAAATGTACTTCGGTCAACGCTTTTACACCCCAATAAATTTACAAAAAGAAGCATTCAATTCTTATATGAATTTATTGAAATAATCTAATAAATATTTTTCTATATTCAGTCATATCAATAACACAGAACTATACATCTTTTAGATATAACTTTTACACTTTGGGAGAAAATAATAAATTTTCCTGTAGTTCTTACTGACTCAAGGGAAACTGTTCTACATAAAAGTTCGATATGCACTGTCCAAAGATGTCACTTATTCAGTTAGGGATCTCCATGGATGAAAATCTAAATATGGAGGAACTTTCACCAGGACAAAACCTCACATGTTTTGATAATAATTATTTCATTCCTCCATTTCATTGTAAGCAATAGTGAATAGACTGATATATTGTTTATAATATGCATTTCATTATAGAATAACCAATATTTTATTTATTGTCATCTGTAACAATTCTAATGTCAAGCCTGGCTCCTATTGGTCAAGGATGACCACAATATTCAGCTGTCCTGTTAAGGTCAAAGTCTTTTCCTGTCAGAAGGTTCCTGAATAGTTTTCTAGCTATTTAGGTAGTTTTGTTAGGACTTAAAAATCTGGGTTGTTTTTCTCTGTCAAATTAAATGTATTCAGAAGTCACGAACTTGGATCGACAATTTGCAGCATCAACAACAAGAAGATTTGTACCTGTTTTTTTAAAACGCTGAATAAAGATAATTGTTTAGGACAACAGTTTAAAACTGAAATAGTTTTAACGAACTAAAATTGCAAATGCCATAGTAATAGACCATGCAGCATCCATCTTTCTATTCTGAATGTAAACCAGATGTATTAATTTGATTATTAAGGAATTCCTTGAATGAACTCACAAACAGGTATCCCAAGCTCAGAGAAATGCAATTTTACCTGGAATTCCATGACTGAAATCACAGAAAGGAATTGGAAGTTTGGTATTTTCCAGTATTTTCAGGTCTAAAGCACATGGTCCATTAGCTTCATAACAAATACTTATGTTAAGACTGACAATAAACATCCTCTCATTGTAGAACTCGTCAATCTTGTAACTGAAAAAAAAAGAAAATTATAAAGTTATTTCATTGATGTTTTAAATTGGTGTGGTTAAGGAATGAAATAAAAATCTGCTCTTCTCTTGATCTAAATGAATGTTTTATTTCAATTATAACAAAGACTAAAATTCAATCCGACAATAATTGTAAAACTCATCAATCTAACAACTAATAAAAAAGAATAGTCAATTAGCCAACTATCCAACAGATACCAAATGAATTGGTAGTAATGAGCAATGAGCAAAACCAATACTGTACAGTCAGCTATAAAAATCCATGACATAACAATATGTCAAAAAGCTTATTTCTTTCAAAACTGTAAAATACTGAGGTTAGTGTTAAGAAAGAAATAATTTATTCTCAAATCTATTCTTTCCTTCTTGTAAAATGGAACAAGAATGTGTCATTAGTACACGGATGCCCCACTTGCACTATCATTTTCTATGTTCAGTGGACTGTGAAATTGGGGTCAAAACTCTAATTTGGCATTAAAATTAGAAAGATAATATCATAGGGAACATGTGTACTAAAGGACGGACAGACGAACGGATGCACAGACCGAAAAACATAATGCCCCTAGGTGGGGCATAAAAATATACACAAATTCAAGATATGGATTCATTAAAATTCACAAAAGATACTAGTTAATTTTATATACCTCACTCTAACAAATCCCATCATAGAGAAAGTTTGTATTTCACCAAGGTCAATATCCAGCATGGTTGTAGTATGTTTAAAGTTCTCTACACCAACAGTAAAGGTGTTGTGACAGGCATCCAGCAGTACATAGGCATTGACAAATAATCCTAGTTTATCTATCTGTATACAACAATCTATACCTGTACAGGTATCAGACAGGTAACAGGAGATTCCAGCAGGAAGATTTATAGGTAAATCTACAGAACTATTACATTCTGAAATGAAAACTATTATCATCAGTATGGGCTGTTCAAGAAATATATTCATAGATGTTGTGATGCATTTTTTTTTATAAGATCTTTACTAGTAATTTTTATTGTTATAAGAATTATCTTCAAAAGTAAAGCACAAAGTCTGTGTGAAAAACTTCAATCATAATAGGTTATCCATCATTATAATCTGAAATCACAACAACAAAAATACTAAACATGATTAACCAGCCACATTCTTTATGTGCCTGTCCAAAGCCAGAAGCCTGTATTACAGAGTTTTTCATTATTTTATTGGGTCATAAATCATTGGTTTTCTAATTTGAACTATTTCACATTTTTTCCTGATAGGACCTTTTAAAGCTAACTGTGACAATGCTGATATAAACCTTCGACATAAAATGCATAACAATCCTACAAGAAATGTAGTTTTGAGAGTGCTTACAATGCAATTTTCTTTTTAAAATAGTTGATCAGAACTGATTTACGAATCTATCTGAGACATTGCTGATATAAAATTAATAAATATCTGATCAGAATTGAACACTTGAGGGCCCTGCTTTAGGGACAACAAATGACACCTTTTGCGAATATTTTTATTATTCATTAAAAGGTGTAACTTACTATCAAGATTCCATCCGATACTGTTTGCAGGTTGATATGGAGGCTGATTTCTGTCACACTTTGGATCCTTCATGTAGTCATATACACCAAGTTTATAAAGAAGTTGTGAAACAAAAACTTCCTGTAATGTGCCTGTGTCTGTTACACTGTTTTTTGTCATCCAAGTAGCCATGGAAAAGTCTACAAAAATCATTTCAAAATTAAACACACCTTTATTGAGCAGAAAAATTGAATGAACATGAATAAACATTCTGAAATGTCTCACCAGCTTTACTGATATACCGGTAGTTTATGTTGAAAGTCTCTTAAAGGATTAAATGCAAATATCAACAAAAAACTTCACATTTTCATTGATCCATATAAATGTGGTCAAAGTCAGATGAACCCTGGGAGACAAACATTACCTTACCATCATTACATAAAACAAATAAATTTGATTGATTGTTTGATCGTTGGTGTTTTACACCACTTTCATCACTCCTGACTGCCTCGAGAGAATCACTGACTTTGGCAATCCTAGTCAATTATAATTGTCGTCAAACAACTGCATATAGCTAATTGTCATCAAACAGCTGCATATAGCTTACCTGACTGTAAGAATCCCATACTCCAGTTACATAAAGGTTTAGCTAATTTAGCATTGGTTAGGATTGGTAAATCAACTATACAACTGTTTGGTTCCTTCTCTTCCATACAAATATGGAAACTCAAGTCTACCATAAATATTTTCTCACTCTTTAAGTCAAAAACTTTATACCTAGAAACAATACAAATATGTCATACAAAACTCAATAACATTAACCAAGAAAAAGCAATTTTAAATTATAAATAAAGGAAGGATGTGTCTGAGGAAACGAATGCCCTTGCTCAAACTTTGCAATCTGCCAAGTTAAAAAAGGGCATTACTCTAGAACAGTAAAGGACTTACTGCCCAAATTCGAACTCTGTCTGCGTGTTGTGGTTCTTAGCATTGAGTATGAGTTTCATAAAATTTGCATGAGGCAAACTTAAGAAAGAGTGCGGAAAAGAATAAATTTGCAATTTTCCAAGTTATAAAGAGGCATATCTCTAGAACCGTTAGTGACTCCCTGCCCTTTTTAAAACTCTGTCTGCGAATTCTGATTCTTAGCATTATGTATGAGTTTCATAAAATTTATGTTAGAGTGGGTAAACTAAAAAAATTTGCAATTTTCCAAATTATAAAGGGGCATAACTCTAGAACAGTAACTGCCCACATTTTAACTCTGTCTGCAAGTTTTAGTTTTTAGCATTGTGTAAGAGTTTCATAAAATTTGCTTGAGGCAAACTTAATTTAGAATGCTGAAACGAAAAACCGATGGATAAAAGGTCAAGGGTAACACTTAATGCCCCCTTCGCCTACGGTGGGGGCATAACAAGTATTTGTTCCAATGGTTGCACTAATTGACAAAAGTATGCAAGTCAAAGAAGTTTTCCTCATTAAAAGATACAACAGTCATCCCCACGACACCAAAGAGTGAAAGAAACATCTATTTACCGATGAGAAATATTGATATTCATTTCATCAAGAATTCATTAATTTCATGGCTCTAAATGTCATAAAACTTACTGATGAATTAAAAATAAATATAATTTATACATACTTTATGATAATGCCACCTTGAAGTGAGAACTTGTGAGTTTCTCCCCATGTATACTTCAGCAGAGATATCTTTACATGTAGTTTCTCTAAAGTTAAGGACATAGTATATGTACAAGGATCTATATAGATCTCGGACATGATGGCTCGACTGATTAACTGGACGTCCATACAGCATGATAAAGCAGAACAGCTTGGTGGTATTACACAGGATACTGATGATGGTAAGGTCAAGGTCAAATAACTACTATTACATTCTGTAATAAAAGCAAAGCAAACAGGTCTTTAATGAAAATGGATCATACCAATTTGAGTGCAAACATTTTATTTTGTCTTAATACTGACACATCAAATATATGTTATATACAAATTCTTAAAACAACAACCCGTACATTTTGACAACTGTTTCCCTTACTTATTTTGCTAAGAAAACAAATATCTAAGTTTAAATAAGCACTTACCATTGACAAATGAATTAGTTGCTACATTACATGGAGAATCTAGGAAAAAATCACTAAGTCCAAGTTTCTCTAGTAAAATCTGTCTTACAGCTGTAGGTAACTGGTCTGATAAAGTTTCTTTCTGTTCTTCTAAAATTTTGGTTAGGGAAAAGTCTACAAAAATATAGAGAGAAAAAGTGAATGACGCAATATATAAATGAATAACACAATCATGATATATTCTTATGCTATTTTCAGTAAAAGTTGGAAAAAATATATAATTTATAGTCTTATTGTGTAATAAAGAATACTACACAGAGTAAAAAGTGAAAAAGGTTTTTGAACATCCAACAACTATATTGTTGCATAATTGATATAAATTTTCATAGTTAAAAGCTTAAGAGTATTTATTTTTTGGGGAACAACACCTCTCAAATAACATGAATTCAAAAAAGTGTAGTTATACAATTATAAAGCTTTCAATCTATCTGGAACAATAGTCCATTCAAAATGAATTCAATTAGGAGATAACTGTATTGCATTTTATCTTGGCCTACATAATAGAATATTCTTTACAAAGCACAAAAATGTCAGTATTCACCTCAAAAGCTAACAAAACCTTTAAACAGACTTATTAAGAAGGGATATAGTTACGATACTGTTGCCAGGTCATTAAAGATTGCATATTTTGGCTTTAATATTGATTCACTTATAGGGTCTTTGCATCGGAATTAAACATATTTATTCTAAAACCAGTTGTTGGCATGACACGGGTTATATTCTTCTCATATATTATATGATGGTATAATACTAAACCCTTAACAGGAGGGATTGTGCCTGATATTCATATGATGAAGACATAATCTTTCAATCAGTTTAATTGAGGTCTGGAGCTGGCATGTCAGTAACTGCTAGTAGTCTGTTGTTATTTATGTATTATTGTCATTTTGTTTATTTTCTTTTGTTTCCTATTCTGACATCAGACTCGGACTTCTCTTAAACTGAGTTTTACTGTGCGTACTGTTGTACGTTTGTTTTTTCTACATTGGCTAGAGGTATAGGGGGAGGGTTGAGATCTCAAAAAACATATTTAACCCCTCCGCATTTTTGCGCCTGTCCCAAGTCAGGAGCCTCTGGCCTTTGTTAGTCTTGTATCATTTTTAATTTTAGTTTCTTGTGTATAATTTAGAGTTTAGTATGACGTCCATTATCACTGAACTAGTATACATATTTGTTTAGGGACCAGCTGAAGGACGCCTCCGGGTGCGGGAGTTTCTCGCTGCATTGAAGACCCACTGGTGGCATTCGGCTGTTGTCTGCTCTATGGTCGGGTTGTTGTCTCTTTGACACATTCCCCATTTCCATTCTCAATTTTATGTTTAACTGTCACAAATTCAGTTTACTTAGCAATGTGTATGAATGATTTATTGAACCAAACAATATGATAGACATTGTCATTGGAATATGTTAACCTCTAAATCTCCTTGAGTCTAGAGAAGTGGTGCATAAATTTAACAAACTATCAAAGATCTGGCTTCAACACACCAAATTTCATTTTGATGGGATTACTTAGAATATAGAGTCCTATGCCCCAGTCATACATAAACATTATGTGTATACCTGGAATATTAAATCCTGTGCCCCAGTCACAGAAAACTTTAGGTAATCTGTAACCATTGAATATGCTCATGGTAAAGTAACAACTTTTCTGTGATTCAAAACAAACACTCATGTTCAGATCTATCTCATACTCCTGATCAGCTGATATGTCTTCTATCTTGTATCTATAAATATATTACATTTTCTAAGCTTAGGATGGTAGATTGTATCATCGGTGTTTCATTGACACAAGTTGTAAGCAAATCAAACAATTAATTAATTAACATTATAATACTCTGTTTACTTGACTTCAGTTAAAAAAAGGCACTACTGAAAAAATTGTACATTACATAGTTTTTTCTGTTCATTTCTGAATAAAACTTGGCCTGTTTAACATCCAACTGAAACAAATTCATGTTTCTCATTTTGGTCACTTTAATATCTAATGATTCTGCTCTTCAGTGAAACAAAATATTTTGGGGGGTAAATACTGGTAAAAGACAAATTAGAAAATACTTATTGCAAATCACTCACTCTACTCTTATAACATTCATCAAGTATTTCTTTTCAAGGGTACCTATAGTAAAAAAGAAGAAATATGATGCCATTCTGACTTTATGAATAAAATGATTCATGATAAATATCAATAAGACACACTCAGTGTTCAGTATCTATGAATATATACAAAATGAGTTCTTTCTGTATGAATATATATTTGTATGTGTAAAGCAAAATATTGTCCCTCAACACAATATTTCATGACTATGTATCATGAAATATTGTCCTTGTCTATGGGAAAATGTCCAGAGAAGGACAAATTTTTATAGTGAAATTTTGTCTGTATATAGACAAAATTTCATGGACAAGGACAATATAATGAAATATTGTCCTTGACAGCATTACATTATGAAATATTGTCCAAGGACAATATTTTATATGAAATTTTGTCAGATGGACAATATTTCATGGGGGACAATATTTTATGTTACATATGCACCAGTCCTAAGTCAGGAGCCTGTTGTTCAGTGGTTCATAAGTGTTTCTCATTTTTTATATAGATTAGATCGTTGGTTTTCCTGTTTGAATTGTTTTACACTAGTCATTTTGGGACCCTTTATAGCTTGCTGTTTGGTGTGAGCCAAGGCTCCGTGTTGAAGGCCGTACTTTAACCTATAATTGTTTACTTTTTACACATTGTGACTTGGATGGAGAGTTGTCTCATTGGCACTCATACCACATCTTCTTATTTATATATACCAATGAGTTCTTGCTCTATGAATATATACACAATGTGTTCTTTTCTATAAATATATACACAATGTGTTTTTTTCTATGAATATATACATAATGTGTTCTTTATCTATGAAAATATACACTATGTGTTATCTATGTCTTAATATACACAATGTTTTTTTTTCTATGAATGTATACACAATGTGTTCTTTTTCTATGAATACATACACAATGTGTTCTTTATTCATGTGTTGATTTCGATTGGTAAACAACAGTGTGATAAAATTCTCGAAATATCTATATTAACATGATTAACACAGATGCACAGATGTACATATTTATGGCTGTTACAGTTTACCCTCATGTTAATCTACATGTGTCATAGCCTTTGTTTAAACACCATGTCAATTTCGCTTTATGAAAATCGTATTCTAAATCCACTTACTAATTATAATTAAGGGAGAGTTGGGGATGGGGGATGTTCACCCCTATAATATGACAGAAAACCCCAGAAATCTTTCTAATCAGAAAGAAAAAAAGAAGGTGCACAATAGCATTATGTCAAAAAGAAGTTGGAAGTTTGATTAAAATTTCATTCAATCATTGGTTTAGGAGTTGTGAATGGGAAACATTCACCCAGTATAAGTCCATGTTTAGGTATTGGAAACCCCAGAAATTATTCATATCAAAAGTTAATATAAAATATTAGGTCAATGTCAGAAAAATATAAACTTTTTTGTATGAGGCTGAGAAACTGGGGAAGGGGCGAGGTTGTACCGAGCCCTTCCCCAGTTTTGTGCCGAATACAAAAAAGTTTATATTTTTCTGACATTGACCTAATTTTGTTTTTTATACTGCAACTTAAATTAATAAATTGATAGCTATTTAAATTGTAACACAAATTTCAAACTTATTTTCATCCCAAAATGAACCCCTGATTGTGGAAAAAGTGATCCATGATGAAATTGACATTGTACAAAATATAGCTTTGTTACTATATTTAGAAAATAAACACAACTAGTTGCAGTATAAAATAGGATATGCACTGGTAATAAAGATTATGTGGAAGTTTCCTTGAAATTCATTTTTTAGTTTAGAAGAAATTGGTCCTGATAGACGGATACTTTGATTAGTATATACACCCACTACGTTTAGGAGGGTTACAATAATAAGTACACTTACCCCACTCATAGTTAAAAAGATCGATTTGTTCAGATAGCTTCTCAATACCAAACTTAAGGTAATGATTACAGGTATCTATCTCTACAAAGGCTGAAAATGATTTCTTCAGAAATCCAACATCCATACAACATTTCACACCAGTACAAGTATGCTCCAGTACACACACAGCTGTATTTGGTAGAGCGGGCAATGAGAACGCCTGTTCACATTCTATATTAAAGAAAAATTACTATAACTTACTTAACATTATCAATTTTTGATTAACCTGCTAATTAAACATCAAATGTGACTAAGAGAAGGCAAAGTAATAGTAATGCTCACCATACAACTATATAAAAATAACTACAGCTTAGAAGAAAGTATCTCGAAACTAACATATATTGTTGGAACAAGACATAGTTCCCCCCAACATCTGCCATTAATCACAACTTTTCTCATATATATATTTCCTTTATATTTTTTTTTGTATAACAATGGCTAGATGAGTCCAACTCATAAAATTCTGAAAATTACCACAGAAGATTTTTTCCCAACAAATTCTGGTCCAATTACCCTTAGTTTTTTTTTAAACTTTGTTGTAGGAGGATTCAAACATAATCATCAAAGTTGATAGTTATATATACCCATCTGATATCCATCCCTGATCATTTGGTGTGAAGTCCTCTGATGTAATGTTACGTGGATCATCACTCATGGTAACTAGATATATATATATATACTCACCTGATTTCCATCCTTGATGATTTGGTGTGAAGTCCTCTGATGTAATGTTACATGAATCATCACTCAGGTAACTTGATATACCCACCTGATTTCCATCCTTGATGATTTGGTGTGTAGTCCTCTGATGTAATGTTACATGGATCATCACTCATGGTAACTAGATATACTCACCTGATTTCCATCCCTAATGATTTGATGTGAAGTCCTCTGATATAATGTTATACAGATCATCACTCAGGTAACTTGATATACTCACCTGATTTCCATTCCTGATAATTTGGTGTGTAGTCCTCTGATGTAATGTTACAGGGATCATCACTCAGGTAACTAGATCACCTGTTTCCATTCTTGATGATTTTGTGTGTAGTCCTCTGATGTAATGTTACACAGATCATCACTCAGGTAACTAGATATACTCACCTGATTTCCATCCTTGATGATTTGGTGTGTAGTCCTCTGATGTAATGTTACACAGATCTTCACTCAGGTAACTAGATATAATCACCTGATTTCCATCCCTGAAGATTTGGTGTGAAGTCCTCTGATGTAATGTTACATGGATCATCACTCAGGTAACTAGTATACTCACCTGATTTCCATCCCTGAAGTTTTGGTGTGAAGTCCTCTGATGTAATGTTACATGGATCATCACTCATGGTAACTTGATATATACACCTGATTTCCATCCCTGTTGATTTGGTGTGTAATCCTCTGATGTAATGTTACACGGATCATCACTCAGGTAACTTGATATACTCACCTGATTTCCATCCCTGATGATTTCGTGTGAAGTCCTCTGATGTAATGTTACATGGATCATTACTCAGGTAACTAGATATATCCATCTGATTTCCATCCCTGTTGATTTGGTGTGTAATCCTCTGATGTAATGTACACAGATCATCACTCAGGTAACTAGATATACTCACCTGATTTTTATTCCTGATGATTTGGTGTGAAGTCCTCTGATGTAATGTTACACGGATCAACACTCAGGTAACTAGATATACTCACCTGATTTCCATCCCTGATGATTTGGTGTGTAATCCTCTGATATAATGTTACACAGATCATCACTCAGGTAACTAGATATACTCACCTGATTTTCATTCCTGATGATTTGGTGTGAAGTCCTCTGATGTAATGTTACATGGATCATCACTAAGGTAACTAGAAATACTCACCTTATTTTCAACCCTCATGATTTGGTGTGAAGTCCTCTGATGTAATGTTACACAGATCTTCACTCAGGTAACTAGATTTACTCACCTCATTTTCATCCCTGATGATATGGTGTGAGGTCCTCTGATGTAATATTACACAGATCTTCACTCAGGTAACTAGATATACTTACCTGATTTCCATCCCTGATGATTTGGTGTGAGGTCCTCTGATGTAATGTTCCATGGATCATCACTCAGGTAACTAGATAGACTCACCTGATTTCTAAGACTCACCTGATTTCTATCCCTGATGATTTGGTGTGAGGTCCTCTGATGTAATGTTACACAGATCTTCACTCAGGTAACTAGATATACTCACCTGATTTCCATCCCTGATGATATGGTGTGAGGTCCTCTGATGTAATGTTACATGGATCATCACTCAGGTAACTAGATATACTCACCTGATTTCTAAGACTCACCTTATTTCTATCCCTGATGATTTGATGTGAGGTCCTCTGATGTAATGTTACACAGATCTTCACTCAGGTAACTAGATATACTCACCTGATTTCCATCCCTGATGATATGGTGTGAGGTCCTCTGATGTAATGTTACATGGATCATCACTCAGGTAACTTGATATACTCACCTGATTTCCATCCCTGAAGATTTGGTGTGAGGTCCTCTGATGTAATGTTACACAGATCTTCACTCATGTAACTAGATATACTCACCTCATTTTCATCCCTGATGATTTGGTGTGAAGTTCTCTGATGTAATGTTACATGGATCATCATTTAGGTAACTTAGAGATACTCACCAGATTTCCACCCCTGATAATTTGGGGTGTAGTCCTCTGATGTAATATTACACAGGACATCACTAAGGTAACTCAGATATAATCACCTGATTTCCAGGTAACTCAGATATACTCATCTGATTTCCACCCCTGATAATTTGGTGTGTAGTCCTCTGATGTTATGTTACATGGATCATTGATCATCACTCAGGTAACTAGATATACTCACCTGATTTCCATCCCTGATGATTTCATGTGAAGTCCTCTGATGTAATGTTACATGGATCATCACTCAGGTAACTAGATATATCCATCTGATTTCCATCCCTGTTGATTTGGTGTGTAATCCTCTGATGTAATGTACACGGATCATCACTCAGGTAACTAGATATACTCACCTGATTTCCATCCCTGATGATTTGGTGTGTAATCCTCTGATATAATGTTACACAGATCATCACTCAGGTAACTAGATATACTCACCTGATTTTCATTCCTGATGATTTGGTGTGAAGTCCTCTGATGTAATGTTACATGGATCATCACTAAGGTAACTAGAAATACTCACCTTATTTTCAACCCTCATGATTTGGTGTGAAGTCCTCTGATGTAATGTTACACAGATCTTCACTCAGGTAACTAGATATACTCACCTCATTTTCATCCCTGATGATATGGTGTGAGGTCCTCTGATGTAATGTTACACAGATCTTTAGTCAGGTAACTAGATATACTCACCTGATTTCCATCCCTGATGATTTGGTGTGAGGTCCTCTGATGTAATGTTCCATGGATCATCACTCAGGTAACTAGATAGACTCACCTGATTTCTAAGACTCACCTGATTTCTATCCCTGATGATATGGTGTGAGGTCCTCTGATGTAATGTTACATGGATCATCAATCAGGTAACTAGATATACTCACCTGATTTCTATCTCTGAAGATTTGGTATGTAGTCCTCTGATATAATGTTACACAAATCATCACTCAGGTAACTTGATATACTCACCTGATTTCCATCCCTGAAGATTTGGTGTGAGGTCCTCTGATGTAATGTTACACAGATCTTCACTCAGGTAACTAGATATACTCACCTCATTTTCATTCCTGATGATTTGGTGTGAAGTTCTCTGATGTAATGTTACATGGATCATCATTTAGGTAACTTAGATATACTCACCAGATTTCCACCCCTGATAATTTGGGGTGTAGTCCTCTGATGTAATATTACACAGGACATCACTAAGGTAACTCAGATATAATCACCTGATTTCCAGGTAACTCAGATATACTCATCTGATTTCCACCCCTGATAATTTGGTGTGTAGTCCTCTGATGTTATGTTACATGGATCATTGATCATCACTCAGGTAACTAGATATACTCACCTGATTTCCATCCCTGATGATTTGGTGTGTAGTCCTCTGATGTAATGTTACACAGATCTTCACTCAGGTAACTAGATATACTCACCTGATTTCCATCCCTGATAATTTGGTGTGAAGTCCTCTGTTGTAATGTTACATGGATCATCACTCAGGTAACCAGATATACTCACCTGATTTCCATCCCTGATGATTTGGTGTGTAGTCCTCTGATGTAATGTTACACAGATCTTCACTCAGGTAACTACAAAATGTAGATATACTCACCTGATTTCCATCCCTGATGATTTGGTGTGAAGTCCTCTGATGTTATGTTACATGGATCATCACTCAGGTAACTAGATATACCCAAATCTTCCATCAATTTCTGTATGAATGGTTCTTTCAAGCTGTTTAGTACCTCCCCAGCATCTGCTGTGTACTTCTCCAGAGAAAAGTCTAAATGTCATAAAAGAATATTTTTAACAGTGAATAGGAAAATACAACATACATTTTTTGGGCAATGGATGTGCTCTACATTATGTCATTGAATTTTTCAAATTTTGCAAGAGGAGTTGGGAGAGTCACTATACTTTTTCAAGAAATTTAAATACTTTGTTATTGCTGTTTCATACCAAAATCCATTCCACCCAAATATGGCTCTCAGCATTAGCATGTATAGGTTGGTGCCCAATTTGAGGTTGTGGAGGATGCTAAAATGACTTTTATGAATGGGTTCCTCATATTCAGAGCGTCATTCCTCGTTTCATTGAAAGTTTGAAAAGACCATTTCCCAGCTGCTTCATTAGATATTTACAATATAGAGCAAAAGATCATATCTAACAGAAAGTGATTTTCCAAAACAAGAATGTCAGCTAACCTGGAATAGAGAAGTTGGCTTCCCAATCACAAAGTAATTTAGGTACCAGAGCATCTTTAAACAGGACAATTTCATACAGGCAAGGTTCATTGGACTCAAAACAAATACTCAGGTTCAAGTCAACACGGAACTTTCTCTGTATATTCAAATCTTCTATTCTGTACCTGAAAACAACCATTAAAAATAATTTATTAAACTTTAACTAAATATGTCTGTGAAGATAATTTTTTTTTCAATTTTGATACAGAATCTTTACATATTAATGTTCTTTGAAGCATCTATGATTTTCTTTTTCAGAACATGATAGTTCTTAGGCACTTATTTTTATAATATTGATAGTTTATCTGAAATAAGAGTGCACATGCTGAAATGTCTCGCCTTCTTTACTGACCATTGATTTTATGTTGATAGCCCTAAATATAAAGCTTTACTACAACTTTCACATAAACTTAACATGATCCTAGAAAATGAGGTCACGGTCAGATAAACCAAACTGGAAATACATGTTCACCTTACAGTCATTCCATACACCAAATATGCTTTAAATATAGTTGACCTATTGCACATAGTATATATGAAACAAACTTAACCAGGAAAAATTAACATATGCATTGATAATGAACCATGAAAATGAGGTCAAGGTCAGATGAACCCTGCCAGACAGACATGTACACATTATAATCATTACATGCTTTTAATATAGTTGACCTATTGCATATAGTATCTAAGAAACAAACTTAACAAGGAAAACTTGATTGACCAATGAACCATGAAAATAAGGTCAAGGTCAGATGATAATTGCCAGACAGACATATACACCTTACAATCATTCCATACACCAAATGTAGTTGACCTATTGCTTATAGTATTAGAAAAACAGACCAAATAACAAAAACTTAACATTGAGCAATGAACCACAACATGAGGTCAAGGTCAAATAAAACGTGCCAGACTGACATGTACATCGTAAAATATTTTCATACACCAAAAATAGTTGACCTATTGCATACAGTATTAGAAAAACAGACCAAACCACTATGAAACCAGTTTCTTGAAATTAAAATGTCGATATTATTGAACCAATGCATGCATATATACTAAACTAAGTCTTGCATGCGCATTTTTTATATTCATTACACATCTATAACGTATTATCGACAAATAATATTTCATTCAGTGGTTGTTGATTGCAAGCTAATTAACTTTCGAGTTTGTTGCCGAAGTTTGCCAGATCATGACATTGATAAACAATAAACAGAGCACGTGGAAAGCATGACAGATAAATGAATTGAAAGAGCCATGACATTTGTTTTTATATTTTGCATGCGTTCCCATTTGTTAATTAAACTATTCCATAACAGTTGTTAAATGATTTATTGTATCAAATTTGTTCTTTAAGAATCTGTTATTTCTATACCTTCAAGAGAATGTGTGTTTACATTCTTTCATCACGGATTTTCCCTCGCACTTGCGCTGTGTGGTGGCCGAAGTTATAAAGAAAGGTCTCATAGTTAAGGTCACTGCATACGGAAAATATCGGTGAATTAGTGTCTGGGAAGTCAATAATTCAAAATCGGTACATTTATAAAGATTTTGATAATATGAAGGATTTTCTTTTTAAAAAATGTTCAAGTCCACTTCTTTTAGAGTAAAACTTAGCCATTCAAGTATATAAAACATGTTCAACTTCTTTTTCAAATTTGAAGTTTCATATGACTTTAAGCACTGATCCATGAAAATGAGGTCAAGGTCAGATGACACCAATATAGTATACCTATTGCTTATAATATCTGAGATATGGACTTGACCACGAAAAGTTAACCTTGTTCACTGATCCATGAAATGAGGTCGAGGTCAAGTGAAAACTGTCTGACAGGCATGAGGACCTATTACTCATAATAAGAGAGAAATCAAGATAACTAAAAATCTTAACTTTTTTTCAAGTAGTCACTGAACCATGAAAATGAGGTCAAGGACAATGGACATATGACAGATGGAAACTTAATAACATAAGGCATCACTATACAAAGTATGAAGGATCCAGGTCTTCTACCCTCTGAAATATTAAGAAGTATGTTAATGCTGCCGCTGCCACCGCTGGCGGATCACTATCCCTATGTCGAGCTTTCTGCGACAGAAGTTGTAGGCTCAACAAAAATGGTTTAAAAATGGAAAATCATTGAAAAACAATCACTACAATATAGACAACTTACCCTATTCTTACAATTCCTTTCAAATTGAAATACTCAGTGGTCCCTGAAAAAAGAGCAAGGGAAGCAATTTAACTAAAAATTAAAAAAAAAATTCCATTGTCACTAAATTATATAATAATGCACATTTATTTATTACCTTAATATACAACTAAAGCATTTGGGCAAAAAGCATTCTTCAACAGCCAAAAGTTTTTCTTCCTACTGTACAATAAGGGAGCTACCATTTGATTTTTATGGGGGGGCTAGGATGAAAAATTTTGTCCTGCATTTTTTTTAGTTGTAATCTCTGTCCTGCCTTTTTATTTTTCACTCTATTCGGTCTTGCCTTTTTTTATTAGTTTATCCTGACTTTTTCTACATAAATTGTCATCCTGCCTTTTTTTTGGCAAAGTTGCTCATCCTGCCTTTTTTTTTTACTCAAACTCCTGTCTTGCCTTTTTTTTCAAATTTCATCCTAGCCCCCATAAAAATCAAATGGTAGCTCCCTAACACTGTTCCAATATTATAAAAGGAAATGGATACTGATAGAAGTGTCAATACTCATCGCATATCTTTTTGATCTTTTTAACATATGTATATATATTTTTATGTTTTCCATCAAAAATGAAAATTATTACCAAACTGATAATCTGTCAAACTTATAGGATCCAACTTGAGTTTTTCTATTCCCAGTTTGAATGTGTTGTCACATGTGTTCATATCAATGTAGGCATGGAATGAACGATGTAAGAAATCCACATCTATACAGCAATCCACAGCAGTACAGTGAGACGGCATGTAACAGGAGGCTGGAATGGTCAGGTCTGGGAAAGGGACAGCCAGTGGACATTCTATAAATAAATATACAATATGATCACAGTGATGTTAAAGCATTCCACAGTAATTCACCAGAATATCCTAAATGTTTTAGAATTCCAAAGATGATTGTATTCTTTTTTTTGGGATTCGTTGCTGTTTTCACCTTTGATAAGGAGAGAAAATTTGAAGTAAAAGTTAAGGAAGTTCAAAATAGAAACAAAAATCTCTTTAAATGTTTCAACTGTGTTTACAATCTGCAAAAGGATTTCTGCATATTATTTATAAATGCTTAAAAATACATGTGATAGAAACATGATTGAGTTTTTGATAAAATGATATTAACTGGGAAAAATAGTGCAGCATGTTTCAAATAACTCTTTATAAGAAATTTTGTCAAAATATATAAGTTACTAATTTCATTGATTATTTCGTATATAACCAAGCTGGGTCCAATATGTAGTTTGTACATATATAAAATTACCATTTTTCCAACCATGGATAGAAGGACTATATAAAGAGCTTGATCTCTGACAAGGAGCATCTTGAAGTAAGCTCCCTATTCCTAACTCTTCAACCAGTTTAGCAGCCATTAATTCAGTCAGCTGATCTTTGCTGGGCAGAGATAACTGGTTTATGTAGGACTGCAAGGAAAAATCTGCAACACACAAAAACAAGAGTGAAATGCAAGTGTTTTGGGATAAATTACTGTTATTTTGTAACTTATTCAATTTTGCAAATTAAGTCAAGCTGAGGTGACAATGACTGGCTGATAATTTTTTATCATGAACTACCTCAAAACAATTTGTTTAACGAAAACATGCTTGACATATGCATAAGCCAGCTCCTAAGGGTCAAATTAAAGGTCACATGAGTACGGATTCAATTGAGGTTAAATTATTGACTTGCAAGCCAATTATACATCAGTGATGTTTTTGAGTTAATTTGACAAAATTGAACCTAACTGACTGCTCATAGCAAAATATTATTTCAAAATTCTGCTTTTATAAATATTTGAAACAAACTAAATTTAAAAAAAATTTTTTTGTCTTTATCATAGCTTATGATCCTTCAGGAATAAAAATAAAGAAATCTACAATATGTTTAAATATTTAGATCTTCCAAATGAGAAATAAAATAAACCTGGAAGTGAAATATTTTTTGAAAATTCATGTAATATTTCATGTCAGTAAAATTATTTACTTCCATACAAAAATCCTTGGCAATGCTTCCATAGGCACATGACCTCAGGCTTGACTTCACTCAGAAGACTGTGGTCTGCAGCATGAACCAATTGTTTGTTGAGAAAGATCACATCAAATTTAGATGAACGGTTAGATTCTAAGCACATTTTATTATACATAGAAAAGCATTCTTGGTTATTTAAGAAAATATGGTGTATATAAATTTGGCATCTAATGAACCTTTAACCCGTTTGAATTGTGATCATGTTAAACGTTGATGTTACCAGATAAGATCAACTACTGCATACATTAAATTTGCAGAATAATTTTTAAACCTTTTATTTTTAAAAATCAAAATATATTTGAATTCCTTATTCCATACCTGTAATAACGAATCCAGTATTCCAATCACATGATATTCTTATTAAAGTGGCATCTTTCATCAATACAGATTTATAAAGAACAGTTCCATCATCCAGTTGTATGGTGACATTGAGGTTTACTCTGAATTCATTCATATCATCTGTGTTGTCTATGGTATAACTAAGAAAAAAAAGAATGAGAGTACTCTTTTATCCTTGTTTAAGTAGGGGTTGAACCTTCAAATATGACAATATAGAAACAAATTTTACAGGATTTCTGTTTCTATCATTTTCTTCTTAGCATTTTCTCCTACTTATTCAGTAAATCTTTTCCAGTAGTGTTCACTGTCCTTTAGTAGTATAGTCACTAGTGTTCAAATTCCAAAACAACATTTCCATTTTTTTTCTGATGAAATAAACACGCCTGTGTGAGGAAGATATACACAAGGACAATTTCATATATTGGAAATTCTACACTGGAATGAATTGACGTAATCGTAGCAGGAAAGTTTAACAATTTCAGAATGGTATTTTTCTGTTCATTGTCTTGATCAAATAAAAGTAAAATTTTCCTTCCGTATCTTCATGAGATTTGGAATAAGTTACTTATATTTGGGTTAACTTCTTGAATTATGTAGTATGGATTTTTTTTTTGAAAAGACAGATGCATGGATAATTGGATATATGATATTTTAAAAAATAAAAAATGTTTTTATTTAGTATGTCTATAGTTTTAAGAGAAGACAGGTGTTTGTGGTTGATGTTGTCTGCTATACTGTTCAATATCTTGGTAAATTTCTATCATCCTTTTTATGAATTATTGAGAAATTAAATTTAATTCAGTTTTCTTTGAGATGTTTCTCCATTAAAATTAAAACACATGTATAATTTCACTTACAGTATATTACAAAATATAAAAATAAAAAAAACAAATGAAACTTACTTAATTATGTGAAAATGTTGTAAGATGAAATACGAACTTTATATTTTGTAAAGTGTACCCAATTCATTTTTAGACATTTCATAACTCTTTGATGTCAAGAAATTCATCAACAAGTTTCCAAACAAAGTAATTCTAATTTTACAGATGAAAACAATGCAGATTTTTGCTTCTAACAGACAAAATTAAAGCATGAGTAAGTTGGTATTTTGTGTTAGTCTATATTTGTCAAACTCAGTATATTATTAAAGGAGAAAGTCTAGGTAAGGCTAATTTTGGCCTAAAATTTGAAGTACATCTGAAGAAAGATTTTTGACATTTTTTAACTACTAAGTGTCTAATTCAGTCGATTGAATAAGTTTAGGTAAACTATTTGAACTGATTTGGTCATTAAAGACACTCAAATTCAAGCTTAAATATGAAAAATCTATCAAACATGCCAAAAAACATCACTTTTCAGAAGGTTTTTGTTTAAAATGTAAGTGGCCGCATATGTGTTCAGTCTCAACCTTTATATATAGTATGTATTATCATCAAATACAACATATATCTAAATATTAAGACTGAACACAAATGCAGCCACTTCCATTTTAGACAAAAACTGTCTAAAAATTAGCACAAATGCAAAAATTGTGAAGATTTCAGTAATTATGCAGGCATTAATTAAGCTAGTACTTGATGCATGTGCATTGTATTGTAAAAAATCAGCCCAAATTTATGTAACAAAAGTATTCCACTTTCCATAAATAGCTAAAAGTTTACATTTTTAACAAATTTGTAAAAATGCTATATTTTGGGGCCAAAAAGGGTTTTACCGGAACTACTTCTTTTGAGATTTTCAGGACTGAGTATGTTCTGTTTTCCATCATAATATTTAAATCTGGAAAATATTATCATACCTGCATTGTGCAAACTCATCATGGAGGATTTTAAGAACAAGAAAACCTCATCTTATATACATGTCACATGTTTTTTATATTCAAATATATTACGGTTTTGAATAAGTATCATTGTTCTTTAATGCCATTATAACTCCTTTGAATGCCTGTTTTAGGTATTCAGTTCATATAAGAGCATTTAAAGTCAGGTCAACACCTCTCATGGTAGAAATCTCCCATATATATGTTCAAAGTTTGCACGTCCGTGTTACATGTAAAATCGTCAAAAGTGATTATCAATAATATGTCATAAAACTTACTCTAGGGACACAAAATCCAAAAGTTTGAGCTTTCCTCCAATATCTGGAAAAAAAAAATAGCATGTCATAAAAACTGTTAAATAAACTTAAAGGATATAAAATTCCGCGACTTCCCAGAAAAATAAATGCTGAATCCTGGATTCCAGAATAATAAAGCCTTCTTTCAAGGATTTGGAAAAATCAATCATTAATTCCAGTCTTGATAAGTGTAAATTCTGAATTACTGCAAAAATAAAGGCCCAAACCTGACATCCCAAAAAGTCCTTCTGATCCTCTGTGAACAATCAACAAAATGTTAAATTTGTTATTGCAATTTGGAGGATTACTGAATACAATAAATTTCTGAATTTAAGGTCAATATTTTACATCATATTGGTATTTTATGAATTAAATGTTTCCGCATAAAATTTAAACTAGAACTGTGATTTGCCCCAGCCCAGAAATTTTTTTTTTTCCTTTTATCATGTTGGACCAGGATTATATTCCTGTGTGCACATCCTCAGGTAGTGTTCTTCATCTCTGTAAACTCTCATCAATGTTCTTCCAGCCCTTTTGAAGGAGCTGTGCTTACAAGGCACAAAGACAGACATATGGATGGACAGACAGGGTGATTCCTATATACCTGCCAAAAATTTGTTTTTAGAGGTTATCTAATAAAATTACTATAAATGTCATTTTGAGGTGATATTTTTGTCTGTTTTTCACAAAATCTTATATTACCCTATAGCTTGCCCCGATCAAATAAATTTTATTAACAATGCAGTATGAAAGGCCAAATGAATTTGGAGAATAAGCAAAGTTGTCAGGCAAGCTTGAGGTTATGTTAAAATCAATAATAGTGAAAAAAAAGAAAAAAATCTTTTTGCCCCCTTCCCTCAATTTTAATATATTTCAATCAATTTTGCTCCCAAGATTGAGAATGATAGTAAATTATTGTGGTTATCTTATGTTTTCATTGATAAAATTTGTATCTTGTGACAAGAAAGTAAAATAAACACAAAATATAAGAAAAGGCGAAATGTAAGCCTTCTCATCCTAGATATTCTTATATACCTAGATTATAGTTAAATATGGTTAAATCTTGCTTCAGTTTTTCAATACTGAATGATATTCTTCTTGAGCAGACATCAACATCCAGCTCTAAATGTATGTTTCTCTTCAAAAAATCAACCCTGATACAACAATCAACTTTTGTGCAGGTATCATCTATCCTACAGGTAAAAGATGAGGGAAGATTTGGCAAGGTCATGTTGATTACTTCTGCTGGACAATCTGAAAAAAAGAGACAAATTGTAATTTACAGTGATGCTCAAATATGACATGGATTATTTAGTTTCATGAACTTAGAATTGATGTATTTCTTTTTTATCTACTGTCTCTAACAACTTCTGTAATGGATGTTTACCATCCTAATGTTGGAATATTAATAAATTTATGTCATTCAATCCTCTTTAGTCCTCTATTTAACAACAAAATCTAAATAAAATTTAGAATTGTAAATCAGATATTTTTTCAAACCAGAGGGTGTTTCTCTGCTACAATCTCATTGAAGGGCAACAGCCCTGAGATGAGATGTGGCTTAGAAACAACTTCGAGTTTGAAAGACCATTAATAATGTTTATCACTATTTTGCCTATGACGTCGTTGATGTTTACATTGACAACTTCACGTGCGCCCTTAGTTTCTGACGATGATTTTCTATCTCAAGCGAGTAGCATGATATGAAAAATGATCACAAAAAAGATCAAAGGAAAAATACACAAAATAGCGATAAATATACAATTCACTTTAATCCTTTCAAAAATACATACTATTGATCCATCCATTCAAACTTGGTGTATAATCCCGCAGATCACATTCTGGTGTTAGTAGATAGTCAATCACACCCATTTTCTCTAGTATCTGGGAAAGGATTACATCTGGTAGATTGTCTGCTACTGTAAACCCACTATCTTGTAGAAGCTTGGAGGGAGAAAAATCTATGAAAAAAATAAATGAAAAATCATTCACATTCAATCAATAAAATTTCAGTGTTTAAAGGTTTCAATCATAATTAAGAAAATAAAAGTGCTTCAGAGCACTGCAGGATAAAGATTGCTCTCATTTGGCAATGTAAACTTAATGGAGTAAGTTCGCCGATTATTAAGTTCAATGTTTCAGGATAAAATGTGTTTTAAGTTGATGAAAAGACATGTGAGAAAGTTATATAGAACTATTTTTGCCAGAGTTTTATTTTAGAGCATTGATTTTGACATCCCTAACAGGTTAAAAATAGAGATTTTTGCGAAATTGGACAAAATCGTCCAAAATCAACCAAATTAAGAGCTAGGAAACATAGAGTGCAAGTTTAAATATCTTTGTTGTCGACGCATGTGCTCTATGTTTCTTCTCCAAAAAATCAACGTAAATTTACCTGTTTTCATCGAATTTTCGCGGAAAATCAAAATGAGTGCTATTTGTGACCTCATGAATAGACCGCAAAAACATACATTTTCAACAAAAAGACTTTTTTCCAATCAAGTCATTATATTACCTGATTCCTTGTGACATTGGTCAATAAATCCTAATTTCAAATTTCAGCTAGAATTAGGGGTCATTTTAGGCCTTATCGAACCTACTCCTTTAAAACATGGCATAGTATAAGGAAAGGCTTTACAGAATATCCCATGTTAATATTAGTTGCCTGAAAAATCTATATCGCAATTAGATCATGAGGTAAGATAATTATAGTTCTTCAGAATCTAAATTTACCATTGCATTGCACATTTTGTTAAAAACATCAACTTCATCAAGAGTTACATTTTGAAATAATTGAATTTACCAGAGATCCTCAAGTTGAAATTCAAAGCAACTGAAACTTACCTGAGTAATCAACTTTCAAATCACATCAAGTTTAGGTCCTAATATAAAGTAAGTTTTATGTTACGGCAATTAAGCAGAGACTGAATGATTGATTGCCGTTTGCCTCATGCCCAATTACAAATATCTGATGCATATTCAGGACAAAAAAAACAAGATGTAGTGTGAGCTTCAGCTTACTTATTTATAATTGAGCTCTCTCTTTTGAGTGAAGGGAAATACATATACAAATCAACATGAAACCAGACAACCAATATTAAGCTTGGTATCAAATGTAAAGAAGCTATGATTTGCACTTGATAAAAATACTACAACAAGATTCTATTTTTATGCACCAATGTAAAAATATACATGTATACAGCACAAAAAATATTGAAGGATCTGAAAATGTGTCACCAATATAAAGCTTGTTACCAAATATCAACAATCTGTGAATTGAAGTTAATAAAAATTATAAAGAGGACATTTTTAATAGGAGCTTGAAACCCCCATGCAACAGGCTATCTTCAGACCCCTTGTTGTTGCAAGGGTTCTTTATCATAACACTCTACCTAACCCAAGCACTGAAATTAATATTTCCATTCTTGGAGACCTATTTATACATCAATTTAAGCAAAAGAGACACCCTATCATTATAGGTTATACTTTAGGTCAACCCTTTTTTTTAACTTACCAGCCATACTTATATTCCAATCACATCCAAGTTTAGGTAAGTAAACATCCTTGAGAATGTCCCATGTAAAGATACATGATCCAGATGGTTCCAAACAAACTGTAATGTTCATATTGACAATGTACTTCTTCTTTCCTTCCAGATCACTCACTGAATACCTGCAAAATAGAATCAAAAGATACCAAAGGGATATTCAAACTCATAAGTTGAAAAAAAACTGACAATGTCATGGCAAAAATCATAAATTTACATAATCTAAATAAGCAAATATTTTTTCATACTAAAACCAACACATTTAGCTAAGTTAGTCAATCTGCATGTCAGTATTTTCAATAATCTTTCTATATTCCACATGTATCAAAATACAGTTCCTGTACTGTATGAATTCCATGTCTGCTGAATTGACCTAAAGGTCATTCTAATATGACGTGCTGCTTTTGCTTTGTGTTCAACAGCATGATAAAATTCTCGATATCTAGTATTATCTCCATTTTGAGCAGCCTCACAGATGTAAATAGTTATGGCTGTTGCAGTTTATCTCCCATGTAACATGTATCGTAAACTATGTGAATGCACTATGTCGATTTAACTGTGCCTACGCTTAAGATAAAATTTAATTATATAACATTAAATAATATGCACTGTTGGCGTAGAAGACAAATATCGACTGACAGATCAGTAAAGTCAAGACATTTTTTGGTTTCAATAACACCAACATTAATGACTTTTTTGAAGGTATTTCTCCTTTTTGAGGCTGTCACCAGTTTTTGCTCTCACTTTTTAATGCAAATTGCAAAGCCGAGAAGCAGTAATTACCAATTTTCATTTGACATTGAAACGAATCCAAACCTTGACCTCCCCTCTCAAGGTGGCTGAGTGGTCTAAGTTGTTCATCTATAGTGATCACTAGCCATTTCACTCTGAGGATATGAGTTCCAATGTTTGTCTCTGTTCTTCATTTACAAGTAGTGCCAGTTTACCTGTTGAAGGTCTATGTTCTCTCCTGGCACTCAAGCTTCCTTTACCAATAAAAACTGACCACTAAGATAAAGCCAAGGTTACTGAAAGTTGCATTAATCCCCAAAAAACAAACAAACCTCGTCGAGGTTAGGGCATGACATTGTCCTAATGTTGCATAATTCAGATATTTCATTCAATTTTTTCTTTTGGATATTTGTAGATGTACCTCTCTGATGCCTCTCTTCTGGTTCCACTATACTTTCTTAAATACAAGACTTAAACTGATGTTTATCAAACTTACTGTAAGATTAAAAGCTTGCTTAGCCTTATCTCATGGACTTTATCTGAAAAATAATGATTTAATTAACAAGGGTTACTCACTATCATACCTTTTGATATTGGCTAAACCAATTAAGCAGAGCTTTCATAAGATTTTGTTTGTGTGTCCAACTCTACTGTATAGCATCACAAGTACCCCCGAAGCGGTGGAAAAAACAAATGTCAGGTCAGGTAAGGTCAAATTCTTCTTATTTTCATTATATTCTACGTTTTGCTCACAAGTAAAGTTTTGTGATACTGATTCCGAATAATGTAGCTACTATTTAGGGCAGATTGTAATCCTTAATTGGCTGTCTCTCTCTTCAATTTGTCAGAATCGGATAGGGTGGTACCTGTTCAACAAAGCATGTGACGAGTTCACACTTGATAAAACACATTTATCCTTAAAATATTCATTTGACATTTTCATAAAACAAAAGTATATCAAATTTAAGCTTGAACAACACTGTATTTTCGAAAAAAAACCTATTTTTTACACAGATAAATTCACAGGTAAATAAAGCAGATAAACAGCTGTACGGCGAATAGGGGTGAATTGTTGTTAACTGTATTGGGATTAGAATAGGTACTTTTTGCTATCATTGTTTCTTTGCTTCGGAGGTACCTATATCCAGTGGTGATGCTACACAGTGAAATCATAAAACTAAAAAACAAAATAAAACAGTTGTTTCCTCTTTTGATGAACAAATTATATTGATAACATTTATCCTTAATACTTTGATAAACAGACATAATAAATTCATCTATTACAAAATACAATGAAAGAATCTTAGTGAGCGCGCTCACATACCCCATGTCCCCACATTGTCATTGGAGAAATAAAATAAGTGTAAGAAAAAAAAATTGTATCAGAAAAAAAAATTGAATCATAATTTCCTGTCAATATGCACATCTTCATAGTATGTCCTTATTATCTACAGTTTCATGAAATTCTGTTGTGTGGTTTGAGAGGAGTTGCAATGACAAAAGGTTGCAGTAGTATATTGGGCAAATAAGTTCAAAGGAGCGTAACTCCTGGGAAAAAAATTGAATCATAAATTCCTGTCGATATGCACATCTACGTAGTATATCCTTATTATCTGAAAAGGTTTCATGAAATTCTGTTGTGTGGTTTGAGAGGAGTTGCGATGACAAACTGTTGCAGTAGTACATTAAAGTAAATAAGTTCAAAGGGGCGTAACTCCTAGAAAAAAAATTGAATTGTAATTTCCTGTCGATATGCACAACTACATAGTATGTCCTTATTATCTGGAAAGGTTTCATGAAATTCTGTTGTGTGGTTTGAGAGGAGTTGCGATGACAAACTGTTGCAGTAGTACATTAAAGTAAATAAGTTCAAAGGGGCGTAACTCCTAGAAAAAAAATTGAATCGTAATTTCCTGTCGATATGCACAACTACATAGTATGTCCTTATTATCTAAAGAGGTTTCGTGAAATTCTGTTGTGTGGTTTGAGAGGAGTTGCGACGACAAGAAATAGGACTGACGGACGGACAGACGGACGGGTCAAAAACATTATACCCTTAGCAACTCGTTGCGTGGGGTATAATTATGAAACCTTATTACAAGTACAACAGTATTTGGATTATTCTTATCAAATTGTATATAAACAAAAAGTTGCATTGCAGATTAAGCATCACTCCACTTGTAAATAAATATCCTATAATAGACACTATAAATATTTCTGAGTAAATATTGCTATAAAAAGCATACCTATATCACTTGAGTATAATTAACAAAGACTATACATTTGTACATACCAAACTCAAAGTTAAAGTAAGCTTGATCTAATCCCAGGTTTTCTATTCCTATTTTAAGTCGGTGTGAACAAGCATCTAATAACAAGTAGACATGGAAGGTACGACCAATCTGTGGGATCTCTATACAGCAGTCTATACCAGTACAGTAATCTGGAATTGTACAGCTTAAACTTCCTGTTAAATCCTGGAGAGGTATGTTTGAAGGGCATACTGAAAAATATAAGGGTGAAAATCATAGTACCTTAACCCTTTCCTCCATGGAAATTTTTTTTTTACATACTTGATTTGCATAGGATTTTTCATTAAAATGCTGAAAATATGCTTACTTTAATGAAATATTAACTGTACCTCTAATAGACCAGTTAGACATTTGAAATTTTTTGTCAGTTATACATTTATGTCAGATCTTCAAAATTTACTAAAAAAAAATTTTTTAATATTGTTGCCATGGTAACAGATAATGAGATTTATCCAAATATAAAATTAAAATGGTTAAATTTTGGGTTAAATCTTGTAATGTCAATTTGTTTCTAAGAAAACAATGAGAGAATTGAATGTACATAATAATCTGAATGGAAACTTTATTTTCTTTAAAAATTGTCTATTTTTTTCCTCATAGCAACAGAAGTATTTCCGTAGCAACCAAAGAAAATTGTGATTAAATTTTGAATTTAAAAAAAAATGGTGAAAATATTTAAAAAATAAGGTTTTTACAGGTTAATCAAGATGACTCATATATTGGAATATATTATGGAAAATAATATTGTACATTATTTTTCCTTAGCAACAGTTTCTGTTCATAGCAACCAACTGAAATCCTGTATAATAAGTAAAAAATGAACAGTTGACAGTTAGATATTTTGGATGATAACAAATGGAAACTTTTTATCACAACATTGCACTTGAAAAAGATTTATCATATGTGTGCTCCTAGCATCCAAATAAGGCCCAAGAATCAGACTAAAAAGTAGGTGTTTAGGCCAACAAATTAGAAAATGCATTATTAGTTATCAGATATCTTGTTTCTAAAAGAAAATCTATGATGTTTGTGAAGTTGTTTAACAAAGACCTTTTTGTATACTAGTAGTGATAAATATCACAGTTTGAAAAGGCAATATGAAAATAATAGCATGTGGTATTGTTTCTTTTTATTACATTTTTGTACACCATTTTGCATCTGGTTTTAGTTGTGTTCAATGGAACACTGACACTGTTATTGTTAACAACATGCTGATTATGCATATGCCTGTTTCTCTTTGTAAAGTCCTCTCGAAAATGTAACATCAATCCTGAAATCTAGAAGGGTATTAAACTTTTTCCTATGTTGATATCCTGCTGTGCGTTTCGTCACAATTTGAATTTATAAAAAAAAACATTATTTCAATTTAGGTTTTTTCCTATAAAGGCAAACCCCTTCCCCTCCAGAAATAACAATACATTAACTTGAAAGAATTCAGCTAACCCCTTCCTTGTTTCACGTCCAGTGGCAAATATTTCATGCATATTCAGAAGGAGGTCCTTATAAATCCTTATTTGTTTACCTCTTCTTAATGCAATAAAGACCTTTCTGTAGACTGTTTTGCATACAATAATGAAATAAGGAAATGTGGTAAGATTGCCAATGTGACAACTTTTCAACAGTCCAAATGATGTGGATGTAAGACAATGACCATTCATAGTTTATGTGTTATGCATGTTATGACAAAATGTGAAGCAATCCACACTAGAAAACCAACGGCCTGATTTATGCTAAAAGGGTAAACAAAAAGATGATAGACAGCAACCAACAACAACCACGGAATAATAGGCTTCTGACTTTGGACAGAAACATACATAATGTGGTTGTGTTAATTATGATTATGAGCGCACATTAGTCCCCAAAGAGAGGCAAAAGGGACATTCAAACGCATAAGTCGAAATAAACTGACAACACAATGGTAAACAACGAAAAAGAAAAAAGACTAACAACAGTATACAAAACACAATATAGAAAACCTAAGACTGAGCAACACAAACTTGGGCAGTGATTCAAATAGACAATAAATGTGGATAGTAAAATTAAGAATGGAAATGGGGAATGTGTCAAAGAGACAACAACCCGACCATAGAACAGACAACAGCAGAAGGTCACCAACAGGTCTTCAATGCAGCGAGAAATTCCCGCATGTGGACACAGATGATGCCCCCTCTTGCATATCATATAGTTATAAAGGGACATAACTGAAGAACGGTAAAAGTGACGCTACCCAAACTTGAACTTGATCTGAGTTTTGTGGTAATAAGCATTGTGTGTAAGTCTCATAAAATTTGGTTGAGGCTAACTCAAGTGGAGAACAGAAACTAAAATTCAGCAATTTTTCTATTTGTAAACACGCATAACTCTAGAACGGTTGTGTATAAGTTTTATAACATTTGGTTGAGACAAACTAAAAAATTCAGCAATTTTTATGATAATAAAGGGACATAACACTAGAATGGTAAAAGTGTCGCCACCAAATTTCGTACTTAATCTGTATCATGTAGTAATAAGCATTGTGTATAAGTTTCATAACATTTGGTTGAGGCAACATAAAGTGAGAAAACAGAAACAAAAAATTTGTACTTGATCTTAGTTTTGTGGTAATGAATATTGTGTATAGCATAACTCAATAATGGTTAAAGTGACGCTACCCAAATTCAAACTTGATCTGTGTTTTGTGGTAATAAGCATTGTGTATAAGTTTCATAACATTTGGTTGAGGCAAACTCAAGTTAGAGAACGGAAACCAATTTTGGGATGTATGTATGTACGTACGTACATATAGACGGACAAGGGTAAAACTTAATGCTCCCACCGCTATGGCAGGGGCATAAAAAAAGGAATAAAATGTAAAAGTCTGCTTTGAATGGCTTGAATCGATAGGAGTGCTAAGCATCCATCCAAACTCCTGCTCTTTAATGGCTGACTTGACTCATCAGATTGGCAAGAAGTACATATAAAAAAAATTAAAAAAACAAAACATGTGAGTGAGTGAGTATTGATCTAAGAGTACACAGTTACTAAAAGCTAGTTTAAAGCCAATTAATTATAACTATTAATAGGTATTTTGTTTTCTCCCAGACTAACAAAATATTAGTCAGTAACAGCCAGTGGAAGTAGAAAACAAGTTCCTCAAAAATCAACTTGAAAAAAATTTGCAACATACAATGTATGAACATGACATGTTCTTTCATCAAAGTTTAGGATACTAATATTATTTAATATCCCCCTTGTTCCTCTACTAAACATTAATAATAAGATGTGCTGATCAGTTGGTTGCTTAAATTTAAGGTAGCTTTTAATCAAATGAGTAACTACATTTTTACTTCTATCTCGCATTTTGATTCCCTGAAACCCGAAATACGGCGAAAATTGTGGAGAGAAAAATGCACGTATGTCTGTTCTTTTAGTCTGACATATTTTATAAATGGGAAGTGAACCGCAAAGTTAAGGCTCTGTAATTTGTTAGTCAAATTGTTACTACTAAAACAAAGTGGTTCACGGAACCATATGCCTTCATGATTGTTGAAATAAACATCGCGGAAAAGATATTCATCATCTTTTGTTTGTGTAAACATCACTGTAAAAACGGTAAATTCTATTGGTGGGCGGGGCTTAGAATCACAACTTACGGATGCTGAATATTGTTGCATAATTCGCTATTCTCGTTAATTTAATTGAAGAACTTAAAATAATTATGATTGAAACTTAAATGTCACTTTCTATAAGCAAAAACATTGAAAGATTGTACGTTGAATGATTTTTTTGTGGTCATTAAAATTTGTATGTTCCCGCCCACTTAATGACTCGCCGGAAGTCGTATAATGGGATTCCCCAAACACATGTTTACATTTTACAAGTTGCTATATTTGCTCACTCAATGGGTCAGAAAAGAATTGTATGGACTCGACTGCATATCTCCGCGTTGTTCATTAAATTTCTGATATTTCAACGTAAGTTTAAAAATAAAATGCTTTTGTTGCAATAATGTACGAATCCAAAGCGAGAAAAGCGGCAGTGAACACTCGGAGTTTCAAAATAAAGTTTTTCTTACGGAAAATAATTTTTTACGCAAACTGTATCGTAAACATTGATTATTAGGTATTTTATAACCAGTTGTCATTAATAACCAACAATAAATGTAGTTAACGTGACAATGTCAGTGTTGTCAACAAGAACCTCGAAAAAATGGCGACGGCTATTTATAAAAAAAATCGGCATGTTTAAAGTATTAATGCATTGCGAAAACAAATATTTCATCAATGCAATTCAAGTCAGATATTCTTATGAATATCCGTTTTATATTGGATACAAATTTGATTAAGTCTGATACAGACATTTCGTAGTCAAAGTGTTTCAACTGAGGTACTATACAGAGGCGTCAAAAGGCGTCATTATGGAGTAAAGGGGGTGGCGTCAAAAGGCGTCATTATGGAGGAAAGGGTTAAATATCCCTTACAAAGCAGGCAGATATACATTAAAGGGTACACTGTAAAATATAAGGTTTAAAATCTACAAACTAAGTCTTAAACTTGCAGTGAACTGAGAGTTTTTGCTCCGTGTTGAAGGCCTCAATATGTCATAGATGGATACCCCATATTTTTTTCTATTAAGGTACAAATAAGTGATTAATAGGTCTAAATGAGTCTAAATGATGTGTCAGAATCTTCTTGACAACTATGGGATAGTATGTTTGACTAACATAACTGGCAAAATATTAGAACTATCTTTTAAAATTTTGTTCTTTTTGTTATTCTAGTTGTTTAATTTAATGCTATAAAATGTTATAGGGATTCTACCAACCAGTTTCTTGCCAAGCATTATTTATAGAATGTTTTTCATAGTTTTATAAATTAATAATACACCTTATTGCTAGTCGTCCACCATAAAAGAACATCACAGACATTCCTTTAATATCTTTTTTTCACAAGAAAAAATGTCTGATGCCTCAAATTAGAAGTGATTGTTATATGAAGTCAATAGTGTTGCAAAATATGGGGTCATGTGTCACAGACTCTAAAATAGTGATAAAGTCTTTAGTGGAATGTATATTAAAAACAGATAACATACATATATTCCATCCTTTGACATTAGGGGTATATTGTGATGACTGTCTACTACATGGTACATCCTGCATCCACTGAGATATACCAAGTCTCTCTAGTAATATGTCAGCAGCATATGATGGTAACTGTTGTGTAACATCCAACAGTAGGTTCTCAGCTAATTCTTTAAAGGATATGTCTGTAATATAAAGTCATAATCAGAACATAACATTTATAGTTTTATCAAAGAGGGACCCAGGAAACAATGAATTCTATCTAAAAATGAACATATAAATACAATATGTTTGATCAACGTCTACAGTGGCGATATGAACATACTATGATCATGAACAGATTTTGTTTTTTGCTTAAAAAAGAATTGAACTCTGTTTTTGTTATACCAGATATATTCAAATAGAACAATCTTCATATGAAAAGTTGTACAAATGTTTCAATCTGCAAATTCTCATTTGAAAAACAAGAAAAGTCTCCCATTCAAAAGTGGCTGAATAGTTAAGGCTGATTTGTTTAAACTTTAATGAGGTGAATAAAAAATATAGTCAACAACTTTAAAGATCATTCTTGGGATATAAATATTATCAATGAAGACCAACCAGGAATTGTCATGATTAATAGCAACAATAATAGCAAAGTTCTTTTTCATATTTTTATTTCCAGGTGCAATATATATAATGAGATTGTCTATTGACAAAATGTATAATATGATTTCTATACAGACAAAATGTTTCAGTAATGAAAGAACCTTAGTGAGCGCGCTCACATACCCCACGTCCCCACATTGTCATTGGAGAAATAAAAAAAAATTGTATCAGAAAAAAAAATTGAATCATAATTTCCTGTCAATATGCACATCTACATAGTATGTCCATCCTATTTACACAGTTTCATGAAATTCTGTTGTGTGGTTTGAGAGGAGTTGCGATGACAAAAGGTTGCAGTAGTATATTGGGCAAATAAGTTCAAAGGGGCGTAACTCCTGGGAAAAAATTGAATCGTAATTTCCTGTCGATATGCACATCTACGTTGTATGTCCTTATTATCTGAAAAGGTTTCATGAAATTCTGTTGTGTGGTTTGAGAGGAGTTGCGATGACAAACTGTTGCAGTAGTACATTAAAGTAAATAAGTTCAAAGGGGCGTAACTCCTAGAAAAAGAATTGAATCGTAATTTCCTGTCCATATGCACAACTACATAGTATGTCCTTATTATCTAAAAATGTTTCGTGAATTCTGTTGTATGGTTTGAGAGGAGTTGCGATGACAAGAAACAGGACTGACGGACGGACAGACGGACGGACAGACAGACGGACGGACAGTCGGACGGGTCAAAAACATTATACCCTCCGCAACTCGTTGCGTGGGGTATAATAACCTTCCTTAGATATATTGGAGATTAAACGTTTGATTGCTGTCTCATTGATGTACATTCCTTTTATACATATCCATTATTCCCATGTCTACAAATATATATAGATATACAGAGTAAAAACTTTAAATCTGTACCTGCAAAAGACAAATTACTTCTCAGGTCATATATAGGTTTAGGTAACCTAGCATTCTTCATGACTGTTGATGTAAACACACATGGTGCATTAGCTTCAAAACATACACTGACATCCATGTTTACTACAAACTGCTTCTCCATTGATAAATCAATGATGGAATAACTGAAAAAAATATGAAGCAAAGATGGAAACTCACTTTCATTCTTAAAAAAAAAAATCCATTGCATTTCAAATTTTTTTTCAAGAATATATTTATTCGTAAGTTTGGAATTTTCAAATTTTATTAAATTTTGGAAGTGCAATGCTTTATCACTTAAAAACCTATTGATATCCAAGAAAATTAATCTGAAATATGGTTTTTATATCTAATATAGGACAATTAAAACATCTTTAAATATGTGCTTATGCTATCTAGGAAATTTTACTTCAATTCCTTTAAAGACAAATTTGCAGTTCCTATTGAAACTTAATGTTTTGTTATCACTAAGATAAACTACAAAAATCATTACAATATTTTCAGTCATCGATATTCATTAACCAGAGGCATTATCTTTTTTCATAGTTATAGATCAACAAAGCTAAAACTGACAACTTACTCAATCCTAAAGATATTCATCAACCTGAAGCTTTGTTTCTGACCAAACTCATAATTCAGAAGAGGTAGTAAAACTGACAACTTACTCAATCCTAAAGATATTCATCAACCTGAAGCTTTGTTTCTGACCAAACTCATAGTTCAGTAGAGGTAGTAAAACTGACAACTTACTCAATCCTAAAGATATTCATCAACCTAAAGCTTTGTTTCTGAACACAAACTCATAGTTCAATAGAGGTAGTAAAACTGACAACTTACTCAATCCTGAAGATATTCATCAACCTAAAGCTTTGTTTCTGACCAAACTCATAGTTCAATAGAGGTAGTAAAACTGACAACTTACTCAATCCTGAAGATATTCATCAACCTAAAGCTTTGTTTCTGACCAAACTCGTAGTTCAGTAGAGGTATATCAAATGTAAGTTTCTCTATTCCTGCTGTCAGTTTGTAGTTACAGGCATCCAGTTTGATGTAAACATTGATAGATCTACTGATCTGGTCCACATCTATACAACAATCTATACCTGTACAGCTATCAGTCAGGTAACAACTCATTGTATTAGGTACTGGAGGTAAACTAAATGGTAATGTTTTCTCACACCCTAAAAGTATAAAATAATCATGAGTGTATACACCTGTACAGGTACCAGTCAGGTGACAACTCATTGTATAAGGGACTGCAGGTAAACTAAATGGTAATGTTTTCTCACACCCTAAAAAATATCATAAGCGTGTATAAATATGATAATTTTAAAAGTCCCCCTCCTGAAAAATGGTCCCTCATTTCAGATTTTTCTGATTCTCTAACTCATCCAAGGTTTTGAGAATGGAAATCTTCATACAAATTGGAAGAGAATCTGATAGAGTCCTGTATATAATGAAATCTAAAAAAGATATGTTAAATTTACTTGTTCTGAATAGAATTATACTGCAACAAGATAGGTTGGAAAAGCATAATACTGGTTCGTTTGCTAAAATCATAATTTATTAATCAAAGGAGTAGGTTCAATAACGCCCTAAAATGGCCCTTATTTCTAGCTACAATTTCAAATTAGGATTTATTGACCAATATCACAATGAATCATAGCTAATACAATGACTTCATAGGAAATATATCTTTTTGTTGAAAATGTACGTACTTGCATTCTATTCATGACGTCACAGATAGCACTCATTTTGATTTTGCATGAAATTCAATGAAAATGGTTAAATTTCCATTCATTTTTTGGACAGAAAACATAAAGGGCATGCGTTGACAAAAACGATCTTTTCATATAATTTTTGTTATAATATTATACATATCTACCTTGAATATTTAGTTTGTCGATGTCTGCTCTAATGCCTTAATTTAGTTGAAATCCGGACGATTTTGTCTAATTAAGCAAAAATTCTATATTTGGACTATTTGGGATGTAAAAATCAACGCTTTGGAATAAAATTTGGACAAAAAAAGTTCTACTTTCTTACATGTCTTTAAAACATTTTTTAGTTTGAAACATTGAACTTAATAATCGGGACCATATGGGTCCCTTAACAAACTTACTCATGACCCGTAGGTTTGTTAAGAGAAGGTATGATCAAGCCACTTTTTTATTCCCTTAAATTTGAAAATCAAAGAGTATCTTAAATCTACCAAATATGATATTCATAAGGTAAGACATCAGTTTTTCTATTTTTTAGTTTTGTCTTAAATATCTGCATTAGGGCTGCAAACTTTTTGAATTTAGTGCAAAACTGTAAAAAAGAGCTAAAAAGATCTTGTCATTAACATTTAGATGTGAGCCAAGTCTTTTATCATAAAGATAATTTTCTACAAGATGTCTTTTACAAAGATACTAATTTGTGTAAATGTCTTTTTGGGTTAGGCCTGGGCTTGTATCTTTTTTGTGTAAAATGGATATTTTAGTTAAAATATGTCAATCTAATCATGTTTATGACCTCACAAATGATCTGTCCAGATTATATAACAATGTTAATTTATCAATACAATTAACATTATTTTGAAAGACTTGACTACTTTTATATTATTGGTGTTTCCACTGTCTGCATCACTCTGCTCAGCTCTTCATAAAATTGCATATCACGGCTTTGTGACGTCAAATATGTTGTCCCAGTCTAAATAACTTTGACCCGAACATATCAAGTCAACTCCCAGTTCACTGGTGAAACAAAGAAAAAAACTTGTTTCTATCATGCAAACTACACAAGTACAATCGGATAAATCTATTATCAGATTTTCATCATATTTATATTGTAAAATATCAGCTGCTCAACACAATATGAAGACTTTTTGAACTTGTTCACTGTGCTCACTCAACAAAAAGCTTCATATTGTGACTTGCAGCTGATATTTTACAATATCAATATGCTGGCGACCTGATAATGGCTCTTATCATACCTCCTCCTTTGTTTAAATTTTATAAGGTAAAAATATTTTCAACAGTATTTCAAACAAAATTGTTTGTCAAACTGTTTGCTGAAGCAACAATGTAAGAGCTCAATAAAAACAAATGCAGTTATGGTATGAAACCACTGAAAGACCATTTCACCAAAGTTACAGTGAGATAGTGTTGTGTAGAGATCAATCTGTCAAGTATGATAATGACAATGGAAGAAGGCCAGGGATTTCTGTGAACAAAAGTATCCTGTACTGACATCAGGAGAACATTTGAAGGTTTTGAATTGCTAAATCAAGCTTTTTTTAAACCAGAATGCATGTGTTGTTGTGCTTAGCATACCCAAACTCATAATTCAGAGTATTGAAAAAAAGGAAGTATGGTATCTGATAGACACAAAAAGCACTTATACATTACAACTCATCACAATTGAACTTCTGACCAAATATGAAGTAATTCTGTCAAGTAGTTTCTGATAAATGTGTAAAAAAAAATTAATTTCATTCAACACATTAAAAAATACAAAATGTCTGCAAACAGGAAGAAGGTATCTAACAGATCTAAAAAAGTGCTCACACATTACAACTCATCACTATTAAGCTGTTGACCAACTATGAGAGTCATTCTGTTCAGCTGTTTCTGAGAGAAAAAGTGACAAAAAACTTATAGCCATTAAACATATTGAAAAAGTCAAGGTACATTGTATCAGCAAACAGGAAGTAGGTACATAACTGAAAGACATGTGATGGAAATATTTGATGGACGAATGGATGGAGGGAGGAACATCCAGACCGACAAGGTAATTGCAATATAGCCCAAACATTTAGAGTGGGGGTGAAATATTGTATGATATTTTCTGAGGAGAAAACAATTCAAAATTTCAATACCTATGTTCCAGCCATTAGAATCCCTAGGACTATAGGGGGACTGTTCTCTACTACATTGTGTATCCCTAAGTTTTGATGCTATTCCTAATTCTTCCAATAACTTGTCCAGTACTAATCCTGCTGCATTGTTAACTACATCATTGTCTGTTAAAAACTTCTGGAGAGAAAAATCTGAAAACATAATCAAATACAATTATTCCCACGAAAATATTTTCTCAATTAAATACCAACAAAAACGTACTTTCATTTAGTCCTCAAATAACAAGTTAAACTTTTGTTTTACTTTCATCTAGAAATCTTGACACAAATTATTCCATAGAAAATTTTTAAAGGGATACTTCAAAATTAAGGTTTACATATTACAGATTTTTTTGGTTATGCCCATAAGTTATGAAGAACAGTTCAAGAAGAACATAATTATACCTGGTATTTTAAATTCACTGTGAGACCAGTCACATCCAAACTTTTGTATTTTAGCATTTTCAAACAGAGTCTTTGTGAACAAGCATGATCTACCTCCTTTTTGTAAGCAAACTTTTATTTTCCCATTCAGCATGTAACTATCCTCGCCTTTTAAATCATGTATAGAGTACCTATAAAAGACAATTATTAATCCTTATGCAAATATTGCTCATCTCTGTAATTTATCATGGCTGATAATAACTTAAAATTTTAATATCAAGGTCAAATTACAGGTATTAAACTTACAAAGGAGCAATGATAACATATATTAAGGATGTTCGCTCCTCTGTTTCAAAATAACTAGCTTTTTAAAAGACTGTTATAAATTGATAGCATATAAACAATGGAACTTAAAAAGCAGAAAAAAATTAATGGTCAGTATCCTTGTTTTTGAGATAAAAGCAATTGAAAATTTGGCGGGAATTGATTCTCTCTAGATTTTTCATACATTAAACATTGACACCTTGTTTCTTTAAAAACTATAAAAAAATAACAAGGATTTTATAAAATTTTCAATAATGTATGTTTAAACTATATGTAGTAAAATATGAAAAGAAAAGTAGGGGTTAGCAGGCAAAATTTTTAATGACACCACATGGATAAAACTAGAGGATTTCAAATATCTGACAAAAAATCAAAAACAGGAGTAGCAAACATCCTTAAGTTAAACTTAAAACTGATATTGAAACTGAACTAAAAACCAGACTTAATTGGACTCAATGAACCATGAAAATGAGATCAAAGTAAAGTGACTCCAAATAGAGTGACATATCGGTAGAATGTGATGTTGATTGCAGCTATTTGGTAATCTTTGTTCAATTTATTCAAACATTGCCAGGACCCATTAGTCCGTTTAGAGCTTGTGATAGACATATTAATTCAATTCAATTCTATTTAATTAATGTCTCACTTTATGCATACAAATATACAATACAATCACACAAGATACATTTTTTATACATATGCCAATCTGTACAGATTAATGATATCACAACAAATAAAACAACATGTATATAGATTTTAAAGATTAAACACCAATTACAAAAATATACAGCATAATTGTGATATTATTTACCATATAAAACTTCACTGCATCTTTTTAGGATAAAATTACAGGTTTTGGCACATAATATAAAAATATCTTGATCCACAAATAAAAATACTATTTTCTGACAGACTGTTAAATTATTTAAACTTGTCTAAGATAATTATAAACAGGACAATGTAAATAACATGATTTTCATCTTCAACAATACTAAAATAATTAAAACAACATCTCTCTTCCTGTTGCAAATTTTCATATCTCCAAGTTTCCAGCCAGGTATTAGGTGCCACCCACATCTAAATTTAGCAAAACCACTATTATCACTAAAAGGCATTAACAGCTTACAATAGGTTTCAACAACAAGATTTTGTTAAAATTTTTTATAACTTCTCAACTTGTTTTGCCCATTACCCTGCCTGAATGAGGATGAATTAATAATGCTTTTCCATTCATCAAAATATTTATCAATATAAAATAAAGAGATGTGGCATGATTGCCAATAAGACAACTATCCACCAGAGACCAAACATTCTTGACATGACTATATCAACCAAACAGTTTTTAATAACAGTCATGTTGGTATTGCAAAAGTCAACCAACTCAAGTTCAGTGAACTGTTATTTTACCATGAATTCCAATTGGTCATGACACTTATCTATTGTTGAATCCTATACTTCCTGTTATCTATAGGGTGCTATAAACAATTTCGTATAAAAAACTAGGGGTATTTCCCCAGTGAGATTTTCATATTGGAGGAATTCCCTGCTATTTATATACCACTGATGAAATTTTTTTATTGTTTTTATATTTATTGCGAAAAAGATATATTGAAGTTCAATTTCAATGCCACTTTTGTCAAGATTTAAAAAAAAAAAATGTTTTTGTGACTTTTTATATGTTGGGAGGCAACTCAATAAACATCTGATTTTCACCTGTTGCAAAAAGCACTTTTATTTGTCAGGTAAGATAGCTCCTTTCAAAGCAGGCAAACGTACCCTGAAACTACTTGATCTTAAATCAGCCAGACAAGCTCTTCGAAATACATATTATTAGAAACCTCAAATATATGCCCAGGTTAATGATCCATGGGGCCAAAGGTGGTATGTTTATAAGGTTTTTTATAGGAAAAATGTCTTATTTTCAGCTGATAACTTGTACCAATAAGCATTTTTAAACAAGACTTGTTAGAATAATTTTTATTAATTAAAAAAATTCATGGAATTATCTTTCCATTGATGTAAAGATATCTATATAAATATGAATATCTGACTTCTGCATGATGAGTCCAATTGTACATGCCCTGTTACATAATGACGTCACTTAAAAAACTATTGAATGCACCCATAGGTAAACATCGAATCAATAAAGACCTATATCTACATCTGGTAATCTTTAGTTTTAGGGTTGCTGTCTCCTTGGCATTCACTACATAATTCCTTTCATTCACACTTTACCATTATACTACTATTTATTGGTGTACTTACTCAAGGTAAATAATATCCATCAGTGTGAAAATTTGAGTTTCACCTAAAAATATACATTTACAATAAGTATTGTATTAAATGTTAAATAGAATTAATAAGAACAGAAGGCAGTTTGCTTCTTTTTGATAGAAAGATAAATAGTAAAACATCCTTATTACTATAATAGAAAGATTCAATTCAAATACTTATGTTGTCTTTCCTGAGTTTTACTTTATTAACATCACTGTAATTAAAGGTATGTGTCTGTAGATTGCAGTACCTAAGAAATAAATATGTTAAGAGATGATCTGATATGTCTAGATGGCTTAGATGAACTTATATATCTGAGAAAAGAAAAGATTTAAAGGTATCTATATTCTATCATAAAAATGGCCTTATATGATTGACTATTGTTTGCTTAATATCCAGTGGCAAGTATTTCACACATTTCAGGACAATAAAGTATAAACAATAAATCAAATAGGTGGACTGAAATAAAGTGTGGAAATATTTAATGCTCCTTAAAAATTTGTAAGGGTTCCGCAGAACCCAGTGTCTCGCCTACTTTTTCTGTTAATCGCAGGCTCAACAAAAATGAGGAAGTAAATCAATAAAAATATTCCTCTTGATACTATCTTTTGATTGTAAGAAGTTTCTGTCCAAGTTTGGTAAAAATCAAGGATAGTTTATGAATCTAATAAATGTTTAAAAACTTTATCTGCAGACTGAATGTAATGTTAACTTGAAGAAAACAAAATTTCCTTCTAGATACAAGCATTTGATCATAAACAAGCTTCTGTTAAAGTTTGGTGCAAATCCAAAATAGTATAAGAAAGTTATTAAAATTTAAAAAACTTTAACCACAGAGTGAATGTGTTGTTTCCTGACAGGAAATCTAAGTCCATTTAAAAGTAAAATACGGAAAAAATGGATTTATTATTTTACAAAATTTCCTTCTAGATACTAGCTTTTGATCATAAACAAGCTTCTGTCCAAGTTTGGTACAAATCCAAAATAGTATAAGAAAGTTATTAAAATTTTAAAAACTTTAACCACAGAGTGAATGTGTTGTTTCCTGGCAGAAAATCTAAGTCCATTTAAAAGTAAAATACGGAAAAAATGGATTTATTATTTTACAAAATTTTCTTCTGGATACTATCTTATGATCATAAACAAGCTTCTGTCCAAGTTTGGTAAAAACCCAGGATAGTTTAAGAAAGTTATTAAAATTTTAAAAACTTTAACCACAGAGTGAATGTAATATTTCCCGGCAGAAAAACTAAGTCCATTTATAAGTAAAATACGGAAAAAATGGAATTTTATTTTTACAAAATTTACTTCTGGATACTATCTTATGATCATAAACAAGCTTCTGTCCAAGTTTGGTAGAAATCCAAGGTAGTTTAAGAAAGTTATTAAAATTTCAAAAACTTTAACCACAGAGTGAATATTTGTGGACGCCGCCGACGACGACGACGCCGACGCCGACGGAATGTAGGATCGCTATGTCTCGCTTTTTCGACTAAAGTCGAAGGCTCGACAAAAATGACATGACTTTCTCCATACAAGGCATGAGATAGAATGTCCCTATTCCTACTTCCATAGCTGCATACATCATGCACCACCAAAGGGATGCCCCTGTTTAACCTGGGTTTCACTGCTGGATAGATGACTTATTATTTATCTTCTCTAACACAAGCAAAAACTTTAATTTTGTATATTTGAATAACTATGATCATCTTCATGAAGACTGAATCTACAATAGTTGGTCAAGTACTTTTTACCTGACATTAAGTACCAACCAAATACCCAAAAGTAGTACATGGCAATCATTCCTATGTCATAGTATAGATCAATTTAAAACATTTACAGTATTATAAAATTCTTACCCCAATTATAATCTAGTAGTGAAATATCAATTTTTCTTCTTTCAATACCCAAAGTAAGCCTCCAGCTGCAGCCATCTAACAGAGCATAGACATTAAAAGTTTTACCAATCTGATCCACCTCTATACAACAGTTGATTCCTGTGCAATAACTTGGAATGTAACAAGTCATTGAGGCGTCTATTGGAGGCAGGTTAGTTGCCAATGGACAATCTGAAGAAAATAAATAGGGCCAATATAAAAATAATTGTCAAAACGGTTTATTCATCTAGACAAACTCTGTTTTTTATTGACACTTTTGTGGTGAATCTGTACAGTTTATCAGGTTTTCTGCACACTGATATCATAAAATAACAACAGAAAACCATAATGTGAACCTTTTTGTCTATATATCTTCACATTGTGACAAGTGGCTGATATTATAAGACATTTAATTTTGTGTATCGTTCTTTTTACTTCTTCCTTTGTAGACAGTTTGAGGCTTGATTTAGCAAAAGCATGCTGAATAAGTTCTGTTTTCATATTGAGATTTAACTAAATAACTTCTAGCAGCTGATAAGTTCTGCTCATTGTTTACAGCTGTGATATGAGAATTAAAGAGGGATTGAGCAATGTGATAAAGGCTCAGGGAAGTATGATAATACAAAATTGCAGATCAACTGATCTTAAATACTCAAGGTAAAAAAAAGTTACCCAAAAAGTTCATACATACCAACCCTAGTTTTCTTAAAAAGGAAACACTTAACACATTTCATTTTGTTTTTGCTTAAATAAAATATTCCCTAGAACTACATAGGGCTTAAGACATAGACTTAAAATGCAGCAATCCATAACTGATTGTTGAGTTAAATGTTAATATTAACTATAATTTTGTATTAGAATAATAAGTTTCCCAAATATCAACAGACATTTGGTTGTGAAAACATGATTTATCTAATAGTTGTTATTTGTTTTGAGTAACTGTGAGTAAGTACTCTTAGATAGTGACTTTATGTCTTTTGATATTTGGTTTGTTTATTTTTTTATGCCATCTGATGAATCAAGCCCTTTCCAACTGATTTCTACAATCTGCTCTTATTTTGTACTGTTACAACACTGTCCCAGATTAGGGTAAGGTTGAGAGCTCACAAACATATTTTACCCAGCAATATTCTATATATGTGCTGTCCTAAGTCAGGAGCATGTAATTCAGTGGTAGGCCTTAGTTGTTGTCTCTCAAATATGTTATTTTTTTATTGTTTTATCAATAAATCAGGCTGTTGGTTTTCTTTTAATAATTGTTTTGCATTTTACATCTACACTGGCAATCATGCCACAGCTCCTTGTTTTTATATAGCTGCAAAACCTAACCAAAGTTATTCACATTTTTAATTTAGCTAATGGTACAGGGGTTCAAATTAGCGGTGGTCCGAGGGCCATGACCTTCCATTTACGGGTTCGGACCTTCCCACCAGTAGTTAGTTACACCCGACTGGCTTTCGTATTTTGCAGGTTAAAAAGTTACAAAAGCTTTTTGATCAAAAATATATAAAATCAAGAATAAAAATAATCTTGAAATATGCATTTTTACTGAAAGGAAACTTATGCATTTGCTTACATTCTTCCCAATTGAATTGATATGTACAGTGTAGTCATGTGACAGGTCGTCGTACAAGATCCTGGGAAACTCGAGAATATAATATTAAAACATAACCAGTAAACGGTATAAGTCTGTTTGGAATGTTTGGTTTTGGAATGACCCCTTCCAAAGAAAACCTGATGAAATAGGGGTTACAACCGGGGTGATTGATGAAACTGCTTAACGCAGCCCAAAAGACCAAAAATACGACAGGAAAAACAAGAACGTAAATTTTTCCCACAAACAGTGAAAGGGAAAGTGCCCTGGTTCATTGGGAAAAAAAATTAAACTTGACCCCATAAAAAATCATAATGAAAAATAACCACCCAGCATCTATGTATCTTGCCAAAAAAAGTGGTTTAAAGAAAATGACCCCAAGTTTGAAAACGAAGTTGAGCATGTTATCTGACACAAAGTTAGGCCAGTGTTCTTAACAGCAATTGAAACCAAACCAATTATAAAGGTATATAACAATGTCACTCTCATACCCAACACCTACGGTAAGCATTTTTGGTTTTTATAAAATGAATTTTCAATAAAAATTGGACCTTCTAAGAATAAAGGAGGACCTTTAAGTATCTTTGGTCAAAGGTCCTGGACCTTCCATTGCTTAAAGTAAATTTGAACCCCTGTGGTAACCTGAATGTCACTGAACATAAACTTAAATACATATGCACTTCAATAGTAATGTGTGTAAGTCGGAGGTTTGCAGTATCCCATATTACAGAATCACATTGATGAAAGGCCAGTAAAAAGTTGTTACTCAAATAACTGATCCTTTACGAGAACTTACATTTTATTTTTCCCAAGAAATTTATTCATTTAGCTGATAAATTTTAAATTTCTTTAAAAAAAAATGTATCACTCACTACTAATCTTTGAACAATTTCAAAATACCATAAGAATCCTACCTTTACTATTCCAGCCATTTTCTGAGTCAGCAAATATTCCAGCATATCTATCACAGGGAACTGAGTTCATGAACTTAGTAAGACCTAATTCGTCCAGTAATTTATTAGCGACAGCACTGGTTAAAGTATTGCCAATGTTTTCTCCTGTTTTCTTTACCCAGTCAGTAAATGATATATCTGGAAGTTAAAATGTGCTATATGACCTCGTACCTAAATGTGCTGTGTTGTTAAGGCGCTGCTTCATTGAGATTTATAACATAACTCCATTTATTAATATTAATGCTATGAACGTCTCTTCTTTCTTTTAAAATTACTTCACAAAAAGTAGGTTTGCAGTCCATATCAACGTTTTGAAAGCTTAACAATAATATAAACATTGACCTTTTGAGTGAAAGAGGAATTAGTTTGGAGTAATCTTACTTTTCAAATAAATCAGATAAAGAAATTTTTCAGGTTTTCATACCTAGCATATTTTTTTTGTAAGAATACAAAGAAGCAAATTATTCCACCATTTCAAATTTAACCTTTGAAATAGTCCAATTAAGAAAACATAGCCCAATAAAAACTATTAATAACTAAACTGGGTATCCTATTTAAAAAAAACAACATATTTTTTTATTTGTTTGGCCTACAAAATTCCCAGTAATTTAAACCTATCTTGATACAAATAATATAGTCTAGTTGCTAAATAATCATACCTAACAGTTGCCCAGTCATCTCCATGTCACAAAGTGGTTGTGAAATGAGCTGCTGATCAAATAATTTAACTGTTATACTACAGTCTTCCTTCTCCAAACAAATCTTCAACTCAGCATCTACTATCAATTTCTTTTGTTCTTCTAGTCTGTCTATTTTATACCTACAATGGATATAGCAAAGAAGACAATTTGAATGTGACTGTAGAATGTTCAAACTGCAGACGACATTAATTGGAAATTAAATGGGTCCCCAAACTGTTGCACATATTTTATGTCAAAGGGCAATAACTCCCAAAATTTTATTTGTTCTTTTAAACTTTTTCATAAATATCTTACCAGAATTGTAGGCATGAGATTTTAACACTGTTTTTTTCCATATAATTTTTCTTTTCCAAAGGGCATAACTCGTGTAAGAATAATTTATCTGCCCTTATTATCCAACTCATTCAAGACCTTGCTGATATAATAAATTTAATAATAATCTGACAAGAAATGTAGGTCAGAGAGTGCCTTCAATGTAATGTTCAATATTAATTAGATTGCAAAGCGAGATAACTGTAACAATACTTGATAGGCACTGATTTTCGATCTTGTCCAAGACATTACTGATATCAACATTTGATAAAAATTTAATAACAATCCTACAAGAAATGTAGGCTTAACAGCCCTTCCAATGCAATTTTCCATATAATTTATATTTCCAACAGGCATAACTCCTTTAAGAATTGCTGATTTGCAATTAATTTCAAACATTGCTGCAATAATCATTGGATATTTTTATGTCCCCTGAGGGAAATAAACATTTTTAGATAAAAATTTGATTAAATTTCTTTTTTTTAAATAATGTAATATTCTTAACTTCAGTTCAATCAAAAATTAGGCTTAAAAATGCACACAATTTCATTGATACATAAGAAGAAAACATCACTATGATTTAGAAAATAAAAGAAGAATGTGTCTGAGGACATGAGTGCCCCCACTCACGCTTGCTAACAATAGGTGAAAATACTTTTTGAGAGCATTTGATGTCATTGCTAGTTTTTAGAGAGTTCTATTGTTCTAGTCTAAGGAATTTTTGTGCTGTGTGTTATTTTAATATTTTCACTGTTTTGTTTCTATTTCTTATGTAGTAAGTTTTCTGATTGTGTATGAGTTTCATAAAATTTGCATAAGGCAAACTCAAGTTATAGTGCGGTATCGAAAAAATCTGCAATTTTCCAAGTTATAAACGGGCATAACTCTACAACAGTAAGTGACTCACTACCCGAATTCATTCTCTGTCTGCGAGTTTCAGCTCTTAGCATTGTGTATGAGTTTTATAAAATTTGCATGAGGCAACTTAACTGCGAAACTGAAAAAATTTGCAATTTTCCCAGTTATAAAGGGCATAACTCTAGAACCAAAGTGACTCACCACCAAATTTAGAACTCGATCTTCAATTTTTTTGTTCTTAACATTATGTATGAGTTTCATAAAATATGTGTGAGGAAAACGTAAGTTAGAGAGCGGAAAACAAAAATAGGACAGATGGAAGGATGGTCAAGGGTAACACTTAATGCCCCCTTCGCCTAGCAGTGGTGGCATAACAATAGTGAGCATTCCAGTCCAAAAGTCTTGGAAATATGCTGGTACTTTCATCACTGCTAAAACTAAGATATTTTTTTTACAACAGAAGCAATAGCAAGAATGGCTATGTGGTAAACATCTATTATTTTAAAATTAAAATTTAAGCTGAAAAGGGCAATAACAGTGCAGTTGCAAAGGAATTAATGTAAAAACAAGTAAAAAACAAAGTTTGATTTACCAAGCAAGTTTTCATAAGATCAGCAACTACGAAGAAATAAGGAACAAATGGTACTCAGCCACATTTACACAAAAAATAAACATCTTAATGCAGCAACCCCGTGTACAATCATAAATCAAATAATAATTTCAATCAAATGAGGTCAAAACACAGCTATCTTTACTTTTACAATACTTACTTTATTCTGATTATTTCTACTAACTTTTCTTCCTTTACTTCACCTATTTTGAAAGAAAAGTTTTAAAAAGTAGTATATTATCTAAGAAACAACAATGATAATCTCTATTTACAACAAGAGTGCACAAGCTGAAATGTCTTACCTGCTTTATTTATCATGATTGAACTTATGTTAATAGTCTGTAATATAAAGGTTTACTACAAGTATCACATAAAGTTAACATTATAAATGTAAATAAGGTCAATATCAGATGAACCCTGCAAGACAGACATGTACACCTTAATAACCCGCCGGACAGACATGTACACCTTAATAACAATAATTGAACATTGGCCAATGATCCATAAAAATTAAAATAGAGGTCAAGGTCAAATGAACCCTGCCAGACAACCATGCAATCATTCCATACACCAAATATAGTTGACCTTTTGATTATAGTATATGATGAAAGGACAAAACCATGAAAACTTAACATTTACCTATGAACAATGATAATGAGGTCAAGGTCATATAAAACCTTCCAGTCAAACAATTACACCTTACAATCATTCCATACACCAAATATAGATGACCTATTGCTTATGGAATCTGAGATATGGACTTTACAAAGAAAATTTAATCTTGATCACTTATCTATGAAATGAGGTCGAGGTCAAGTGAACCCAGTCTAACAGACATGTAGATCCTATATACTATTATTACACTTTATGCAAATTTCTTATATTATCTATTCATTTCATTGGACACACGGTGTTTGTTAATTTTCACTTACCTTTCATAAGCCCCGCCCACCCATAACAACATGTGATTATATTAGCAACGGGTGCTAATGCCTAAAATTAACACCAGCTGAGCCCGAAGTTTGCCGATCGGAACAATTAACACCTGCTCCGGCCGAGGTTTACCGATTCTTATTTCTACATCATTTCCGTCATTTTGTTGTTGTTATTAGTAAACTCTCCTAATGTATAACTTTATAATTGTCCTTCTAATAACATAGTGCACACTTGAATCATAAGGCATTCAATATAATAAAAAACATACTGCCCTTGGATGAAGGTATTAGGGTGGTTAACACACTCAGTGAAAAAATTATCACCTGCGACTTCGTCTTGGGTGATGATTTTTTCCCTCGTGTGTTAATCTACCTTAACACCTTCATCCAAGGGCAGTATCTTTATAATATAGTTATCCTATTTTTCATAATAAGTGAGGAAGTGAAAAGTTTGCATAACAAAAAACTCTACATTTTTTTCAAGCAGTTGCTAAACCATAAAAATGAGGTTAAGGACAATGAATATATGGCAGATGGAAACTTCTGCATACAAGGAATGAAGCATCCACGTCTTCTACCTTCTGTATTATAAAGCTTTATACAAATAGTTGATGCAGAGACAAATATATATTCTTCTGAATTCTGAAATAAAAAAATGGTATTGTAAAAGGATAACTTCCGTTAATGTTTAAATTTATTCAAAAATTTAATCAGTAAAAAATAAAGAGTAAGACTTACCCCATTGGTAATCCAGTAGCTGATATTCAAAGGTAAATTTTTCTATTCCACCTCTGATGACATAATTACAGGTGTCAACATACAGGTAGAAATTCAGGTGTAAATCCAGGTAATCAAAGTCAAGACAGCAATCAATTCCAGTACAATTATCAGGTATATAACAAGAGACTGGGCCTGACAAAGCTGGCGGAGTTAGTATGGAACATTCTGAAATTACAATAATCAGGTATATAACAGGAGAATGGGCCCGAAAAATCTGATGCAGACAGTGCTGAACATTCTGATAATTTCAATAATCAAGTATATAAAACAGGATTTCAATAATCAGGAATGTAACAGGAGACCGAGCCAGACAAATCAGGGGGAGTCATTTGGGACCATTCTGAAACAGGAGAATGGACCTGACAAATTAAGGGGAGGCAGTTCAGAACATTCTGAAAACTACAATAATCAGGTATATAACAGGAGACCGGGCCGACAAATCTTATGGAGTCAGTGTGGAACATTCTGAAATTACAATAATCAGGTATATAACAGAAGACAGGGCAGACAAATCAGATGAAGACAGTGCTGTACATTCTGAAAATTGCAATTATCAGGTACAAAAAAATGTATATAACAGGAGACTGGGCCTGACAAATCAGGTGGAGACAATGCTGAACATTCTGAAAGTTACAATAATCAGTTATATAAAAGGAGACTGAGCACGACAAATCTGGGGTAGACAGATTATAATAATCAGGTATAAAGCATGCGAATGGACCCAACATATCTGGGAGAGTCAGTGCTGAACATTTTAAAAATTACAATAATCAGGTTATATAGCATGAGACTGGACATGACAAATCAAGTGGAGAAAGTGCTTAACATTTTGAAAATTACAATAATCAGGTATATAACAGGAGACTGGGCCTAACAGATCAGGTGGAGACAGTGCTGAACATTCTGAAAATTACAATAATCAGGTATATAACAGGAGACTGAACCTGACAAATCAGGTGGAGACAGTGGGGAAGATTCTTAAAGTTACATTAATCAGGTATATAACAGGAGACTGGGCACAACAAATCAGGTGGAGACAGTGGGGAACATTCTGAAACTACAATGATCAGGTATATAACAGTAAACTGGACTTGACAAATCTAGGGGAATTTAGAGCGGAACAATAGTCAGGTACATCTAAAAGGAGACTGGACCTGATAGATCATGTAGAGAAAGTGCTGATTATTCTAAAAATTACAATATTCTCACCATGATACAGCAAGCAGAGTCCTAAACACCATAGTAACAAAACAAGCTACCCTCCTCTACTGATTTATAACACATTTAATGCTGCTATAATCATGTTTCTCCTGCCAAACTATAATCCATTTTTGGAAAATACCTTAATGACATACGTTTTTTATTCACCTCCTTTTACAGCATTTCATAAGAGGAAAGTTATAGCATTTTTGCTTATATCTTAATACATCAACATAAATAAATCTCATAATCATGACTTACCATTATTCCAACCATTTACAGATGGGCTATACATATTATCACTTCTATTACATGATGGGTTTTTCAACATAACATCCAGCCCCAACTGTTCCAGTAAAAGTGTACGGAATTCTGTCTTCAACTGGCTCTTTATATCTGTTCCTACACGGTCTGCCCATTCAGACAGTGAAAACTCTGAATATAAATTTAATAAAACCAATTAATCAGAGAAAATCAGTTCTCAACTATCACATAGGCATAATTGTGATGTGTAGAATTTTTGATACACAAAATGCACTGGTGTAATTCTTCTATAATCCCAGTTAGTTTATTCTATTGTAAATGATAACATAGGGACAATTTGTCATAGAATTTTTTCACTATTTAATTTTTCCTAGTGGAAAGAGTTGTTCACTACCAGAAAAGATTAACTGTTATACTGAATTCTCAGAGAAACCCTATAAGAACTCAGCTGAGTGAAGGTTTTGTCTCCTTCATAAAACTTTTAGAATGTGATGACAATGCTAGACTTGGATTTAAATACTCTTCAGACAAAATATAAGATGTTAATTGGGTATCATTTATACCTTTAAAACTATAATCAGCATACAAATCACAGATAGGCTGAGGAATCTCTGTTCCATCAAATATCTTAACATCTGGAACACATCTTTCTTCAAAGCAAGCTTTTGCTGACAGAAACACTACAAACTTTTTCATCCCAGCAGGCTTCTTAATGACTAGTCTACAGAAGACATTAACATCAAAATTATCATTAAAGTACATAAAGTACATTGGTCGAAATCAGCACTCAAGCCTTTGTGTCTTGGGCTGATATCATGACCTAGGACTGATAATGTGTCTGATATGAAAACTGTCATGTAATAATATGTGATTCTCTAACACAAAATGAATTAAACATGGTTTTGACCAGTTTGATAAAAATTTGGATAAACAATATCTGTAATTTCTGGCCATATCCATTTGGCACATTGCATTCAGCATTTTTCATTAAATCATACAAGAAACAGATTCATCCACTTTACCCTATTGACTACAATATTCATCCATGTTCAAAATAAAAATTTTAAAATAAAATGCCTGTAAAGTCTCACTTAACTATCTTGAGTGCATAAATATCTTAACTTGCAGGGTGTAGACTGGTAGAATCTTTATTTTAATATGAATTGAATAATTAGTGTTTCCCCTATCACACAAAAAGGGCATGGTAACTTATAATAATTGAAAAAGGGCATCTAGAGCGTGCAAAAAATGATAAAAAGGGCACATACAGTGTATGGAAAATTAACAAAAGGGCACCTACAGTATGCTGAAAACAAGAAAGGCAATAAATTGTCATATTGCATTGGTAAAGTATGGACTGGCAGTTGTTGATGGAATTAGAACTCAAGATAGCAAGTGTATTGTTTCAAAATAATATTGTATATGCATCTTTAAATAAAGATGAAAATCAACATTATTCTGGGTAACAGCAAGCCCCCAAGATGTATGTATATTATAAGCTATACATCTTTGTCAGACTTTGAAGGACTAATGCATAAATTTACTAGGCAGTAATTACATGATTTGACTGATGTGGCACTTAAATATGAAGATTAGGATATAAGATCTGAAAATCTAGTTCAAAATTTCACTTCAATTAGTTTCAGGGGACATTTCTGATCAACAAAAGTTGGGCCCCTTTTTTTATAACCAGGATTCACAGTATATTTAATGAACTTGTAGAACTTTGTAAGACTATTACACTGCATAATCTTATAAAACATTTAAATCGATATTTAGAATTCATTTCTATAAAGTTGGAACCAAGGATTTGTACTAATTCTTATTGGAACAGTTCTAATAACTGTAAATTGTTAATTAATCGAGAATTGATCATGTTTACTTTCGATTTACAAATGAAATGTAAACGGGAAGTGACAAGTAGATAATAAATTCAGAATGATTCCGGATTCATCTACGGATTGGTTCGTTTTTAAAAAAAGGCAGCAAATTATCATTTTTATAAATATGATTTGCTTAGTAAGAACTATATTTGTCTCTCCTTAAACTAAATTTATTTCGTATTTTACGTTTTAGAGTCTATAAATTCATAGGAATACTTTCATGCATGCGCAGTATATCGTAAAAGTAAAGGAAGCACTTGTTTGACTCGTGAAAATTTTTCTGAACGTTTTGAATAAAGTTCTATCTTTTTAATTGAAATTGAACGTTTTATACCAAAGATCACGAAAATACGATCATTTGACGAAACTATGACAAACGAACTGCAAATTGTGATCGTTTTAGATATTTGAAATTAAAAAGCGAACTGTCCGGAGGAAAACAATTTTGTTTAAATGACGAAACTACGACAAACGAACTGCAAATTGTGGTCGTTGGCCTTGAGAGATATTGAAATTAAAATGCCAACTGACTGATTTTACTGGGGAAAATTATTATGGTGGTCAATTATGAGGTTTATTAATAATTAACGGATTAGTGACCCATCTGATGGCGATAAGCGGATTAACTGTAATCACAACTTTATAACACCTGTTGTAAATGTTAATTAGCTGAGGGTCATAAACTTGCCAGAAACATAAAGACAGGAAGAAAGGTCATTTTTTGAGACAATGGCGTCACCCAAATAAGTGAAAAAAGGGCATGGCGTCATTTAAATAGGGCATGGCGTCTATCCATGCTAAACATGCTTGGAGGAAACACTAATAATTAGATAAAGTCAAATACTGATATCACATGATTCGTGGAGATGTCACTTACTGTAATTGTATTACTCCACCAGCAAGGTTTATCTTTTCTGTTTTTCCTAAAATGATTAAACATATAATTTTATTTCTGATTCTATATGACATATTTCATGTGTTAATATACATTCTAATAGGGCATGCTGCTTTTGCTTTGTAAACTTAGTGCAAACTCACAGGTGTATATATCTATGGCTATTAAAGTTTATCCCCATGTATATTTACCTATGTTCAAAAACTATGTCCATTTCAATGTTTGAATATTCAAATAAAAAAATTTACTGAACTGTTATAACTATTCTAATGCATAACAAAAAAAAACTAGTGCAAAAGAGTTTCAAAAATGTAAAAATTAGAATAATATAAATTTTGAAAAAATAATGAATGATCATGGCTCATATTTCTATGTTTTGACAAGCTGAAGCTAAAGGTTATCCTGTTACTTGAAAAAAGTGAAATCTTGTGAAACGTGTAAACCATTTCTATATCATTAATTTAGTAACTACTTTTGAAACAATATTTAAATTAAAAGTATGGAAAAACTGTTTTGTTAGAAAATAAATCTATAATTTAAGACAATATTTACACTTTTACTAATCCCCCACCCTCATATACATTAAAACCTTTCTCAGGCAATTGGATGAAATTTTTAATTACTTGATTAGTTGAAAAAATGAATTCAAACTGAGACTTGAAAAATGTTTTGGTCAAGTGATATTCGTTAAGGGCAAAACCTCTTGGATAAAGCACAATAGTAGTACAATAACATGAAATATATAAAATATCATCATATATTAATATACATATATAATATAAAAAACATACCCCATTCATAGTTAATAAGCTGGATAGTTTCATTAATTGTGTTGACACCATAGTTTAAGGTATATTCACATGGGTCTATGATGATAAATGGATGTAAGGTTAGACCAAGACCAGGAATTTCTATACAGCATTCTATCCCAGTACATGTGTCCTTAAAATTGCAGGCCATGTTGTCTGGTAGGTCTGGCATTCCTAATGTTCCTAACGGACACTCTGCAAGATAAAATAATTCCCCGATTTTTCAAAAAATATTACCTAGGATCTTTGGTATATCATAACTAATAGTATAAAAACAAACGTAAATAAACACAAAGTGCTATGATTTATAACTTTAAAAACGGACTATGAAAGAACATTTTGTATATTATTTAAAGTGAATAGGACATACTTATCTGTCTATTAATTAGCAAGATTAAACAATCTTTTGAATTTTCGGTGTGGTGTGGTTGGGTTGCTGTTTTCCAATTCATTGACATATACCCCACATTTTCTTACATTGAACAGATTGTCTATTGATAATGTATATAACAGGGTATGCTGTGTGTTGCCTTCTACCTATCATATTAAACATAAATTACCATTATTCCATCCCCCAACATTTGGAGTGAAGGGTTTTCTCTCCTTGTCACAAGTAGGTCCACTGAAAAATTCATACAGACCAAGTCTTTTTAGTATCAGTTGTTTCCCACCTTCCTTCACTCCATCCAAAACTTCCATACCAGCTTGTTTTAACCAATTAGAAATAAAAGATGAAATATCTGAAATAAGAAAATAAATATGATTTTGTTCTGTGATGATAACTCACAATTTACACAATATGTTTTTTTAAATAAGTTTTACAAACATTTACTTTAATATGCATATAAAATTGGTAGAAAATTATTTCCTTTCTTAAATATCTTTTGTCCTTCACCATTAATTTTGATGAAAATATGTGATCTTTTTTGTTTCAAACTTCAGCCTACCTGCACTACAGTCTATAGATTTTGTAACAATGTCCGGTAGAGTTTCGTGTAGTTCAACATAAGTTGTATTGATAAAATGGTTAGGATCCTGTACAATAGATAACAACTCAGTCCTGCTAATTCCATCACCTATCCCTACAGCTATGATTGTTACACCATTATTTCTACAGGTATTCACTCCTGTCTGAGTGCTCCCTCTGTTTGACTGTCCATCTGTCATCAACACTACATAGTTCTTTACATCAACTCCTCTGTCACCCTTGCTGGAAACAAACATGTCTTCACATGCATACCTCAAAGCATCACCAATATCGGTATATCCTTGTTTGTTATAGGGTATCTGAAGAACATTCTGATTAATCACAGTTTTGTCATAGCTGGTATCCAGATCAAAACCGGTTCTAGATGTACCAGTCCCTCCAAACATAGACATTCCAACTCGGATCAGATTTTCCCCTATGGCCAGTTTGTCTGTGGTCTCTGATATTGCTTCCAAGGACAAAGTGAACTGCTCCTGGCCAACACTTCCAGACTCATCCAACACAAATATGATATCAGCTGGTGTAACAGCAGTACAATCTAAATGTATTGAATACAATAAATAAGCTAAAATGGTGAAAGAGGTATTTATTTCTACTCCAGGGAACAGTATGATTTTTACTCATTGATAATATATGTAATTTGACTAATACATACTGTATTTGTCTTTGTTATTTTGTCTTAGATGCATGATTTTTTTTATTAGTTGATATTGGCTTTGAACTAGCTGTCAGTAACTGTGAGAACTCTCAGATCTGTATTTAGTGTCTTTTTGTTGTGGGGATGTACAAGTACCCTGCCACGTCCACTCTGTGTTTTTTATAAATGTATTTCTGCTTTGTATCCATCTGATGAGTTAAGCACTTTTTAACTGATTTTTATAGTTTGTTCTTATGTTGTACTGTAACACCACAGTCCCAGGTTAGGGGGAGGGTTGAAACCTTCAAACTAGGTTAACCCTGCCACATTCTGTATGTGCCTGTCCCAAGTCAGGAGCCTGTAATTCAGTGGTTGTCATTTGTTGCTGTATATCATATTTGATTTTCGTTCATTATTTTGTACATAAATCAGGCCGTTAGTTTTCTTGTTTGAATTGTTTTACATTTGTCATTTCGGGGCCTATTATAGCTGACTATGCAGTATGGGTTTTACCCATTGTTGAAGGCCATACAGTTACCTATATTTGTTAATTTCCGTGTCTTTTGGTCTTTTGTGGAGAGTATTCTCATTGACAATCATACCACATCTTCTTTTTTTTATATATGTATTTATTTTTGTATTAATTCTTATTATTCTGTTAATCCCATTTGAGGTTAAACAGACAATATTTTATGTTACCTTTTATCCAGTCATAAAACTCTTGAGAACAAACTGGTAATGTTTGCTGTTTTAAGATGTGAATTCCTCCATCAGGTGCACAGAATAATTCACCATCAATAGGAAAACAAATAATGATCTTGGCATCTATTATGAATCCCTGACTGCCTTCCATCTTGTCAATAGTATACCTTTAAAATAATTCAGAGATAACAATCAATTGTCTATTATATATATTTCATGTGATGGTTTGTGCTCATTTTTGAAGTTGCAGGTAAATCAAAAATCAATTCAATAGAAACAAAGTAATTTCACCTGAGTAATAACAAATAAATGGAGAATGTGTCCATGGGACACAGATGATGCCCTGCTTGCATATAATGTTATAAAGGGACATAACTCAAGAACGGTAAAAGTGAGGCCACCCAAATTCAAACTTGATCTGTGTTATGTGGTAATAAGCATTGTGTATAAGTTTCATAACATTTGGTTGAGGCAAAACTAAAGTTAGAAAACGGAAACCAATTTTGGAACATACAGACAGACAAGGTAACACTTAATGCCCCCTCTGCTGCAGCGGGGGCATAAAAAACTCTATAAATAAATTTTAAACTGAATTTGACCAAGAAAGTAGTTAATAATTAGTTGTAAAGATAGGATTAAACAAAAGTTATAATGCCCAATCTATTCAAGCATAGAACCAAAAGATTTGAAAACTTACTCAATAGAAACAGGTGCTGGGTCACCATTTCCAATAGAGAGAACATTCTTCTCACCTACAATATATCATAAACAGAATGTTGTTAAAAATTCCCCTATGACAAGTCAAATAGGCAATGTTTTTTTCAGATGTCATCTGTGAAATATTTCAATAGACTATACTGGCAAATTAAACAATGTTTGTCGATACAAGTGTTTTAATTTAGAAAACAGACATTTACTTGAAAATAAATCAAAACTGACTTAAAGCTGAATGGTTATTTGTGATGAGAACATTTTCCAGGAAATGTTATTTTATGATCAGAAAGCCAAGTGGTTTAAAATATAACAAAGTATTGGAAGGTGTCTGATAGATCTGAAAAGCATTCATACATTACAACTTATCAATGTCAAGCTGCTGACCAAATATGAAAATGTTCTGTTCAGTAGTACCTGAGAATAGTATGACCATAATATTTGTTGAACAAATGAACTGACAGACAGTCACAGAACTTTAACATGTACATTACAGAAGATAACTTTACCCCAGTTATAATCTAGAAGAACTTTCTTGTATGTATATCCACCAAATCTGACATCAACTTTAAAGTCACATGGTTCAAATTTGAACCAGAATGGTATATGGTAGGTGACAGTCCTGTCTCCCAGCGGTAGTTGGAATGATAAGTCTATACAGCAATCCAAACCAAAACAATTATCTGTCATTTCACACTGTAACATTGTCCTAATGCTGGCTGGTAGATACTTTTGTGGGTTTATTATAACAGGACAATCTACAATACATGTAATGATAAATCATAACTTTACACAGTAACATTGTTATAATACTGGCTTGTAACATAGGTATTTCTTTGGGTTAAAATCACAGGACAATGGTTGAGTTTGTCAATCAGTATCTGAACTTTAATAACCATGCTTTTCTTCTTAAGTAGTGTGGTGTAAGAACTTTCTAGCAAGTGATATTTATTTTGTCCAACATGTTGACAATTTTATACTTTAGGCAGAGATATACAACACGCAAGTTCCAAATAAGCTTCCCTATTGTTAATTTTCCTTTTTTGGACGGTGATGTTCCTCTGGCACCATCTTACGGTGTTTATATATCCCAACTATAATAATATCGTTACCGCAAATTACTTAAAACCTTTACTAAATTCTTCCATAAATACAAAGATTTGGTTTGCAAGTTTGGCTGTACCTGTAGAAAACTTATTTTAAACGGAATAGAACATCCTAAATTTTATGGTGATGTTGTTAACCGAGACCGGAAATTTAGATATGATCCGGGTAAACTTATCAATCCTTTAAATAAACTTATTCTAAAAGGTTACCTATTAAACACTAATTAAACTTTGAATATTGTTTTTATTGGTATAAATATTGATTTTGTTATCAGTAAATTAAAACCATACTAAATATTACACATATGTATTTTCACGGTACTACAATCTGTCAATACCTATATTTTGGCATTACACAAGATCATGTTTTTCTCTGACTGTTAATGACGTCTTTAAACTAAATCCATTGGATGTTGGATGTGTACTGATTGATATTTTAGTCTTAGATACATGATTTTATTATATTAGTTGTTACTGGCTTTGAACTAGCTGTCAGTAACTGCTAGTACTCTCAGATCTGTACTTAGTGTCTTTTTTGTTGTTAGGGATGAGGGATGGATATATACCCTGCCACGTCCTGTCTATGTTTTTGTTTTATGCTTTTCATTGTATCGATCTGACGAGTTAAGCCTTTTTCAACTGATTTTTATAGTGTATTTTTATGTTGTGCTGTTACACAACAGTTCCAGGTTAGGGGAGGGTTGAGTGCTCACAAAAATGTTTAACACCGCCACATTGTTTATGTGCCTGTCCCAAGTCAGGAGCCTTTAGTTCAGTGGTTGTCGTTGGTTCACTTCTATCATAATCTAATTATTTTGTTATAAATTAGGCCATTAGTTTTCTCAATTGAATTGTTTCATATTTTTCATGTCTTGGCCTTTTATAGCCGACTATATGGTATGGGTTTTTCTCATTGTTGAAGTCCGTACGGTTGCCTATAATTGCTAACATCCAATTTATTTGAACTTTGGTGGATAGTTGTCTCATTGGCAATCATACCACATCTCCTTACTTTTATATTGGAATCTGATTTGTTTACAATGAGATGAAAGTGTGTTCACCGGAAACACAGATTTTTATTGGCTAACTATCACTAGTCACGATTGTCTCCCCTGAGAAAAGTTCAAAATCATTAACCAACTAAAGTTTTCACAAAATCATGTTTTAGAGCTATTTTCACAATCATGATCATGCAGTTGGGACAGGGGGCAGTTCACACCTAAATCTTGAAAGTTGGCAGGAATGAGCGTCTGTCAGAACCAGAACCAGAATAGGGCTTAACTGTGTCTTATACTCTTAAACTTTCAAGTTGATGACCAAATATAAACCTATTCTTTCCAGTTGTTCCTGATAAAACTGAGAAGAAAAAATCTAATTTCATTCAACATTTGAAACTTCAAACTATCAACAAACACTTAGTTGGTTTCTGCAAAATCAAAAAAGTGCTCATACTTTACAACTCCTTATTGTCAAGCTGCTGACTCAAACAGGAAGAAGGGTGTCTGACTGATCTAAAAAGTGCTCACACATTACAGCTGATTACTGTCAAGCTGCGGACTAAATGTGAAGTCATTCTGTTAGGTAGTTTGTGAAAAAAGTTTGGTAAAATTATTGGTGGCATCAAGGGATGGATAAACAGATGGAAAATCAACAAGTTGATTGCAACATAGGCCTGACTCTTGGAGTTGGTGTATAATTTCATTGATTATTTGAGATATATTCCTTTATAAATGGTGTAGCCTCTGTTAACATTTGTAAATTACCTTTTGGCCCTTCTTGAACATTACATGGTCCAGTTTGAAAGTGTTTCTGCAAAATATGAAAAATTTTCTTTCAAACATCTAAGTCAATACACAAAAAATTCTACAAAACAATTTTACAGCAAATTCTTTTATAACATCTTATTCTTGAAATAAATAAAGACAATATCCAGGCTCAATACAAGTTCTGAGAGATTTAAAGTGTTCAATTAAATCTACTTTATTGTATTCATTCATGTTGGATATGGTGCTGACATCCCTTGTAGACCTCATAATACAGATTCTATTTCCAATTATCCAATACGAACTTAAGTCTAAAATTAATAATTAATTCCTTCAAATTCAAAATTTTGGAAACTAAAGACTGCAAAGTTCATTGCCTGACAGTCATCACACAGCAGCCTTTGCTTTGGGCCATCACAAGTAAAAGGCAGAGGAAGGTGATGCCATAACTGAATATGAAACAACTAGATATCATTGAGATGGGAGCCATCTCTGTGGGCCCCTCTGTGAATAACGTGTGGTAAAAAAATGGCATCTTTACCATAGAACATGGGGTTGTCAACTGAAACCATAGTTTTTTACCTTGACCTTTGACCTAGGAAGTTGTACATAAATTATGACACACCCTCTGGTGTGGGTTTATATACATGTCAAGTATAAACTTTGAAATCATAACGGTTCTCTAGATATAGAGCGGACACAATTTGTTACGAACGGACGGGGGGCCCTAATAAAAAAATAATGGCTAGGATATATAGACTAATTGCATTTTTGTTTAGATACTGACTTTATCAGCAAGAACATCAATCACGTCCGATAGGAAAATGTGCCTTAAAAACATTTTACTTGGGCAGAATATGATATAACATGAAGTAGTTCATAAAAATTTCTTCTGTGGACAAAACATTGCACTATTCATCTGTTGGATGAATGACATTGCACACATTTCATTGATAAATTGTTGTGAATAAACATGAAAAACAAAACATGGGGCAATGTTACTGGACATTATTGCCTAATATTTTAGAGTATTAGGTCATGTCCTTGATCTAAATAAAAGAAGAATGAGTCTGAGGACATGAATGCCCTCACTCAAGCTTGCTTGTTTTGGTTCTTAGCATTGTGTAAGAGTTTCATAATATGCACGAGACAACCTTAAGTAAGAGCGCAGAAAAAAAAAATTTGCAATTTTCAAATTTATAACAGGACATAACTCTAACATGGTAAGTGACTCACTACTCAAATTCCAACTCTGTCTGCGAGTTTTGATTCTTACCATTATGTATGAGTTTCATAAAATTTGCATGAGGCAAACTCAAGTCAGAGTGCGGAAACAAACAAATTTGCAATTTTGCAAGTTATAAAGGGGCATAACTCTAGAAAGATACGCAACTCACTACCCAAATTTGAAGTCTGTCTGCGAGTTTTGGTTCTTAGCATTGTGTATGAGTTTCATAAAATTTGCATGAGTCAAACTTAAGTTAGAGTGGGGAACTAAAATGGGATGGACAGTAGGACAGACAGAAGGAAGGAGATCAAGGGTAACACTTAATACCCCCTTCACCTAGCGGTGGGGGTCATAAAAATATAAATCAATATGATCAAAGAAAAATTTATAAATTGTAAATAAATATTCATATCAGCAAAGAAAAAGGTGTACTTCGAAATACTGTTTACTAATCATTTTACCCATGTTCTTGATTTTTTCAGATGAATATGCATCAAATTTTCATATATGTGCATTATATTATATATTAAGGAAATGCATATGTATTCGTCACATCAAATCAAGTACAGTGTAAAAATTAATAAAACAAATATATTAAGTTAAACCATTGTCAGTTAACCTCCAACATTTTACATTAATCAGAAAATCCTACATTAATGTTAATTTTTTTTGGGGGGTTTGTGGTTTGTGAGGTCTGTTGTACTGTCAAATATTTTTTAATGATTCCTGTTATCTTTTGATTTTTTTAAATTACTGTCTTCAGTGAATGAACTAAGAGTCTTACTGACAATAGTTTACCATAACATCAAATATATATAAATAAAAATATATCAAATCTTTTATACTTACATCAAGTCCAAGGTATTTCAAAACCAAATCAAAAGCATCTTCTGTCATTTTCCCTCCTATAGACTGTACCAATTCTAGGATAGATTCCCCTGAAAAATAATTGTTATGATGATATTGCGAGACTAATGGCACCTGTATGGAATAATACATGGGTCAATTATATATAATAAAAAGAACTAGAGGCTCCAATGAGCCTTTATCACTCTCCTAGCAATTTTGCATCATATGCATTAAGAATATTTCTGATTGTTTTTTCCAAAAAAACAAAAAGATTTAGGCAATTAATTCTCAAATATGTTGACTTAGGCTTTTGGGCATGTTGACTTATTCATAGATCGTGCCTGCTGATAGTTTTTGCTGTTTGCCATCTCTCTCTATCTGCTAAAGTTCCTTAAAAAAACCCACAAAGGAATGTAAAAATTGTCTTACAAGGGCAGTACCTCCTATTAGAAGTGGACTGGTTATTTTTTCTAATTGACTTTTAATCCCAATAATTATTTTTGCCCTTTACAGTTGCTATATATACTCTATCAACTATAGTTTACACAAAAAACACAATATACTGTTGACACAGTGAAATGTCTTGTCTTTATGTAATTTCGATAGTATGATGCAAAGGTTGAAATTAAAATGGCAATACTTTTTTATTTAAACTATGCAAAACATTCAAAGTCAATAAACCATGACTGAAGGTGCAGGGCCAAATAACCTTCATGAAAATGAGAAATGCCAATACTATTACAAATGCATACCAAATACCTTTCACATATTATAAGTAGTTCCCTTTAAACTAGCCTAAACACAAAAGTTTCAAAGTCAATGAACCATGATGATGGCATTCGGCCATATAATCTCCATGAAAATGATACGTTTAAATACTGATATAACTGTGTACCAAATATCACTGACCTACCACTAGTGGTTCCCCTTAAACTGACCTAATCACAAACTTTAACATGTAAACTAAGCAAAAGTTTCGAAATCAAAAGACCATAACTGAGGGGGTGGGGCCAAATATATAATTAAACAGATATAAAATCTGAAATTGTTTTCTTTTGAATCATGGTGTTTTTTCATTGACCTATAATTGTATCTCCCTTTTAGAAATAAATATTTAACACAGAGATATGTCTCGCCTTTTTGTACTTTTGATAATGCAAATGTTGAAATTAAAATAGCAATACTTTAACATGTAAGTTATGTGAATATTCAAAGTCAATGAACCATGACTGAAGGTACATGGCAAAACAATCTCCATGGAAATGAGATGTGCCAATGCTAATACAACTGCATACCAAATACCATAGTCTTATCATAAGTCGTTCCCTTTCAACAAACCTAAACACAAACATTGACTTGTAAACTATGTAAAAGTTTCAAAGTCAATGAACCATGATGAGGGGATGGGGCTATATAATCTCCATGGAAACGAGACTTGCAAATGCCAATAAATTTGCATACCAAATATCATTGACTTAACATTAGCGGTTCATCTTAAACTGATCTAATCAAAAACTAATACATGTAAACTAAGCAAAAGTTTCAAAGTCAATAGACCATGACTGAGGGGGGGGGACAAAATATTCTCCATGGAAATGAGATGTGCTAATGCTTATACAATTGCATACCAATTAACATTGGCCTACCCTAATGGTTCCCCTTCAACTGACCTAATCACAAGCTAATACATGTAAACTAAGCAAAAGTTTCAAAGTCAATAGACCATGACTGAGGTGGCGGAGACAAAAAATCTCCATGGAAATGAGATATGCCAATGCTTATACAACTGCAAACCAAATATCATTGACTTACCACTAGTGGTTCCCCATTAACTGACCTAATCACAAACTAATACATGTAAACTAAGCAAAAGTTTCAAAGTCAATAGACCATGACTAAGGAGGCAGGGCCAAATAATCTCCATGGAAATGAGATGTGCCAGTGCTAATACAACTGCATACCAATTATTATTGATCAACCACTAGTGGTTCACCTTAAACTAGACCTAATCACAAACTATTACATTGTTGACGTCGCCGGAAACAGCATACCTTTGTATCGCTTTTTGACTCCGTAAAGGCGCGACAAAAATTTGGCAATTATCTCAGTGTGAACTATGACAGATAAATATTTTACCTACCTGAGAAAGTGAAATTTTCATTACAGATAGGAATGGGTATTTCATGGTCCTCTAAATACATCTCATCTATAACACAGTCACCCTCAAAACATATTCTCAAACCAAAATCTAACTTGAATACTTTCTTGTCTGTGTCTTTATCAATGGACAGGCTGCAAAAAACGTTTAACAGACTTTTGTCAAATATTCAAATAATGAAAGCTGAGAAAGGGGAGTAGTTACATTTAATATTCTTTTAAAAAGTGACATCGACGAAATGAATTTTGTCCTCATAGATATTTGTATCACTTCATGATATTCTGAGAAAATTAAGTATCAAATGAACAACTGATTTTCACATGCAGTAAATCTGATTTATTCAATAGATCTCCAATGTCATAAACATGAGGAAAAAATTGTCATTTCAATATAAATCATATAATCATGTGTATATAGATTCTACCACTGCATCGAGTGTGATACGATATTTATCCACTCGAGACAGTTAAATTTTCAAATTTAACTGTTGAGAGTGGATAAATATCGTATTACACGAGATTTGGTGGTGGAATCTGTTTCTCTAATGATTTTCAAACAATATGCAGGCAAACTTATTCCTTCTTTTTGAATGATCTGCAAAAAGATGTGTTCTTTCTATGTGACGTCATCAGGCATGGTCGCCTTTTTTCATGCCGTCACAATAGGAAATTCAGAGGAAAGCAAGAAAATTCGACGTCATAATCGAATTTTAACCAATGAAGAACTGAGATCAAACAAACCACACGTTGATTAAATTTTTTTTATACAATGGGTGCAGAAAGGGATAAATTGACGAAGAATTAGAGAAATACTTTTATAGCTCTTTCCTATTTCTTTAAATGAAACCCTTATATATACTTTGAGGAAGTACATAGCGTCTTCGGCTACTTTGAGCTATATATAATGTAAATATAAATGAAAATTATCCAATTTAGCATTAAAATAAAATTTAAAATTTAAAAGAGACTTGTCATACTTACAGAACTTTAAAATCCTTTGTAACTGTCAGTGTCTCTAGTTTACCTAGAAAAGACAAACTAATTCTAGGTTTAAAGTTATTATGGTACAATGTGAGATATTGATACCACAGTAAAATAAAAAAAGGACTTATTTTTATGCAATAATACATGTACATCCCTAAGTAAAAATCTATCTTCAAAGTTTTGAGGAAATCAATCCAGACATACTAGAGTTAGTGTGAGATATGTGAAAATTTGTTTTAATTCAAAGTTTAAAGTCTCCTAACTCTTGAACAGAAAAATAGAAAATTGAAATTACATGAGAATTGGTTTAAGCAAATCTGAGTTATCTTACGAAGTGTTAACAGACGTACAGATGGAAAAACCAACATTGGTATACTATAATATGTCCAGTCTTCAACGAGCGAGTAATTACTTTCAAAATGTAACTTTATAGCCCATTACACAGTTAATGTTTCTCAAGACAAACATTTAAATGGGTAGAAATCTGCATTGTGATATAACTATTTTGATACAAGATAACATATGTCTGTCAAGTGTTGACCTGAATTATTTTAAGGTTTAATAGTTATTTGTACCCAATTACTGACCATCACAGACATTCCTGTCAAATTTTGACTTAAAAAAAATGTCTGACATAACAATGCAAAAGTGATTGTTGTATGATGTCAATAGTTCAATTGTCGCAAAATCTAGTGTCATGTGTCACAGATTCTGATATAGCCATAAAGCCTACAAGTTGCATGGTATGATGATATCCACATTACTTAATTATGAATAAAGTCATATTGCTATATACATTGTTTACTTATCATTTCAGACTAATAACTCACCCCATTTGTAACTGAGAAGAATAACTGATTTTGTCTGTGACTCAATCCCATAATTCAACACAAACTTGCAGAAATCTAGCTCAAGGAAAGCGTTGAAAGATTTGGAATAATTAAAGAAGCCAATAGAAAAAGAGATGTCGACACAGACATCCAAACGCAAGCAGTCATTGGATATTGAGTAGTATAGATGATCTTTCAACCAGGGATTGGTTATTTCTGGTAAATACAATGTGGTGCCAAATGTCTCACATCCTGAAAACATGAAAATATAGATATTCTAGATAAAAATATTAACTGCTGATGCTAAAATCTGCATGGTCAAACAGAATAAAAAAGTGAACTTAAATTTCTTTAAACTGTACCTTTATTGTTTAGGTCTATCATTACTGATTGTAGAAAATCTTGGTTGAAGAACACATTTGTTATATACATCATTGCAATTGGCTTCAAAAATTTTGACTTCTTGACTTATTTCAACTACAAATGTCATTACTATACACTTTTTTTACATCCATCATTATTTTGAACCTTGATATTTGTAAATCTGCTTCAGAGTTAGATGCACCCAGCTGTCTTTAACAGTATTTCTTCTATCTATCCCCAGTTTATAACCTTTAAGGTGATTAAGAACTTTAATAGTGTCACTAAATACTAACCTATGTTTTGAAGGTAAACCCTCTGCAAGTCTCAATTGTTTATTTACATTTTCTACATTTACACATGATTGCTGCTATTGGCTTTATGATTGGATACAGCCATTTACAACTGTGACCAATAAAACTCATCATCTCGTGGATCAGAAATTCTGCCACAAACTGCCAAGGGTGGAGAGGAAGGGGTCTGATCAGAAACAGATGTACCAAGTGGTATACACTTTACTTACGTCCATCATCAGTTTCTAATCTGGATATAAGATCTTCATTAGAACCAGTTGTACTCAGTCCTCTATTCTCCAACTCCTTTTTAAGTTGAGATAATTTCATTTTGTCAGGTCTCACACATGGTCCAGTGCTTTGTAGGAAGTCCTGAAATATAAATAAAAATTAGTAAATCTACCAGCAGTATTAGTAAATCTGCAAGTAGTGTCAATGGTCCTTTTATTGTTCCTAAACACCTACTGAAGTCAATACGAAATAGACGTTCCATCATAATATAAATTCCAAGTGGAAAAAATATTCTGTAATATTATTTCCACTGGAACAAATATTACAGTACAATGTATTTGTTCCTTACGGAATAAAGGTTATAAAATATCTGTTCCAACAGGAACAGATATATTATGGCATAGTTTATAACAAGGTTTCCAGTGGAACTTCTGTTAGGCGGAACAAATATACGTTGACAATATGTACTTATGTCTTATATATATGTCTTAGTTGAAACCTTGTCATATAGTGTGATTGCCATGTTTTGTACATATGTTATCGTCGGTTTTAAGAGCTTTCTGAATTGTTTTAGTGTATTTCCTTTCATCTCCAAAAATGCAATACCTTAGTCATCCCTTGTTTAACAGAATAATGATTAGCCCTATACAGCATATTGTAGGTGTAAACAATTTCATTTCATTAAATAAATTCATCTAAATACAAATTATAAACTATGTAATCAGTATAAACTATAAATGTACCTCTGGTAGGCCAAGTGCCTTTAATAATTCCTCTTGTAATTTATCCACAGCTTCCAGTAACTTTTTCTTTGCTGCCTTTTCAATTCTAGATTTAATGGCATCTAGATCAAAATAGTCTTTGTATTCAAAATTCAAAACCCACTCTGAAATATATATCCTGAATGATTAATATTTAGGACTTAATCTTCAACTGCATAAGTTGAAATTTCATACTTAACTGAGATATTTGTATGAGTAACATACATATATGTGATCTTGATCTCAGAATTTTTTCTTGTCCAGTCAGTGCTTTTGTAAATTTTGTACAATGACAGGGCAGGGTACAACTAGGGCCTTATTTGGCCATATATTTCAGTGATTTTTGAAGATTTAAAGATTTCTTTATTCTTAAGATGAGGTAATGTGAAGTCAAAACCAGGTAGTTTAGGATCCATGACATCATAATAAATGTAGTTTTGAGGTCATTAAAAAGGCCCTTCCACATATTTGTGTGCAAAATTATAGATGATGGTTAATGTTCAACTAGTTTTTGGACCCACAATTATCAAGTACATACATGTATCAACTAAAAAATTTATCATGAATCAATATAAAATCTTATATGCTTAAAGTCTTGACATACCTGTACTACAATCCATGGTTTGAATAACCAGATTAGGCAAAGTTTCTGGTAGTTTATCATAATCAGTTGATAGATAGTAATTAGGCATAGAATAGGCAACTTCTTTCAGTAAATCTTCATCTGTATTTGATCCAATCCCTACAGTAACAATTCTTACTCCTTTAGTTTTACACGCTGCAGCCTGAACTTTGACAGGATTTTCCCCAGAATTAGATTTGCCGTCTGTTAACAGAATTAGATAGTTCTGGGCATCTGATCGATCACCTTTCTCAAGTACAAACATATCATCACAGACATACTGGAAGGCATCACCTATTTCTGTGTGTGATCCCTTCTGATAGACTGCATCTCTCAGAACTTGTTTGACAGCCTCTTTATCATACTCAGAGTTTAGTTGTAACAATGGCCGAGAAGTTCCAGCTCCAGCAAATAAACTGACTCCAACCCTGACATAGTTCTCAGCAATAGCAAGTTTTTCGACAGAATTAACCAAGGCATCCATTGAATCTCTGAAATGATCTTCTCCAACACTGCCAGATTCATCAATAACAAATATTACATCTACAGGAACAACAGTCTTACAATCTGAAACAACATCAATGACAAAAATTACATCTACAGGAAAAACAGTCTTACAATCTGAAACAACATCACTGACAAAAATTACACCTACAGGAACAACAGTCTTACAATCTGAAATAACATCAATGACAAAAATTACATCTACAGGAAAAACAGTCTTACAATCTGAAACAACATCACTGACAAAAATTACATCTACAGGAACAAGAGTCTTACAATCTGAGACAACATCAATGACAAAAATTACATCAACTGGAACAAAATCTGTCATAAAAGAGTAAAGACAAAAAATTAACCTTTATATCCTTCCTTTAAAGCCAGGCTAAAATACCACTTCTAAAAAACCATAATGTAATATTTTAACATTGACTTTATACACTACCTTGAGGCCATGTGATAGTTCCTTCAGTTTTACATATTGGTAATGATAATACCATAACATTGACTTTATACACTACCTTGAGGCCATGTGATAGTTCCATCAGTTTTATATATTGGTAATGGTAATACCTTAACATTAACTTTATACACTACCTTGAGGCCATGTGATAGTTCCATCAGTTTTAAACATTGGTAATGGTAATACCTTAACATTGACTTTATACACTACCTTGAGGCCATGTGATAGTTCTATCAGTTTAAGATATTGGTAATGATAATACCTTAACACTGACTTTATACACTACCTTGATGTCACGTGATAGTTCTATCAGTTTAACATATTGGTAATGATAATACCTTAACACTGACTTTATACACTACCTTGAGGCCATGTGATAGTTCCATCAGTTTTACATACTGGTAATGGCAAAACAGCATTAGCTAGGAGACTGATGAAAGCCACACAGTTATCAGTGTCAGAACTGTCACAAAACCCAACACCAACTGAGGCAATTAGTCCAACATCTGTCTTCTGAATGTCATACCTTCAAAATATAAATGTATAAAGATCAATATAGAAAATTCAACAATAATACCATACATGTCTTCTTCATTGTCAGATGCAGTGCTATTTTCAGTTTTTTTATTAACACAGTGTTGCATAGTTTCAAACTTTTTTGTACTTACACATATAAGGCAAGTGTGAACTATCAAGAAAGATTTCACACATGAAGAAATAAAACTACCGAAAGTGTTTTTCAGAAGATGAGGGCCATGAAATGGCTACTTCCAGTTTGAAGCCTAATTTTGACCTAAATGTATTAAAATGGCTTTCAAAAGAACAGTGTAGCAAAGAATGTTTTCTTTCAATAGTAGCACTTATGGGATATTTAAGACACCCCTTAAAGATCACTCTCTGCATATAGAACAGAAATCTACCTTTCAGACAATATCTTGAAAACCAAAATAAAATCGAGATAGTGTCAAATTTGATAAATTTCAAATCATCTACAATATTAACTGGTAAAAAGAAAGTGACATAAATGTAATGACAATATCTTACTTTATCAAGCAAACAAGATCCAGCAATCCAACATCAAACCCTGTAGGTATCTCATCTGAAACTCCTGAAATAATAAAAATAACACATCAAATCCAGTAAATACCAGATTATTCTATCAGCATGCACATTTTTATATAAGGCTCTAAAATATTCTTCTTTCAAGTACATTTAAGGGGAGTAGATACAGTTTTATACAGTGTTGTCAATTTTGAGATTTTAAAATATGTTGTAGGACCAGATAATTTCTTTGAGAAATCATAAAATGAAACATTTACCAGACTTGTTTTCCAGAAAAAATGAGACTCAAAATTTGTATCTATTGTTTTTATGTAAGTTGTTTTTGTGCCTGGTCCCAATCTTTTGAGCTAAGCCCATTGCAACTGATTTTTACAGTTTGTTCTTATGTTGTGCTGTAACACCACTGTCCCAGGTTAGGGGGAGGATTGAGTGCTCACAAACACATTAAACCCTGCCACATTCTTCCTGTCCCAAGTCCTGTATATATTTTGTGGACTGTTTGTTTGTCTGTTTTTATTGAACTTATAATTTTTTACTGCCCACTTTGTATCTTCTCTTTTCTTTAATTTTGTTGTTTAGAGTGAAATCACAATAGAATACACCTCAGCAAATTTTACACGTCATTCTCTGAGAAATAAAAAATTTCCACAAATTTGGTAGATAGTTAAAAACTTTAAGGGCCATTTTCGATATGCTTATATGCAGACTTTGTTCCAGGTTAGGGGGAGGGTTGGTTGCCTGCTAAACATGTTTAACCCCACCACATTCTTTATGTGCCTGTCCCAAGTCAGGAGCCTGTAATTCAGTGGTTGTCGTTTGTTCCTGTATATTATATTTGTATTTTGTTTATTTTTTTTTTACATAAATCAGGCCATTAGTTTTCTCGTTTGAATTGTTTTACATTTGTCATTTCAGGCCTTTTATAGCTGACTATGTGGTATGGGTTTTGCTCATTGTTGAAGGCCGTATGGTGACCTATAGTTGTTAACTTCTATATCATTTGGTCTCTGGTGGAGAGTTGTCTCATTGGCAATTATACCACACCTTCTTATTTTTATATTTGTCAAAACCACATAATCATGAAAATGCAAAAATTAGTACCTACAGAAATAAATGTTTAACTTTTGTTTTGAAAGCAATATAACTACTACTTAATATCATTGTTTTATGTCAACTTACCATCATATCCCATATCAAACTTGATAGTATAATTGTAACCTTGTAATCCAACACTCAACGTGTAGTCACATGGATCATATCTAGCATAGGCTTTAACAGTGTACAGGAACATGAACAGTTTGACATTAAGACAACATTCTACACCTAAACACATCGAGTCATAAGTACAATATACATTGTCTGGTGTTGTTATCGCCATCCAGGGACATCCTGAAATAAAATTTATGTATACATATACATTGTCTGGTGTTGTTATCGCCATCCAGGGACATCCTGAAATAAAAGTCATATAGTACACATTGTATGGTGTTGTTATAGCCAGCCAGGGATATCCTGAAATAAAAGTCATATAGTACACATTGTCTGGTGTTGTTATCGCCATCCAGGGACATCCTGAAATAAAATTTATGTATACATATACATTGTCTGGTGTTGTTATCGCCATCCAGGGACATCCTGAAATAAAAGTCATATAGTACACATTGTATGGTGTTGTTATAGCCAGCCAGGGATATCCTGAAATAAAAGTCATGTATGCAGTACATATTGTCTGGTGTTGTTATAGCCAGCCAGGGACATCCTGAAATAAATGTCATAGGTACAATACACATTGTCTGGTGTAGTAATAGCCATCCAGAAACATCCTGAAATAAATGTCATATGTACAGTACATATTGTCTGGTGTTGTCATAGTCCTCTCTTGACATCCTGAAACAAGAAGCTCCTTAGAGCCTCAATCAATTACCTGTACACATTGTCTGGTGTAGTTATAGCCATCCAGAAACATCCTGAAACAAATGTCATATATACAGTACACATTGTCTGGTGTTGTCATAGTCCTCCCTTGACATCCTGAAACAAGAAGCTCCTAAGAGCCTCAATCAATTACCTGTAAAAAAAATAGTCAAAAATCATCATTTAAGGGCTATAACTCCTGTAAGGAGTCATCTGATAAGTTTGGTGGAAGTAGATCTTGATATTCTGAGCATTTTTGCCCAGTCAGATTTTCTCGAACAATTAAGGGTATCAAGATATTGAACAAAAAATGTATTTAACCCTAATGTTCTATGTTTAGCTGTGGCAGTCATGTTGGTTGATTGGCAGAAACAAAAAACACAATTTTGATATTAGATAGCTTCAGGATCAGTCAGTTATATTAAGTTTCTTTTCAATATGTTCTTGATGCTGATTGAAATGGTGGTGTGACACCTTTGACTGATAATATATGTATTCATTACATATATTCAAAATTTTCAACAATATCATATCAATATACTTTTAACTTTTACATTGGTTTGAGGAATGTTGTCTAGTTTTAGTCTTTGTACAGGTAAATGTCACCTACTGTTATCTGGTCTAGTAAGTCTACTTATCATCTGTTCCCTAGTTCCAGTTGTTGCATGGCCTCTGTCAAATAGTTCTTGTTTCAACTCCTCTTCTGTAGCTTTAGCAGGGTTCAAGCATGGTCTGTTATCTATTAGTTTCTTTAAAACAAAAACAAAATAAATAAAAAAAAGTCTTATGGAATAGGGAAAATTATGAAACAAAATATTTCTGTTCCAGATCATATGAGTATATGGGCCATACTCAGATGGTCAGACCATAAGTGTATGGTCTAAGTAATTAATACGATGAGCATTGCAAATTTGTTTTTACTGAAAATTGCCTAAGGTATGAATGGCCCTTGAAGCAGTCATAAAGTAAGAGTTTCTACTAGAAACGAAATATTGACTTATCTAATCATATGGTAATCATTGCAACACAAATAATGAAATAAAGTGAATTTTATTCACAAGTTGAAATCAAAGTAAAAGCATTTTTACATGGTCATTAACGATTATTCCTTATGAAAATTACTTCAAGAAATATCTAACAACTGGTTTTTTTTTCACAGGCACTTTGGGCCTTGAACCCTCTTTTATTCTTTACTTTGGTGTTTAAATTTTTTTATGTAAATTAAAATTTCTTTCATATTTCAAATAATATTTAGTTATTAAATTTTTTCATGTTCCTTTTCATTCGATTTTATAATAATAGTGCACATTAGAACAAGATAAAAAATAGTGTTGTAATATGTATACCCTCTTGAACCTGAAGAAAATTGTTAAGTCGGGTAATATTTATTCTTTTTTCATTTAAAGCAGAAGCAGAAATCAATCAGAGAACTCTATTCCCTTCAACATTTTTTTTCTCATTTTTACTACAGAAGTTGAACAAATACCTTTATACTCTTGAGAACTTCAGCCAATTTTTGTTTACTCTCTGTCATTCCTAGTAGGTCCAGAAACTCAATGATGGATCCAAGCTTTAATCTAGTTAAAGAGAACTTTTTGAAAAAACTGTCAGCTTTCTTCATAAGGGTTGCAAACATTTCTGAAAAACAAAAACAATACAATGTTAATTTGCATTGTCTTTAAATCTGGAACTTTGGTTGAATGAAATGCTTCAAAAGAGTATTATTATTGATGCATATGTGAGAAAGAGCCATAACTCAAACTTTATTCACTCTCAAAATGGATTCCCACTCTTTTTTGCAACAAAAACATTCAGATATTTTTCCAGGATTTCTCCAGGACATTCTCCCTTTTTTTTAAGGATGGTACCAGAGAACATAGTCCTGTTGGAAATCTTTTTAAACAAATTTCCTTTCATAAGAACACTCAAAAAATTTAATAATAAAGTAATACTGTAGTCAGTAACTGCTTTAATCATAAGAAATAAAATCCAACCTCTTACACTTTTAATTTTCTAATCTGACACAAATTTGCAAACAGAAAAAAAAACATGAATTTTACAAAATGCTGTCAAACCTCAAAAATTCCATAGTTTTCCCTTTAACAATTACTAGGACTTTTCAAGGCCTAAAACAACTTTAATAAAATTCCAAGGCTTTTTTTTTAAGTTTTCAAGGTAGGTTGGGAACCCTGTGTAATAGGCTGATCAAAACTGGTTAAAAATTGTCCTCCTTGAAGATAGGGACAAAACTGCAAAAAATTTCTAATCTACAGGTTTTTCAGGGTATATTACTTTGTGCATGCTTTGTTAAGATAAATTCAGAATTATGAAGTCTGTGTGTCCAGAAGTACTTGAGAAAAGTGTGATGAAAAACTTTAAGTTCATTTAACATATTGAAAAATTCAAAGTAACAAAAACAGGAAGGAGGTGTCTGACAGTTTCGAAAAGTGCTCACACATTACAAATCACCACTGCCAAGCTGGTGGCCAAATATAAAGTCATTCTGAAGTATCTGAGAAAAGTATAATGGAAATATTTGTTGCATCGGAATGACAAGGTGAATACAATATAGTTCCCATTTTTAGGAGGCATATGGGTAATATCATGACCACATTTAATTTCTATTCTATTCAGCAAACTTTAATTGTAAGCATAGAATTCAGCAATGAATATCAATATAATTTGGATAACTAAATAAGATTGAACTCATGTTTTAACTAATTATTTTTCCAACCTTTAGCTCCATTCACTATCCCTGTTGTAACTGTACTCTTCACTTTTGAAAACATTCCTTTAGGTTCATCTAAAATCAAAAGAAAGAATAAAGTAAATTCTTCATTGTGCAGTATAAAGTATGAAACTTCATAGAATTTTCTTCAAGGACATTGCATGAACAGCATTTATAGCAGTTTAAATTTATTACTTTGAAAAAATTCTGCAAAAAATTGATCCTGCAATGAAAACAACTAGGATAACTGCAATATTTGGAATTTTGGGTTTTATTTCATATATCACTACTTACTCTGAATGAGGCTAGGGATCACAGGATATACAATCAAGATTAATACCTTTAATAGTCTGTATATCTGTGCCTGGATTATCTGACTGAGCAGGAGGGTCTATAGGAGTAACATCAGTATTCTGTGTATCTGGAGTTTCATCCACTTCTTCCTGACCTTCTCCATCTGGCGGTATTTTACCTGCATCTACTGTGTAACCCTGAAATACATTAATCACAAATGTTATCCTCTTCCCAGATCTTACAGCTGTTATGACACTTGTACAAAGCTTTTATTATAGAATAAAGAAGTTTCAAAATCTCTCAAATCTCATTCCAACTGTTTCAAGTCAGATAGCTTCAATTAAAACTTATGAAATCAATACAGAATGACCATTTCAACACATTGAAAAATATTATAACTCCAAAACAAATTTACTTTCAAATTATATTGACCATAACTAAATAGATATAAGAAGATGTGGTATGAGTGCCAATGAGATAACTCTCCATCCAAGTCAAAATTTATAAAAGTAGACCATTATAGGTCAAAGTATGATCTTCAACACGGAGCCTTGGCTCACACCGAACAGCAAGCTATGAAGGGCCCCAAAAATTACTAGTGTAAAACCATTCAAACGGGAAAACATGTTTACCAATTTTTCCAGCTTGTAATCATTACAGTGTTGTACATAAGGCTGTAAAAATATAGGTCTGCTTTCTAGAAATCTGGTTGGTTCAGCAAATCCTCCATCTTTTTTAATAGCTAGATGTATATGGTTTTTACATGGTGATGATGTAGCTGTTCCAATAGTCACACCTCCCCAGATCTGATAGAAAAATTAAGATCACAATAATCATTTTTATATAATAATTTTTTGTTGCTGAAATTAATACTTCTCATGGTTTCTTGTGTAAGATATTATGATTCAGTGTGGAAATTTTATATATAATTATGAAATTATGACATTTACAGGGTAAATACATTTTAATAAACATAACATTTATTAAATTGGTTCATTTTTAGAGATAATATTGACCAATGTTCAAAATATGTTAAAAATTAGGTTCAAATACTTACTTTATGTACATTGTTCACTATATTATCTTGTTGAGTTACCTTTAATTTTGCGAAAAAGGAACAGATAATACGTCCTTTTCCCCTCTTTTTTAAAATTCACTAAATACTAAAGGGACATAACCAAAGAGCTTTTAAAACATCTGAAAACTGTAATAACCCAACAACTCATTCAAGTAACTAAAATTAATAAACATAAATTACATTGATTTTTATGAAATCCTTGAGTGAACATTTGGCTTTAACTTGTTCTATCATTTTACCTCCCCAAAAATGAATAAAACTGTTATATTTAAGAATTGAATGCTTCTTTTTATAATTTTATTGGGATGTAAAAGCATTGACCAAAGCACATTTTGTATGAAGCACTTCATATTAAAAACGTGCCCAAGATCAACACTTTTACAACCCTATAGAAGTATGAAATAAATAGGGAATGTGTCCATGGGACACAGATAATGCCCCCGCTAGCATATAACGTTATAAAGGGATATAACTCAAGAACTGTAAAAGTGACGCTACCCAAATTTGTACTTGATCTGAGTTTTGTGGTAATAAGCATTGTGCATAAGTTTCATAACATTTGGTTGAGGCAAACTAAAGTTAGAGAACAGAAACAAATATTTCAGGAATTTTTCCATTTGTAAAGGGGCATAATTCTAGAATGGTAAAAGTGGTGCCACCAAAATTCAAACTTGATCTGTTTTTGTGGTAATAAGCATTGTGTATAAGTTTCATAACATTTGGTTGAGGCAAACTAAAGTTAGAGAACGGAAACCAATTTTGGGATGTACTGACGTACGTACGTACGTATGTATGTACAGACGGACCAGGGTAAAACTTAATGCCCCCTCCGCTACGGCGGGGGCATAAAAAAGCATTCAATTCTTATAATTACATTTTTATGCTACAACCATGAAATTAAGAGTTATAACAGGCTTTCATTTGTTTTTCTATTCATTGTTTAAACAATGTCATGAATAGAACATGCAGTCATAATAGTTGTAATATTTTAGAAGGAAATAAAATATGATATTGGAGTGCCTCGGGACTGCTGTCAGCTAATCAAAATTACAGATACTTGTGAAACATACATGCAATGTGTGCAATTTATATATGTGATCTTGCTTTATGAATTATGTGAGAATTTAATGTATGCCATCTTGACATTTCAATGTGAATCTTGTACATAATGTAATAAATTATCACTAGGTGACCTTCAAAGGCAAGTTTTGAATACTGCAAAGTTCATCCTGTTTCTACTTAACGACAGAACTCAATATACTAATATTTTTTTTACCATATGTTCAATGTAATTTCCATCAGAAGGATGAAGGATGGTATCTTTTGGATCTACATTTGTGATGTAAATTTCAGTATTCTTTAGAGATTCGTCTGCTTTTATCAAAACCTCATTTGGATTATCTGTTAACATTATATATCCAGAGAAAGGAGCTACAACCTGAAAAAACATGATTTAGAGAATTATCTACTTCACTCGTTTTTCAACTTGAAGTAATCGTTTGAATATTTTGCAAACATCATTGAAAAAAAATTTCATTCTTTTCAGATTTATAAATACCTGAAAGTGTGTGAGGCTTATTAAATCATTACAAGGTATTTCAAGCTTAACTACTGCGATTACCATAAAATGTTACAACAAGAGTGCACACACTGAAATGTCTCACCTGCTTTATTGACCAATGATTTTATGTTGATAGTCCTAAATATAAAGCTTTACTACAAGTACCACATAAACTTAACATGATCCAAGAAAATGAGGTCAAGGTCAGATAAACCAAACTGGAATTACATGTACACCTTACAATCAATCTATGCATTAAATATAGTTGACCTATTGCTTATAGCATATAAAAAACAAACTTAACCATGAAAACTTAACATTGACCAATGAACCATGAAAATGAGGTCAAGGTCAGATCATACCTGCCAGACAGACATATACACCTTACAATCATTCAATACATCAAATATAGTTGACCTATTGCCTAAAGTATTTAAGAAACAAACTTAACCATGAAAACTTAACATTGACCAATCAATCATGAAAATGAAGTCAAGGTCAGATCATGCCTGCCAGACAGACATATACACCTTACAATCATTCCATACACCAAATATAGTTGACCTATTGCTTATAGTTTAAGAAAAACAGACCAAAACACAAAAAAACTAACACTGAGCAATGAACCGTGAAAATGAGGTCAAGGTCAAATAAAACCTGCCAGACTGACATGTACATCTTAAAATATTTCCATACACCAATTATAGTTAACCTATTGCATATAGTATAAGAAAAAAGACCAAAACACAAAAACTTAACTTAAACAAAAACCATGAAAATGAGGTCAAGGTCAGATGACACCTGCCAGTTGGACATGTACACCTTACAATCATTCCATACACCAAATATAGTAGACCTATTGATTATAGTATCTGATATATGGACTTGACCATGAAAACTAAACCTTGTTCACTGATCCATGAAATGAGGTCAAGGTCACTTGAAAATTGTCTGACAGGTATGAGGACCTTGCAAGGTATGCACATACTATATATATTTATTCTTTTACTCATAATAAGAGAGAAATTAACATTACAAAAAATCTTAACTTTTTTTTGAAGTAGTCACTGAACCATGAAAATGAGGTCAAGGACAATGAACATATGACAGACAGAAACTTCGTAACATAAGGCATCTATATACAAAGTATGAAGCATCCAGGTCTTCCACCTTCTAAAATATAAAGCTTTTAAGAAGTTTGTTAACGCCGCTTATGCCGCCGCTGCCGGATCACTATCCGTATGTCGAGCTTTCTGCGACAGAAGTCACAGGCTCGACAAAAATTACATCATATATTCTCTCTGATTACTCTAAGACATGTTCCTTGTACGATAAAATATCATAAAATCTTGTATGCCAAACGTAAATTTACGCTTGCTCTTATATATACAGCCAAGTAGAACATCAATAAAATAGCAAGTTAATCTAGATAAATCTTTCTCCATTACAATTCCCAGTTTTCTACTATACAACTTATTTACTTACTATATCTCCTGTCTCTAATTTCAGATTAAAACCACTGCAGAAGTATTCATGATATCTAAACAACATTGTAAACTTATTTTCGGCTACAAACATCAGTGTTCTACTATACAACTAATTTACTTACTATTTCTCCTGCCACTATTTCTAAGTCAACACCACTGTACGAGTATTCTGGGTCACCGCTCATTAGACTAGATGGATAAAATCCTTTTCCTCTACAACCATCAGTATCCAGTCTAATTGTCCTTGGAAAATCAGGATGTGCTTTGGTTCCAAAAATACTATCAATCAATGACTTTCCAAGCTGATATCTATATGCAAATTGACAATAATTATATATTGTGAAAATAAAGCATTCTGAATTAGCAAGAGGCACACATGTGCCTGCATCACTCACCTGGTGAAAAAATCGCCTATTTGCTAATAAAGACTTTTACATGCACATTCCATATTTCAGGATCGATAGATCTTGTTGTGCTGATAATTTTTGCATTTAACACTTTTAAACTAGCTCTTATATTTTTCACCATAAAAACCAAAAACTGCAAAAAAATTATATTTCAGGGGCAATAAATCCAAAAAAGGTGAACAGAATTTTCCCCAATTTTCAGCATAGATACATCTTCTGGTGCTGATCCTTTTTGCATTTTACACTTTTTAATCTAGGTCCAGTAGTTTTTGAAACAATGGCAAGCAAATGTCAAAAAAGATTAAAATCATCATTTTAGGGTTATAACTCCAAAACATTTGATCGAATAGAATTTGTTATGCTGATCATTTTTCCCCTGTCAGTTTTTCTCTATTTGCTATAGTTTTAGAGATATTAGCCAAAACTGTAGTTTGATCACTATGACTCGGTGGCCATATTGGTTGATCATTCTAGACGAAAATCACAAACTATATAGTTGACATCCTACAGACAGCAACAAATTTTTGAAGGATGAAATCAGTACGAAACAACTGAAGATAACCACTCATCAGATTCTTTAATTACAGCAGGTTTTAAACTAGTTTTTTTCATTAATTCAACCTTTCTTTTTACAACTTGCGGTCATCCGATGTTCAGTACTTTAGTACTTTGATTTTTACTTCTATCAATGAAATAACATAAGATACATACCACAAAATACAATAGAAATCAGTTCATAAAACCTTTTATAAATATGTAATTGGATGCTCATTTTTTTTTTTATCTTACCCTTTCTTCAGAATAGAATAAGCCTCTTTTACTGATTTGATGACTCCAAAAACAGTTTCATAGGCTTCAAAAAATGGACCAGCAAGATGTCTTAGAATGGTTCTAAAAGGATTCATCAGTTCCTCTATAGTTGTAATGATTTCATTCTTTATTGTCTCTCTCAGTTGGGACTGGAATAAAATACTAAACATGTATATCAATTTCAAATAGCACAGATATACAAAATTATCCATCAAACAAGATTAAGTCTCACCTCTGGGTTCTCTTGTTAATAAGTCTCAGGTGCACAAACGTTTATAAAGTCTCAAGTGAGACATCTATAAATAGTCCAGGTGAGACAACAATGCTTAAATGAGGTCTCATGGGCGATTTAAACCTATCAATACAGTCCAAGAAAAGATAAAAAAAACCTATAAGTAGTCTCAGGTGGGACAAAAAACTATGAAATAAATGTCAGGTCAGAATAAAATCTATAATGGCAAATTGATAAAATTTCCAGAATTGATGCTCTGTTTTTATTCTGATTTGACACGAAAACAGTACAGGTTATGGGTGGAAACTTCAGATTAATATAAGAGGTAACAAAGTTAAGTTGGTTAGGCACTTTGATTTCTTAAAAACTGAATTTGAACATTGTCTAGAAATATTCAAAGTTTTAAATTTAAGCAGAATACCACTACTGTTTGTTCATAGATGTCATATCAATATATTACCGTGGTATTCTTTCCTTTGGTAAATGTAGCCACAGGATCTTCCTTGAAATCTTCAATCCATTCGGGACTTCCCTTTTTTACTGCATCTATTGCTTTTTCAGCCTCCTCAACAATTCCTTTATATTCAACACTGATATTCCACCAGTATGGCTTCTCATCTTTAATTTTATATATATTTATAGGTTTTGCAACAAGCGAGGAAATGGATATCCCTTGATATCAACTTCAGTTATCTTATTTCAATGTAAGTATAAAACAGTCCTTGGCAAGTTAGTTATTATTATTAAAATTAAATTAAGAGAGTTGATATCAAGCGATATCCAATTTTCAAGAGTTCTTAAACAAAAAAGAATAAACCCACAATTACACATCATGTACTAGAAAGTGTATACAAAATATTTCTTGAAAATTGCAGATTAATTCTACAAGATTTTGATGGAAAACAAATAAACTGGATCAAATGTCAAGTTAATATTTTGATTTAACTTTTTTATCATAATCATTCTCTAATGACATTGCTGCTATTAATTGGTAAAAAAGTATCATATCTGTGGTTAATTGAGAAGGAACTTTGACCTACAAATTTGCAGTATTAAAAACTCTGTTATTAAAATTCACAGCATTTAAAAAATGTCTGTATAAAAAATTCCAACAGATGATCTATAATAAACTTCTTTAGAAATTTCATCTCTTTTTTCAAAATCTAGACAGCAGTAGTGAAAATTTTATAATTTCACAAAGATGAACCATTTACATTGATCAGTTCTAGTTGTAACTGACCAGAGAAGATATGTTATTGTTTAACATTTTCCCCAAAAAATCTGGTGCCCATAAACAAGGGAAAGGCAAACTTGAATAATTTGAGTAACTGCTAATTTTAGAGAACATTCATTTATCTTAAGTTTACATACAATATGCCTTTTAAAGTTTTATTAATAAAATGTATAATATTTGTGTCTTTAAATTCATACCTTTCAAGAAGAAACACGCCTCTTGTGTCTGATTTTTCAGTTTAAGAGCTTCCTTATAAGTTGAGTATACCCTGATAAAAAGAGAAAAAAAATAACTGTCATTATCCATAGCAATGCATGCAATTAAATGTATTAGTCACAATGACAATGATAATATGGCATGTTCATCCGAGACAGGGAATTAAATTTACTTTAAACAATGGAAGGTCCAGGACCTTTGGCTAAAAAGACTGAAAGGTCCTCCTTTATTCTTAGAAGGTCCAATTTAAATTGTACTTGAAAATTCAATTTATAAAAACAGATAAGGCTTACCCTTCCAAAGCACTCATCATGTCCTACTACATCAAACTCATGGTTTTTTTCTGAACTTCTAAAATAAATTCATAGTCAGAAAAGGCTTCCCCTTTTTCCCAGCACCATAAGCTGTGTTAAATAACACCTTGAAACTGTTTGAATTGCTCTGGTTAAATTGCTGCTTAAGAACACACTGGCCTAACTTTGTGTCAGATAACAGGTTGACTTTGTTTTCAAAATTGTGTTTGGCAAGATAGATGCTGGGAGGTACTTTCATGATTTTTTTATGTGGTCAAGTTTTAAGTGTTTTTATCCCCAAACCAGTGCACTTTCCCTTTCACTGTGTGTGGGATAATTGACCCAATACTTGCACCACATTAAACCAGTTGCCTCATTAAAATCAATCCAAGGACGCTTAAACTCCCATTGGGGCGAAAAATTATGTTCTCGCTTTTCCCTGTCATTATTTTTGGTCTTTAGTCAGATCCTGTCTTTTGGACTGTGTTTCATAAGTCACCCCCGCTGTATCACCCATTTCATCAGATTCTCTTGGAAGAGGTCACCCCAAAACAAAAAAAGACTCATACCTTTTACTAGTTATGTTTGTATAACATATACTCAAGTTTCCCTGTATCTTGTACGAGAATTAGTCACGTGACTACACATCAAATAGATTGTGAAGAATTTAAGCAAACACATAAGTTTCCTTTCAGTAATGTTACATATTTTACGATTATTTTTATACCAAGTTTATAGATTTTATCCAAAATGCTTTTGTAATTTTTTTTAACCTGCAAAATACGAAAGTCCAAAAGTACAGAGGAAAAGTAAACATTCTGAATAAATTGTTGACACAGAGATATGTCTTACCCGTATGTAAAATTGATAGTATAATGCAATTGTGGAAATTCAAAAGGCAACACTTCAACCTGTAATATGCAAGAGTTTCAAAGTCAATAGACCAAAACTAAGGAGTAAAACTAAAATATATCTCCAAGGAATTGAGTTATGACAATATTAATGCAACTGCTTACTTAATATCATTAACTTATTTATTACCGTTAGTGGTTCTCGTAAACTGACCTATCAGAAACTTCTATATGTACTTTATGGACAAGTTTTGAAGTCAATGGACCATGACTGAGGATGACGTGGCCAAATAACCTCCATGGAGAAGAGATTGCCAATGCTAATAAAAGTGCATACCAAATTTCTATGACCTACCATAAATGTTTCCTTAAAATTTACCTCATCACAAACTTTAACTTGTAAGCTATGGACAAGTTTGGAAGTCATTGCATCAGGACTGAGATGGCGTGACCAAATAACCTCCATGGAAAAGAGATGCTAATAAAAGTGCATACCAAACTTCACTGACCTACCACTGTGGTTCCCTTTAAACTGACCTTATATAAAATTTTAACAATTGTTGTTGAAGAAAATATTCCACCATCACAGGCCAGATGAAAACAGAAAACAAATTTGTCTATTAAGTCATTCTTTTTACAATTTCCTTTTCAACTTTTCTATAACCAGCATATCTCTGCATCTATTACTGAGGTTATGCAAAATAAATCAAGGGTCCCAGTTTACTTGTATTTCAATAAATTAGTTTTGGGGCTGTGCCGCTTTCAACGTATATTAGTTCCTCCTAACAGAAGTTCCCCTGGAAACTTTGTTATAAACAATGTCATAATATCTGTTCCTGCTGGAACAAATATTCTATACCCTTTTTTCCGTAAGGAACAAATACTGTAATATATGTTTCAATGGAAATATCATTACAGGATGTCTTCCACTTGGAAATTATATTATGAAGGAACTTATATTTCATGACACCTTCACATTATACATAATGACCTTACAACAAACAGAATCCCTCTCCTAAAGGAACTATAAGTTTTGTAAAATCTGATTTACGGAACAAAAGAAAATATCAACAAAAAAGAAGAATGTCCTAACAACAGAATGCACCATATATGATATAATAGATTTCTCACTCTGAATAGAAAACACTAGAGATATACACCCACTTTTTGTTGAATTCAGCAATAAAAAGGATATTAGCTTGAACCTAAAAAATCTTTTGTCCAAAGCAATCTTGAAAGGTGTGAATTAGTAAATACTGTACATCATTCAAATATATTGGTTGAATGATTGATTGATTGATTGTTGTTGTTTAACACCACTTTCAGCAGTACTTTTGGCTATATGGTGGCAGCCAGTTTTTATTAGTGGAGGAAGCCAGAGTACCCAGATAGAACCATCAACCTTCACAGGGAAACTGGCAATCCTAGTCAATGAGGATTTGAGTGGAACACACCTGCCAACAGTGGGATATCAAACTCACAACAACAGGCTAGTGATTATTGTTACTGAACTACTTAGACCACTTTGTCACCGAGCCCCCTCCCTCCCCCTCAAATCCAAAATATATGTGCATCTGATCAATCTACAATATACAAATAACAACTTACTGGTACACTCCCAGTCCAATCTTAAAGATGGAAGACTTTGGGTTCTTGCCAATGATCCTAAATCCTTCAATTATTCCTACTACACCTTGATATAGCTGATCACCCATTACTGGTAATTTGACATTGATCAATTCATCTAATTTCTACAATGGAATGCATTCTTCAGTTCTGATAATTAGTCACATCTCATTTACTGTCATAATAATTTTAGCTTATAGGTATGGACTGTATGCATTTACAAATTCATAAATACACAAACAAATTCACACGTTTTAAATTGCACTTTTACATACTTCAGCTGTGTGATATTTATGAACTTCCTGTCATGTTTATAAACTTTTTGTGTCCCATATCTCTGTTATATTAGGACCATCAAATGAGAAAAAAATCTTTTTTGATGACTCATCAATTTTTCCACCCAACAAATTTCTATACAAATCCTCTCTAAACCAAACTTAACACTAATATAAGGGTAGTTGATAAAAAAATAGTATGAACAAATTTCAATACTTAAAGGTCTAAAATAAGCATTCCGACTTTACAATATACTTACATTATAAAATGTCATAACATCCGTCTTGATGTCATTAAACAATTTCTCTACTCTGTGAACGAGACTCTTTACTGGTTTCAAGAATGCAGGTAGCTGACTTTCATCATACTTGCCTATAGCTTCAACTGCTTTTTTGGCTCTTGAACGAAGATCAGCAACCTACCGGCCAACAAAAAACAAAAAAGACTGAATCAAACTTTAAAAAATAGAGGTACATTCAAGTCTGTATTTAAATTATCTAGACAAAAATATAATTTGGACTTAAATTATAATCAGTTAAAATGGAAAGAATCATATTTAAAAATTAAGTGAACTCAGCATGTGCTTTGATCCTTAATAATGTCAATTAAAGTACAAATACATACATGGTTTCTTTGGCACCTGTTCATGGCTCCCTAAACTTCAAAATTGTGGATTCATTTATTTTCATGGGTACCAATTTTTGTGGATAGAGGAACAATTTTAATTCCTTGGATATTTGATGTCATTCAGGCTTTCAAATATGTGTACTTCCTTGAACATTTCAATTCATGGCTAACCTATACCAAGGAAATCCACGAAAATTGGTATACAACAGATAATAATGAATCCACTGTAAGTAGAAGCTTTCAGCATTTAAAAAATGTTTATTTTAGGATGCTTTTATAAACCTACAGTGCATGGATATAAATAATTTCAACCACATATACTTCATATAAAAACACATGGAATCATGAAGTCCCATATGTTTGAAAGGTTTTACAGATGTTAAAAAGTGCAAAAAAAAATAAAAGATGGAAAACCTTTTTGAGCATATGGGGCTTTATTATTTCATGCATTCCATTTGGAATCTACAAGGGTGTAATGGACTTGACAAAATTTAAGCTACTGAGGAGTGAAATCTTGAAATTTCTGGATAGCTGAGTGATTGTACATACAAACAACCAACATATACAAAGAGGTTATTCTTTTCTAAGCTGATACGTGTCATAATCTGTGTGAATTTATGGTTATATGTTGCAAAAAAATGTACCAGAGGCAAGCAGATGTACAATTTTCAAATTTTGTTTCCTTCCTTGTGGAAAATAAGAATAAGAGGACCAGCATATATAAACTGCTGTTCTTGTTGTTCGTATGGATAAGAGCAAGAACACATTAAATAAGTGAAAATATGTTAAAACATTCAAGACCAACTGTGTGTCAGAATATATAAGTATTGGGTAACAGGAAAATGTGACCAAAATTCATATATGGCCATTATGTGTTAGATTATATAAGTATTCTGTAAAAGGAAGTTGAGAATCTGCAACCACATTACACAGTATAGCATGTTCACATGAAGCCTAACAAATTTCAGGACGCTCTGATTTCTACCTCCTAAAAATATGCGACAGAAATTTCATGTGAGGGAAGGACAAGCATCAGTACATTCCTGGATAGTCATACTTTGACATAAAAGGTCACAATAGATAAACAGTTGTAATTTACAGTCATAATAACCATGTAGTATCAACAATAGAGACTATATTCGCTAATATTTAACCTTTTGTGGAAGTGATTCCAAAGCAGCTATAAAGTCATCTATAATGCCTTTAATTCCTTTTCCACTAATGATTTCTTTAAACAGGTCTACACCTGACTTTATACCATTGACAATATCTTTTATCACTTTATCAAATCTAAAAATCATTTCAATGAACTGTTTCCCATTTCCTTCCTGTAAAATATAAGGCAAACGCAAATATTTGTTATTGGTTTCCATATAGACGTATCCATAAATTTTCTTCCACATTTTTCAACAGTAATATAGAATTGAATCATAAACTAGAGGCTCCAAGGAACCTGCATCTCTCATGTGGTGTCTTTAGTGTTACAGTGACTTATGGCCCCGCCAATTTGGTGACTTAAGGGGTAATGCTAAAACATATTATCTGTAGTTACGTATGACACAATGTTTTTTTTTTAATATTTGGCAGAATGTAAATAATGTCACATCTTTGTATGTTATCTCGTTTGTGTAATATATAAATATGATTTACCCATAGATCCAACATTATGGAAAAAATAGTTTCAGATTTAAAATTTTGAAAAAAAAAAACATTTGAGATAGTCATATGAGAGTTGTTCCTTTCTTCAACTAACCCTCGTCACATCTTAATACTGACCTGAAATATGTTGAAATTGTATGATGTATCTCCTTTATAACACAGTTTGGCAACAAAAAATGGAATATTGATTCCAATCATTCCCACATGGACTATGGCATAGGCTTCATCATGTGCACTCACTTTAAAATGGCCACTCAATGGAGCTGTTCAAAATTTTATTACAAATGTTAAAATAAGAGCAAAATTGAGGTGTTTTTTTTAAGGTGGAAAAGGTGTAGAAGAGTAAGGAAATAAGGAAGTTCTTTTTTAGTTTTTTTGTTTATTTTTGACTTTTTTGCACAGGAAAATTTGTATGCATAAACAGTGAATAAATAGTAGATTTAAAATGGAACTAAAGGAGTATGTTTGATAAGGCCCCAATTTGGCCCCTATTTCTGGCTTAATTTTTAAATTAAGATTTAATGTCTTTTTCTACAATATAGCAATGATTTAAAAGGATAGGAAATATGTATTTTGTTTGAAAATTTATAGATCAGTGATTTTTATAAATAGCATTAATAGATCATGCAAATTTAAGGTTTTTGGGACTAGAAACACATGGGGCTTGTTTATTATTACAAATGAACTATTTGATGTAAATTTTTGGTTTGTCGAAACCGTACACTCCATGTTTTCTAGGCCTAATTGTGGCTAAAATCCAGATAATTATGTCAACTTTCATATACGTCTCTATTTTCTGCCTAATTGGTGTATAACTGACCCCTTTGTATGAAAAACTTTTCCTTTCCCTTTAATTTTTCACACATATATGCATCAACTTGAAACAATTTTCACCTTGAAATAATGGCCTTAATATTTGGGGCCAAAAAGGGCCCTTACCAAAACTACTCCTTATTAACTTCAAAGAAATGTCATTTTGTGAATACTTCATGAAAAATCAACAAAATTCTGACAATTGGCATACCTCAGTCTGTGTTAAAATAAACTGCAAAATAAAACTTTCTACCTTGAATACTTTACTAAGTTGGTATAATATCCATAAGTCTATTAAACAACCCACTTAAAAAGATAGAATAACTGTTTTTACCATTGCCAAATTTCCTCATATTAGTATAAATGCAAAATACTTACCAATTTTCAAATCAAGGTAATTTTCAATGACTATTCCAAAAGATGCACCAAGTTCTTTGGTTCCAACTTTTTTCTGCCAGTCTACACTAGGTGTAGATAGTTTGAACTCCAACCCATCCCAGAATCCTCTCTTGTGTCTTTGGTGACCTTGAAGCTCAATTATGTCTGATGCATAAGGATCAACTATGCTGCTCTCATTTACTGAACGTCTACAAAAGGACAAAAAAATCATATTATAATGAAACATTAGTTCATTTTGATTTGATAATGCACAAATTTTAGGGCATCAATTCCACGATTGATCGTTTGAAATTGTGTTGGCAAGAGCAGACTCCATGTGACTAATTTTAAGCGTATATTATAGTTAGGTTTTCTTTAAGATGCAATAGAATGTAGATGATAGTATTGTACCTCAAGATTGCAGACATATCTTTTTATTAGATAGTTGCAAATATCTGTTAACTAGCTGTGCCAATTTGTCGATTGTAAACTCAACTTGTGACCCATCAAATTGCCTACTGATGCCTGTAAATCTTCAAATACAAAACTGTTATTTTCTAATTGTATTACAATAGACGATATCTATACCTAGCTACTCTTGACTGAAAATTTTGACAGGAAATGACAACTGAACTTGAAAGGTAAACATGATTAAAGTTAACTTGGATTAAAAAACCATAAAGAATGAAGTATGGGTGATGTCAATTTCATCTTACAATATATTGTCACTCTCATAGATGAATCAGCAAAGCAAGTTATCTATTAAAAAGAGTTGTGGGGTATACATCAATGAATTAGATACCAATCAGATATCAATGATCACAACAAATCAACAACATCTACATGTCAACCAGTTTCTGAGGATTGATTGGCTGTCAACGGGCATGTCAAGGTAATGCTGAGGTTAAATGCTCTTCAACGTCGTATTTGATTTGGCATTTCAACTGTTTTGATTCGAGCGTCACTGGCGAGTCTAATGTAGACTAAAAGCACACATGACATACAAAGTTAAAAGCCTGGTATCTTTAATGAGTTTTTACAAGAATGATCCTCATAAAATTCATTCTTGAAAATTAAAACTAAATTCAGGGAATTTTCATAAATAACCAATGAATTGGTTGTTATATATGTTATATATAGTTAATTGGAGAACTTTTCATATCATAGATTTAAAAAGAAGATATAATTTGTAAAGAAAGATGAATCATATTCTATGACATTTTTGGTACCAAACTTGACCTTAAAGTACAAAAAAAGTACCTCATTTAATCATAGGCAGTTTCTACAATCCATAATAATAGAGCCGTTAAGACTGCTTTTAATAATAATATTGTATATACAATAAAACTGTGAAAATAGAAATTCACAGAAGCCTGTTCAAAGAGACAAATGCATGGAATGCAATACTTGTGAAATTTAAACATTCACATTAAAATGAAGATGTCTAAGTTCATACATGGACAAGGACAAATATGACCAGAAGAATGCTGACTCTAAATTGTACCTGATATTTAGAGGAGAAATCGTTTTGGATTTTGGATGTGCTTGATACAATAACAAGGCCTCATATCGAACATTTTCATCTTCATCGAATAAAGCTGTTTTCAGCATGGTATCAGCTGCCTGGAAATAAATATGTTAAACTATGCATTGATTCATGGAATTAGCAGGTAATGTTCAGTTAGTAATTTTACTTGAATAAAATGAACAATTAACATAATAACATAATGAAACACCACTTCATAGATATTTTCGACAATACCTGGAGATAAAACAAGATAGTAGAAGTGCACATGGTCTGTGGCAAGGTGAGCTAAAAAGTGGTCAATCTCAGCAAGCTTATAACAGTAATATTACTTTTAAAATAAACAAGTTTAATATTGCCCTCAATTTTTATTGAAGTGATGGCTTAATTGATTTGTTGTTCAACAATTATGTCTTGTATTTTTGACAGATAAACATCAATCGGCTATTAAATTTTTAGTGCATCACATATGAAACAAGATGAACATATTTTCTTTATTTTTCCGTTCAATTCACTCTAGTTACTGCATAAGATCATGTCTTACGGGACAGTATATGATGATCCTTTGGGAAATCTACTCTAAAGTACAGAGGCTGATATCACAGAGTAGAACAGCATGATTCTGTATCAACGTGCTAAGTACTTTAGCTTTTCAACCTACTTCTTGACCTGAATAATTCTGTAAGCTGCATAACTATAAATTCCTAAAACACCTGAATTACAGAATTGTACATAAACAATGAAAAGAGGCATCCATGAATACTTTCAACATTAGAAAATACCCTATATTTACCATCTCATGTTCATATTTTCTAAGAGCATTTAGTCCAGCTCGTTTTATCCATGGAGAATTTGTTGTATTGACATGAGAAACAATATAATCGTAGGAAGAGTCCATTCCAGCATTGCCCAATGTTTCCAGAAGAACAACATTCCAGTGATCATGTACTTCCTGCTGTTTTGTTGTTTGTGTGGCACGTTTTACTTTGTAGTTCCAAGGATCTGTGCAATGGATAAAAAAGTAATAACTTACATTTATATAAAAAAAAATTTGTTAAAAATAATGTCTTCTCATTCTCTCAACCATTTTACTTGGATCAATTATGACTTTTTTGTAATGATAAAGGATTTGAAAGCGGTACAAAAATTCTTTTTTTATATGCATAAATAAGGATGTAATGTGAAATAAAGGTGAAATCATAAGTGAAAACACATTTATGACAGTTAAGACTTCAAGAAGGATGGGATGGGACAAAAACATTACAAGCCCAGCAACATCAAGGTGTGCAGTATATGGCCTCTACTTTCATACGTGAATGAATGTTTTCTGAAATGGCCCCTTTGATCTGTACACAATCTGCTGGGTCTCCTTAAATAGCATGTAAGTTATTAGTCAGATAGTTCCCTTGAAGTTACTTCAGTGATGTTAGACATTTTCATTACTTTTTATGCACTTCATTATTTAGTGTTGTTTAAAAGACACAGGTTAACTGACCATAAGCAGGGAATCTATAAAACCGTATTGAATTAGCAGGGTCAAGATTACAGAAGACTGAAAGATAAAATTAACTTGATAGGGGAAATTCGCCTAATTGCGGACACCTTTTCAAATCCGGAAGTTTGGATACCGTCGAGGCCAATTGCGGACATACTGGTGGTTGCATTTGACAGGAGAGGATAGAGGGGTATCAAATGGACTATTTCCCATGTTTTCAGGTCTCCTCTCTTGATTTGTAGATTGCAAACTCTTAAAACCCGCGGAAATGCCGAGTAGCGTAAATGCGGACAGGGGGAGTTAAAATACGGACACCTTGTCGTCAAATTGCGGACACTTATTTTTAAACATTTCTTGCTATTCAAAACGCAGGTATTATGCATATATAACATTAGCTCTCATGAATACCCCTCAGGAATACCCTTTCAGTGCATCTTAAAGCATGTTTGAGAATGGTTTTCTCGCATTAACTGGTAATACATGTGGAAAGGTGAGAAAAAATAAGATTAAAAAAGTTCATTAAATATCCTATACCACACCAATTATTAAATGATATAAGATGGTACTGACAACTTCCATCGGGATATTGTCTTCCAAGATGCATGCGTGCATATATACGAGATATAGTTGTGATAACTTTCAATTTCAAATCGTATGGCATTCATTTGTAATGTGTTTTAATGTCCTAATCACTTACAAATCCGTAGCCCTCACCCACGAGCATAAGATGCCTTGAGGCGAGATTTTTTTATTTGCATTTTCCGATACTTATAAGATAATTTTATTAAGGCCCCGCCGAATGGCGGACGCCCTATAGTGATCAGTCTGTCCGTTTGTCCGTCCATAACAAATTGTGTCCGCTCTATATCTAGAGAACCGTTATGATTTCAAAGTTTATATTGACATGTATATTAACCAACACCAGAGGGTGTGTCATAATTTATGTACAACTTCCTAGGTCAAAGGTCAAGGTCAAAAACTTTGGTTTTAGTTGACAACCCCATGTCCTATGGTAAAAATCGTTTCCGCTCTATATCTTGAGAACCGTTATGCTTTCAAAGTTTATACTTGACATGTATATAAACCAACACCAGAGGGTGTGTCATAATTTATGTACAACTTCCTAGGTCAAAGGTCAAGGTCAAAAACTTTGGTTTCAGCTGACAACCCCATGTCCAATGATAAAGATACACATTTTTTACCACACATTATTCACAGCGGGGCCCACAGAGATGGCTCCCATCTCAATGATATCTAGTTTATCCTCGGGTTTCTATGTACTCTTTGACAAACATGATTTTTTTGCGGCCCATCCAACACCATGAACATCTGAAAACAGTTTATGGAATGGGTAAAAAGGCTTAATTTTTAAGAATTGTTAAATCAAAAATGGGAAAACGCAAGGTGTGAGGGAACATGCAAATTTTGTAAATTGGAATGTTAAAAAAAAAATAAGAATATGGAAAAATAGACACCAAAAATTTTAGGGAATTATGGAAAAGTCAGTATTATGTTTAGTTTTATATGTATTGTCTATCATTTGTTGTTTCTAATGTATTGGTCTTTTGTTGGGCAATGTATGACAAATATATGTTGAAGAACCTAGCCCGTAATTATAAATTATGTAATTCATTGACCGCTCCCGACATGTGTAACTTTAAAGCATAGTTTAGCGGCGATCGATGTCTTTCAAAATTACTGCACTTTTCTTGTATTCCTGGTGCTTTCGACTTGAGAACCGTCGTACACAAGCATCGCACAAGTTGGCACTCCGAGGCGGGTAGGGAGCAAAAAGGTGAACTTTGGTTTATTTTTATCAATAGTACCGCTTAAGTCGACGCTAGGGGCCGTCTTGACCTTGTAGGATATGAATGATTCGTTCATTGTTGAAGACCCTACTTCAACTGTCAAGATGAAGAACAGGAATAAAAGCCCTGTTCATTGATAACTTTTTATATTTTTCTATGTATTGTGTGCGATTTTGTCCCATGTACATTTACTCCATATCCTTTATTTTCTCTTATGAATACTGACCCATGTCACTCCTCAATGAAGGGTCTTGCTGGCTTAAGTCCAATATCTCGAAAATAAAAAGTAAAAAAAATGAAAGGGAGCTTCCCCTAATGTTACTAAGTGTTGTGCTAAAATTTCTTTTAAAATCTGTCGGAGTAAATTTGAGTTATCCTACGACATAGAAAGTCTAGACGGACGGATGAAAAGACGGGCAGAGTGATTACTATAATAGGGCACCCGCCAAAAGTCGACAGGCCATAATAAAGACGTAGTGCTGGAGATTGTGGTCACGCATGATGATACGCTATTGGCGTTCGTTACATTTCGTCACATACATGTATATACTTTTTTCTATATAATGCATGTTCTCTGACCAATAATGGCATCGGATTTTATCCGACTGGCGAAAGGATACCAGCGTGTGTAGAACATGCATACCTAGTTCTGTGCCTTAGATGAAATGTCTAAAACACAACAGGTTAACGATAGGTGCAAAGGATGATTAATTACTAACATTAATTCGTCCATGCAGGTAAAAAAAAAACAAACGTGAGGCATACGTCGTTCACATGAGAAAATTACCGAACCAAATATGGAAGATGCAGGTGATACAGTTTCACCCGAGGAGGAGGATGAGGACGAGGAAGAGCTTATCAAAACTTTTTAGATATTAAATAGGTTACATTTGAATTGTTATATGATTACAAAGCTTTTAGTTTATGATTATTTCATAACTAAAGAAAATAAGTTTTTGATTACCAAAGCAAATATTTAATGATTATGTGATTATGCTGGCAAAAATTTGGTGATTATGCGATTACTGGTATCTCCCCATGAGGGGCCTCGTTTGTTTTTCGATTTGCCACAGACGGATGGACAAACAGACAGACAGACGACTGGATGCACAAAGTCGTTACTGTTGGACGCTCACAAAAGTCTATGTATTAGTTACATTATTTCTATCATGATTTGAAAAAAAAGTTTTATGAAAACATTTCTTTCAAAAGAATATTCGTGATATCAATAAGTTCATTCTGCCTCTTCCGCAGTAAGAATGTCCAACTCTTTACCTCTTATACTTGATTTTCTAGCAATAAACACAATGCTGCTGAATTCATTTCCCTTATCCCTTTTCGCATAGTAGTGTTGATACATATTCATGTTTTGATAAACGTATTAATTTCATAAATAAATAGCCAATAACATCATTGTCAAATAGCCATTCGTCTACGAGACATTGTTGCAATTTCATTCGGGTGATTGTTTTCTGTACATTTTATTTCATTCCATTTGCTTTCGCAAAATGTCCTAAACATGTAGACATTCTGTAAAGAAAGAGAAATAGATTGGCTTGCCATCCCGGGGATGACGTTTACAGTTTTTGACCTATTGAAGATGTGTGCAAGTTGCCAACTGGAGTGGAAATCAGACTTGTAAACGCATTATGTTCGTAATATGCAAAATGAAAGCAAATCAAATAAACCCAAATCAAAACTTTATTGATATAAATGTATCGGATTGAAACTAATAATGCTAGATTGTAAGAGATTTTTGTTTATTTCTGTCATCATGGTATTGATATATGCACCACTGCACGTGTTAGTTGTTCAAAATATCGTGTGTCCGCATTTCGGCTATCGTATTATTTTCGGTGGTGAAAATGCGGATACTTGCTTATTCCTGTTTTGTAATCAAAATTTAGACAAATCAGTAAAAATAATTAAAAGAAATGTTTCCTTGCATAAAATACGCAATGCCTATCGCTTGTCAACACATAAATTGCCATTCTTTCATGAGCAACTGTGTATTGAATGTGACACGCTGACTTTGGACCTTTTTCAAAATTTTCCGGTTTTCAAACTTGTTGACATAAGCTATTTATAGCATGCAATTTCAATCACATGACATAAAAGTAAATCGTAAGCAATAGACATAATAACTTTATTGCAACAAAATAGAGATTCAATAGTAAACAAAACACCTTATTTCTTATATCTATTTTATTTCAATTTTTCCTAATTTTATTGAAAAGTGAGATATTCGTTTTCCGTCCGCATATCGGCGCTGTCCGCAATTAGCCGATTTTCCCCTAATTGATCTTTCAATTTTTTATAAAATATTGGTTCAGAGCCACTTAAGTTGAAAATATGTCTACAACATTGTGTGGAGTTCCTCAGAAATATTCAATCATACAAAAAATTCTATGCAGACTCAAAGTAAAATCTGGTCATATGTCAGTGAATTTTATTTTGCAACAAGCATCCATGCAATACATAATCCCCTAACGGTTAAAAATTCATTGTATTTGAACAAAATGATAACTTGATCTATAACTTGTCATGGTGTAAAATAAATAACAAATATCAAGTCAATATCTTCAAGCATGATGAAAACAAGTGTGGATAACTGATTATTTGAGTGAATTTTCTAAGTCCAAGGACCATAACTCAGCACAAAATCATCAAACTGGAACAAAATTTGAACTTGATCTGTAACTTGTCATGATAAAACTATATACCAATTATCATGATTATCAAATCAATATCTTCAAGCATGACAAAAAAAAGTGTTGAAAACTGATTATTCGAGTGAATTTTCTAAGTCCAAGGACCATAACTCTGCACAACATCATCAGACCAGAACAAAATTAAAATTTGATCTGTAACTTGTCATGATAAAACAATACACCAAATATCAAATCAATATCTCCAAGCACGAAGAAAAAAGTATGGAAAACTGATTTGCCGGACTGATGGATGGACAGACAGCCAGACAGACAGACAGAGTGTAAAACCTTAAGTCCCCTTCGACTTCATCGGTAGGGGACTAATAAAAAGTAGGTATGTTTATGTTTTAAAAACCAATAATAAATCATAGGAATGATGCAAGAAGGAAGAGCAACAGAAAAACAAAATAACAATATAAACTTTTTACCATGGAGCCCTAATTTCTGATGGACTTTTTCTATGATTTCTGCTGCAGTTTTCTGATCTCCAGCTTTGGAAAGTTGATTAACCACAATACCAAGGGTAAGTAATGCTCTCTGATACAGCTTTCCAGTGTACAATGATTGTGGAAACTTATTTCTATTGAAGCATAAATCTTCAATGGCAAGTAATATACTCTGAAGGTAGAAAACATATAGAAATTTCTAATAATAAATTATGTCCACCTATATATAAATATAATTAATTGTCAAATATTGACCTAGCTCTGAGCTGGAATATGCCTGTAGCATTTGTTAATGATATTAAGCAACCAATAGAAAACTTTTATTTTTTTGTCAAGATATTAGTTTAAGTACTGTAAACTTATTTTAGCTCACAAAACTATCTATTAAAACAAGAACTATGGAAACAGTTTTTTCTCGTTATTATTGTATCTAACAAATTTTTGCTATACTACCTGATGAGGTGGCTTTCTGAAAGTAGGTATATGTGACAACAATCTTATTACAAAGACTGGTTTTGGTTCTTTAGAGTAGATGATGAACTTTGCTAACAATATCTGGCTTAGATTTGTGGACAGACTGGCAAAGGCATCTATCATAATCTCTGTTTCCTCTTGGTATCTTATCAAACTAAAATACAAAAGTGTTATACTTCAATAAATTGTTTTCTAAGTATATCAAAGTTCATAAATTTGGTAGTTACAAGAGAATTGATGATCTAAGGACAGTTATAAGTTAATTGTACATCTTAAAGACAGCAAAGTTGCTTAATTTCCAAATTTGATAAGTTATAAGTGTTACAGCAGACATTACACCATTAATAAAATCAGTTATCTATAATAGCAAGCTTTACTCCCACTTGGAACTAAATTAGGGATAATTATTAACATCTTAATCTAGTTTTATGCAAAAGCTTCTGTTTATGTTGATGTCATATATTTTGTTATATGTTCATATATTGACAACTTGTCAAAATTTGCTTCTATTTACAGCTTGAACTATGGCGTGGACTGCTGTATTATTAAATTGAAGAAAACTGTATTAAGCTTATCTACTATTGTTCAGTTAGAGTCTTGGTGAAATATAACAAAAAATATTCTTTCAAATAGTCGTTTATTTTTTAAATATTGCAAAATATTAATGTTTGCACATTTGTTTGTAATGAAATCTAAAACTAAAAATTTTACTGAAAAGCTCTTTCAAATGCGCTGTAAACAACATTTTTTAGTTTAAGCAGCACAATAATTGTAACTAGACATCATTGAGATGGGAGCCATCTGTGGGCCCCACTGTGAATAATGTGTGGTAAAAATTTGTATCTTTACTACAGGACATGGGGTTGTCCACTGAAACCAAAGTTTTTGACCTTGACCTTTGACATAGGATATTGTACATACATTTTGACACACCCTCTGATGTTGGTTAACCCTTTCACTGATAGCCGGCCTGACAGATATACTCTGAGACGATGGCTTTCCTGGCTAATATGACACAAGTGGGAGATCTTCATATTAAATATCAATAAAAACTTGTCTGTAGTTATTTATATCTCTATATTATTCACTTACACCATGGACACAGTTTTGTTAATGTTTTGATCATTTTTTCTTCATAAAAATCAAAATTTGTAAATTTTCGGCATTAGAGAGATGAAATTCTCGAAATTCGACTTTTTGACCCAAAAACGTAATCTTTAAACCCAAAACGGCAAAAGTTTGAAAAATTCAACAAGGTTGTACAAATTCCTTACACTGAACGATGTCCATTCCAAGTGTTTTTGTACATAAAACGGCATTCTGGCTTCAATTCTTCCATATTCTTTCAAAAAAAATGTTTCCTTATTTCAAATTCTAGTAAAATCCGTAAATTTCATCTGATTTTGACACAGTTTTCAACAAACGGAAGCGCCATGTTTACACTTTCATCCGGGCATTCAACAAAGCAACTTGTGTTTCCAATGTTTTTAGCGGGAAATGTATAAGAGGTATTCCTATCCCGGTAAACCGGGACTCATCATCAGCTGTCTGAAGCGTGAATCCCGGTAAACGAAAGGGTTAATTTACATGTCAAGTATAAACTTTGAAATCATAACGGTTCTTAAGATATAGAGAGGACATGATCTTTACCATAGGACATGGAGTTGTCAACTGAAACCAAAGTTTTTGACCTTGACCTTTGACCTAGGAAGTTGTACATACATTATGACACATCCTCTGGTGTTGGTAGATATAGATGTCAAGTATAAACTTTGAATCATAACGGTTCTCAAGATATAGAGCGGACACAATTTGTTACGGACGAACGGACTGACAGATGGACGGACGGACAGACTAATCACTATAGGGCCATAAAACTTACCAAAAGCAAATGTTACCTGTATCTATTACCATCAAGTAAATTCTTAATAAAAGGGGCATGCTTTTTTTAACCCCTTTTAATGTCTTCAGAACCTGCCTTCTTGTAAAACTTACAAAGAAAAATTGCAAAATTTTTTCAGTAAGTTTGCACATTTATGTTGTTTAAAACTTACTTAGGCTTTGTAAGAACAAAATATTCTTTTGCCAGTTCTTTTAAGTCATCATCTGGTAACAATTTTAAAGCTTCTAACAAACTGTGGAAACATGAGACGACTTCCGGGGATCCTGTAAAACAGTTTCAGAAAGATTAATGTTAATTGGTGATTGCAAATTTTACAAAAATTTTGTGTATCCTTATTGTATGACTGAACTAAAAAGCTGGGACTGCCAACTGATGCTCCCCAAACTGCCAATATATTGAGAGAAAACAATTTCATTTCAAGGGTTCAAAATACTAGTATACTTGGACAAATAAACATGAACTAATGCTGCTAATTTTTCACCTTAAAAAATGTTTACAATTCAGCATGTTCAAAGTTGAATACCATACTAAAAACAAAAAGTAAAATCACAAAAATACTGAACTCAGAGGAAAATTCAAAAAGGAAAGTTACTTAACTTTTCTTTTAACTGGGCAATTTAATAAAAGTCAACGGACCTTGACCCTTGAAACCAAAATCAATAAGCTTCCTCCCCTTCTCTATTTCTTTTATCAATACAAGTCTTAAGCATGGAAAAAAACAAGTTACCATTATTAAGTAACAGTGACTTTGACCTATTGAACACAAATTTACAAATCTTCTTATCCTACCCTATACTGCAAATTCATCTATTTTCGTGCATATCAATTTTCATGAATTGAGGAAAACTTGCATTTTCATGGATATTTGATTTTGTGGTTTTTCCAAAGTCTGCATACATTCCTATTGAAAATTTGTAATTCGTTGGACATTTAAATTTGTGGTTCCCCTGTAACCAGAAAATCCACAAAAATTGGTATCCAACGAATAATAATGACTCCACAGAATCTTCCATCTATCTAAGCTTTGTTCCAATCGACCAAAGGAAACTCAAGCTACCATCTGAAAAATGGCATCATCTAACTGCCTATGTTACAGAATTATTATGATTGATTTTCTGAACATGTTACCAAAATATTATCTGCCTACTTCAATTTAGATGTGATAGTCACCAATAGTCAATTAAGTTAAAAAATCTCTCTTAAAACAACATACTTTTACAAAGTCAGGTTATCTGGTCCATGTGTTGTTCATTTTTATTTGTATGTCTTTATTCTTTTTTAAGGAATAGGTATTGTTGTTTGATATGGTATGCAGCACTGATCAGTATTTTAGTAATTCCTATTATCCTTTTTATGTAATATCAGTAATCTTTGAAAACATAAGAATAATGTGAAAATTCCAAGAAAACAGAGCCTCATATAGTCTCCTTGAAGCTTTAATGCTTCGATGCTCATTCAACCCCATATCATGTATCAATGTTATATCATAAATATGTAATACCAATTGTTCAAATTCTGACCTTTTCAGAAACTTAAGATCAAGTGTTGCCAATGCTGTTAATAAAAAAGTAACACCAATGCCTGGAAATGTTATATGAGAGGAACCTAGAATAAAATGCTCCGCAGGGCGCAGCTTGATACGACAGCAGAGGTCGAACCCTGAACAGTTGGGGCAAGTATGGACACAACATTCAAGCTTGATACAGCACTGAATTTGGATTGTGATTAAATATTTGACACAGCATAGGTTTCTGACACAGAATGAATGTGGTCTAAGAACTTAAATTTTTTTAATTTACTTATTCAAACCATATCATTATTATTTGCTTTTATATATAAATCAGAAATAACCAATTTAAAATGGAAAATTTTAAAGAAAAAAAAAGGATAAACCCCCCCCCCCCCCCATTTTTTGAACCCCCTTATGATACATCACCCCCAAACTCAATCCCAGCCTTCCCTTTGTGGTATGGTACCTTGCAGTACAATTTCAGAGAGATCCATACACTTGAACACAAGTTATTGTCTGGAAACTAGAAAAATGCTTGTTTTTTTTGCCGCTTTTTGGCCCCAAATTCCTAAAATTCTGAGGCAATTACCCCCAAACTCAATTCCAGTTTCCCTTTGTGATATGGAACCTTGTAGTACAATTTCATAAAGATCCATACACTTATACACAAGTTATTGTCCTGAGCTAGAAAAATGCTTGTTTTTTGCCCCTTTTTTTGCCCCTAATTCCTAAAATTTTAAGGCAATTACCCCCAAAATCAATCCCAGCCTTCCCTTTGTGGTATGGTACCTTGCAGTACAATTTCATAAAGATCCATACACTTACACACAAGTTATTGTCCTGAAACTAGAAAAATGCTTGTTTTTTGCCCCTTTTTTGCCCCTAATTCCTAAAATTCTGAGGCAATTACCCCCAAACTCAATCCCAGCCTTCCCTTTGTGATATGGAACCTTATAGTACAATTTCATAAAGATCCATACACTTACACACAAGTTATTGTCCTGAAACTAGAAAAATGCTTGTTTTTTGTCCCTTTTTTGCCCCTAATTCCTAAAATTTTAAGGCAATTACCCTCAAAATCAATCCCAGCCTTCCCTTTGTGATATGGAACCTTGTAGTACAATTTCTTTAAGATCCATACACTTACACACAAGTTATTGTCATGAAACTAGAAAAATGCTTGTTTTTTGCCCCTTTTTTGGCCCCTAATTCCTAAAATTTTGAGACAATTACCCCCAAAATCAATCCAAGCATTTCCTTTGAGATATGGAACCTTGCATTTCAATTTCAGAGAGATCCATACACTTGAACACAAGTTATTGTCTGGAAACTAGAAAAATGCTTATTTTTGGCCCCTTTTTGGCCCCTTATTCCTAAACGTTATGGGCAATTACCCCATAACTCAATTCCAGCTTTCCCTTTGTGATATGAAAGCTTGTAGTAAAATTTCAGAAAGATCCATAGACTTACACACAAGTTATTGTCATGAAACTAGAAAAAAATGCTTGTTTTTTGCCCATTTTTTGGCCCCTAATTCCTAAAATTTAGAGGCAATTACCCCCAAAATCAATCCAAGCATTTCCTTTGTGATACGGAACCTTGTGGTAAAATGTCAGAGAGATCCATACACTAACACACAAGTTATGTCTGGAAGTTACAAAAATGCTTATTTTTGGCCCCTAATTCCTTAACTGTTGGTACCATAACCCCCAAAATCAATCCCTGCCTTCCTTTTGTGGTATTGAACCTTATGGTAAAATTTCATAGAGATCCATTCACTTAAACTAAAGTTAGAGTGCGAAAATCAATGTGTCATCGGACGACAACGATGACGCCAACGTCATACCAATATACGACCTAAAAATTTTTTTGCAGTTGTATAAAAATGCGGTGAAAATTTCATGCAGGGACATTATGTGTTTGAATACTGTAAGTTCTGAAATTATGCGAGATTTTAATTAATGCGAATAATGCGACTGGTTGAGTATCGCAATAATAAGAACCAGCATTCTGAAATTTGATACATATATCTGATTTTCCGTCAATTGCAATAATAAATCTCGCATTTTTGTCCATTCTTCAATAATCGCAATAATAAATGCACATAATAATTTCTGAATTTACATTATATAAGTATCTAGTAAACAGGAAGTTGAAGTGCGATTAATCTGAAAGTTCATCATACTCACAAAAAGTATGATAAATGAATTTCAGTAAGCTCAGATTTATTATAAGTTCCTAAGAAAAATGAGACGGAAATTTCATGGGACGGACAGACAAGGGTTAAACAGTATACCCCTGGTTCAGAGCAAAATCACTGATCTGACATAAACCTTGGGAACTGCAAACTATATTCTCTTAGGCCACATAAATTAAGATAAGTTATGGTGGATAAAAGAGACATACATCATAATGCTTTAAATGACAAAATTATCAATATATCTTGTTATTTTACAAACCTTCTGCTGGTTCTGTCCTGATGCAGTAGATCTTCTTTTTTATCTTTTCTTTTAACTGGGCAATTTTTTGGGCATTGTATTCCTTCTTTTCATACTGAAAATAGTGTTATTTTTTTAAATCCAAAAACCCTATTTTAAGGATTTTTTCATATCATTATATTCATATATATCTTGGTTGGACACATTCATTAATCAAAGGAGTAGGTTAGATAAGGCCCCCATTTTTAGCTAAAATTTCAAATAAGGACTTTGTGATCTATATCACAATAAATCATAGCTAAAGCAAGACTGATGGGAAATAGAGCCTATGGTTGAAAATATATGTACTTTAGTTCTCTCTATGACATAAGTGATTACAAATAAAACTAAATGTGTCGGAAAGACACGAATGGCCCCATCTCACAAAACAGTAAAATCAGAAATTTCAACAATACATGTGGACACAAACATGCATGGATAGTATCCAGCTCTCAAGACCAATACTAGTTTGATGAAAAATTTCCATGATTAATGAGTAGTTAAATTTCAAACTATCAGCAAACAGGAAGTGGATGTACTGAAGATGTGTTGAAACGACATGAAAATCAGCATATCGGAACGAAACATAAACTTGATCTGTTACTTATCACGGTAGACTCACGTATCAAAAATCAGCGCTAAATTTGAAGGCGTATAGCAAAAAAATCTGTATAACTCTGATTTTCAACAATTTTCAAAGTCCAAAACCCATAATTACAGCAAAAATCAGCAGAGCAGAATGAAACTTAAACTTGATCTGTAACACATCATGGTTAACTCACATACCAAAAATCAACCCAGTATCTAAAGGCGTTTAGAAAAAAAGTCTGTATAACTCTGATTTTCAACAATTTATCAAAGTCCAAAGCCCATAATTTCGGCAAAAATTAGTAGAGTGGAACAAAACTTAAACTTGATCTGTAACTCATCATAGATAACTCACATACCAAATATCAGCCCAATATCTGAAGGCGTTAAGAAAAAAAGTCCGTATAACTGTGATTTTCAACAATTTCTCAAAGTCCAAAGCCCGTAATTTCGGCAAAAATTAGTAGAGAGGAACGAAACTTACACTTGATCTGTAACTCATCATGGTTAACTCACATACCAAAAATCAGCCCAATATCTGAAGGCGTTTAGAAAAAAAGTCCGTATAATGGTTTGTTGCGGAATGACGGAATGACGGACAAGGGTAAAACTATATGGCACTGACAACTTTGTTGCGGGGCCATAAAAATAAAATGTCGCAAAAATTTTGATTCTTCACAAAGTAAATGAAAACAGGTCAATTTCCATTGGATTTAAGACCAGATACATATAGTGGATGCATCAGTAAAAAAAGTTCTTTTAACATTGTTTTAGTGATACTAATTACCTATCTGACTTCAATATTTAGTTTGTCGAACCCTGTGCTCTTTGTTTCCTAGGCCTAAATGCGATACAAATCGAGACAAAGGAGTAAACTAACATTAATCACACAACGAGTTTGTTGTGTTTAAAATCAAAATTATCTAAATAAAACAATGAAAACTTATTTGAACATTCCATGTATACATATACTGTTCCCACATTTGAAAAAAATTAATTTACAAGAATTTCTTCTTTCAATAACACTTACATTGCCAATGTGGATGCTATCAGTTACAATGCCATCTACAGGTCTGTATGGTTTTTCCTTGATTAATTCTTTCTTCAGAAATGTTAACACTCCTTTGTTTGTAGCAGACATTGTTGGATTTTCTGTAAACAGAGCAAATCCTTCAGTAGCCAAAGTAAGTTTCTTTAAATATAAATATTACTGAACAAAACAGATAGTATAATAGAGTAAAGTACTTTTTCTGAACCTATTCTTATTGTATGTTCATCTTTGAACCTTCGTTATCCCAGTGATTGATATTAAAAGATGGAGGATATAATCCTCCTTCATCCAAACATGTTCATGTGCCTGTCCAAAGCCAGGAACATTGTCAAAGTTTGTCTGTAGCCAAATTTAATTATTTTATTGTCCTGTAGGAGATTGAGTGTTGATGATAGATCTTTGGTAGCCTCTGATAGATATTCACAACTCATCTTGTCTCAGTGAGATCTATAGAGCTTGACATATTATGTAGACATCTCTTTATTGTTGAAGCTGCATGTGACCTCTAAATGTCTTTTAGTTTTCTGGGTGGCTTGGTTGTAGTCTCATTAACCTAACCTCTCCTTTTCTTCTTATTTCTTAATGACCCAGTTTCATATGAAAAATATTACCCATAGTACTGAAGTCATTCATTGCTTTTACTTTTCTCATGTCTTTTCCGGCATCAAAACTGAAAAATAATCAAAGTGGTTATCTGATATACAAAAAATACAAAAAATCTTAAAAATTCTCAAAGAGTTCGAAAATTTGGTATGTATGTTTGGTTGTACTTCAAGTCTTATAGCTTTTAGATATGCCTTTTCAAACCTTAGCACCTACAGACCATTTATTGCCACCTTCCTAGCCATTTATATTCATTTCAAGGTTTTTAAATAAATTATGATATTTTGTCTTCCCCAAAAATACATTAAATTTTGTTCCTTGTTGGCCCTTAGATGATCATTTTCTTGCCTTATGATCTTTGTTAGATAGTTCTCTCATTAGCAGTTATCATGGTTATACCCACTTATAATTCTAATAAAGTATTCCATGTTTTTTACTTACTTAGGTGCCATTTGGGGAGATGTAAACTCTTCTTCCACCACAACTCTTTTAACTGTTCCTAGATCATGATCAAAATGCAGAACCTGAATGAATCAAAGTTTATTCATTGAATGAAATCATGTTTGTCCATTAAGGGCAAAAAGAAAATCATTCTGTTCAGGAGTATATGAGAAATGTGTGAAAAATTTCAGTTCATGTAACATACTGAAAAATTCAAAGTATTAGCAAATAGATCAGAAAAGTGTTCACATGTTACATTAACAACTCATCACTGTGAAGCTTCTGATCAAATATGAAGTCATTGTTTAGGTAGTTTATGAGAAAAGATTTTGGAAACAAGATGGACAAGGTGATTGCAATCTAGCCCCCTCTCCTACAATGGGGTATAATAAAATTATCCATTAATTACTATGAACATATGAGCTGAGTCGGATAGAAATCGACCTTATGCAAGTGCATGTATACATGTACATGTGTTATACATAAGACTTTGATTGATTTTTGAACATTCAAATAAGAACTAAAGACGACCTTTGATCTATTCTGTAGGGTTCTAATTTCAAACAGTTACAGACTTTGCATAGAGATTTTTTTCAACCCGAAACAGGTTAACATATGTATTGATATTCGACGCAGCTCATATATTGTGCTGAAAATATAAAAACTTGAAATTATAATTTTTTTTAAATTCATGGACTGAGATTAGCAGCACCCCACTATAGCAAGTGAATAATAATAATTGCTATGAGCTGCTTTATGTTAAAATATAGTCGTCTCTAATTTTGGAAAAATGTTTTTTAGAAAAAATCTTCATACTTACTGTAAAAAAGTTAGCCAACTATGGGGTATGATTTTTATATTATACATAATTTACTTTAAAATGAAGTAAAACCCTCATTACTCACCTTTTGATGTACCCCTTTTGCATTAGGTATTGGTGTACTATGTCTGAATTTTTTAAACTGGATTCCATCTGCAGTCTTGACAACTGAATACGATGCATTATGATGACCTACAAAAAAAGGAATTCATTATCCATATCAAGATATACCCTGAATCCTAATTCAAATCCTTTCTTTCAATATGCTTTTAAAGGAGAATCTTTATAATAGAAGGAAAGAAAAAAGACCTTAAAATAGATCATGTCATTTTTTAAATCAAAGAGAAAATCATTTTTTCCATTTAGTCTAGAAATGTGACACAAAACTCCAGAAGATTCAAAAACTTTAACTAAAGGAAAGTCAAAAGAAATACTTATTGACTTGTGTGGTTTTAATGAGATGTTACATGTCGATTGTAGGGTCTGTCAACATGCAAGTAGATTTACCTGATCGGAGAACCCTTTAACATCAACACAATATCATTTCAACCATGGATATAAAAGGCTACAATGTAATACATGTATAAGATCATATTGCGATGCTAATTAAGTGTCTTATCCAATGATAACACAACCCTCCAGTCCAAAGTCCTGCCTGATTATGATGTTTTACCTTCATTTCCATACTCTTCAGTTTTATAAGTCCATTCACTTTTTGCAGTATTATCCTGTGAAAAGAAACAAAAATCAAATTGAACACGAATTAAACTTGTAAAATATAAATGCATAAGCTATTTAGCCATATGGTCCGAGTACACAGTTATCGTCCTTTGATTTTCGTTGTCCACGAATAAAGTCCCTAGTGTGGACAGTGTGTTGCTTGCCAATTTTTTTAGTACCCCTTCCAAATGTATTTCTTCATGTTTTATGCCTCAAATAGCAAGTAGGGGGATGAAATTACACTGTAAAAAAATTTGGGTCATGAATTGTAAAGTAAAGTAGTGATTTGGTCCAGCTGAAAAAGGTTAAAAATTAGCACTTCAGAAGCTGTCAAAAGATTTCAAGACCCCCTTAACATAGAATTGTCCATATTTTGAGTTAGAGCCGATGAAGTTTTCTATAATTTTGATATAATTTGTCCCAAAAGTAGTACAACACACTGTAAAAATATTATTGAGAAAGCGCAGGTGGGATTTTTTTTATTTTCATTTATTGTCTAAAAGAAATGCACTACGAAATAACTGTGTACTCGGACCTAAGAGGCGAAATCAGTAAATATAGAATCTGTACTTTGGCAACTTCCCTGAATGATTTAATGGTGTCAATTTGTCAAATAGCATGAAACTAAAGGATTTAAACTTTTATTTGATAGAAATTCTGCAAAAAATACCCATTTTGGCATTATATGGTCAAAATAAGCATTTCAAAGCTTTTTCAATTTTGATGCATAAGTGGCATTCTGACTTTCTATGTGACAGGTTTTTCTGTGTCAATATTTGTGTTTCTATGCTTTAACCCAGTTGTATTACTCATTTGTGAACTCTGAATCTACAGAAAATAAGATTATCTTAGACAATATGTGCAAAATGTGTTGTATAAATGACCCTCGTCTAACGGCCTGTTTGGATCATGTTAAATGTGAGGACCTTGGTACATAAAAGTTGAAGTCCATAATAAAGATTTCACTAAATTTGTATTAAAAGCACTTCACAATGTCTTTTGTACCTGTTTCATTTCACATAGTATCTTTCTTTTCCTATGTTAAATAGCAAGTGGTTCAAATATAAGCCTGTTGAGGCTAAAATTGCATGCAAGTTTTTCACTAAAAAGTGAAAAATCTTTGTATCAGACTATACTGTCTGCAAAAAAAGTTGAATGCAAGAGTCCTTTTATGCTCAGATTTATTGTATCATGTAACCTGAGTATAGAAATTATAAAAAAGACACAAATTTTTATTTCCTATAGCTTCAGTATGCATTTTTAAATGTAAATATGTGCTACGGCCTAAATTGACCCTAAATTATTTTCAGTCTTACTTGGCTTAAGACCCTTTTATACTAATATGGTATGCTATTTGTAATTTTTCTTTCCATTTAAAGTACATTTAATACATATGCAAGGATTATTTATAACCAAAAAACTCCACAAATTTAAAATTGCTGGAAAATAATACATCTTCATGTAAGGCCCCCCTTCATTGGAAAACCTCCATTTTTTGGCACAGGCTCATATAAATTTGACTTTTAAATAATTGTGATAAGTCTGATAAATCAAATGAGTATTCTATTGCTTTAAATACATAATATGTCATATATTAAGGCATTTAAAATGTAATTTTTTGCAATATTTTAATTTTTAAAGCCCCAAATGTTGATAGTTGAAATTTTTCAATTTTAACGTCAAAATTTAACACGCGAAGTTGAATATAGAATTTATCATATTGTCTATAATATATATCCTATTGCCATGAAACTTTGTCAGCAGTCTCATAATTTATTAAGCTTTGGTCATACCAAGTTTTATTAAGATTGGTCAGATTTTTCTATCCTATTAGGTCCGAGTACACAGTTATCGTCCTTTGATTTTCGTTGTCCACGAATAAAGTCCCTAGTGTGGACAGTGTGTTGCTTGCCAATTTTTTTAGTACCCCTTCCAAATGTATTTCTTCATGTTTTATGCCTCAAATAGCAAGTAGGGGGATGAAATTACACTGTAAAAAAATTTGGGTCATGAATTGTAAAGTAAAGTAGTGATTTGGTCCAGCTGAAAAAGGTTAAAAATTAGCACTTCGGAATCTGTCAAAAGATTTCAAGACCCCCTTAACATAGAATTGTCCATATTTTGAGTTAGAGCCGATGAAGTTTTCTATAATTTTTATATAATTTGTCCCAAAAGTAGTACAACACACTGTAAAAATATTATTGAGAAAGCGCAGGTGGGATTTTTTTTATTTTCATTTATTGTCTAAAAGAAATGCACTACAAAATAACTGTGTACTCGGACCATATCCAGTCAAAAAGCTAAAATATTGTAAATTCAGAAATTATTCCAATTTTTTAAAGAATAAAACTAGAGGCTATAAAGAGCCTGTGTTGCTCACCTTGGTCTATGTGAATATCAAACAAAGGACACAGATGGATTCATGACAAAATTGTGTTTTGGTGATGGTGATGTGTTTGTAGATCTTACTTTACTGAACATTCTTGCTCCTTACTATTATCTCTATCTATAATGAACTTGGCCCGGTAGTTACAGTGGAAAATATTTTGTAAAAATTTACAAAAATTTACAAATTTTATGAAAATTGTAAAAAATTGACTATAAAGGGCAATAACTCCTTAAGGGGTCAATTGACAATTTTGGTCATGTTGACTTATTTGTAGATCTAACTTTGCTGTACATTATTGCTGTTTACAGTTTATCTCTATCTATAATAATATTCAAGATAATAACCAAAAGCTGCAAAATTTTCTTAAAATTACCAATTCAGGGGCAGCAACCCAACAACGTGTTGCCTGATTGGTCTGAAAATTTCAGGGCAGATAGATCTTGACCTAATGAACAATTTTATCCTCATCAGATTTGCTCTAAATGCTTTGGTTTCAGAGATATGAGCCAAAAACTGCATTTTACCCTATGTACTATTTTTTAGCCATGTCGGCCATCTTGGTTCGCGGGCAGGGTCATCGGACACATTTTTTAAACTAGATACCCTAATGATGATTGTGGACAAGTTTGGATAAATTTGTCTTAGTAGTTTCAGAGGAGAAGATTTTTGTAAAAGATTACAAAAATTTACAAAAAATGGCTAAAAATTGATTATAAAGGGCAATAACTCCTTAAGGGGTCAACTGACCATTTTGGTCAAGTTGACTTATTTGTAGATCTTACTTTGCTGAACATTATTGCTGTTTACAGTTTATCTCTATCTATAATAATATTCAAGATAATAACCAAATACGGCAAAATTTCCTTAAAATTACAATTCAGGGGCAGCAACCCAACAACGGGTTGTCCGATTCATCTGAAAATTTCAGGGCAGATAGATCTTGACCTGATAAACAATTTTACCCCATATCAGATTTGCTCTAAATGCTTTGGTTTCAGAGATATAAGCCAAAATCTACATTTTACCCCTATGTTCTATTTTTAGCCATGGCGGCCATCTTGGTTGGTTGGCCGGGTCACCGGACACATTTTTAAACTAGATACCCCAATGATGATCGTGGCCAAGTTTGGTCAAATTTGGCCCAGTAGTTTCAGAGAAGAAGATTTTTGTCAAAACTATAAAAAGTTAACGACGACGGACAACGGACGCCAAGTGATGAGAAAAGCTCACTTGGCCCTTTGGGCCAGGTGAGCTAAAAATTTCAATTATAAATGCACACAATAAATTTTGAATTTACAGTATATAAGAAAAATATTTAATACCTTATGTAAAAAGTCTTTCATTAACAACACAAGTTCAGACTCTATCCAGTGGATATACAGTTGAAAAAAAACAAAAGAAATGGAACTCTTTATAATATAAGGTTAAAATGGACAAATTGGTATATTTGTTTTGTTTACATCGTTTTTATGGTCCTTGATGCAAAGCAAACTTTATTTCACAACCAAACTTGTAAAAAAAATTATCTATCAAACTATGATAATTAAAATATACATGCATATCCATGTTGCCTTGTTTTCAGTATTTATTGAGATATATTGCACCGATGCTTGTTATTCTGATATTTAAAAAAAGTTAATCTTTGCCCTGTATTGAGAAAAAAACAAAGGAATCTAGTGCATGCAAAATCTAAATCTCTTCCGATACATCAATTTTCAGAGTATTTCCTATAGTCCTTAGTATACGATTTCCACAACTAGAAAAAGAAGGTTTTTGAGGATGCAATTGTTAAGGGGACTTCACCTATAATATATTGTATGTGTGTAAATTTTATGATTCAAAAGTTTAGTCTGTTCAGATTTAACGATTTATTAGAAAATACTCAGACACATTTAAACGTGTAACATGAGGTCAAATATATAATACAATATATGTAAATAACATGACAGAAGAACAATTTAACATATTAAAGTCAATACACTTAGCTCATTAGCATCAAACAGTGGGAATAATTATGCAAATAGATACACAACATATATGGATCGATATGACATAAATCAAAGAAATACATTAACTTTTCTGATGAACAAGGATAGCTTTTTGTAAAGTTCAGTATTAAGCTTTTTGTAAAGTTCAGTATTACAATAAGACAGTAAACCTTCAAACTTGAGAATGCTCGGGTAAGCTGTGTAGTACATAGGTATGTATTTGTTTCTTAATGACACAATATTTTCATTTTTACATATAAACAAAATATGGAATTCATCTCCAATACCATTTGTACATAAGTTACATGTTCAATCCTCCCTTGGGATATTGAACCAACGACCAGTTTCTATAGGTAAATGTAAATTAGATGTACGCAGTTTGGTTAACCACGTTCGATTAAACTCACTAAGTCTCAATAAGTGATTTTCCAAACAAAACTGTTTTTTGAATATCGAATAAAAGAGGCCACGGGAGGAATTTTGTATATCACTATACCATTTCTGTAAAACTGGTCACATAAAATTTGCTTCACAACAATTTTTATTTTTATCACAAAATGCAAACTAGTTTTTAAAAATGGAACTCATTCCAACTTCATTAAAATTAGTTTCTACACATTTAATCAATCTG